TCGATAAGTTCAGAAACGTCTTTTGGTTCAGGAACTTCCAAGTGTCAGGAACGTCCGGAGAGATGTTGTTGTTATTGTTGTGTCTGTTGGTGACTCAGTACACAGGGCTAATATGCAGTACTATGGTACAGTACAGTACGTAATAGTAGTACAGTATGGTACGTCTTATACCATTGTCCTAACCAGTATGACGTCACAGGGTTAAGTGGTCTTGCACTTATGTGCCTACGCCACAGAATGCGAGCCGCGTGCAAAAGTTAAAAAAATGATGATTCACGCCTATGTTAGCCTATGGGAACTTTCCCCTGCACGCTGATTGGCTGCCCTTAAAGTACTGAATTCCGGTCGTTATGACGTCACAGGAAGTTCGCGCTATTTTCCGCGAAAATATTATTTATTTTTAGGTCGGCCAGAAAGTTTATCTGGTCGGATTTTTGATTTTTTATCCGTTAGAAATAGTTTTTATGAATTAAAGCATTTTTCTGGCGGTCGAACCGCCGTTAGAAATAGAAGAAGAATTTCCGACCTGTTGTCGGTTAGTCTTCGTCTAGACAGGTTCGTTGACCTAGGAGGTCGGTTCTCGACCAAAAGTAAAATTTTAGTTCGGATTCTCCGGTAAAATTTACTTTTTCACCGTCAGAAATTAAAATTTAGTAGTTAGAAATCACTTTCTACGGTTGGAAAGTGAAAAGCCGACCTAGTTACGGCTAAAATCGACCACGACTTTACCGGTGTCGGTTTACCGACTTTACCGGTTTACCGACTAACCACGACTTTACCGGTGTCGGTGTCGGTGTCGGTTCTGGTCGGTTGCACTTCGTCCGAGGTCGGAAATCCGTCGTTTCTCGATGGAAATCCGCGAGTAAAGTTGCGGGTCGGTGTTCAAACCGATGGTCCCCGTATAATGGAGTAATCCGTTCGCGCTGCTGACTCTCGTTCGAGTCTGGTCCGTCAGTTGGGAGAGAGAAAATCCGTGCGTGTCGCAGGATGAGTGCTCTTCAGTGTGGAAGAGACGAAAATTCTGTGGCTCACCAGCTGGGCAGAAATCACTTCAGTGATCTCCGTTTCACCGCAGCTGTAAGACGATGCGATCGGTGTGATCGACAGTCAGGGAAGAGGCTGCTTCAGCAGTCTCTTAACAGTGACTGAAAAGGTTCTCCGAGTTCTCCGAAAAGATGCCTTCACCGTCTCCTCAAAGGATTCCGTAGGAAAGAAAACCAGAAAGATGCTGCTACCATGTAACAGACTATGGCGAGGAGCTCACGATGCGTCTTTATTAGACAATAAAGGCTGACAAAGCTGCGTAATAGCAGGAAGAAAGAACAATGGCACGTGTGGCCAAATAGCAAGTGTATGCTCAAGTGTATTCTTGAGCGTCTCGTTGGCGAGTAAGTAGTCAATTGAATCTTTATTTTAATCTACAATGTATGTACCAACGAAATCTCAGTCACGAAAATTATTTCGATCGTACAATTAGACAAGTGATTTGACCTTCGAATCCACAGCAGCGTGCACAGTACGTGTGTCGCAGTGTTTATCCATTTTCCCGTGAAATTTTTCGGTAGGTAGCATGTTGCATTAATTATCGCTGGCTTAACTGCAACTTCCAATATGATGGAACCATAAGCAAGATAAAACATCTTGACTGCAACAATTTGGTATTTCGATTCCACTGCCTAATAAAAAGTATTTTTGAAACAAATTTAGTTATTCCAATTTCTCCTAATTAGCTTTCCAAATTGGAGATCATTTCAATCGAATAAATGCCGTAGGTCTCATAACCGTATTTAAAGCGTAACAAACCGCGTTCTAACCGTATTATCACCGGTGATCGACGAGGAGTTTTCAAATTAGCGCAGGTTGCGGTCAAGGATTGGCCAAGGTATTGGTCATCATCGCGATTTTCGATCTAGAATGCAGTTCACACCATTACGTATCTTGCAATACCGATGCACACAATGTGTAGCTGCTTAGTGTCTGCACATGCAGGTAAGCAATTACGGCGCAAAACATACTGCACTCGATAATATTAATCCACATTTTCATAACAGAAACTATCTTCCGGTGTCCTTACGAAGCAACGATATTTCTCTTCCGGTCGGTTTTCGCCCAGATTGGCAGCAGCGAAATAATGGTCCTTTCCGACGTACCAGTCACCCAGACACGTGAAAGTCATAGGTGCGAAAACATAGAAACGGGGAGAGGAAACATACTCTGTAGGTTGATGCTGTAAGACCGTTCTGAAATGGGCTCGTGGTTTCTTTCTTAATTAAGCCAACGCTCTAATTATAGCTCCTTATGGAATTAATGGCGGTACATAAGCAACCATACTAGCTGAAAACTAATAAAATATAAAATATGCTGTTATAACTGCAATACTGTAGTCTATAGTATAATATTGTACATTCGTGTAAATTAGGTCTGCTGAATTTGGTTATTTATCTTCATATACTCTGTACAGAAGAATCTCTGTACAGATTTCTACAGCCGCATACCGAATCTTAACAAATACAATTAGTTTACTACTTAATCATACATGTATTTTCGTCTGGTGCTTGGTAATTAATTGTCAGTTCGACATCGACAAATGTCACATACAGGAATCACGAAAGGGTACAATTCCAGGATCTTCCTTCCTCCAGGAAAAGTCCGAACAAGCACCGTAGGAGATGTAAAATCTGTTTTCGGTAGAGTATCGATTTCCTGGATCGGGACAGGAAGTCGGATTGTTCTTCGGATGTTTGCAGTGATGGCCAGAAAACTGTTCTAAATGATACTGAAATTTCCACCCCTTCGATGCTCGATACCGGTGTGGGATTGACAGAGAACAGGGTCACCGGCCCACGGCACTGCATGACGAAGGAGCCGGTCGCGTAAGGTTTGACATAGCAGCGGTAAGGATTCGACCATCCCGGCAGAATAGCATTCCGCTGTGCAAAGTAATCTCAAGTTTTTCGTAGGTAGAAAATGTGATCAAATTAAGTACTATGATACTATCACACTGTAACTGTAATCAACGCTTTTAGTTTAACGCAGATTTCTACAGCCGCATACCGAATCTTAACAAATACAATTAGTTTAGTTTTGTTTAATTATATGACCACGTGATATAGCGCTTGAAAAGGCGGCTCACTTGAAAGCACTCTGACGAAATTCCAGGACGTTAATAGTTCGGATATAGGCAGCTCACGGCACCGGAAAGCAATTTTTGGTACTGCGCAAGAATAAGATATACAAGTATTTATTGTATGATAGAAACTGAACAAACCACAGAGTTCGTAAAAGTATTTGCTATTAATTTTACTGTGCATAACGGGATGAAGGCGTTTTTGAAATTGATTAGAAATCTGGAATCATATCTTGTATCTTATGACTTACGTGTCTTTTATAAGAAGGCGATACATATCGCTGTCGTAAACTGTTTGTCCATTTTCCGCCAGTATCTGGCATTTTCGTGTGACTTTGCTGGGTCGATTGCAGTTCATTTTCAAGCAGACTTCGCTGGTGGTTGTGTCTTCCATAGCCGACGTATATAGATATATCAACGATGGCGCTGACAATGGACACAACCGTTTTCCGCTCTAAAGACGATGCCGCCTCAACGGTCAGCGTATTCAGACCGTTTTCCCGGCTATAGTACTGATTGCGAATATACAAGTACTATATCTGTACGGCGGCAGGATGCATTCCTCCACCAACTGATCATCGAAATCCCGGCTGCATTTCGCTAATCCAGAAAGTCCATACCAAATTATAACGGCTGCAGCGGATACGCTAGGTGTCCGGATCATTTGTAATTTGTAATTAATTTAGAACCGCGGGTAGAATTAATGATGTTATAAAATAAACAAGAAATATTTACGCATTTTAAAAAAGTTAATTAACATTGTTTAATACTACACGGTCTTGTGAATGCGGCTGCCATTTACTGTGATCATGCTGCGTTCGATTGAAAACCCTTTCAACTTTCAACTTTGCAGTCGTGTTTGTCAGTACTGCGACCGCTTTAAATGCAGTACTGTATATGCATCCTATAATACTGTAACAGTAATTGCAATTGTATTTTTCTGCGCCCTTGAAACGACAGTTTTCTGTGACCTGTACTCTGAAATGTCGACGTACACAATTATGTCGTCAACAAAATTCTCGAACTTAACTTATACAGCTTATTTTCGAATCTGTGTCACGTAATTTGGAAACACAACTCCAGGAACTCAGCGCTCAACTCTGTTATCGTTTAAATTAAAAGTAAAAACAAATTTATTTTTAATTTTACTAATGAATAACACTCTTCGTATAATACCCTAGTGCGTCAAGGGCAAACATTTTAAGTTGTTAATTTTCTCACTGCGTTGCGGCAGTACTCATACTATACTTCACCGAAATGTGCCAAAATTCTTTATACGAGTAGGTACGAGTACGATCGGATCGAGTATGCCGAAGACATGTAATTTACAGGCTTTTGCAGTCCTCGGTAAGCCCAAAATTGATATCGAAACATTTTTTGTGGTGGATATATTATTTTTAAAATTTTAAACCGATACGTATCGATTTTAATACGTAGGTTATCAATACGAGTAATTCACAAGTCAGTGCAAGTACACAAGCTGCAGTGCAAATATCTGGTCAGATTAAGAGCAATAATTAGTTGTTACTTACAACTCCTGAATGCGGTAGTTTATTTCGTTTGTTTTCGTAAGACCGCTGGTCCACAAAAGCTGTTTCAGCTACTGGAGCAGTGGTTGCTTCAGCTTGCTCCACTTCCGGTTAACAAAGCAGTAGCCGCAGCGTCGAAGGTGATCGTCTGAACTTCACATGATGATCTAATCGATCGCTTCCCGTTCCCGTTTTACTACGGAGTACAGCGCCCTCTATGCGAACTCTCTCTGCTACCTTTAGCTGACGTGCCGTGCCCTATACACCAAAGCTGCTGCATTCCCAACACACCACCGCGCTGCAGTTTGGACTTTTCAAAACTCTGACTTGAAATAAATTTTTTCCGCGCACTGGTGTTGCGCGTGTGTGTGTCTGTGTACTGTTTACACTTCACAGTTTACACTCTAACGATTTTTCATTTTAGAATTTAACTTGCTTTGTTTTTGTAGCAAACGTTTTGTTGCTAATGTTGCACTTCTATTATTAACCATATTTGCGTTGATTTAGAATGCGTTCGGTGTATTTCCTAATTATTCGGATTCTGCTGCATGAGAAGTCATCAGGCCGTTATGCATTGAACCTTACGGGTTTATGATTAATCTTCTGAGCGTCGCTGGAATCTTCTTCATGGGTTCTTCTCTGGCCGTATTCTCACTGATCTCCGCGTTTCATCATCCATCATAGCCGTTCTTCCCGCAATGCTACGATTTGTTGAATTTGGATAAAGTTTCCGTTGAATGGTAGAGATGATTCGTTCTTTTACTGTTTGACGCGGCATAGTGTTACGAAATGGATCTTTCTTTGCGTTTATAACTTCCTAGCGTCGTAAAAATCGGGAGGTAAGATTACATTAGAAGCAAGTCTGGAAATTCGTGGGCATAAAGTACATAAAATCTGTAATTTTGCTTGCATTTTTGATTTTACGTGACTTTGCGATTTTACGGTCTGCATGTCATACGCAGAAGGTACGAGCTTTTTCTTGATGCTGTTGGAAGCTGGAAAAACAAATTAATAGAATGTTGAATTTAAGGGTTTCGACTTTCGACCAAAGTATGATTTATGAACATCCCCGAAATTTATGTTATTCTTAGATTTTCCTTCATTCATTACTTGTAGATTGTAAAAATAAATAAATTTATTTTTTTAGTTGGACAAGAGGGCTCCAAGATAGTTGTTGTGAAGCTATACCTTTTTTATTGTTTTTGTTTTTCATATTTCGTGTGCATAGATAATTTGATATGTTTTCCCTTCTGCGTGGTACGCTCTGGTGACTGGTGGCTCGTCACTTGACAGCAGTATTCTAAACTTTTGCCAGCACAGTTCGTGAAAAGTTCAGTTTTTAGTGTTAAGCATTTAACCATTAATTTCGGCATTGCAGAAAATGTTCGCCCGGGGCAAGGCAGGAGGACAGGCTCCGTCCGATCAGCAAGCACGCGATAAGTACGATGCGGACCGGGTGTTAATGCGTGTAAACGATGCTGGCTAATTAGCGGTCTTTTGTAGACTAGTCATTTATGTTTATGAATATCTCTACCATCAGGGAGCCGGCAATGCCGCCGAGACTTTCCTCAAAGAGGTGAGTAATGATGAAAAATGACACGAGATTTTTCATTTGCTGTTTTTGTGGTTACCTGGAGTGTTTGTTTGCGCAAATAAAACTGCGAAGTTTTGCTGCAGAAAAATTAGAAAATAATCAAAACCGCCTGCCTTAAATGTTAAAAGAATACGTCTTGTTTAATATAGTCTTCACTTCGAAAATTTATTGCGAAACGATACATACCACTAAAGTGAAAATTTTGTAAAAAAGTCTGGCAGATAATTCGCCTCCTGACTTGTGCTGGAGTTGTAGTTGTAGAATTGTATTTACTTGATAGGTTAGTAATGGTGCCGATTTACGCATTGATGTACCAAACTTCATTTAGCTTAATGAATTTTTTTGTGTTACAGATAGGTTGGAAAGTGCCAGTAACGCCGAGTGAGCCTCCTGGATTTTTGCAATGCTGGTGGTGGTAAGTTTTGACCCCAGTGATGCTAAAAATTAAAACATGGTTTTGAATTTTACCAGCTCTGAACAGTAATGATAATGCGCCAGACAACGTGAATTTTCGGTGTTCAACTTTTTATCGTTCGGGGTTTCTTAACCCGATGTCCAGCTTCCTTAGGAAGTTTCGTGGATAGTGAAATGATTTTTAATTTTTGGATCTTTTTTGATGTTTTTTGTTGTATTTTTGCTTATTTTATGCTGTAGGTAGTTCGAATGTTTTGCTGCTGCATAAATAAGCTGATGTGGCTGGATTATGTGATTTTTTAGCGTCTTCTGGGATTTGTATTGTGCCGCTCCCGAGCGACGCGATACCCATATGCATTCCAAAGAGGCTTCGAGCTTTCATGATTACGTAAGCAGTCCTGCCTTGAAGTTTATTAGTTACTTCTGATCTTTACGTGGCTTGTCTTTTCTGTAGACCACTATGACATCGCAAGGGTATCCTTTCTCGCCGAATATGAACGGCATGGGTGTACCACCCGGTCAGCCTCCTCATGGGCATCCGCATGTGAGTTCTATCAACAAAAATTTATTGCAGGGTCCTTATTTTCTATCAGTTTTGGTGGAAAATTCGTAGTTCTTTACTAATAGTTTCGTTGTTTGTTTGGATATGAATCTCTCTTACTTTGAATGAGTTTAATGCGGAATTGTGCGCTAGGCAATGGGAGAAGGCGGGCCCGGGACAGTCCCAAGTCCATCCATGCACCAGTTGGCCGGTTCGGGACCCGATGGCGCGGTGCCTCCGGGATTCTTTCCGGTACGGTGCTTAGTGCCATTCGCACGACAGGAATGAATCTGAATCTGTCTCTTTCGCTCAGGGATCTCATCTTCGCCCTTCTCCATCCCAGATGATGCCCCATGGAGTCATGCCCATGATGCAGATGTCGGGGCCACCTCCACCGGGCGCTATGCAGCAGCAACAAGGTAACGCGAGGCGGTTCTATACAGTCTTTGTTTTCTTTCGCTGTAGTATGCTTGTTATTCATTTCCGGTGCAGTTTGATTGATTTTTTCTGCTCCTCAGCACTTATGTTATTGTTAAATACCGTGACTCTTGTTAAGTTGCACCTGTAAAGTTGTATGTCACCGTTTTAAAGGGCACATGCCACGGGGTTATGCGCCACCGTCTAACCGCAGCTCACCGGCAACGAGGATGTCGCATCCCGGTCAACAGCAGATTGAATTTGGGGTAGGGATGATTATCCGCGGAAACCTGAACATTTTATGCAGATACTGGGTTGTAGCCTCCTCCGGGCGGAATGATGATGACGTCGGAAGGCCCGGTACCGCCGGGCATGATGGTCGGTCGCGGTGGACAGGGCGGAGGCGGTCCAGTGGGACGCGGAGGCATGCCGGCCTCGCCCATGCCGCCCGGAGCGTACGGCGGTCCCGGTGGACCCATGCAGCGGATGCTCAATCCGGGAGCCGGGTCGCCTCAGGGCGGACCGAATATGATGGGATTGTATGTGATATTCGGTGGAATATGCTGTAGATAATCTGTTCGTCAACGGGAAATGTTGTTGCAGACCGCCGATTCATCAAACACAGCGTCAGCCGCCGTGGCAGCAGCATGTTGGTCCGATGGGTCACTATGGCACACCATCACCACCCAATGGCCCGTATATGGGCATGGTAAGAAGAATTATTCATCAGCGCGGTGATGCGTGTTTCTCTGGATTTTATTTTCGTTCTTGATAATCTGATGATTGAAGAATAATGTACTGAAGTAGCGTACGAACAACTAATTTTTGTTAGAAACAGACAAACAAATGCGGACATTTTAGTATTTTACTACTGCAGTGAAAACTCAAAAAGCATATTGCTAAAAAAACGAAACTTTTTTTCTGTTGCTAGATGGGTCCTCCGTCTCATATGCAAAGTCCTTCTCAAGGTAAAATTTGTTACGACCGCAGAATTACGCTTTTTTTGCTGAGCATGTTGCGTCAATGGGGACTGAATGTATAGAATCAGTATTATCGGGAGGATCGGAGAATATCTATGGTATGATGAAAGGACCGGTAACGGATCGATTCGGTAATGCGATCCCGGATGGATCGATGGGGAATATGGTGCCGGTTGGCGTCGATATGGTCCAATCCATGAACGGTAGGCGCAGCTGGATAAACAGGCCAGTCATGATCGGTCTTTCATGGGCTATTATGGTAGGGTGGATAAAGACGGGTGTCTGAGTAGCTTTGGGTTGTTTACCATGATTTTGCGGCGTCATGTTTGATGCTCTTTTACTAAAAATGGTTCAGGCTTTTTCTTTCGTAAGAAAGGAATTTGACGGCTTCGTTTACGGTGTTCTATGATAATATTCCTTGAACCACGCTATCATTGCTAACGCATACAGATTTTTTCCCCCAAAAATTTGCGCATGTAATGTGGAGTCGTTATATCGTGATTAACATAAATAAAATTTTCTTACAACGAGAGAAACATTAAAGTAGAGCCTGAATTAATGGATGACACCCCGTCGAATGACCAGAGTAGAATTTGTGATTTGATTTTGAAAAATATTGAAAGCTGTGGTAAACGCATGTATGTATAATGCGTGTATCAGATGCAGTTATTAATTATGGGAAATCTCTACGATGAAAAACGTAATAATTTAACATGCCTGGATTCATAAGTAACATCCCCTTGTAAGTTGGTAGCAAAATCCGGAATATAAGTTAAGTATAGTTGTCTTTATGTTTTGGTAAACTATCTCTTCCGTCGGCGGAGAACAGTATGAGACTGTATGTCGCATTCCATTAACGGCATTAACGGATTCGCTTCCTGTGTTACCAGGTGAAGGCATGGAGCTGAAGCATTCTCCCAGCCTGAACGGTCAATCCGATCCGTCATCCGGTCGTAATCCCGGCGGTATGGACAATGTGGTGGATGAGTACGGTATGGGCCAGTTCTCGGCGGCCGCCGTGGCCTCCGCGGCATCCGCGTCGTCGCAGGAATGACGGCAGTAGCCCCGTACGAGGAGAGGGGCTCTCGTACGGATGGCGCCTCGTTGGTTCCGTTATCTACAGACACGAATTTCCCCGCGTTCTCTGTTCTCAAAACAATGAAGAAATCAACAGTGTGTGTGGTGTTAATTGTTAACGGTAGTCATGTGTGGAGCGGCAGCTGACAACAAAACCTGGATCTGCGTTCGTTTTTGTTACAATATATGGAATTTCTGACAGGGATTTGTACCAAAGATGGGGGCGTTTTTGTTCGGTGCAGCGGCGGTTTGGTTAATTATTGAATGTGGCTGAGTTTTTTCTCTCTTTGTTTTAAATTATTTTTCCCAGCTTTTTTTCTGTCAATTTAGTGGGCAGCTTTACAGTTTTATCTTGTGGTTTTATCATGCCAAATTTTGAGCTTTTAATCGTTTGCGGTTTTTTTTTGCTGGTTATGATTTTATGTTGTTTTATCTGTTGTAGTGGGAACGATGCTGTAGTGTTTGTGACAAATTTATTCGACTGCATTGTTTGTGTACAAGGTGGCCGTATTGGTCCTACTGGATAAATAAAGCGGAAAACTTCGCGACTGACTTGTAAGGCTCGATTTTGTTCAAAATCGCAATATTTTACGACATGCATAAAACGGCTTTATCTAACAAGATTTACTGACGATGATTCACTTGGATTTGCCGGAAATGTTGTTTGAACATCCCTAAAAATAATTCTGACTGGACCTGTGACTAACGCTGGATGTAAAGTTTCATTTTTAATTACAGTAGCTTCTACCAACGGAAAAGTGACTATAATTATGCACAGAGCAACATTCATGTGCATTTTGTTACAACGAAAGAACTATGAATGTCTATGATGCTATAAAAATTGTTCTTCACTAGTTGGTGCAGATATCTTCGGCACGAAATCATTCAGAATTTCAAAATTCACGTTCGAGTTTGCAATAAAAATCAATTTATCCCAATAATCCCACTATTATATCGCACAGAAGATTATTTCATTTAAATGGCTTCAATGATATTATTTAGTATGCTATCAAATAATGCTTAATCTCGTGCAAAGTGTTTGCCGGCACACCTGACGATGATTCAGGCACTTCGAATAAGCACTCCATCACGCTAGAAATGTGAGTGTACACATCTTCTATGTATGCATAGTACTATGCACTAATAAAATTTAAAAAATGAATATCGGGCATTTTTTAAGGCGGAATCAACTGGTGACTGGTGACAAACCTTGCCGCTTGTATTACACACCGGCTTTATGAATAAAGTGGTAGAAACGGTTGCATAAGCATGGAGTTTTAGCGGATTAGTTCGGTGTTAAAGTGCCGGGATTGTTTGAGATTGGCCGCGGAAATATTTACCGCTGTAAGGTAAGCGTGTACAATCCCCTGATTTCCATGTTGATGATCCGCGCCGCTCGTCGATAATCCTGTTTAAGTTTGTAAACAAACTTTTGTAGTGTACTGGCCATTCATTGAGAACGCGGTAGCGCCGCACCGAGACTACCGACCACACGTACGTAACAAGTTGACCGACGCTGAAGCGATAAACAGTGCGCATCTGACAAAACCGCGTATCGCCAACTATAAAACCCCGCTCGGTAAACAAGGCTTTATGTGTACGCGAAGCGTTTCACTCTGTGCAGCACCCGGCGCACGTATTATCAGCTGAGTCATCCGGCCAATCGACAGCGATAAACCAGCCGCCTGTTTACCTTTTAGCGTTTGGCTGAGATAAGCAACTGTAAATTAAAAATGCAGGCGCTAAACGGAACGCACTTGTAAGAAACTTGTTAGTGTCGCCGTTCTTTTTCTTTCTGCTTGATCGCCGTGGACCGACGTAAAACTACCGTCCAGCGTTGTAGTCTTCGTTTATTTGTGTAGTTTTCCCGAGTCACGGACGTCGTCAGACTCTGGCCGCGTAATTTTGTTGATCGATGGTGCAGCGTGGAGGGTGTTAACGCTGGACGGTTGTTGTTTATCCATCGTGTTTGTGGATGCTAATGTTGTGATTTACAGATCGCAGGAGAATGGTGGAACACGAAGGAAAGGAGTTTGGTGTGGGAGATTTAGTGCTGCTCAGCTCTATTACGGACCAAGCCATTGTTGACAATTTGAAATTAAGGTATAGGTACATCAGACGCTTTGGCAGAATTTTATTTTTTTATGACCACAACTTTTACTATTTTCTCAACTGTATCAGATTTTTTTCCGTGGGAATATGGTGATTTTTCTTTACCTACTATAGCACGAAAAACTTAGAAATTCGTCCAGATAAGCCGAAAATAAATTACAAAAGTGGAAATTAATTTTGAAATGCAGTTAAAATTTCTAAAAATTAATATTATTACGAGAAAATATTTAATATTATTACGAGAATATATTTTCAATGCGAGCGCGTTAGCATTATTAAAATACGTTATGTAATAAATTAAAATCTCAGAGCGGTTTTTCGCATTGTTGCAAGAATGCGCTGCGCCGCGTCCCATTTGTTTATCAGTTTATGCCGGAAGTGTGTATGAAAGCACTTGTGCAGGTGCAGCATATGACAGAAATGTATAAGTGTGCAGTACAGCATTTTTACTGTTTTACATCACAAAAACGTAGACGCAACTGTTTATTGATGCATCCGCTTTGAAGTGGATCGTGGGCATAGCGCGAAAGATAATAAAAATGTTGTAACAGCTGACAATAATTATTGTTTACGCTGTCTGGGCAGCTTGAGCTGGGCCAGCATCGCAATAGAAGTATTGGAATTTCAGGCCACTGGCCACGTACCAGACACACAGTTATGATTATTTTAAGCATTGTTATGATTTACAGTAAGCACGTATACTATTGCGTTTTTACAGTTATTGTACAGCAATAAATGAAATTTTCTTGGCTGATTTTGGTGCGAATTACGTGGGAATTTGCTTAAAAGTTTATTTGACATTACCTGCCTTGCTGCAAAAAAATGTTTTCAGGTGCGGTAAATAATGCAATGTTAAAATGACGAAAATAAATTTAAATTAGTTATACGATGCGCCAAACCTGAAAAACTGACAAATGATCATGCCGTTGACAATACAGTCTGGTTGCAGATTTATTTCTTTACTAATCGTAAATGCTGCTGTTACGCATCGGGTGTAGTGAACTGGATACTTTTATTTTTGACTATTTTGCATGTCGGACGTCCGGAAAAGTGAATAATATCATCACAAGAAGTTTATCACTAAATAAGCCACAAACGAAATTTAATACGTATTTGTTTTGGGGTAAGATAAACAATTCGTTTATTGTGTAGGGAAAAGGACAATATATGTACACCGATATCAGTATCGGTTCCAGCTGTTTTGTGCTGGCGCGGCTATTGTTGTGTTTGCTCTATGTGCACGGTTGACCGCGTCCGTGTTGTTGACTCTCACACATATTCAATAAATTTGCATTTAAAAAGTTGAAACAGTCATGGAAACACTAACTTCTTTGGCTGTTCATGTTGTTATCGTTTGACACATTTTTTTGATTTGCAGGTTCAGCAAGGGAAAGATTTACACATATATTGGCGAGGTAAGCGGCAAATCTTAACAGTAGTGTAATTTCGTGCCGGGATTATTCGTTTATTTTTGCAAACATAAGCACTATGCGCGTATACAGATAGATATTCAGTTCCGACTTTCATTGTTCCATGCCTGGGATGACCGAAGTTACTTCATAAATCATGTTTCTAGAACAAACACATTACGTATTGCGTATGTTTTATTTGACCTGGTTATAAAAAAAACCTGAACGTCGCTTCTTTTTTCTTCTTGACGGCTTATGATTACACCAGACTTTTTTGACGTTCCCATCAATAAGATGCGCAGACGCCACCCACAGCGCATGGAAAATTTCACACTGAAGCGTTTATACAAATTTGTATAAGCACATTGCAAAGAACCGAAATCAATTTTCTTAAAAATGTATAGATATTTGAATTTTTTGTCTATAAATTCTTTTTATTTTACTTATAATTTGTACGAGTTGTTGCAAGCAATGAAAGTGTAAATTAGGGCTAAAGTCAGACCATTTTATTTAAAGATCTGATAACTTCGTAGTTGGCAAGGATTGTCAACAGTAAGTATTCATTTTTGTTGAAGTTTTACTATAATTCTTTAAATTAACTTGTGGTGCATTGTGCTGTGATTTCAAAACTGTTAATTTTCTAGCTGTTAGTTGTGAACAGTTTTCCTCGTAATTTTGCATCGTTTGTTTCAAGTGGATCTTGCGGTTATGATACACAGCAGAGTGTGGGTATATCTTCGTCCTTATCCTAAAAGTGCGTCTAATTGTACAGGTTGTGGTCAGTGTTAATCCGTATAAACCCGTGAATATTTACGGTCAAGATGTGGTGCAGCAGTACAAGAACCGCGAGTTCTACGAGCGTCCACCGCACATCTTCGCCCTGGCCGATGCGGCCTACAGGAGCATGCGGCGACTTAACAAGGACACTTGCATCGTTATATCCGGTACAACGGCCCTCGCCGGCTTCCTGTCTCGCGTGTGCGCTCGTGTTGAGTCAGCTCGGACGCTATGAGCTGATTAATGCGTGTGCGGTGTGTAGTGCTAGAGTGACTGTACGGCTGCTTTGTCAACAGGAGAGAGCGGTTCCGGCAAAACGGAAGCCTCCAAGATCATCATGCGGTACATTGCCGCGGTGACCAATGTGGCTCAACGGGCGGAAATCGAGAGGTGCGGACAATCCGGCGCTTCAGCCTGTGTTGTTGTTGTTGTTTTTGGTAACTAATCATTTGCGCCATTGCTTACTTGAAGATTAAAATTATTGGTTTCGAAATTTCGTCAGCATATGAAGCATTTCCGATAAATCTTTGAATTCGTTTATGGTTTATACTGAAGTTTTAATGGTTCATTATTATTTTATCATGTTTCAACTCTTATGATTGTTAACTTGAAACTAAAATTAAAGATACCTATCTTAGATCAATCAACACCAATATTCGGATCCGTTTCATGTAATATATAGCGATGATGGTCACCATCATCATCTTTTATCACGATATAAAAGCATTCACCGTTTGTCGATACTTGTATAAGTTTTAATAATTTAATTGAAATTTTGATATTGAGGCAGTTATTGCTGCTGACAATAAGTTTGCATCGATCAGATATTATCGTAGGGTACTGGCCGGGATTGAGAGCTTCCAAAGACTGGCATAGAGTCATAGACACCGCTCAGAATGATTTGCAATACATTGTTGAATTATAAAATGATCAGAATTTTTTTAAGCAGAATATTGTTGAACGATGTGAACTGAATTACTTAATCTGTGGTTGGCGATGAAATCCTCTACGAAATGTTTCGACTTTTCCTTTTTTCGGCAAAAAATTCAGTGGTTTATTTATATGCTTTCCAGAGTGAAGAATATCCTGATCCAGTCGACATGTATTCTGGAGGCGTTCGGCAACGCGAAAACAAATCGAAATGATAATTCTTCACGCTTCGTAAGAAAACAAGCCGAAGCATAACGAAACCCTTTTACGCAAGCATTTATTTGTGATCTTTTCAGGGAAAATACATGGACATCAACTTTGATTTCAAAGGCGATCCAGTGGGCGGCAACATTGAGAACTACCTACTCGAAAAGGTAGGCTAAGCACAGACATCAGCTCGGAGACAATAATGAGCGCGCTTTTCAATTAACCTCTTGGTCACGCTCCATCACCACGGCGCGCAGAGACAGTGCAAGTGGTCAGCAGTGATCTGGAACGTGATTGATGACGATTTGTCGGTTTTAATTTGATTTTTTTCTCTTCTCTGTTCGATAGTCGCGTGTGGTACTCCAGCACAGCGGTGAGCGGAATTTCCACGCTTTTTACCAATTGCTCACGGGCGCCACGGACAAGCTGTTGTCGCAGCTGCATCTGAAGCGCGATCACAAATCTTATAATTACATCAATCAGGGCACAGCGCACCCAGTCAGCAGTATCAACGACAAGCAGGATTTCACCAATGTCCAAACGGCGCTGTCGGCTCTGGGACTGGCGGGTAATCATGCCGAAACAATCTGGAGAGTGGTGGCGGCTATCCTCCACTTGGTGCGTGCAGAATTCGTTATAAACAGTTTTCTTTAGAGGAAAAACTTCAGAATTTTTATGATAACAAAAGCTGTTTTATTTATCGCTATTGAACTGTTGTATCACTTGAAGGAATAATTTGATTAACAATTTAGCTATGTCCATTTTCGCCAGTCTGTGGGCCGTTATACAGCTATTATTTTTTTACATTAACTGTAATTTACACTCACACCTTTGTAATGAATTTTGCGAAGAAAATAGCGCTGCATATTTTCTAAAGCAATATTACATAATTATATGTAATATTGCTTTAAGCTATGGATCCACGTCGCGTGATATTGTAACTTGTAATTTTGTAACTTAAGAAAGACAGAAATTAACTGAGAGTAGAGAGAAACTAACTTTTGTAAACTCAGGAGAGACAGAAATGTTAACTTTTGTAACTTAGGAGAGATAGAATTGCTGTAACTGAGGACAGACAGGGTGCAGATGCATGGGAGGAGCAGGTTATGTGAACGGTGAAAGAATGCACTGAATTCCATGGCCAGTTGATCCAGAGTTTCAAGCGCTATTTTTGCGTTTACCCTTCCATAAAACTTGTTAACCTACATCTCAGAAGAAAGAGAAAAAATTTATAAGCTTTTTGATCTCTGATTAGTAATTATTTATGGCGAACCAAGAAAGTTATGCTTGTTTTGGTTTCTCGTAGACAATGCATAGGGTGCAAGCAACGCCCCCATCGCACGGACCCATGCTGTGTCTATGAGAAACCGAAGCGAACATAACTTCCTTGGTTCCCTATAAAACCTACTCTCAAGATATCAAAAAAATTCTGAAATTTTATTCTCTGTTCTGAAACATTGACTGGAATGTTTCATTAGGGAGACATAGAAAAACGGAGGCTGCAAGTTTTGGAGATCAAGTGGCAGTCGCGACTTGGATCTGCTAGCCAGACTAATACATGTAAGCGCGTACGCGAGGTGGCTGCCGCAGACCAGCTCGCTAAAACGGGCCGACAGCGATGCACTCAAGGAAACTTCCCAGTAAACAAATTCCACAACAACATTTTTTTTCGATTTTAATTATGTAATCAAACCGTCCATTTTCTTCGCAATGCGGCTACGAGCCGCGCCACGCGAGTGTTTTCGTAGAGAACTGGCTGGTGGTTTAGTTGCACGGCGTTGCTCTGGCTGATTTGATTTCCATTTGTTCTACTAACTATCATTATTTGAAGCTACAGTTTCCACTTTTTCAGAAAGTTTGATTTTTGCTACGGTGATTTGTGTGGATTTAATTGTAGGGCAATATTTCATTCGCTCGGGAAGGAGAGTTGGTCAAAGTGACCACCGCTGATCGTCTCCAGTCAGTTGTGAATATGCTTCACATTTCTGAGAAGGACTTCCGCCAAGCTTTAACCTCGCGAACGGTTGCCGCACGTGGAGAAGTGATGGATAAACCGTTAACCGAAAGCGAAGTGTTTTATGCCCGAGATGCTTTTGCCAAAGTATGTTGTGTAAATTATGCCACTTTATAATTTAGACTATATTGACCATAAAATTTAAGACGAATTGAAATACTATACTAATGAGTAATGACATACTGTATCAACTTTGTTAGGTAAAATTAGTATTGTTTACTTTGACATTTTTCGACTTCAACGAAATGTAAGTTGGCTAGATAAGTGCATTGGCTAGATAAATGTAAGTTGGCTAGATAAGTGTAAGTTGGCTAGATTGGTGTAAATTGGCGGAGGTATACCGATTCAATTACTATTTAAATAGTGACTGGATTGATTGTATTTTTAGGCTATATATGATCGATTGTTTTCGTGGATTGTCAAACAAGTCAACGACACACTGAAAGCGCCGGCGCCGACATCTTCCCCGCTGTATGGAAGGAACACGGTCATAGGTGTTCTGGACATTTATGGCTTTGAGATTTTCGAAATGAACAGCTTTGAACAGTTCTGCATTAATTACTGTAACGAGAAGCTCCAGCAGTTGTTCATCGAATTGGTACTGAAGCAAGAACAGGATGAATATGAGCGGGAGAATATCAAATGGACACCGGTCAGCTATTTCAACAACCGGATTATTTGTGATTTGGTAGAGCAGCCGCATAATGGCATAATTGCTTTAATGGATGAAGCGTGTTTAAATGTCGGAAATCCTACCGATCAGGTATAATTAATAATATGTACAGGAACATGCGTAGCGTTAACAGTATGGTTATTTCGAAAGCCAGAAATGGGTTAAAACAGTTTTTTATTTGATACATGTATAGTGACGAAATTGCGGAATTTTTTCAAAAATATGCGTGCAAATAATTAAGAATTTATTTCAATTTATGAGAGGCTCAGCTATGAGGATTTTTTTCAATTACAGACTTTCCTGGAAGCAATGGATAAGAAATTCACCAAGCATCCTCATTATGCGTCGCGTCAAACAACTCCCCAGGATAAATCGCTCATTCACCACCAGCAGTTCCGCATTAAGCATTACGCCGGCGATGTTACATACAACATCGAAGGATTCTTGGACAAGAATCGTGATCCCATTTTCCAGGATTTCAAGCGGGTGTTATTCAACAGCACCGACCCGTTCATTAAGGAAATGTGGCCGGAAGGAGCCGCCCACAAATCCACAGTGACCAAGCGACCCATCACAACGGCCACCGCCTTCAAGACCTCTATGGCGGCACTGGTACAGAAACTGCAGTCCAAGGAGCCGCACTACATACGGTGTATCAAACCGAACGAGTAAGATGATACCCAGACATACAACTGTCCATGTCTTTAGCAAAACTTTAACTGTTTCTGAATGACAATAATAAAAAATTTTATTTAACGACATCAGTACAATTTTACTGAATAAAACCTAAATAATAAAATTTTTATTAAGAGACTTTATTTCGCAGTGTTTAGTATCTGTATTCAGTGTACTGATCGCGTTAGACGCATTCTTGTGCAAGACGTCATGTACCTAGCACGGAAATATCGTAGTGCAGTGGTAGAACTCCGGGCTTGCTTTCGTGAAAACGAATCATGTCTACGAATCTCGCGTGATGAATGCACATTAGAAATATAAGCAGTTATTTTTCTGTTGATTTCTGAGAATATTTTTATCACAGTATAATGTTTTATTTTTTCAGGATAAAATCACCATCGCAGTTTGACGTTGAACGCGTGAGCCATCAGATCCGTTACCTGAACATCACCGAGAATGTGCGCGTGCGCCGTGCCGGCTTCGCCTACCGCATGCCGTACAAGCGTTTCCTGCAGCGTTACAAATTGATCTGCAGCAAGACGTGGCCGAATTTCGCCGGCAGTGATATGGACGGTGTGAAAGCGATACTGGCCGAGCATAAATTACTGGACGATGCCGCCTTCGGTACCACCAAGATCTTCATCCGGCAGCCGCAGAGCGTCACCTACCTGGAAGATGCACGCAATAAGAAGCTGCCGGAAATGGTCATTTTACTACAAAGGGTACATTCTGTGAATTTTCTTCGCATTTGTTTTTACTCACATGATATTCATGGTTCGTAGATGTGGAGAGGAGCACTTGCCCGCAAACATTATCAACAGATGTTGGCTGTGCGGCGTATTGTGAAAGCGTACAGGAACTACAAACTGCGCAGCTATTTGATGAAAATTCAGAATATTTTCAAGAATGTCGACCGGCGTCCTGATCTTGGCAAAGCTTTACGCTGGCCGGAGCCGCCACGCACCTTGCGATCGTTTACGGATAAAACAAAGGCCATATTTAATCGGTAAAACTTAAAGTTCAACTGAACATTTTGCTAAATCTCACTAAAAAACTAAAATAACGTATATATGTATTTAATCGTAAAATAACTCATTATTTCTGCATCAATCAGTTGAGAAATAATGCTGTTGTCCTGGTTTCGTTTTTGCGTCAAGCAAAATGATTGATAACCAGGATTCAGTGATAGGTTAACGTTTGCTGGAATTGTTATTTTTTATAGCTTTTTCTTGGTTTTATGTATTTTGCAGCTTATTATTCGTGATAGGTGGCGTGCTTACAAAATTTTGAAACGTCTGCCGAACGAAGACTGGGATCAAGTCCGAACGAAAATCGCTGCGTACGATGCTCTCGCCGGGCGCCGGAAATACTGTGATTACGGCCGGAAATGGCAGGGCAACTATTTGGCAACTAGTCCAGAGAATCCCGAGTCGTCCAACTTCGTCCAGGCCATCCATGGGCTGCGCTCGCACGACCACTTCAAATTGTGCCTGTTCTCGGGATTTATTTTGAAGGTCAACAAGCATATGAAATCCGCGGAACGCGCTATTCTGGTCACTGAAAAAGGCGTCTATAAACTGGATAACAAAAAGTTCAAATCGCTCAAATCACCTTACGCACTCGACCAGGTGGGCAGCACTGTTCTAGCGTAATTGCCGTAATTACAGTAGAAATTAATTTATCAATGGTATGTGATAGGTTACTGGTGTGAGTGTAACCGACGGAAATGACCAGATGGTTGTCATTCATTTCAATGGGAAATCGGATCTGGCGTTCTGCTTGCGTCCAGCGAATGCGGATAATCGAGTGGCCGAGTTGGTGGGAGTCCTGGCCAATCGAATTCGACAGTAAGCAAAATTCTGGTAGCGGTTTCGCTAAAATTTGCTCAACATTGTTGGATATATACTCGTAGGTGTTCCGAATTTTCAGTACTTCTGTTGTTTGTTCATTTACATTTTTAATTCACCCTTAACCTGTTTTGTTTTGGTAGTTTAGAAATTAATTTAGGCACTTACGTGTAATGTACTCAAAAAGCTCAGCGGTGTTGGACATGGAAAGGTGTTTCGAATTTTCAGTATTGTTTATTTCAATTACATTTTTAATTTATTTTGAACGTATTTTGAATTTATTTTGGTGTTTTAAAAGTTTATTTGCGTTCATAGTAATTTGCATTTTCTGAGCTTAATATTGATGGTGAGTTGAAGGATCCGGGTTTTTGCAGGGTGTATCGGCGCGATATCCGTGTGACAATTTCCTCCGGTGAAGTGTCGTGCATGTTCGGCCGGAAGTCGGTGCGGATCGTGGTGCATCCGGTGTCCGGGGGATCCTTGGCTGCCCCCGTATTTCGGAAACAGTCGTCGGACTGTATGGTGTTGGATACACCGGCTTAGTATACAGTGTGTTGCAGATATCTGTCACCTACTTTTTCTTGATTCCTATTTTTTTGTGCAGCTGGTTTACGATGGGAACAACATGTGTGTATTAATGTGGGCCAAAACTAGAAAGCAATTACGTTTTTAATTAGCTTGATGTTTGTATTGAAATCAGTGAAATTGTGGTTATTTTTACATGTCTGCTTTGGTGTGCTTTAAACTGTGCTTTCTTTTGTCTTGATCAGATATATGTAAAACGCTGATACCGGTATATGGAAAGAGCATCCCTTAACGTATTCTTCTCGACTTCTCGTATAGTTATTGTACGAGTACGAAATCAAAACGTATTTAACAGCACACCGTAAAAACTCCCATGAACAGTTTTTGCTACTGGAATTCGCTGAATAATTCGATTTCGAATTTTCTTGTAATTCTGTTGACCTCGATCCGAGTTGAGATTAAGGTCCAGTTTGCCGGCCGATACGTCAAAAGGAATGGTATCTTGGTTCTCCCCGTATAAGTTTTCGGTTTCCGTGAGTATCTCACAGTTTATACAACTGGAGCGGTGTTGCCGAGATTAATTTTTAAAGTATGTAGTACGCACGTACAGTATATCCTGGTTCTTGACTACGAAAACCGGTGATTAACACCGTAAAAATCTTATAACAGAAACCGTTACCCGATTTCTGTATGAATTTATGCAACCGTTATTCACATCAGTGTCGCTCGAAAAAAATCAACAGCACACGGTTTGGGGCATAATTAACCATTTCGAGTTGGTCGTGTCTCTTCAAGTAGCAAGTGTTAAATCAGCATCACAGTATCACAAAATTAATAGCTCCCAAAGAGTGCCGATAGCATCGCTACAGCGGAGTATTTGGTGGAGAACTTGACACTAGGTGGTTCTGATTGTTATAATACGCGTATCGTGTAGCTTGTCGTTAGTTTATTAGCGCGAACCGATACTGACGTTACAAACTTTAAAAAATGGACAACCTGAATTGTGGTAGCCTACTGAGGAACCTGAACACGTGTTCGATACAGTACGTGCTGAATGAGTCGCATGAAACACTAGGACACTAGGACAATCCATACCTGGTAACAACTCAAATAACGCTAGAATTCCGACTTTGCGACGGTCACAATAGCACAGTCTGAGTGATACTGGACTATATTAAAGCGGTTTGTGCATCGAAGTTCTTTTATTTTGGTACAGATTGTTGTGAGCGGGCGTTGTTTGAAGGAAATAAGGCGATACTTTGCTGGGTTAATTTGTGTATATAGTAATATAGGTCTATATAAGGTCATCCGTTGGCCTTTGGCTGTAGCCTGTGTCTAAAGCTGTCCAGCGCAAACGCAAACTGTATGTCTAAACAGTCAATGACAAATTCATAGTCGCTTTTCAGTTCAGTGGTTTATTTATCCAAAACATCTAATTTTCTTATTTAAAGATACTTGCAATTGTAATGTCTGGAAACACTGATTTCTATTGCCATTTATGTCTGGAATCACGGGTCTTCCGATCCTTTGCATTGGTGTCTCAAACGGATCCATACTTCTGTTACTATCCCTTGATTAAAATTAGTGGCAAAGTGTGCAGCGGAGATTTCCATTTCCAGTATATGTATCACATTTTGTTTCTCGCCGCTACTCGATGACTACTTTGAGCTAATGAGTTCCGCATCCGGCAACCTGTCTTTGTACTTTTATACTACGTACTTGTATATAGATATGTATTGTATATGTATGTAATCACTTTTCGTCCCAGGTGCGTCTTTGTTTCGAGCACGAAGAGTGCGTGTCCGTTAACACTTTTCAAAAACTCTCAGCCACATGTGTCTCTTATAAATGTTGGAACGCTGCGGTGCATTCTAACAAATAAGTTCAGTTTTGCGTGCTAGCCAATCTTTTTGTCATTTCTGAGCAACAGCATAATCAGTTTAACTAACCAGTCGAGTCGCCCAATGGTTTCGGCGGACACTTGGATTGCTAATAAGTATCATACATAGTATAACACAAATGTGTACCAAAACTCAGAAAAATTATTGGTTCCCACTAACATAAGTAGGCATCGCGCAAAATTGGTGCGAAATGATAGACGCAGCTGTTGCAACTTTCCTTTCCCGGATTTAACGTCGCGTGGTATTTTCTTCTCATGTGATTAAAGTAGTTCCTGCCTGTACTTGCTTCAGTATATAAATTCCTGTGTCTGGAATGCTCCATGCCTACACCACGGATATCTGGGATTCAGTGATCTTTTCAGTTTTGCAAATTATAGTTTTGCGAATTATGAATTCAGTGACCTTTTCAGTTTTGCAAAATATGGCTGCTTTCTCGTTGAACCTCGACTGCTGACTTATCCGAAATCAAGAATGGCATTAATTTTAAATGAAAGCGTGAATTACACTCAGATCTCCAATGCGCCTGTTATGCGCTGTACGGGAAAATTCACCGGGACGCCGCAACAATGGAACGTGATGATCGCCCTTCTACCTATTGCTTTGACCGGCGCATTTTGCAGTTTGATAAACCTATTAGTGTTTAAAAAATGGAAAAATAAGCAACCGTTTTTATACTTTCATGTTTCCTTATCCGTCGCGGAGGGTTTGTATCTCCTGCTACAAACCGTACCGACGTTTGCCCGGCTTTTGGACACCGGGCACACGCAATTCTGGCCGTACATTCTCGGAGTGGCGGCTACTTATTATGGCGCACTTCTATACAATGTGCACATTGTGTGTATCAGTATTGACCGATGGATCTCGGTTGATTTTGCGACTTTCTATCGAAACCGCATTGGGAAACGCGCTATCTTGACTGTCATAGCCGGTGCTTGGTTCTACTGTACACTGTTTACGACAGTCTTGTTCACCGTGCTAGAACAGTTTATTATGGTTCCCTGTAACTCAGTGGCGTTCTTCGCCTATCCGAAAATCTGGTTTCCTGTTTATGTGGAAGGAAGTCTGGTGTTTACGGTTTTTGTCGTTGCGGTGACGCAGGCGCGCCTGATCTATGTCGCTGTTCAAGGAAAACTGCGGATATTCCGCAATCGAAAAGTTCACTCACTTTCAGTCAACGGTACAACGCTTTACATTAATTTATGTTTACAACTTTTTAACAGTTGCTATATTTTAAAGTATGCTTAGATACGACAAATAAAACACTAACCGCTTGCTGTGTTACAGGAGAAACGGTGGGAAACGCAGCGACCGACACACGTAACCAAACCGCCGAAGCGAAACGAACCAAAGCGCTGCTAGCTGTCATGACAAAGACGGTTTTGACTGGATCCATCATTGTCGTGATTGCGGTGTTGTGCCAGATTCCTATGGCAATTTTACGGTGGACCCGACAAAGCCAGACTAGTGCTTACGCTTTCTTTGTTCTAGTATTCCATGGCCAGCACATCTTGCCTCTTTTTGTATATTTGACCTTTTATCCACAATACCGTTGCGCTGTGCGTTCTATAGCTGATATACGGAAACTTTTGCAGTGACTGAATGTATTGCAGAAGTAACTTTTGATTCATGACGAAGACTGTAGCTCACTGATGCTACGATACCGTAAAAAAACGACGAAGTACCGGTAATCAATTCGTACTGCATTTTTTGTCATAGCAAATTTTTGAAGCAGATAATTCAGATTTAAATAGTTATTTTAACGGCATTGCCCTATTTAGAGCTAAAAAGATAAGCAGTAGAAAAGGAATGAAAGAAGTTAGGAGCAAACCAGCAATGTTAATTGTATAACTATCATAAACTATGTATCATTGACTGTGTCTATTACAACTGATGAAGTGTCGAGCAAAGTTTGCAGGGTTTATGCGATTGCTCGTATATGCATTATACTGCAAGTAATCAGAATTTAGGATGTGTCGCCAGAGCTTGTTCGATGACATATGGCGGCGGATTGTGCTGCTGTACCGGAAGACCCACAACAATGGGCGCCGGTTGTGGTTGCGCGATGGCGGTGGTGATAAATTGGTGGGTAGGAACACCGGATGGTACATTAACCATGTAAACGACAGTCGGAGCACTGGGGTGCAATTTATGGATGTTGACGCTCGTCGAAACCAGTTGTCCGAGATTAACGATGAACATGACCAGGTACAGGGTAAAGTACGTGATGCCCAACGGAATCAGCTGATTGTGCTCATAGGGGCCAACGAGTATTGGAAATATGAACGAAAACGGAGTTACGATGATCGTGCTAGTCAATGACAGAACGCTGAGGACCAGAGCGGTGACCAGGAATCCCTGACGGCTTCTCGCTGGGATTCCGGGAGGTAAGAAGCGGCCAGCGACGATGCCGAACGATCCCGTTAAAATGAAAAAGCCACCCATCCATATGCCAGAAAACCACACGCTGTTCATGAAGACACCTGGTACGTTGATTGCCAAATCTGTTCCATAGAATAAACAAAAATATTGAATGCGATTGATTTTTGTTTTGTACGGTATGAAGATGAATAATATTTAGCGCAGCATCTTGGCCACATATGTGTGCTCGTATATAAGTAAATATACGAGTAGAATCCAATTTAAGCAATTTTAGGTTATGCACGTTTTTTTTCTGGCTTATTTACAAAGTATTATAGATGTGCTTAATGCTTTCAGTTTTCTTACCGATAATGTTAAGCAGGAAAAACAGTATGCCAATCGAGACCTGCAGGGCTCCAAAGGTCACAACCGCAGCGCGGTTATGGAGCTGTCCAACATTCGTTACATCCATTGCTAAAACAAATTATGGTATTCCGGCAGCAGAATCTGTCGTAAAGAAAAATGCCAACTGCACAATTTGAAGTAGTAGACTTTTTGTCTTTGTCCAATAACTCCAATTTGTACTTATACGAAGCAGTTGTTAATCGTCTTTTTCCATCGTATTTACTTGATTATATCTTCTAATCTGATAATGCATACAAAGAACACTGTCAGAAATTCTGTAACTAGTGTAGCACTGTACATTGATTTCGGCATGGCATCAGGTTAGTCATGGTCGCGGGGAATCATTCTCGTACTCTAGTCTGTAGGTAATAAATTTTTGATTCTATCGTCCTATCAGATCGGTTGGGTTCCTGCACAAAAGATATGTTTTCCAGGAAGAGCTATCCGAAGACGTCAGTTAGCGCAAGCGAATTATAAGTAAGCAAACTGTACTTGCTCCATGATATTACCGGTGAGGTGTCTCTTATTCTGGTTGTGCATTTCTAATAAACCCCGATGACATGTTGCTGACATGCAAGTGCTGCTCCTGGCCTTATGCTTCGTAGTTACAAACTTTATTACTGATATTATTATTATATGTATCATAGATACAGAAAACACTAAATATGTGTTTGTTAAAAAAACAACTGAATCCGACCTTCGCAGTATGGGTAATGCCTTGTCTTGCTGATAACAAATAAAATTTTATAATGCATTCTTTTCCGCGATGATGTATACAACACCAACAGAATAATCTTTCCCATCAACGACGATTTAAAAGTTGACACAAAAATATACGCTTTGTAATTCAAATATATATAGGTATGCGTTTGCAACAGACAAAAAAACAACCCCAGTTGTACTTCATAGTTCATACTGTCATACAAACAAAAACATCTGCAGAGTACTCGAATAGTTGCGAGGCGTAAATATACAAAATTACGTATTATGGAGTCAGCGAGTTACATTTCTGTATACCAAGACATAATTTTGGTTTAAAAAGAGTCCATTAAAAGACCCGGTCTCAAGAATATCTGTTCCCACAAAAACATTGAAAAGTCACCCTGTACAAAACGTACATCGTTGATTCCGGCCAAAAGCAGCCACATATTTGATTAAACGCGAAGAAAATCTTTGGACTGAAAATTTGGCACTAGGCTGAACTGGCGTCTTGCTCAGCTTTGGTAGACAACCGTGACTTTGCTCGAATTTCTCAGTTTACGCCGAGTAATACTCAAGGTAATCAGTTGTCCTAAATTGACGATGAACATCAGTAGATAAATGGCGAAGAATGTAAATCCCATATTTTTCATGGGATTGTGTTCGGCAATCAAGGGAAACCAAAACGACAGCGGCGCCACAATGACAGTGAAGGCAAACGAAACTGCGCTTAAAACCAACGCTGTCTTCAAGAAGCGCCAAAACCGTTTTGTTTGCCCCTCCGATGGTGGCATTCGAATCCAGGCGATCGCGAATGATCCAGCGGCGATGAAGATGATTCCCAACCAGATACCCGATCCGATTACGCTGTTCATAAACGGCGCATCACCCTCATTCACACAGAGATCTGCAAATTCATTATTTTACATATGAGGTGTTTTTTTACATATGTACACATGTTATTTTTATATTATATATATGTAAGTCATATTTCTGTGCCGATATCGGGAGCAAAAGCAAGACAGATGTTTGAATTATGACTACGGTTTTGCACACACAAATACGGTTTCAAATAAGCCAGATGCGTTAAGACGGTCGTCCTGCGATCCGAAAGACCAAACAAGGCAAAGCGATACGTAGTTCAGATGGCGGGTTAGGCAACATCCCGGCAGCAAATTCTACACTCACCGATGATGGTCAGCACGAAGAGGATGATGGCGAACGCAATCTGAACGGCAGCAAACGCAGTAATCAAACGACGATTGGGAATCTTCTCAATAGCTGGCACTTCTTGCTTGCCAATGGATTTGTAAGGAGGTCCTTCCATAATTATGGCCGTTTATAACACAGGCAATTTACAGTAGTGACACATGTGTATAATTCTGTTATAAAACGGAGGTTGAATTTCAGTACTTTTAGCGCTGGAAATATTACATCCGCATAAGGTGCTCAACTGCTCATAAAATAACTGCAACGGTATGAACGAAACATAGAAAATACTGAAACCGTCGCTCGATAAGTTAAAAAGTGAAGAACCCAATGGTGTGTTTCAATCAGTGAACAACAGATCAATACCGGATCATGGTAGAGACATTATGAAACAGTACTGCTGCTTAATTCTAAGAATGCACGAGAAAACAGTGCGCTTTAGATCGATAATACGAGTACAATAATATTTTTATGTACCGTTCCTAGAAAGCATTGGAGAATCGGTGGAGTCAGATTAGTCATCGCATATACAGTCTACAGACCGTGCAAAAAATAGTCATTCAACTTTACCGGCATGCCGGCTGTTCTGGGAATGCGAGCTTAAATGTCAGTCAAGTAAAAACTAACACGACTTCGTTTATCAATTAAGACTGGCTTCCTGCTTTGTAAACTCCTTTGTATAATCGTGAATGAGTCGGTACGAGTGCCGTACGACGTACCGGCATTCAGTCCATCATTATTTAGTATGGGAGACAATCACACAGTAGAACTGGATTATGCTTTCTTTATGCGACGAAGGAGTGACTAGGACTATAGTCTGCGGAACACTAAATCTGTAGCAAGTACAGTATCCGTACAGAAAATTAGCATATTTCCCGCTCTTTTGGAACTAGAGTGACGCACTATGCCATGATTTTCCTCATGGTCAGTCTTGGCGATTTATCAAACTCTTAACGGAAGGACTTTTGCCTTCCCTCATACACGGCTGGATAAGGTGGACAAAAAAAATTGCAGTACGACTGGGATTGACCAGACAGTATCTTATAATAGCCAAAAGCCATTAGAATTAAGCGAAATTCAGCACAGAATTAACCTATCAGGTCTTACAGAAATATCCAAGTTACCCGTCATGACGAGTCCGATTTTACAAAAAATCAGATCAGGTCACCAACCAAAGGAGTTTATGACCTTTGAATGCAGGCTTTATGTTAAGCCACAACCCACCCCTACGTAGTAGTATTATTGGGCTGTGGTTAAACTGTTAACGCGCAACAAGAATTTGCATGTACTTATTTGCTAACAATGAAACTATCTGTAAATGCATGTTGGAAAAAACATAGTGCTTTGCGCGATGTTGCAAAAGTAAGAAGGGAAAGGACAGGTAACAGCGTAACCACGATTACTGTAGTTAGCGCTAGATACATACTATGTGCACGTATTGTGCTTAATTAAAGTTCCAAGCATATTACGTTGACAGTTTGTATATGACTGTATGAACGTCCGTATCCCTATCAGATCAATTGTGCGGACGAAATAACTAAAAATACAAGTAATACAAATTGATTTCCACATAAAGATACCGAAAGGTCAAAGTTTAACTCGATTATAATAAGTAGTACTTGTAAGCAAGGGTTTTACGAAATGGTAAATTTGAATAAAATATTGCTTAAAACGTATTATTCAGTCAAAACAGCTTCTGCAGAGTTAAAAATCTCTTGTTTTGGTGAATAGTGATCAGGAAGTAAAGGAACACTTTGCAAGTGCTACCAAATGCGATGAACTTCAAAAGCCTTTTATAGATGCTGCCATGCAAAATCACTTTTGGCGGCGGACAATTATGAATTCTCTCACGAAGATGTGCAGACAATACAAGCACGTTTGTCCCAGTCAGCAAATACCCGAACAGATTCACAAACACTTTGTACGTCTGTTTGTTTCATTGAGCAAACCGTTTGCCAAGAATAATACATATTTTCTAATAGTGCAAAAACCAGGAGATATACTGCCGAGAAAATTGTACAAAAAATCATTAGGAAAAAGCAAATTACACCGGATGCGTCTGCATTGCCGTTGCGATTCCTTCTAGAGGTGGTATGATCGCGACGGTGTTTATATTGGTGCGAATCGGCTCAGCTGGCCGAGGCGCACTGCTGACCGTCGCATTGGCAGAGACCAAGTGACCAAAATTAATCACAAATATCACAAAGAAGATTCCGGCATGGACCGCTGCCACTTTATATTCTTCGGACCGGAAACACGATATCCGAATTTCAATAAAGGACATGCCAACGGCGACGAGTGCCAGGATCAGGCTGAGAACCGCTCCAACTAGATTCAGCAGGACCATTATGGGTAACCACCGGCTTTTTGCTTCCGGTTCATACAGGACACACTGTGCGTGGGAAATTACAACACCACCGATGACTATAAAAAACGCTCCAGCCCAGAATCCCGATCCGAAAATGGTGTAATACGTGACGTTGCACACCAAACCGTGAAGATAACCGAATTCGTATGCGAAAACTACAAAAATAAGAGCCCGACATTAGCTTTCATCATAATTTTCATATTATATGTATATGATTTATATATGTTCATATTTATGTACTATTATGTGTAAATGTTTACACATACAGTATTTAGTTAAGTATGCATTCACACATATACAGAAATTTCTTACATATACTTTATCTCGTATATTTCTTATTTAATATACACTTTATGCAAGATTTACCTCCCGTATTGAAGATAAAAAGTAACATTCCCAAGGATGCCTGCACAATTCCTAAGGTCAATGTTAAAACAGGATTATGCGCCGCTGTCTTGCTAACGAGTGACGCATTCTGGGCATTGGATACTGACGACCTTGAATGGATGAAGGTAACGCTTAACGACACCACCTGGGACAGATTGATGACAGTGATGACGCAGAATAAAATCATGTGCGCCATGGACACCGGTACACTTGATGAGCCCACGCACTGTCCGATGTAGTATAGGCTGTTATCTGTTGTTATCAAAGTGACATATACGGCAGTCATTATCAGCGCCAGAACCAATCCAAAAACGTTGAGCACTAACGACGCAGTCAGGTGCCGATGATCGCCTGTAAAATGGCGTCCGCACATACTCCATAATCCGCTTAGAACAAAAAATCCCCCGGCCCAAAATCCCGAGCCAAATACTGTGTTGGACCGTGCAATGCATTCCCCGTGGTTGGAGCGCTCGAGTATAAAATCTGCATATACAACCTGTAAGTTTTTTTAATTTGTACCTGCTTTATCGAAAGAATTACAACATATAGTGACGATATTTTGAACGAGCCGATTCGCGCTCAAAATAACTTACTTAAAGTATCGGTGAAGAAAAGCAGGACTCCGGCGGATACTTGAAGAGCTCCCAGTCTCATAGCGCGTAACTGTCCACTTGGGTGCATTGTAGAAAATGGACTGGTGGGGAAATGCGTATATGTAATTTCGCGCTCGTCAGCTTTCTTGTTACATTACTGACAGTAAGTATTTTCTACCACATATATGGTGGCTTACGCATGGACTCAAAAAGCGACGAATATTGATAAAAATTTCGAAGATTACCTTAAAGAACAATGTCTAACATGAGATCATAGCTTGACTTGAACAAAAATCGGATACTGACAATGCTCGACCATGTTGCATGCACGCCGCATGGCACCAGCGTGCATCATTGCGTACATGCTTCCTGTGTTGTGCTTTGAATTATGACACTTTTACAGCGAACTGCTACCAAAGTATTTTACGTTGCGCTGTACACGGCGGTTTACTACTTCGTACTGCATGGTGTGTGCAGCATAAGCTGTGTCCAACCATACCGCTTAATTGTACTAGCGCGGTAACGCCGTAAGCAATTCGCCGTACAAAGGGATGTGATTTAACGATGGACGCCATGACTGCAAATCACTCGAGCTAGGTGTTAGATGCCCCACATATTTATTATGCAAGGTTGTACGTTCATATTAGGTATGCGCAAGAGATTCACACAAAAAATCTCTATGTCATTACCTGTTAGCAGGCTGCATTATTTCGCCATCGACTCATAGTACTGCCAGTCGGCTATCGCTTTCTACGGCTCGTAAACACGATTTCCATGTGAGTTTGTGACAGTACGCTACTACTGTCTGCTGCCCTCGATTATGAACAATACGCGCAATATACAGTACACTATCCAGTAATGGCCGTATCCTTTATAATCCTTTATAATAAAAGAATAAGATGAGGTGTGGTCGGCGTGTCTGCGCATCCATCGCGAACGACACACTGGATCAATCTTTAAGCTCTATATTTTATTCGAAAGCCCTAATTTGGTAGGTTTTTACAAAATCGGTTTGATTTCAGAAAACGAATAGCTTTTAAAGAAAAATCTGGGAAACCCTACTGTACAAAGTCTACGGAACAATGCAATAGCCAATCAGGAAATCGGAAATAACTCCGAAACCAGTAGACGGTTAAGTAATTGCCTTCAGGAGCGGTATGCGTGATTTTAACGTATCAGCCCGTCCATGGGGTAGGACAATATTTACTGTTGAACAGCAAGTACTGTACGGGTAGTAACAGTTAAAGATTTAGAAGCACGTTTGAGTATTTCTGGACTATTAACCGAAGGCGGAGCCGCAGGCGACGCCGAGCTGCGGCGCGAGCGGAGCTCGCGGAGCAGCAAGAGAGGCATCCACTTTCTGGATAACAAAACATGAATAAGGCAGTTCCCATTGTCCGAAATTGTCCAGAACTTACACAGGGTGCAGGTAACTATAATCTATGTATGCGTAGAATATAATTAAAATCTGAAAATATGAACTGGATACCACTTAAATTAGTGCTTACCGCTTAATATAAATTAAAACTTTTGAGCGATTTCAAAATAATTCGATAGCAGGAAAAGACAGAAAAGTTAATACACCGATTACCATATCGTTATGTTCTTCGATAAATGACCGTCAATAACTGTGATGGAGCGGCCAATTTAAAATTGACCCAAGTCTCTGCTCTGTGGTAAAATTACCGAAAAAGTGGATTTCTTCTGGGTGTACATCAGAGGCATTCAAAACAAAGGCATCAAAGGCATTCATGGCGTCTTTTGAGGGCTCTTTGAGTAGTTAATATAACGTGCAATTTGCATACTTCTATGCAATTTACGGAAAACAGGGATGGATGCTGTTTCCGGTACGCGCGATTCAAACATTACGTAATACGAAGCGGCGGGAATGGTCGGACTTTTTGCAATTTTTTTGTTACAAGGGAGGGGGGTCGGAAGGGTTTTCATACGTTGCACTTTGCAGCGGTTGCACGACACCATAGAAAACAATAAAAAAAATTTAATCTAATTAAATTTTTTTTAAAAAATCAACTAAAATTTTTTTTAGGGGCAGTTGGGCTTTGTGTTGCGTTTACGGTAGCCGGGTTGTAATAATTCGGTCACTCTAGCGCTCTACAACGGGAGTGAAGCTGAAAAATCGTTTGAAAAAATGTTACGTAAACTTGAGTCGCGCCGTACTACAGCTATGGTACCGGGTAGAATAGCTTTTAGTGCAGTGTATGAAAATTGTTAATCTGTACATTTAAATTGTAAACATGCAGTTTGAACCGAACCTCATTTAACCCGAATGAAGCGCCACATTTATAGTAAAAAATAAAAATTTACCATAAAAGTACTTCGGTCTTAGGAATACGCTAAAAAATATAGTCCTTAAAACACGTATTCAAGTTAAGTTATTTGCATATGCACAGTGGTTCATTTAATTTCTTCCGCGCAATTTGCGCGGGGTCTGCTAGTACCAGTAATAACAGTGATAGGAATATTCAAACTAGACATATCTCAATCACTCTATCAGGGGTGATATATTGACATTAAATTTGAATACTTCCTACTATTAAAGCTCCCGTTCTATAAATACTACAGTATATTATATGTAGCTAAATTGTCCACATACAACTGTATAGCCAAGCAGCCGAGTACTTGTCGTGCCGTGAACGCATAAACGCCATACTCAAAGGTCACCTGCATCAATGGATGGGCCCACTGCCCCATTTTTAATTTTTGTAGGCATACAAATATTTACTAGCGAGTGGTTGTTAACTACAGTCTACAGCGTTTGCAGTGACTTTACAACAAGAAATGGAAATCAAAATACTGGACTTCAAAATACTGGACTCGTAGAATTTGGACAAATGTTGCATTAACATTACGGTCTTCGTGCAGCAATAGACTTGCGCCTTATGCTTCATCACAACATCTCGCGGCCTCGATGCAAAAATTAATAATAAGTAAGGATTGATCATTGATGTATCTGTACGTACATATCTCGGAAACTGAAAATAGGTTTTTAACAGTATCTGTATATTCATGGACCGCTTTAGGAATTAGGTGTTATTTTCCGTATGATAATTTAGCTTTTATTGATTTTTTCTGCCAGAGCTTGTGTGTTACAAACAGATTTGAAGTTCCTTTCCATCTTTTCAGGCATAAACCGATGAACTCTCGACTGAATTTCTCACGGCACTAGATGCAAAATTCAAGGTACTTTATAAAGGGTTTTAACCCTTCTTACCTATACCTATTGTACCTTGTAGAAAGCACCGAACAAGACTGAAATACCTTGGACAGAATGACCATGTTGACTTTTATCCTACCTTATCGAGACAGTATATTTGGATCTTAATGGTAAGCTCAATATCTTTGGATCTTAATGGTAAGCTCAATATCTGATTGCACTATGTGATAAAAAATCAGGCATTGGAAAATTTTAAAGTTTTTAAGCATGAGATCGTAAGCAGTTAACAGTCTAGTGTCAGAAGCATTTAGGCTTCTATAATCGTTTATAGTATTTGCACGGTTACACTTTAAATGGAAAGCGCTTAACCGGCTCAGTGCTATTGTTGCAGTAAAAATGTATACCGCATCAAAATTCCCATGTTCTCCAATACTTCTTACTGGTAACGTCATCTTACATTAAAATTAGATAACATGTGCTAACAAATGCAAGGTTGAGCTTCTAATTTACAACCTTTTGTAGTTCTTATTGTTGACGGTAAAAAATGTTAATGTATAATTTATAAAAATATTTTCCGATTAGCTGCTTTTGCGTATTACAGCACATACTCGTACTGTGCGAGCAATCATTCAAACTTAATGTGAAAGACACGATAGCGATCCGTGTACTTATAGTGCTGTCGGTATATATCGGCTGATAAAAGCAACAGATACCATATATTTCTTTTGCTTCGTTGTATTAGTGGTTTAACTTCCGTAGGCTACTTGCAACCTGTTGGGCGCTTTTAACATGCACAACTGCCCAATGGTGCCAGAGCAGGCGGTGGACGTGGCGGCCGAGGCGGAGGGTCTCGTTCGGGTACAACAAGCAATAGTTCTCGCTCCAGCTCATCAAGTGGCAGTTCTCGCTGGGGTTCCAGCTCCAGTAGTGGATCAAGCAGATGGAGTGCATCAGCAGTACTTCCAGGTAAATACGTGGCATCTGAACTTGTATTTTGCTCACAAATTTTGATTTTTACCAGTGTCGTGTCGAGTGTCGACCTTAACCTGATGACAGAATTGCTCCCGAAATATCTCCAATACCCGTAGCGCCTATATGTAATTTGAACGCCTATATGTAATTTGAACTTATAACGTTCATCCTTCGGCTGCATTAGTTGTAATAGCTGCAATGCCGTACTCTAAGATATTTTCTGTATTACAACAGAAAATTAGCTTTCGGTATGAGTGTTCGTAAGTAACCTGTAAGAGGCTTTCTGATTACACAAGGCAACAAGAAAATCATGAAAAGGTATTGAATCATACTCGCGCAATTTATTGTTTATTAGATGTAAATGAAAAAACTAATTAAGCCTGCAACCAACACACTTCTAGGATATGTCAAAATTCGGCAGTCGAACTGTTATTGAGCAGGTTTCACCTATAAACAACGTAGCCCTCCAAGCAAAATACCGGAAGCTTATCTTGGCGCATTCAGTAATGGGGAAGACAAGATGAACCACATTAGCGCTTTGTGGAATATTTTCAGTAAGAAAGCACTGAACAAATTTTAAATGGTGTAATATTCTGTCAATAAAAAGTATGCACTGTTATTCAGATATTTCGGACACAACCGATCTGACGAAGGGGAACACCTTCGAATTCGTACCGGGAAGTTTCGGCGAATACGATGCATATTGCGTTGTCTTTAAAAATGCCCCCAGCAGCCGAAACAATGTTTTTCTGCAATGCATTCCGTTTAAACTTAACGAAAAGATAACGGCGGCCAAGTACAGGTACTTTCAGTTATGAGAGTTTCTAAGTTGGGTGACCTTTCATACTTCGTTCTTGCGCTGGTAGGTCATGTTCGGATTAGTGAACGATACTATACGTGCCCAGATAAGACGCTCTTGGTGGTCAGGCGTCTCCACAGAGACTACAATTCTGTTCAAATCAACGGAACAAGGAATAGAAGTTGTAAGCACTTCCGGTTTTTTTATGATTTTCTGTTAATTTACCAAAGCCATTTGTCACAAGGGCAAATCGATACCCCCGTGATTTTCTAGGTTTTCCCTACTGCGGAAAAGAACGGGACACGACAAATTCACTTTTGTTACGTCTCCCAGCAGATTTACTGCTCCGCATCAGAAGAAAAGCTAAAAAAAATATAGAAAATGGCAGAAAAGCAAAAACAAGAATGAATCCTAAGTCGTCGTGCACGCATCGTCCCACTGACTTCTAACGTAACAGCCATCCGATACACAACATGACACATCCTCCCTCGGTGGGAAAAGGGCTGCCCTCAGCCCGTACAAATTAAAAGGAAATAAACAAGAAAAAGTATCACTCCCAAATGGCTAAAATACAGTGGTACTTGTAAAAGAAAGAGACAGAATGGAATAAAGGACCCAGAGATTTTGCTTACTAAAACCAGGCTACTCGGAACAGTCCAGTGGGAGGTCATACGGATCCGTCGGCTCCGCAGTTCCTTCGCCATCATCGGCCGGTGCGACGCTGTTCACCTTCTCAAGTTCAGTGACCACCTCCATGTTTTCCAGTGTGTTCGTAGCCACTTCACAAGGCTCGCGACAGAGCGGATCGGTGGCCGCGTTCGGTACGAGCTCGCTCGCTTCGGGCGTTGCGCTCTCCAGCGGCGGTTTGGCTCGGACAGAAGCGCCATTGATATCGTTTTCCGCTTCTCCTTCAGAGACGACATCCATGCCGTCGGACACGTCAGCCGTTTTTTCGCTAAGCTTGCTCTGCTGTGTGTCCGTTCCACCCTCTTTTTCCCTTGAGTTTTCGGCTTCAGCAGCTAATGGCATGTTATCGGCACTGCTGTCTCCCTCTTCAGTAACGTCTTGAAATGGTGCCGGTGGTTGCGTAGATTTCTCGCCGGGAATCCAGTGAGACGGGATTAGGATGTCGGGACGGCGACGTGCGACATCGGCTGCCGATGGTCCAGTGTACCCAAAAGGAATGGTGCATTCGTACACCATTTGCGCAACGTTCTGGGACTCCCGCATTAAGAGAGGAAATCTCTTCACCAGGCAACCGTATCCTTCCACTTCTTGATACTCCCATGCAGCCCACCATTTATTGATTTGATTGCGAGTAGTCTTGCTGCTAATCGGGCCGCTGTACTTCGTGTAACGGGTATCCAACAGCTCTTGAGCTGTTTTTCCTCGAAGCGTTGTTGGTTCAACGCTGGACTGCGGAACAGACATGCCAGGTGCGTGAGGATGCACCACCGAACTGGTAGCAGTGCGGACACCACTGTTCAACGTGCCAAGGGCGCCGTCAAGAAGCGGAGCAGATGAAAATCTGCTAGGCATGATTCCAGCCGGCGCTGAAATCGGCAAACCGGTATTATTAAAGGTCCCCGGGAGGCCTTGCCCGTTGGCACGATAAGCAGCTGCTGCATTAGCTGTTGCTGTGCCAGCTATAAACACAGTGGAAGGGTTTCCACTTGAGCCGTAAGGGAAGGTCCCCGAGAGGCCTTGCGCGTTGGCATGATACGCAGCTGCCACGGGAGCTGCTGCTGTGCCAGCCATGTGCACAGCGGAAGGGTTTCCGCTGGAACCGCCGGTAAAGGTCCCCAAAGGGCCTTGCAAGCTGGCGTTATTCGAAGTGGCTGCATAAGTCACTGGTGGGCCAGCTACGGATGTAATGGAAGGACTTCCATTGAACACTACTGCCGGCAGTGTCACACCCGAGCAGCCGGGAAAGATCCCCGAAAGGCCTTGGCTACTGAACAGGGCTGCAGCAGACGTGTTGGCTGCCGTATGAGCGGTCGCCTGCAGCGGTGGGTTGGAATACGCCGCTCGGTTCCGGTCCGGATCGTAGAGGGTCACCGTAAAGTTTTCAAAGAAGACTCGGTGAGCTTCATTCAGCGCCCCTTTCATGGCTTCCGACAGGCATGCTTGATGACGGGGCGACTCACGTAATTCTTGATAAGCAGCCTTTAATCCCGAACAGGCTGCAGTGAATAACACGCGAGTACGCGCGGGGACCAACTGATAATCCTCCTCAGTAAAGCAGCCAAAAGGAATCTCCCCGAAACTGCGGACTGCAACATGTGGGCAAGAGGGGATTTCGAAAGGAGTTCCCTCTACGTACGATCGAGCGTAAGCGGCGCGACAGGCACCGCATGGAAACTGATTATCGTAATTCATATTAACAAAAACTTTGAGACAAAAAAAATTTAAAAATAAGAAACTTGTTCGGTCTGAAAATGAATTCGTAAAGTGAATGTTGACAGCTTACTTTATAAACTGATCAGCAGTGCGGCGTGACTGCTCTTTGTCTTCTTGACCTGGCGCGTGTGAACTAGATCAGCTAGCAGCCAATAGAAAGCTACTCTTCCAGTGCCGGAAGGCGGCGCTTAATGCTCGTTTATGTATCGAGTTGGACGCTTAATCAACCGTCCACGTTTCGACACAGACGGCGCTGGTTTTAGACTGTGAGTTAGCAGTCGGTAGTTGACCCGCTTTTTTCCACGATGTTTGCCCTTTTTGGTGATGTGGTCAGCTGATTGCAATTCGGACGGTGGATCTTGAGCAGAAGTTTGTTGGGAATTACCCGGCAAATTTGCTGCTGTATCCACAACACCGGAAATACGTGGGATGTATTTCTGCATTCGGTCAACGTTGTACTTGTCCGGCTTCGGGTTTTTACCAAATAAAGGTATTAATTCGTATACATTATCAGAACAACGTTTAAGTACACGATAGGGCTGCTTAAATTTAAAAGATAGCTTGTCGGCTAGACCTTTCTTTCTTGCAAACTGCTGTACCCGAACCAGACTGCCCTCCTCAAATACGGTATTTGTACGGTGCTCGTTCACCCTAGCAGCATCTCTATTTTGCTGCTCCCGTATTCGTACACGTGCAGTTTCATGAGCGGATTCGAGAGTCTGAATAAATTCTTTAGTGTACGCAGGATAGTCAGTGTAACCCTTTTGCTGATTGGTCTTGAAAATTGTGTCTAGAGGCAACGTTGCCTCTCGTCCGAATAGCAGGTAAAACGGGCTGGCCTGGGTAGTACACTGCTTAGCGCAATTGTGAGCAAAAACAACAGCCGGCACGTACACATCCCAGTCACGTTGTTTGCTATCTACAAACATTGAAAGCGCCTCTGCTATAGGTGCCATTTGGCGCTCACATAATCCATTGCCTTCTGGGTGGTAGGCAGTTGTTTTTAACTGCTTCACGCCGCAAATGTCCGTTACGGACATTAACAACTGATTACGGAAATGAGTCCCGCGGTCGGTCAGCAGTTTCGAAGGTGTCCCATATTTAAATACAATTTCAGTTATAAAGAAGTCCGCTACCTCTTGTGCGGTGTCCTTTTGCAGCGCCTTTGCTATCACAAAGCGAGTTAAGTGGTCGACTGCAACCACTATATACTTGTTTCCCTTATCCGAGACAGGAAATGGACCGAGAATGTCCATTGCTAGGGTGTGGAATGCCGGCGGAATTGGCATTGGCTGAAGAAGGCCATGAATTCCTTTCTTCGGAATCTTTCGCGCTTGACATTCCTCACATGACTCGATGTATCTGCGTACATACGAAATCATGCCGGTCCAGTAAAACCTGCGTGCCACGATGTCCCAGGTTTTCTCTACGCCCATATGAGCGGCCATCGGAATGTCATGAGCGGATCTCAGTATGTCCGCCCTCATATGTCTGGGCACCACGAAACACAGGTGATCACAGCCGTTATGCCGGCGTGTCCGGTACAACACACCATGCTGAATGACGAACCGTTTATAAAATGGCGCATGCGCTTTACTTAAATCAGCGACATTTTTCACTAATTCACGCAGTACTTCGTCCTTCTCTTGTTCCTGACGCAGGTACTCGTAGTCATCGGTCGCATCCGCTGAAATCAACCACGCAGCCACTTCCGGCAAGTCTACTTCGTCGACTGGTGGTTCATCAATCGGAAAGCGGCTCAAACAATCAGCATTGCCATTAAGGCAGCCTTTACGGTACTCGAGCACCATATCGTAAGGGTCCAACAGCAACGCCCATCGCGTTAGGCGGGCGTTTGGTCCCCTGTGCTTACGCAAACTTACTAAGGCTTTGTGGTCTGTCCGGACAGTAAACCTTCCGAATTCCACGTAGTGCCGGAACTTAGTTACCGCAAATACTACAGCTAAACATTCCAACTCTGTAATACCGTACTTTTTCTCAGCCGCCGATAAACCACGACTTGCGCACTCTACAATGTGGCCTTCTTGTGAAAGCACGGCGCCTAAACCGTAACCACATGCATCGCACTCGATGACTATGGGCTTCTCGGGGTCAAATCTAGACAAAACTGGCGCTATGCACAAGGCTTCTTTCAAACATCTGAATGCAGTTTCTTCAGATTCGCCCCATACTACGGTTACATTTACTTCCTTTTTGGTCAATACAGTAAGTGGCTGAGCCAAATGCGCAAAGTTTTTAATAAACTTTCGGTAATAACTGGCGAGCCCTAAGAAAGACTTAACATCCGTCTGACTAACCGGCTTAGGAAAAGCTGATATAGCTTTTATTTTGTCAGGGTCAGTACGTACACCACTAGCGTCGATTATGTGGCCTAAGAACTTGAGTTCTCTCATAGCGAACGAACACTTTTTCGGTTGCACCGTAATGCCGGCTTCTCTTAATGCCGACAGCACTATATCAAGTCGCTCTAAGTGCTCCTCAAAATTGCATGCAAATACAACCAAATCATCTAGGTATACGAGTACAATAGTCCATTTAAGACCATTTAATATACTGTCCATTGTCATTTGAAAGGTTGCCGGGGCGTTACAAAGCCCGAACGGCATCCTTAAAAACTCGTAAAGACCATCCTGCGTACAGAACGCGGTCTTTGGCTGGTCAGCTTCAGCAACCGGGATCTGCCAGAACCCTGAGAAGCAGTCCAACCCGGTATACCAGTCAGCGGTGCCGACTGCTTGTAGCAAATCGTCAATTAACGGCAAAGGATAAACATTTTTGCGCGTGATTTTGTTGAGATCCTTAAAATCTACGCAAAACCGTATACCTCCGTCTTTTTTATGAACGATTACTACTGGACTGCTCCATGGTGATTGTGATTTTCGGATAATGCCACTATCAAGCATTTTCTGAACTTCATTTTGAATGAGTTTACGTCCCTTCCATGACGTTCTGCGCGGCGCTGATTTAACTGGCTGCGCCGTACCAGTGTCGATATGATGGGACTGCGCTGCTGAAAACCCATAAGGATTTTTCGACGTTGGAAAAACCTTACGGTTTTTACGCAAAACTTTAAGCAGTTGTTCCAGTTGCTGCTTAGTTAGTTCCTTATTAATATTCAGTTCTGGTAACAGCTCCTCAAAGTCTTTTAGTGCTTGCTCTTCTTCGTCAGGTGACAGAGTATTGACCTGTACGTCGTCTTCCTCATCGTACCAATCAATAGTGCCTACCAATGCGCCTTTTCGTATTACACGACGTCTGTCGGTGTTATTCATAAACATAGTGCAAAATCGCCCATTTTTTACTTGAACAATAGCACTCGGTGAAAATACTTGAGCGCTCTGCAGCGTGCTGTCTTCCGGTAAGAAAATAAAAGTCCCGTTATCTGGAGCTTTTAAAACTTTAGCGTCAGAAATTACGCTTGAGCGTGGTGGTATCACCACTTGTGATAGAGCGTAGACTTTACGGAAACCGCGGAGTGGTTTGGAAGCAGGCAACACTTCACTGACTGCACATGTTTCCTGGCTAAATGGTAGTACCGTAATCTCATAACTTCCTTCAGCAGGGATCGGTGGGCCTGGCCCATGCGGGTCAGCGGTTCGTTCGACTGCCGAATAAATTAACTGCCTACCCTGCACGTCAATGGACAGCGGCTTACTCTGTAAGAAATCCATACCAATCAGCACGCTGAACTGAGGATCGCCGTCCCAAACATAAAAAGAGTGCTGGAAATCACTCTTGCCAATCCGTACACTTGCGTCACAGTACGCTGTACGAAGTGGCACGCGACCACCTCCGACGCCTACCACACACACGCCCTTATGATCGGATGGTAAAGGCGTACACGGAATACTATGCGCGTCGCAAAATTCCCGAGAAATGATAGATACAGCTGCGCAAGTATCGATTAGTGCAGCAACTCCGATATTATTAATATCTACTGTATACGTAAAGCCTGTAGATATTGTAGGCAGGCTCGTGTCCGTGCTATAAACATCCGCGATCGGTGTTGTTTCCGGTAGAGGTTTGTCTACAGTGCCAGCAGCAGTATTACCTCCATTTACTGCTGCTTTAAGTTTTTTGGAGTCGGCGCCCGAGGTGGCACGGCTCCTTTCCACTGTTGTTTCTTAGCGGCTTGATACTGCTGGACTGACTCGGGCAGATTGGCGAATGGCACTGACTGCCATTGACACGTTGTGCTGTAGTGTCCTTTTTCACCACATGTGAAACAGGTGACACTTGGCTTAGCGTCGCCAGGCTCGGGCGTTGTCGGCGTGCGGGGTCGCGAGGGCGGCCGACTAGTGTCCGACGTGCCATCCTCACCGGAAGTGCCAGGATTGCTGTCCTGCACTTTGGTATTCGAATACCGATGGTCGCGTCTACTTGTCTGCCGTTGATCGCTGAATGTAACCGCGCGATTACTCGATTCTGACTGCCGGCGGTCAGCGGCCGTCTGGTCGACAATCCGCTTGCAGTTGCGAGCAGCTGTCAAGAACGCTGCTACAGTCTGTGGCATTTGAGCTGCCACCAGCTTATACAGTTCCGAATGGGAGCGAAGCCCATTGACCAGATAATGAGCTTGCATCTTTGGGCTCATTTCGTAATCTACGTCGGCAATCAACTCGATGACGGCCTCGTAGTAGTCGTCGACCGTTTCCTTACAATCGTACATGCGGTTAGCCAGCTGCTGCGCCGCAAAGAACTGCCGATCTTTGTCGAAATACTTGTCCTGCAGTTTGGCTTTCCAGTCATTCCAGCCTAAACCCTCGGGAAACAACTGCACCATTTTATCGTAAAATCTGGCAGCGTTACCCTGGAGTGCATTAATCAATTCAATGCACTTGAAATAATCATCCCATCCATTTTTTACGGCTACCGCTTCATAGCGCTGAATCCAGCATTCGATGCGCTCATCTTTCTCCCCTTTAAAGACGGGGGTTTTAACCCGCTGGTCTTTCTGTACGTACGAAAAGCCACGTGAGCCGTGAGCTGGCTCAAATGGCGGTGGTGGCAATGCCATTGTCCGCCCGGCCAACCCTGGTCTCGGCAAATATGCTTCGTCTGAACCATCTCCGAACGCAGTATTGGCATCCATTGGGGGTGCAAGAAAACGGCCGCCAAGCCGACCGTTCGAATGTCCACGCCCTGTAGCAGAAAACCCTTGAGGATAAGCCTCGGAAACGGGCCATCCTTGAAAATATGGGGTCAGGAACGCGGCAACCTGCTGAGCCAGGCCAGCTGCCACACTGCCTGATTCATCGTCGCCATACACAGTACTTCCTAAAGCCAGCGGCCGCTCATCGAAACAGGGACCACTGCCAGCACTTCTACGTTGCGATCGGACAGGCGGCACCGGTCCGACGCTCTGGTTTCCCGACAAATGTGGACGAAAACTCCGCCGGCTGTCTAGCTCTTCGACGTCTAACCGGAAGAGTTTTGCGCGCAGTTCATCCAGCTCCTTTTTGAGACTGATGTTTTCGCGGTTTAAAGCATCCCTGTCTGTATATAATTGCTTCGGATGGGGAATGACAGGCTGCCGAGGTTCGCCACGCAGTATATCGTGTGGTACGCCCAGCTCCGGTCTTCGAGCCATGTCGTTCTGTTCCTGAGTCGCAAAAGAATGTTGTACCGGAACACCACTGAAGCGGCGTTGAGAAAATATACGGTCTGACATCTCTAAATCGTCGAAACACGGCAGCGACTGCCTGGGTGCGCAATCTCTGCGGTCGACGGCCTTGTCGCGACGATCACCGGCCGAAGGCGATACAAACTGCACTGAATTTGGTAGGGAGGCCCTTTTACTTCTTGGCGGTGGCCTCGGTCCGCTGTTACCAAAAATACCGTCCCCATGAGCTCGAGACGAAGGCAGGGGACTGCTGTAGACCGCCGGTAGTTCGGCGTTTTCCCCGTCGTCTCCTACCACACCCTCAAGTCTGAAACCGGCCGAGGGCAGCGCGTAATTCTCTTGAGATGCCCTCACATTGTTTTCCCAAGACTGTGGTGCACTAGTAGAGGGCATACCGTCCCCAGAACCTCGATAAGCAGCCCGGGAACTGCTGAAGCCCATGGGCGGCTCATCATATTCTGCCATCGCGCTATCACGTCGAACACCGTCCGGTGTTGCATTTTGTTGCCCGGAATTACCGTGAGAAGCCCGTTTATTTTTTCCTGTAGGCTTTGCTACGCTGTTTTGAGGAATATTATTCACATGCACTTGAATAGCAGCCCGAGGACTGCGAAAGACCGCCGGTGGCTCTTCGTCAACGACGTCTTCAACTACTGGATCAGCGCGATCGTTTTCCGCGCTAACATTTAACGGGTCTTGCACCGCGTTCACTTCGTTGTACCTTTCTGATTGTTCTTCCATCTGAAATCGACGGCCACTGCGCAGAGTCATTGGCGAACTACGAATTTTTCGCTGGGTTCCCCGATACCGGTATACACGAGGTGGTGATTGTTAAACAGGAGCGCCACTTGTCACAAGGGCAAATCGATACCCCCGTGATTTTCTAGGTTTTCCCTACTGCGGAAAAGAACGGGACACGACAAATTCACTTTTGTTACGTCTCCCAGCAGATTTACTGCTCCGCATCAGAAGAAAAGCTAAAAAAAATATAGAAAATGGCAGAAAAGCAAAAACAAGAATGAATCCTAAGTCGTCGTGCACGCATCGTCCCACTGACTTCTAACGTAACAGCCATCCGATACACAACATGACACATTAATCGATTTAATATTCCAGTGTGCAATTTAGTACGCATTAGCGTTGGCAGAAAAAACTAAAACTTGGCATAGAATTCAAAATTCAAACATTTGAATGATTTTTATGTATTAATATTGTACTTGCCGTTAGAGCTTCAACGGACAACCGAAGGCTCTTTACACGCCAGCAATCAGGTGGTACATGTTGGGAGCGTTCTACATAGATTCTGATGCAGCTGCCAATGATGCGGCAAATGAAGTTTTCAGTTATAGTAAGTACAACTGCACGATAAATATTATTGATTCCGTTTATTAAATACAGCATGTCAATCAAGTAAATGCTATGAAAACTATTACAAAATTATTAGATGTGCGTTTGAATTGCTGCATGGTAGTTCGTAGTCTGTACAGTTAACTTAACTTACCTGTACGAACTACGCACAGGAAATGAGCGTTGCATTTCCATTGCGCTCTCTTGATTTGTGACTACTGTGTTCGTACAAAATCCTGCATAACCTTCCGATACCACGTACCGACGTAGATAAGTGTGTCGCAGGATAGTAGATTGCTGTAAAATTGTACGTATTTCCACAGGTAACAGCAGTCCTTTAAGATGGACCAACCAGAGCGTGTACTCTATTGCGCAACGCCCGTATCACCAAGCTGATGAGCTTGGGTTGACAATCTTTTACGACACTCAACATTTCCGCCACGAGGAGTACTTCTGGAATCATAGTGCTAAGGAACTACGCAAACCCACTAAAATTCCAGTAAGAATATTTTAGTCACCTGAATGGCGAAATTTAGCACCCAGCGACGGGCAAATATTTTTCCAGGAGCGCGGTCTACTGATTGATCAATCCACTGCTGCCTCAACTGTGCTGCACCGACGTATGGAACCTGGTATCACCATTAGAACTGAGTTTGAGTTTCAGACGATAACGCAGGTACAAAATGCCGGCGTGCAACCACCCCAATAAACACGATATCGAGTACAAGGTTGTACTCAAATGTATCTTAAGCGCCGGTTTGCATTCGGTTACGCATTGCTGTAGCACATCATCGGTGAAGATAGAAACGCTACGCTGACGTTCAAGCGCACAATCCCTTGGTCGTATTACGGCACCTACGATGACATCGCAAATGAGGCCGAAGCACAAGCATCTCAAGGTTATAGGTTATATCATTTTAACGAGGAAAATTCTTCTGCAAACTGCACCTTAAGGAAGCGACTCAACATAACCCCGATACCAGACAGTCACGATGTCTTACTGCAAGCGGGATGCGGAATTCCTTGCCGAATCAGAGCTAATGCAGTTGTGGAGCAAGAGCAGAATACTTCCGAAAACCACACAATTTCGGTTAGCAGGCCTGTGTTGCAAAAAATGAATGTTATTCGAAAGGTCTCTAATTGTTGGTTAGGCAAGCACTGTACTGGGAATAGACGGGCAGCTGACAATCAGTATTCTGTCGTACGCGTCTCGAAATGGGTCTGAGCCTGAACTGGAACGAAACATTACCCTCTAAATTGAGGAAGCGTCAACCACGAGTCCCGTGCGAGGATTACATGTGGTACGGTGACTGTGACGTTTATTTTTGTGTGTTTAATCACCCGATTCGTCCGTATCGTTAAATGTGTGCGTGACCGACGAAGGGACCGACACAAATTCAGTTTTTTGGAACTTCGTTTTGCTTCGGTCAACTATTTAGTATACATACTTGGCACAGATATTATGATTTTTTAAATCAAAATGTTCATCGTTCACATTGCGCTTCCAGCACTTTTCCAACTGGGAAAAGGGACGGTGGAGAGCCCAACAGTGGGATCGATACTATCAGCGTGTTGTATCTCCTTTCTTTTGGGGAAGTTTAGCTTCACCGAAAAGGGTAGGGAATATCTGGGTGTACAGTAATAGTGGTAGTACTCTGTATATTATATACTATATAGCTAACTCTGGTCTCCAACTTCAGTGTTTAACAGTATTAAATATCAACATTTGCATAAGCATTAAGCACACCGCACCTATGCGTACACTGCGTTTCGTTTGTGGTAATCAAATTAAGTAATTTTAATGGTATTAAAGCTGCTTTATTCAAATTATAAAAAAATAAAAATAATGTTGCTCGCTATTATTGCCCATATTACGCTACATAACGAATAAAAACAAAATCGTTTTGGTTCGCGAGCATTTATTTGTTCATCATCAGGTTTTAAGAATATACGTATAATCACATGTTGATACATATTGTTCAATTACATCAGATTCAGAACCGGTCTTCGAAAATGCCACTATGGAAATAAGTCAACTGCCTGACGGGAAGCTAAAGATACAAATGGACACAATTTACGGCGACAACGAAGTTTTAACGCGGGTTATAACTTTCTCCTTACATACGAGGACATTTGGGTGCTGTGAACATACCCTGCACGATTAGGCTGCGATGAACAGCTGGTTAGCCGTAGCTCGCAACGCTACTGATATCACAGTCTGAATGCAAACGGCTATAAATTTAGGCGGCTGTTCATCGCAGCCTAATCGTGCAGGGTATGTTCACAGCACCCAAATGTCCTCGTACACCTGCAGCGTTTGTCTCCCCTGACGGTCAGGAGCCATCTAGAGATGATCCAACACAATTGGTGCGCTATTAAAGCATAACATAAGTGCCCTCTCGATAAGTTCTTCCAGTTTAATAATTATTGCTGTCAGGCAGAGGTTGACATTCGATTACGTCGAGGTTTATGGAAAGGCGATACTGACGGCGTTCGACATTCCAACTGTCGGTTGGACAGAGCGACACTATCTGACACCGAAAGGATTTTTTGTGGCGTCATCGGAAGGGTTGCACGAATACATGTGCCATACAACATGCCACAAAATCAAGACATACACTGTCGTGCAGAGGCGGCAAGATATTTAAAAGCATGGTGCTATTTGGCGCTTGTCTGTTTATTCTACTATGCCAGCTGCGATTTATGTTACAATTAACAAGTTAATTGTTGTTAATGTTAGCTGGAGGGTATGCCTCCCGCTCTTTTCTTTTCTTCCGCCGTAGCGCGTTACGTGAGCCTCGAGAGATGGCGCTGCGCGCTGTCGTGGCCCTTAGATCAAAGCGGCCGCCGGCGCGCTTGCGCGTGCTGTTTGCGTCCGGCACTGTTCCTGTGCCCGCATTTGGTTTTGCGTTTCTGCTTCGACATGCAGTTGTCTTTGCATTAATTCTGTATCGTGTGCGCGCGAGTGATCTTGTTCTTTTTAAAAAAAAAAAAAAGAAAAAAAAACACCGAGGTGTTTCCACCTCGTATACTAAATTGGAAACGATACAGAGAAGATTAGCATGGCCCCTGCGCAAGGATGACACGCAAAATCGTGAAGCGTTTCCAAATTTTAAAAAAACCAATAACCCCCTTGATTTTGATATCTGGACGCGACGCCATGAAGAGTCTTTCCAGGAGTGCATCGCTAATCCCAAGACTCTCACTGCACGAACAGCCAGCACTAGCGGCTTGTCGAACCCACGACATAGCACACTGCAGTGCGGACGCTGCAAGGAGGTGGGTCACGTCGCACGGGACTGTAAGCAGCCCTTTCGCGGGCGCCCGGCTGCAGAGGGCGAAATCTGCAACAATTTCAATAAAGGAAATTGCACAACACCATGCCGCCGAGGACGGTTGCACGAGTGCAGCGAATGCAATTCCGAACGTCACGCCGAATACAATTGCCCCCGTCGGTATGACAAGCGAGCTGAACGCCGTTAGGAGTAGTACGCCACTAAAACCGGCGGCCTTCAAAAAACTCCTGACAGCACATCCTGACCGAACTTTTGTCGAAGATTTGATCCGCATGATCACTGACGGAGCGGATATTGGATACCGCGGCCCAGAATTATCCCGCTACACAAAAAATTCCCGCACTGCAGATGAGAATCCTGAAGCAATTTCATCATCAATTGAAAACAGCGTTAAATGCGGTCACGCACTCGGCCCTTTCGACCGGCCGCCACTACCAAACTTTGTTTGCAACGCTCTTGGTGTTAGACCAAAGTCCAGCGGTGGATTTCGCACAATTATGGACCTCTCCCAACCGACTGGAACATCCGTCAACGACTTCATCGCAAAGGATGAACCACCTTTGAAGTTTTGTTCTGTGGACGATGCCACTAAGCTGATCGCCGCATATGGCAAGGGCGCAGTGATGGCGAAACTGGACATTGCCAATGCGTTCCGCCTAATTCCTGTACGCCGCTCTCAGTGGAACCTTCTTGGCTACAAGTTCAAAGGTAAATATTACCACGACGTGGTTTTACCTTTTGGCTGCCGCTCCGCACCGCGCTTATTTTGTATGTGCTCTGATGCCATACACTGGATATTTTGCAAGATTTCCGGTCACGTTGCACTTTTACACTACATTGATGATTACCTAATCATCGCGCCGGTTGGTGGTAGATGCGCTGAATTGGTCAGTTTGTTCATGAAACTGTGTGACGAATTGGGTGTTCCGCTCGCAGCAAACAAGCTAGAGGGCCCATGCACGCGCATAGTCTTTCTGGGAATAACTATCGATTCCGTTGCTCAGACTTTGTCTTTACCAGAAGGAAAGCTCAACAGTCTAACTGAGCTGCTTCGGTCCTGGTCGAAGAAAACGTCATGCTCGCTGGTAGAACTGCAGAGTCTTGTCGGCTCGTTACAGTTTGCAACCAAATGTGTGCCGGCTGGTCGGCTTTACTTAAGACGTCTCATTCACAAAATGTCCGGTCTGACCACTCACAGACCCCGGTTTGTCACGTCCATTCAACTAGACGCTGACTTTCAGTTGGACATCGCTTGGTGGCTCAAGTTTCTGCCCGCTTGGAATGGTTCAGCTACTATTCTGGAGCCAGAATGGAGCAGGCCAGACACGTTGCACCTCTCTACCGACGCCTCGGGCCGCCTTGGAGTGGGCGGTTATTACAGCGGCCGCTGGTTTGCATCTCCATGGCCACAATGGATTAAAGATGCCATGCCGTGCATCGAGTATCTGGAGATGTTAGGCGTCTTGTTCGCGATAACGCTGTGGCAGCAATCGTTTCGGAATAAGAAAGTTATGTTCCACTGTGACAATCTGGGAGTCTGTGAGGCTTGGGATAAGTTAGGCTCAACCAATCGAGCTGTGCTTGACCTCATGCGCAGAATGACCATGATCGCAGCAGAAGGAAACTTCCACTTCACCATCAAACATATTAGCGGATGTGATAACGGCATAGCTGATGCAATCTCCCGCTTTCAGGTAGACCGGTTTCGCCGGCTAGCACCCGCAGCCAACCTCTACCCCGACAGTCTTCCCGACATATGGAGCGATTTACAGAGCAGCTACACGGCCTCGGTCAGCTGAATGATGTTGCGTCCATGCTGCAGAAACACCACTTGGCGCAGACTACCAGAAATACATATGGGTCCGGATGGCACCAGTTTGCCACGTACTGCCGCGCGCACGGTGAAACCAGCCTGCCGGCATCAAAAGAAACCCTTCTCCGTTTTATCGCGCATTTGCATTTGCGGAATGTTGCGCCATCAACCGCAAAGGTGTATTTAGCAGCTATTAGTAAGCTGCATGTTGAACGTGGCTTAACTTCGTACGCTGGCTCAAACGTCGTGATGCGTGCAATGGACGGTTACCAGCGCTTATCTGGACAACAACGTGACCAACGCCTGCCCATCACGCTGCAGATTATGCGTCACTTGAAAGACGAAATATCGAAGCCCAGCCTGCCTTCCCTCGATAAGAAAATGTACTGGGCAGCCTTCACTGCGGCTTTCACCGGACTCTTGAGGGTGAGCGAATATACCGCTGCTGCGCCCAATCAGTTTGCAGCCAAGCAGACCCTCCTCTTGGAAGACGTTACACTCCACACAGATTCTGTCGTTCTGAATCTGAAGTCAACAAAGACGGATCAGTTCGGGTATGGTTATCGTCTGTCACTGCGCAAGACCGGGCGTTCCGTGTGTCCCGTGGAATCCTTACACGCGTACACAGCGGTTAGGACGACCATGGCCAGCCAACGCGAACCGCTCTTCATTCAGTCTAGCGGTGCCTACCTTACCCGCTCTGCAGTCGATTTCACCTTGAAGAAACTTTGCGTGCGCTACCGGATCACCAGAAGTATAGTACCCACAGCTTCCGCATCGGCGGTACAACGACAGCCGCCTTGGCAGGATGCGAAGACAGCCAAATTCAACGTACCGGCCGATGGAAATCCGGATGTTTCGCGAAATATATCCGCGGCACTGTGCCTGTCGACGGCATCAATCCTTACCGATGATTGTTTGGGGTTTTGTTTGGGGCCTTCGGTTGTGCAGGGCACTGGTCGCTCTCCTCTGCCGACCCCCGGTCGGCCGGCTTCTCGCTGACCCACGGTCACCGCACTCAGCCGACTGCCGAGAGTACCAGCTTCCCAGCAGCCGGGGTTCCAGTGCCCACAGTGGACTCCGGAAGCGGTAACATTAAGAATCCGTTTGGTTTGCACGGAAATAAATTGGAGTCTTTTTTTAATGATCGTTTGCGAGCTTCAGATATTTAAATTACTATAATTATTGAACAAAATGAAATTGCAACTTTATCTGTACAAGCTTTATTACACATGAAACGCTTCACATTAACACGAATGCAGGAATGGCGGTAACACAGGTAAGCGACGTTCCTGACCAGTAATGAAAGCCTTCCCAAAATTCCGTGCACCTGACCGAACTGAGTTAGTGCTTTCAGAAATCCGTTCAAATCAAAAATTGTGCAGATACTGTAGCTAGGTATAGTGTATGGTCAGTAACTGTAAGAGGGAGGACTGATTTTGCCATGGATTTATTGATATTTATTCGGCCACGAAGTCGTGTCCGCCGTATCTTCCGCAGTCGTACCAAACAAACGGTGAAATCAACAGCATCAGTACCTTAAAATATACAATTTAGGCAATACCATATAATAATATTTTTCACGTGCCCTCTAACAGAAAACAGCAGGAAAGCGAGTACGGGAAACTGAAAATCGTCATCAGCAAACCATACACATATCTATCTATATTTGTATAGTCGTGGTTGGTTCTGCTTGAAACGGTATTCGCAGTCGCCCCATTTATACGCTCATATCTAAGACAACTACCTGACCTCTTCCTTCCGCAAATTTGTTCAAAAGGGTTTCTCTACGTTCGGCTAACAGCAGAACTCCATGTTGCAGTTAGGCCGTGTAAAGGTCATAGCAGCAAGATGACTAGGTATCTGTTAGGCGACAATGTTTAAAGACAACAGCCAAATCCGGCAGACCACATGTGCGTATTCCAAGGCACTTTTGCAACTGTCACCCCCCAACGGCATCACGTGTATCGATAAAATAGCAACTTACTGCCAAAGTTCATGTTGTGTGTGGGAAAGCAGCAAGCTGATAGTACAGTTCATGAAACAGTTTTGGGGCTCGAACTCTGGATGTTCGCACTAAATGGATAGTTTGATCGTTCACGGACAGTAAGTTAACATTTATAAAGTTTGCTGTATCTCGGAAACTGAAAGCGGTTTTTCATAGTATCTGCTGTTTTTTATGCGCCGCTGGGATTACTTATCGTTCTGTTTCCTGTTTTTTGTAATAGCTGCTATTGTAATACACGCGATTCCAGTTTGCTGTACCACAACTTGCTGTGAAAAAGTGTGTCAAAGGGTCAAAGTTTGTGTCAATTTTTGTCATGCATGATTCACAAACGTTCGACTAAATTTCACACATCACTAGATGTAGTAAACACCAAAGAGGTTGAAATATATTATGTAGTAACACGTTGATTTTTATCCTCCTTTATCGAAGATATATCTTTGAGTCTTAAAGTTAAATATTTGATTGCACATAGTGATAAAAATCAAGCGTTCAACTTTTACAAAGCTTATACACTAAGTTCACAATGTGGGAAGTGTGCAAACAGCGCTAATTTACACCTATAGCAGTGTTTTTATTTAGCAAAGTGAAAATGCTTGCAGCATCCAAATTCCCGTATTCTTCAATGCTTATAATCGGTAAAGTTAGTGTACATCAAGATTTTATAAACATGCCAATAAGCAGGAGTTGTAAATACGCGTACCTTCCGACTGACTGTGCTCTTGCACATACTATTTATATTTCCCATAGCAGTACTGTATTTAAAGAAAGCCGCGGTAATGTTGCTCACTTCGAAAAACCTTGCTGAGACTGCGTATTTATTATTAAGGTATTAAATTTTTGGATTTTGTCTGCCACGACAGACAGCGAGTCCGTATGTTCGAAAACAGCATGTGGTTATTCTTTTGCTTTTACGTTTCAGAAACCACATGCGGTTACTCTTTTGGTTTTAAGTTTCGTTACGATAAATTATAACTTTGATTTGTGACCTGTGCTGAAGTAAACCGTGGATGGTGGCATGGTGCTAAATACAGTATATCGTATGCCAGCTAATAACGGCCAAAGTAACTGCAGATTTCTACAATTCTCTTACCATAAATTTTGTTTGATTATGTTTACGGTTTGACTTCCGCAGGTGTCCTTACAATCTGTTGGGCGCTTCTAGTCCCCACAAGTGCTAGAGGAGGTAGAGGCGGCGGTGAACGCGGCGGCGGCAGCTTCGGATCTACCAGTGGTTCGCGCTATGGCTCCCGCTCAGGCAGTAGTTCTCGCTCGACCTCGAGCTACGGTACTGGTTCAAATACCTGGAGTGCGTCGTCGGCAGTATTCCCAGGTAAATTTAAAGTGGTATACGCATTCTTATTTTGCTTAAAACATTCTTTTGCACCGATTATGTATTCCTTGATTGTTACTGGTAACTTGACAGGATTTCTTCTATGGTCCAATATATATGCATTACGAGATGTATCTGCATATAGATGCCTGGGACTATGGCAAAAATTACATAGCTGTAGTAAATCAATCCACAAGTAACAAGGTTACCGTATTTAAAATAATAACCGTTTGTACGAGTATGCATATATAAAACAGCCACTACTCTGCTAGAACATGCCCGGCAATACTTATACATAATGAAGCTAAAAAGCGGTAATACAGTAAATACGAAATAACTGTAAAATGTATTGTTACTTAATCACGATATAAAGTCAATATAAACAATGCAGCTAAACATTCTTTCGTTAGATCGCTGTATAGGATAAAAATCGGGATTTGTGTTAACAAGCAGGTTCGACGTATAAACAACGACCAGAAAGGAAAATCCCGGACGCCTACCTTGGTGCATTCACTAACGGGGAAGACAAGATAAACCACATTAGCGCTTTATGGAATATCTTCAGTAAGAAAGCGCAAAACAAGTTTTAGAATTTATAGTATTCAAAGATTTATTTATGGGTCAACGTTTAGATCGTTTATGTTTGTTGCATCGTTTAGATATTTCGGACATAATCGATCTGAAAAAAGGGAACATTTTCGAATTCATACCTGGAAATTTCATCGAACACGACGCATATTGTGTTTTCTTTAAAAATAGCCCAAGCAGCAGAAATGGTGTTTTTGCGCAATGCATTCCGTTCAAGCTCAACGAAAAAATTACCGAAAAGGTGGAAGGAGGCCAAGTACAGGTAATTTACGTCTTAGAATCTCTTGATTTTTATCAGGTGGATGACTTTTCTCAGCCAATTTTTATTGCAGGTTATGCTCGCATTAGTGAACGGCAGCATACATGCCAAGATAAGACGCTCCTGGGGGTCATGCGCGACTACGGAAACTACAATTCTCTTCAAAGCAACTGAGCAAGGAATAGAAGTTGTAAGTATTTCAGATTTCATTTTTCTGAAACATACAAGTATCGAAACTAGTTACCTGTCTTGTCCACCGCTGTGCCATTTGGCACGGATTTACACTGACAATACAAAACTTCAAAATTCAAACGGCTGAATATTAATTAATATTGTGCTTGCCATCAGAGTTTCAACGGGCAACCAAAAGCGCTTTATGTGCCAGCAATGAGATGGTACATGTTGGGCGCGTTCGTCATAGATCCTGATGCGGCTGCCATCGATACGGCAAATGACATTTTGAGCTACAGTAAGTACTGCTGAGCGACCATCCTAATTACTGGTACTAAATTGATGTCCGGTTCGGTACCCGATTCGTCCGATATTGTATCGGTTCGTATGCCCACAGATAACAGCAGTCCTTTGAGATGGACAAACCAAAGCGGCTATTCGATTTCACAGCGTCCGTTTCATCAAGCTGACGAAATTGAATCGACACTTTTTTACGATACGGAGCATTTTCGCTACGAGGGATACATTTGGAATCATAGCGCCAAACATCTGCTGGAAATCACTCAGGTAAAAAAATTTTCCATAGTGAAATTTTGCATAATTTCTTTCATCAACAGCAGCAACTGGCATGTTTGATTGTTTGTGCAGGGACTGCGTGTACACGTTGATCAGTCGACTGCTTTCTCAACCTCACTGCGCCGTCGTTTGGAATCTAATGTCACCATTAAAACCGAGTTTCAGTTCCAGACAATAACACAGGTTTGTGCTAATCACTCGTCTTTGCACGCATTATTCCCGACCGGCAGTTACTTAAGCATCAATTTGTATTGGATTACGGCGTTATTTTGCAGCATATTATCGGTGAGCACAAAAATGCTACGCTAACATTCAAGCGCACAATTCCCTGGACGTATCATGGCACCTACGAAGATACCGAAAATGACGTCGAACCACGAACATTTCCAGGTCAGGACGCTATCACTTTAATGGAAACTGATTAAAGCCAACAGCTTTGTGATAACTCCCAGATGACGATAACTCTAACGTAAACTGCACCACAAGAAAGCGCATCAGCATAACTCAAGGACCAGACGGCCGTGATGTCCTGCTTCAGCTGGGATGCCGCAAGATGCCTTACCGAATCAAAGCCAATGATGTTGTAGAGCAAGACAAAAACGTTTCAGACAACCATAGAATCCTGGTCAGAAATTGTAATTTGTCGTGCAGGAAACTGAATTTTTGTCGAAAGGTCACATTAATGGTTAGGTCAGCAGTGAACTGGGAACGGATGGGCAGTTGACAATTAATATTCTGTCGTATGCGCGGTATCAAAATGGATCCGAAGGTGAACTGGAGCGCAATTTGACACTGAAAATTGAGGAATCGTCCAATGCAGGATTGCATGTGGTACAGTTACTTTGCGGCTTATGCCGGTGATTAAAGTATTTTGATAGACTCGATTCACCTGTACGAATCTGCGCCGTTGATTAGTATTTAATTCGCATCCTTATATCCTTATAACCGAAACTTAAAACTGCGCTTCCAGCACTACACAGAGGGAATCCGGCCAGGACAATGGAGGGCACATCAGTGGGATAAATATTATCAGCGCATTGCATCTTCTCTCATTTTGGGGAAGTTCATTTTCACCGGCAAAGGTAAGAAATATGCCTAGGCGCGTTGATAATTGTGCGTATGCTAATCTGCAGCTGCAATATTTAATTAACAGCAGGAAATAAGAGCAGCTGCACATGCAGTATATGCACCTAACTATCTGTAAACGGATACTATTTGATGTACAAAGTAAGAATCAAACTATCTCATCCTATGCGGTTTCACTAAAATCATAAAAGTAATAACATTAGCAAATATTTGTACCACTTGTTGCTATATAACTGAAAATAATAAAATTATTCGAACTCAGAAGGATTTCGCCTATCCGTTATAAAGAAGTGTAATGTTGTTGCTTTTGTTTCACTGTCAGGTTCTCAACCAGGCTTTGCAAATTCGAGTATGGAAATCAGTCAGCTGCCTGACGGAAAGCTGAAGATACACGTTGACACATTTTTTGGCGATGGCCCTAGCGACATTTCTACGCGGGTTATAATTTTTCCTCTGCATACTCCTGCAGCGTTTTTATCCCCGGGCGGTCAGGAGCCAGATCCAACAGAAATGGTGCGCAATCGCAGATGCTTTATAGAGCAGATGCTTTATAGAAAAGTATAGTCCATTCATATTATAATGACTGTTGCCCTCTCTCATGCAGAGGTTGACATTCGATTATATGGAGGTCTATGGAAAGGTGATACTGACGGGGTTCCCAACTGCTTCTGCCGGTTGGAAACGCACAGAGAGACAAAATCTGATCCCGGCAGTAATTCTTGAGGCGTCGTCGGAAGGGCTACACGAATACATGTGCAGGACAACATGCTTTAAAGCCAGGGCATATGTTGTTGCGGATAAACAACAAATGACTTGAGCCACGATACTTGACGGCTGACGCATATCGGTCCAACTACGAACTAGCAATCCGTTTGGGTTTGAGATCTTCAGATATCTTTCGCGGTTTACATGGTAAAAAATGAGATTGTGACGGCACCAGCCTTCTTACGGTGGAACGTTAGAGTAAGGGTTTACATCAAAAGAAATGCAGATAAGAATAGTGCTCGGCCGACTACAAACAAGATGGTTCAGTAAAAATATTCGTGTACACGTACGAGCACGCTTTTAAGTTTCATGCCGGGTACTTTGAACTGATTTCGAATTCAGAAGATCGCAAGTCATATTGACGACGTTATAACTTCACGTCCTACCTGTACCGTCTATATTTTTTTATTCGTTGAGGTCTGGTACTTCTGTGTACTAGCTGTTCTGCGCTCATGCTAGCAGGGCTCGTGGAACACGAGCCCTAGAAATGTCCACCATAACAGTAGCAATGAGAACGTTTTTAGGATCCGTCAGACCGGTGGATGAGTGTTAACAGCCGTTGCAATCATCCACAACTCCGGTTTCGCGATCATACGAGCGTTCGTCACCGGCGGCGGTGGCATTCTGTGCAGGTTGACACTGATCGATACCAATTGACCGACATTAATAAGCACCATGATGCAGAAAATAACTGCATGGGTTAGAGTTATGATGAACCCGGAGAAATCCTGATTAAAACAATCATTCAAAAAGTACACAGACGAAAGAATGGAAAGAGCACTGAGTGCCAGAGCTGCATGCAATCCCAGGATGCTAAATATTAAAGTGGTTATTAAAGAGGAACGGCGAGCGCGTGGTCCTTCGTTGGGCGGAATGCGTTGACCGGCAAGAATTCCGACGATACCCGCCACAATAAAAAAGGCGCCTGTCCAAAATCCCGAACCGATTACAATCCCCGGCAGTACGATGCATGTTATCTCTGGTCGTTTCAGTGCAACATCTGCAGCACAAGTTAAGGTCATACAAAATCAACAGCGCTTTGATCTTCCAAACACTGCCATGCGATATGTAATTATCAGAGCTTAGCCTCGCTTTAAAATTTGTACCCTGGATTAGTAAACTTTCAGGCATGTTGCTAGCGTACTCAATTTCCCTTCTCCTTTCCAAACTATGAAATCCGCCTTTTACGTAACCTTACCGACTGTGTCTAGTAATACAAGCAGTATTCCAAACACGATATATAGAACTCCAAAACATAGCACAGCAGCACGTTTGTAAAGTTGTCCTTTCGCCGATTCTTGATGCATGATCAGGAGAGGAATTTTAAAACGCTTAGCTAGATAGCAAAGCTATCCCCTTAGCTACTTCTGTTGACTCTGGTTACAGAAATTAGAAAGCTGTCGTTAGTGAGAGTTTTTGCTTAGCAGACTGCAAAACAAAAGGCGCAACTCGGAGGTGTACTCGAGATGCCACAACAACGTCTGCTAACTTCGGCGCAAAGTTTGTGTCTTAAATAGATCCGAGTGACGTTCAGGCCGTTTTGTTGGCAAACTGACGAGAAACGCACTTCTGGCTTACAGGCTTTTCATGTCAGGAATGACGATGCTCGTGACTTAAGTTCAGAAATTAAATTGTCATTGTACGACGGAGAGGAAATAAGTATCAAAGCGCGAAATAGTGTGCATTAGCGCCAATCCGTGTTTTTGACGCTTGTGTCACAAGCCACAGTCATTGTGTTGACACACTCAGTACATAAACAATTGTTCAAATTCTAGTTTGAGGCCATCGTTTTTGGAAGACAATGAAAGGATAGTGTCAGGATAATTACAGTATAAGGGTCCATTTGATGTAAGCGGAACGCTCCCAGCATAATGAAAAGTGAAAACGACATGTACGTCTGTAGTGTGTGCTTCAGAGAAAACAAAACGTACTGTCAGTCTGTCGCTCCTCCAGTACTTTAGTGAAAATTACAAAAATACAGAGCTGTCTTCTTCATATGAATATTTAATTTTTGAACTATTAAAAATGACTTACTGGGGTACTCAGTTTTGAAGGGAAAACTTAAAAGCCTGCCTGCACTTGCACTAACTTTATAAAGAAGAAATTCATCTGCAGGAAATGCGATGCGATTATAAGCTATATTGCCGAAGGCTATCGATTGTTTTCATCCACAATCCGGCACACCACTACCGGTAGCGTTTACACCAACGGATATGAAACATAGTAATTCTCTTCCACGAAATGTAGTTTCAATACACGTAACGAAAAATATCAGAAATCGACGGATTGCTTAATCAAAGACCGTACCGCTAGCCGATACTGAGGATAAAAAATGATGTATACAAATAACGGTAAAATATGCTCTCCGTGAAACAGCAGCACAAATAACGCGTAAAGACTGCTCTGTGATTGGTTCGTCCACCGTAGAATCGCCATGGGAATCTGGCACACAACGGCTAGAATAACGACGATCGATCCCGTCAAAACCGTTTTCGTCATAACGGCCAGCAGTTCCTTGGTCCGCTTCGACTCCGATATGATATTCCTGCGTCCACTATTATTCACACTTCCTCCTGTTTCACCTATGAAGATAAAACCAACGTAAACCAATGGCTTAAATGAACTTTAAAGCTACTCTTACCGTACGACAAAGAGGCCGAGTTAATTTTGCGGGTACGTAGCACGCGCAGCTTTGCCCTGATGGCGACGAAGATAAGCCGCGACTGTGTTACCGCAACGACACCGGTCGTGAACACCAGACTGCCCTCCACATAAACAGCAAACCAGATCTTCGGATACGTAAAAACGGCCACCGACGTGCAAGACACCACGATATACTGCCCGAGCACCGAAAACAAGACCGCAGCAAAAACCGTACAATAAATCCACATTCCGCTGACCACTCCCAATATCACCAGTCGGCCAATACGATTGCGGTAGAACACAGAAAAATCCACCGATATCCAGCGGTCCATACTGATACAGAAGATGTGAATATTGTACAACATAGCGCCGTAGTACGACGCCACAACGCCAATGATGTACGGCCAGAGATGCGACGGTGATGTGCCAATGACGCGGGCCAATAGCGACGGTGTCAGCATCAAAAGATACAGACCTTCGGCCAGAGATAACGACACGTGAAAGTACAGAAACGGTTGCTTATTCTTCCACTTGCGGAACACTAGGAGGTTGATGAAACTGCAGAACGCTCCGACTGAGCAGATGCAGAAGAGTATTAACATGAGACTGCGTTGCTGTGAGGTGGTTGTGAATTTTCCTCCACAACGCATGGATGTATTAAAAATTTCGGTATAATTCGAACTTCGATTGGGTAAGGAAGTCATGTTGAATTACCAGGAACTATCTTCTGTGCGAAGTCCAAATGAGTGTTGCAAAGGCAGGAAAACCGAGTACTGGAATGCCAGTATTGCGTGCGGGTTTATATAATGTCGCAGCGGGGACAATAGAAAAACTCAAGATCGTTAAATAGAGAACATGTGCAAAAACCTGCTCGAATCCCGGAAATTAAAGTCACCCGATAACAACCGACCACAGTGAGGAGGATCTCTTCGGCGTACTTAAGTAGTTTTGCCGTTAGACCATTTTTAAGTGGTCTCTTCCGGAACAGATTGACATTGTATTTTACCCGAACGCGGTCCCTTTAACGTTTCTGCGCATGTCTGTATCTTCGAAGTTTTAGCGCACCTGTGTTTTGTGCGCCGTAATGCAGTTCTTTGTATGTAGTTCAGGCACTAATCACGGGAATGCGCCCTACAGCGAGTTACTGAAGATGGATAGAGCCGTTAGCCATACATCTTAACGTAATTAGGGTTGAAAAAGATTTAGTGTATTGCGACAGCGCAAATCTTCATGATGCCTCTCAACTCCTTTGACCTTGTTTGTTAACGGCAACTTTCTCCGCTCGGGATTACCAGGTATTGAGTTAAATTCTTGTTGATAAGGGTCGACGCAGATTCTACTAATGGTAATCGAGACGACTGATAAAGTAGGCCAGCGTTACAGTACACGAAACGTAAAGAGTTCAGTCACCAAGATGCACATGAAATTTTGCATTTGTTACAGTATACTTAGTGTAGCAAACAAATTTGCGAATAAAAAATACAAAAAACGTTGGCAAATCCACAGCGTGTCAGAAAGAGTTTACAAGTTAGGGGATGTACGATATCTAGCGTAATATCAGTCTTTGCCTGCACAAGTCGCTAGATTCTGGGATGCGCTTCCACAGCTTGTTGAATGTGACCATATTGTCCATATGTGTAGTAAGGAGGGACAACTGGAACCACCGCCGGAGCAGGCACAAACTCTGGATGTGTATGCACCGCAGCAGCAATCATCTGGTGATCCGATGCCGTTGAGGTCATTGTGTGCATAATGGCAGCCACCGGCGGAGGGAGGTGATAAATGTTCACACTGGCAGAAATAATTTGGCCCAGATTGATGATCACCATAATACAAAATATCGCCGTGTGAACGGCTGCGATTGCTCCTGGATACGAGTCATTGAATACCACGCAGCTCAGACTAACAATTACACCGGTAAGCGCGGCCCAAATTATGCACAACAGAAACCCCAGAATGCTGAGCACTAGGGACGTCACTAAATGACAACGTCGGCATCGCGGTCCCTCGTCCGCTGCAAGCCGCTGTCCGGCAGCTGTGCCGAACGAGCCGCTCAAAATAAACCAGAAGCCGCAGAAAAATCCCGAGCCAATGCCAGTATAACTAGGTGGGGAACAGCTGTACGCATCGACTTCGTCATATCCTTCCCGAGTTATAGTGCGGGTTGTGCTATGGCTTTTTCCGTAAGCGAACACTGCAAGATTGAGCATCAATCAAAGAATTCTCGATTAATGCAAAAACGTGCGATAAATTATGAAGGACCTAGTTATAAGTTTAGCGCACAACATTCTTCAGACATTGACTCATTTGAACAATTGTTACCTCCGATGTCCAATAGAAAAAAGAATATTCCGAAAGTCAGTTGTAAAGCCCCAAAGCTTAGCACAGCGTTTGGGTTGTACAGTCTTCTGGGAAATAAAGATACTTGTTCCATAATTGCCGAAATTAAATCTTAATAACAAAAACAATAGTGTAAAAATTTCTAATTTTGCGTTTTCTGTATCACAAAGCTAATATGCCAGATAAAATGTGGAATATAATGTGGAAACTTAGTTGCAAGGCCGGCTAGACGAAAAACTGTAAAGTGCAAGCGTTACAAACATGAAGCAGCGTCATGCGATCACAACGACGACTTCAATGCCATAAAATAGGTGACGCTATTTAAGACTGGAGATTTGCATAAATTGTCACCCGATGAAGAGCCCACAATCACGGAAAATATTCCGAGTCAGTACTTATCCGGCAAAAATTGAAGTAGGAAGTGGTTATATTGCCGACGACCGGCACGCACATCGGTAGAAATATGCACTCATTTAAATTGCATAGAGGCGGAATGCTTTGCGAATGCAAGTTAAGACTTCGGCTAATGTTTTACACTTCACTTGTCAAAAGTAATTTGCAAAGTAACATAATCGTATATATATTATTTTCTTGTGTAGGAAACTATGCACAAACTAAAAATAAACCATCCAGCTCATGCTGTTTTTCAACAGTTCCCAAGACACAAGCAGCATTACCGCGCTGAATTTCAATACTAAAACGTTGTAACAGAAAACACTTTGCGCGAATTTCACCAGTCTGCTCTCTGATGCGTCTAGCTAGATCATTAATAAAATCCATGGTGAGAGGACCACAGCTTCCCATTGTCTCTAACGCGACGGGTTGAAAATTGTATCGGTCAGCCAAGTCAGCATACTTGCCGCACTTCCGATATTCGGCCGCTTCTGCTGCAGCACCAGCATGATCGGATGTCTGACCAATATAAGTCTGTGCAAACGTATCGGCGACAGTTACGTCCCACACCAGCGCTTTGCCGTTTTTCCACGGATAATGAGTTAATCCATCCGGCCGTTTACCGTTCTTTCGATCCAGACCCGTAGGCTCACGGATAGATGAAATCTTCGCGGATCCGATTGCTCTTTGTGTGATATCATTCAAATGTTCGTGTCGAGGAATCCTCCCTTTACTTCGTTTACAGGACAGTCCGTGACGACCGAATTTATCAACCATACTTCCACAAATGCACTTATGTTCGCTGCAGATGACAGCACCCAAACGCAGCGCAACTGCGATTCTCACTGCCGCTTCGTCCAGCAAATTCCCAAGGCTGGCTACAGGCAAAGCGGACAACCAGGAAGCTGATTCTTTTGTGGAGACTGCCAACAAGCGCGCTTTTTCGATAACGTCAGCACTTTCCAATAAAAACCGATGCTCCCTAGCGTACACAATTGCCGTCCACGCCGACTGATAACGACGATACTCTGCTGGTGGCGGCTCCTCACTGCTCCTCTCACGAAACTCCTCCACGCACGACCCGATGTCGTCTTTGCCTTCCTCTGGCACTATTTCGGCAACGAGAGTCTTTGTAGCATAACGCGAGGATAAGTATGCAGGCAAAGAAATTTCCTCTGATTTTGGAAGCCCTATTCCTCCCATCCGGTCTGGCAAGGAAGCTTGTTTCCACACTGAATCCGACATCTTAACGTTTGTGATTTCCTGCGCTTTCCTCCTTATGGAATCGTCAAATTCGTGCAGCTTCTCAGGCACTTCCAACAAGGCGAACACCTAAGAGTAAACAATAACCGGGGCAGAGAAAGGCTATTCTTGAGCAAATATAACGCTTGATGAGCTGGTAACACACCAAGAAGATCGGTCAGTCGTTTGATCTGACCGATCTTGCGATCCAGCACTCGCCCAATTGCCCAATCAGTCAGCGGGGCACCCAACAGATCCAGCTCGTCTTCGCCCACCCACTGGATACCGGGAGCTACTTCGCTAAACATCCGGAAAATTTCGTTCTGCTCAGCGACCGTTCCTCCCTTTATGAACAATTCACATTTCTGAGGGTTGATCTGCAGCCCAATTTCCGATGCACAGTCGATAATGTTCTTAAAATCCGAAAATACAGAATCCACAACACCTCCCATCGTCGCATCATCCAAATACCACAAGTTGAATACAGACCGCATTCCTTTATAGAGTTCATCTGTACACAAACAAAACAATAACGGCCCCAACGGATCTCCCTGCTGAATTCCATGGGCCGAGGCAATTATGTCTCGGCCCAATCGTATATTGTAAAAACCATGGTATATAAAATGTATTAATGTATGTACATGTATTTAAAACTGTATGTAAAAAGATGTATCACAAAAACTGTATCACAAAAAATTGAAATGTTGTTATGATTTCACTTGACAGTGCGGTCATACAGTTAATCTAGATCTTTGTTTTATTTAAAAAAGCAGAGATCTACATGAGGATTTTTTTGCTTGGCATCTACATACGCTAACTCTAACTCAGAATCAGATTGGGACAGGCTTGCATGCGTGCGCTGCAAATATAGCTCATATGTGCACTGCAAATATAGTAATTAAAATGATTTAAAATTTAAGCATATTTGTGATGAATTCGGAGTCAGATCCGATTTGAATTAATTATATTCCAAAAGTAAAATGATTGTTACTGTAGGTACAGTTCCGTAAATTGCGGAAGTCTATGATTATACGGTTTATATTATGCTGCACACTGCACAGGTTATCTAAACGGACGTGGCTATGTAAACAGGATGGTTGGTTGCAGATATAAGTGATGGCATACATTCGATCTACAATGCAGGTGCATTAACCAAAACTGGCCCACAGGCAAACCTCCGTTAATAGTTAGTCAAAAAACAAAGTATGCACTAACAAATTACAAAGTAGATGTCAATCGCTTTAAAGGCACTATGAAAGTCAAATGCACGAGATATGTGACATCAAATGTTATCATGTTATTGCAGCAACAATAAGATCGTGTGGCAACAAACATGCAACCTCATCCGGTTGGTAGTTTCTGGGTTAAATAACTGAAAAAAACAAGCGCAAAAATTTTGCAGCATGGTCCTGCTGCATGGATAAAAGTATTTTAACCAAAAAAAGGTTTTGTGCTGAGATGTTTATATCAACATGATCATGTTCACAATGCAATTCGCTATTTCGCTCTTTAACTTGTTTCTGAGCGTTAGCATACTGTGCTTATCAACACTACAGTCTGTATGTCCCATTCAGCTTGGTGTTTGCGAGTTACATGTGCAGTGGCTGATTTTGCTTTGTGGAAGGGCCGGGCTCACAACTACATTGCTAGTTTGCTAATATCAAAGACATTTGTTGTCCCTGTTTGCCGGTGGTTGAGTGGAAGTATGGTTCATGAGATTGATCATCGTCCCGTACGTACTAAGCGAGCCCAATATATGCAGACATTTCTTCACCATTTCAAAAAATGGCGATCGTGGGCCATTGTGACCTTTGTTGAAATTGGCGTTATAGCTCAAAGGATTTTATTGGTCACTGTGTCATTCCTTGCGCAACGGAATCTTATGTCAACAAAGCATTTTGAAAGGTTTAAAACCAAAAAGTTTTAATGATTGCGGTCTTCTGTAATTAGCAAGACACACTTAGCGGTATCTTGCAAACTGCAAGTGAAATATTACGGTTTGGGACAATGATCGACTAGTCGGTGGATTCTACCAATCAAGCCATCGACAATTAATCCATCAAAATGGACTGCGCGCCTCAGACATGCCTGTTGGTGGAGGTTTAAGATTATGCTTTCATTCCGTATTCGACTTTAAACTAACATTCAATATTTCTTTACATATTGGTTGAAGCTCCGAATATTAGTTTTTTCTCCAGTGTAAACTCAAAGCTCAGGGGATCAAAACTTTTCCAGTAGAGTTATCCCGGCATATTTTCTCTAACAATAGGCTGAACATGTTTCTAATTTAACAGGTGGCGTTCAGTACTTACCTACACTTTTACTGCAAATAATAACTGTGGTTGTACAAGCCACAAGTGCTTAGATCGTACGTTCTTCGGCACTTATGAAAGTGTAAAATTGGTAAGTGAAAGCGTCATGGGGAAACGGTGTTGCAGACATACTAGAGCGTGACCTTTCCTAAACCTTGTATACTTGTATGTCAGTGCCAGGATCTTGCCTGAAATATTGCTTTACACAGTTCTACAGCGTTTCTTTTTAGTTTTCAAAATCCCTCCCAGAAACAGATACACCTAAGTAGTCAACATTAAAATTGAATAAAATCAACAGTGAATATTTTCACCTGGATTGAAGTCGAAAAACAGTTTCGTGGTTATTTTGTTGACGGTCGTACAAAAACACAATGGAAAAATTATCAAATGGTAACACAACTTGTTAAAGTTGGTGCCATAATGCATTAGTTAAACTGGCTGCAAACCAGCCGCTTCGGGAATGCAAAAAATATGTTGGATGCCTCCCGCTTAAGGGAAGTGGGCCGGTACATGGTACCAAATTCGTGTAAATGCACGAAAACTTACACTTCCGCGCACTCCCGAACGCATTTTTGCTTCGGTTTATTACATTCTGTAGCGTCTAAACAGACACTGCAGAGCGCTCAAACAAGGTCCTTGCAAAATAGTCTAACGTTACTACTGCAATGCAGTTGCAGCACCAGAATAGGCTTCCGAAGTACAGTATGTAAGTGATGCGGCACAGATATCTTTACAACGTTCGACATAATAATACCGCATCTTGGCACTCGATATATTTCCTTATTTACGTAATAGAATTTGGCATTTTCGGAAAAAAAACTGTACAACATGCGTGCACTTTTGTTTATTGTAAGTTCGGGTCATTCAAAGGCAGTTATTATTTTGTGTTTGTGTTACTTTGCAGAAAATAGTAATGATGTAACTACGTTGCAGGCGATTCGGCGTACAGTATTTCGGGAACTACAGTATAATATGCCAGCGGAACTCGATAATTAACGCCTTGGAGTCGACTTCCAGTTTGTAATCACCGTGGGTGTGCCAAGGCTAGCCATGCATGCTTCTACAACCTTATAAGCAGTTGAGAAACGGTTTAAAGAACATAACGAAAAAACGCGACCAAGTACAGATTCTGTATATCTGTCGTGTTCTTTACAACAGTTTCTGAATGTTTTCTAATGAACTTTTGTTTCTTTAAATGTTCTTAAAACGTGTTTAAGTACAGTTTCTTGTTATAGTACTGCGCGCCATACAACGTAGTCTTGTAGTAGCAGTTCGAAATTTAAAACATGAACAAAAACGGAGGGAAAAGACATTTTTTGGTGGGGATGTCGCTAACAATTCTGGGAGTAGTTCTTATACCAGTATCACCGGCAACGCAGTGGCTGATGACCACCCCTACCCCTGCTCGGCCTCTTGGTGATTATTCTCTAAAGAGACCAGCCGGACTGTTAGTGTCCAGTGCCCATCCTCATCGCAAAAAACCTCCTTGCACAGGATGTGGCGGTTCGGGGTGTTCTGCTCCACATCCTATATTTTGCTACTGGGGTGCGATAACTTATCCGGGCTATCCTGAACAACCTCCGTGGGTTAATTCGCAGATGCCGTCCTACTATCCTAGCTGAGTATTTACCTAGTTTCCCGATCCACAATATTTCCATAACTGATTAACGCATCTATTGCAATGACTTTAAGCGAAGGGCTGAATGAGTATGTGCAAAGGTCACATTTTGTCATTGGCAAAATTTGGGTGAAAGGTACTTGAAAAAAAAGGAATTGTATCATTCTAAGTCAGCTCCTGTTTTAAGTAACAATCGTACTGTAATCGTTGCAAAAAAATCCATGCATAGTAGCTCTCTTCGGATGCTGGTTTTGTTTTGCGTAGCGTTTCACGTTTACGGGACGTAATTTGTTTCTCACCAAATCCCACAGTCTGTAGCACCTAATATTGTAGTCATATTTATATTAAACTGAGCATCATGTACAACACTGTGCAACAGTGCAGTTTGATTTTCGCAGTGGGAGTTGAAAAGGCGTGTGCAGGGCTTTGCAAGAGTACAAAGGGTACGTACCATATTATGACATTGTATTGTGTTTAGAAGTAAAATTCTCAGCGCAGAAATTGTAAGCTTCAATACATGAATACAATACAGCTTCGAGGGGCACAAAACGTGCAGAATGCGTGAACAAAACTGGTTTTAGGCTCGAGGCAACAGCGGCATAGCGAGATATCTATTAATTACAGTCGATCAGTATTAATTTTTATATCGATCCGAAAACGACGCCATCCCCATTCGAAGGATTTGTTTAACTGAACTGGTTAATTATCTAAAATTACTAGTACATACAAGCAGATCATCAACAAACATGTACTACCCTGTACTGCAATTCTCGTGCATTTCAATATGGCAAAAAACTAAATAATAACGATTGGTCAGCTTATACTGTAATCATCTAAACGCATCAAAATTAAACTGACTTAAGTAACTTTTGCCAAAACGCCACTGCGCTTATATTACAGTATATAGTTTTAGTCTCAACGACATGGTGGCCTAGATTAAGTTACGAACATATGTAGAATGTAAATTATAAATTATCCAGCAATTCTTGTTGCATTTCCCGGGAAATTAATGGATGCTAAGTCTATTATTTGGGATGCGTGTCGACGGCATGCTGCACGAAGCTAATTTGCTGTTGCAGCGAATAGGGAGGCGGGACCGAATCAACGGGAGCCAATGGTAATGGCATAGTGGTTGGATGGGTATTGACCGCTGTCAGAATCATCCGCTGGTCCGGGACGTTTGGCATCGTGGTCATAATGTAGGTCACTGGTGGAGCATCCTTGGGAAGCTTGTTGATGTTGACGCTGGTGGACACGAGTTGACCAAGATTAACAACGATCATAATACTGAATATAGTCGCATGCAGCGCTGCTATTATAAGGCCGGCGAAGGGAGTGGTATCTGTATTTTCTTCTTTCTGGGATGCATAATACGCACAATAAGATAAATTATCAGCAAACAAGCTGGAAATCGGGCTCACTGCCATGGAAGCAATCAAACCAAAAATGCTGAATATCAGTGCCGTGATGAGAAAAGCGCGACGGCTTCGTGGTCCCTGTTGTGGTGGGATGCTGCGTCCTGCGAGCAGGCCAAATATACCGGTAAAGATAAATAAACCACCGCCCCAAAATCCTGATGCAATGCCGGTGCTACGCATCACATTGTGACACCAGCCGTACCCTGCGTTTGATGGCGGGGCCAAACGAATAAAAGCTGTAATTATATACAAAATATAGTCAGGATAACGTTTACAGAAAATCATCAAAATTGAAAAATATTTTCGTGAGATAATTAGCCAGAAATTTCATTTTCTTTTTATGTCGCTTACCTCCAACATCGAGCACGACAAGCAATGCTCCAAAAGACACTTGCAAGGCTCCAAAAGTCAGTACTGCTATACGATTGTGGAGTTGTCCAGTCGTCAGCACCAATGGTTGCAGCGTAACGATCGACATCTTCGGACAGTGGAAAATGAAGCCGTCGGGTTAAGACAACGTTGGCAAATGGAAATGTGACTGTCTACAGCTGCACCGGCAAAGTCAGCTCGCAGTACACATTTATAAACTGCAATCAGTTTCTGTTACTTACCGTTCGGTTTCTTATATGTACTGCCAAACAGCCAAATTCCAGTTGTTGTGGACACAATTTCCAATCTGTCGTGCAGCGTTTGAATTAAACAACTTCAACAAAATTAAAGATTTCATTCAGGGGGTTACCCATCAGTTTTTAACTAGCTTTGGGCGATTTAATAGAACCGGAACTTTTTCGGACTGAGTCAGGTGATGTGCTTTAGCAATACAAGTGTCACCGCGAGCTTATATGACGCTTTTAAAAAATTAACATCTGATCAGGATCAGCTAATTCAAACGCCGGTGAGCGTACGGTAGGTATACTGAAATCAAAACATTATCAATAACCTGTTTGCATCCTCTGCAAGATAAGGTATTGATAATAAAATTATTTTTGGTGTTTCTGACAGTTACTTAACTATGTAACTAAAAAGCCATTCGCGTTGCACTGTAACATGCTCGAAATCTTTACTACTTATTCCGCCCATGTGAGTATCTGTACTTATACAGCGTCAACTACGTACATGCTGCGTCTACTTGTAATAATTATGTAAGCACTATCAGCGCTTGAATTCATTATGCTTCTCTAGAGAGTTGAATGCACTGAGTGAATCAATCATTACTTTTGCAACTGTAGTGTTCGTGCCATACCTTTAGGCAATCTACCAATCTGAATACTAAATTCAACACGTTTATGTTAGCCATCAACTGTTAAAGTATCGGTTTTAATTTTTTATCATGACTTTCGTTGTTGTGTTAATGTGTTTCGCAATTCAAGAATATTAGATCCCGCTTAGAAACTGCCAAGTTGAGAGGAAAAGATACGAAAACTGCAGCTCTTGTCGCAGAAAGAAGAGATCTAAAGACAACGTCTGCAGTACATATATGTAAAATAATAAAAGCCGGCATTGGTTTTTAAAACGCTTGTCTTGTCACTTGGGATGCGTCTCGACGGCTTGTTGTATATAGCTTTGTTGTTGGCCTGCATAGTACGGAGGAATGACAAAGGTGCCCTGCGGCGGGGTAATACCAGCCGGATGCGTGTGCACCGCCGTGGCAATCATTTGCTGCTGGGCGGGAACGGCCGTTGTGGTCATTGTGTAGGTGAAGGCGGCGATCCGCGGCGGCAGTTTACTAATGTTTACGCTACTGGACACCAGCTGACCGAAATTCAGCACCACCATAATACCGAACAGCACCACATGCGCCATCGGAACAATCTGACTGGATGGATACTTTTCCAGGCATAACAGCAGCACCGGTTGGGATGCGTAGAAGTAAGCGGCAGGGGCCATTATGGCAGCCAGAAGCAAACCCAGAATGCTGAGCACTAGCGATGTGATTAGATGACATCGGCGGCTGCGCGGTTCTTTATGATCCGGAATCCGTTGACCAGCGGCAATGCCGAATGCACCAGTTATAACAAAAAACCCGCCGGTCCAAAAGCCGGAGCCGAGGATGGTATAGTACAGCGCGCTGCACATTCCGTAATTAATGTAGGAATTTGTCTGTTCGAATATGAAATCTACAAATAATCCAAAGTATGTATTTAAGTTTCAATTCAAATAACTGAGCAAAACAATTTATACTTTATACAAGTACAGAATACATATGTCCAAGTGTATGTATATTATAATTATATATACATGTGATATCCTATGTAGTTCTGCTTATACTTGCCTCCTCCATCCAACAGAATCAATAACAATCCAACCGTCACCTGGAAAGCACCGAACGTAATTACCGCACACCGGTTATGCAGTTGTCCACCAAAAATCGGTTCCATTACGGCGGTAAACGTGAGGGATCGTCAGGAATCAGGATTTAAGTGACTGCTGAGAAGATGCAGTGCCCGTACGGTATGCAGAAAGTCAGAGACGTTTGACGTTTCTGCTGCCGTTTACGATTCCGACAGAGCTGCACCTGGTGTGTAAAAGTGCATGTTTTCTTCGGCTACCACTTGGAGCGAGCGTCCTTGACGTATCGTCACGTTTATAAAGCTGAAAAACCGGAAGCGCTTTCGTTGAACGTGGCGACGGCCCGCGATGTACGCAGTCATTCTTGCTCGGGGCATTTTGACGGACCGGAAACGGGTCTGCCGAAACGGTTTATGACATCCGTGCTTCATCGAAGTACACGTTTAATTACTGCCTTACTGTGAATAACTTATATTCCAATGCAGACATGTTTTATTGCGCTGTAGCATAAACTGCATTGTGCTATGCGGTATTTAAAGAAAGACTGTAATTCGTTGTGCGATATTAACAGTCTGATACACCCAATGCAGACATGTTTTATTGCGCTGTAGCATAAACTGCATTGTGCTATGCGGTATTTAAAGAAAGACTGTAATTCGTTGTGCGATATTAACAGTCTGATACACGTATGTACAGTACTCGTTCAGACAAGAAGCTTACTCAGTAGGCGACTAGGCGTTCAAAAATACGCAAATACAGTCACTCAGCCACGTTCATGCAAACAAAAAATCGCAGTATTTAAAATTCATCGTTTCTCGATCCTAAACATACTGATGATAACGGCGTTACAACACATTTCGTGGCCGACATCTGTACATTACTATAATTATTGTATATATATATATATATATATATATATATATATATATATATATATATAAGTCCAATATAAAAAACGCAACAAATTATTCGACCAAAAGGATTATTAATTAGGAGAATTAAAACCAGAATTATAGATAATAGTTATTGCAATAAACCGTATTCTGTCGCCAAGTGCGCATATGTACAATACACTGCATACTCTCAACCACTGGTGTACTCTCAAGTCTAAATACCACAACTGCAAGTTTCGGAGGCATAAACGAATAATTCGCTTGCGTATTAATTAATGGCTTGCTGAACCTGGCTTTGTTGTGGAAGCGAATTATAGGGCAGTGGGAGTAACTCAGCGGGAACCAATGAGATAGTTTTTGGCTGAATGTGGTCTGTGCTGACCGGTATCGTCATCATCTGCTGATCAGGGCCAAGCTGGCTAGTGGACCTTGTGGTCATTATGTAAGTCATCACAGCAGCATCTGTAGGCAGTTCGGCGATGTTGACACTGGTCGACACCAACTGACCCAGATTGACCACCGCCATAACAGTGAACAGAACAACGTGAAGCACACTTATTACTCCAACAAAAGTTACAAAGTGGTCGTTGCGAAATAGGATTTCGTAGGTATCACCGGAAAATGCGCTTACTGCCACGGAAAGGACAAAACCGCAACTGCTGAGTACTAATGATGCAATCAGGAACCCGCGGCGGACCCTTGGCTCTTGTTGGGGAGCGATTACGCGTCCAGCAAGAATGCCCAATATGCCGGTCGCAATAAAAAAACCGCCACCCCAGAATCCCGAGCCAAATGTTGTGACACGACGGCACTATAAAGCCATGCGAAGGCTGCATGGAAAAACTTCGTGTTAAAAATCTATGTATTAGCAAAGGAGGTTTTTCGGTAAAAGTGCTTACATGTAAAAGTACCATAATGCACAAGTAGGTGGGATAAACATTATACAATACATATTTGCATTATGGACCATGGTTAAGAGTATCAGATAATTTACCTACGATATCCAATATAACCAGTAGTATTCCACCCAATACTTGCACATTCCCAAAGGTCAAAACTGCCCGGCGATTGTGGAGCTGCCATGTAGACACTGCTAGTGGTTGCAAAGTGACGATATTAGACATGCTTGCTGCGTTACAGAATTTTTTGTATACGAGCGAACCGAGAAAACTTTTTATCACGAGGGCTGTATTTACCAAACAAGAAGGCGTTAAAAGCGGCTTCCGGTAGCATTCAAATTATACCCATTAGAATTGCCTACCGATGCTAGCTACGATCGGCATCTTTATGCTTCCATGTTTATGGTTATCAAAAATCTTTTTTTGCACTGCCGCCCTAGGCAATTCAAATACAGATGCTTTGCAGAGTTAGTTATCATGCAGACAAAACCATCTACATTTGGACTACAGGTACTTGTACTTTAATAGTGCAGGCAACTCGTACGCTATGAGATTCTAGTTGCAGTAGTATAGATGAATAAACAATTCAACCTTTACTACTCGTAGTGCACTCTGTAGGACGGCATTGGATAAGCACAACAACTCTTGCTGTGCTCGTGAAGAAAATTGTGATCTTTTTTCTCGCGAGCTCAGCAACAGTTGTGCTCGTAAAGAGAAAAAAATTACAATTTAAGCAGAATTCATCGGTTTTTGATTATATAAAAGTCATTGTAACGGCATGAAACATAGTTTAATAAGCCTAACAACAAGTGTTTATGGCCATATACTATTAACAGTACATATGCTAAGAATGCGTCGAAACCGTTATAAAATTAGTTACAGCTGCGCCTCAGTGCGCTTCAAAAATAATACAAGATTTGGAGAAAACCATCAATATCGGATACAAATTTACAATAGACAAAAAACCATTATTCTTTCACCAAGTGTTCATATATGTATATGCATAGTATGCATAGCCTTCTTTCAGGCTCATCTACTGCGTACCGATAACAAAACTATGTATCACTGAAATAATTCCAGATGGAAAGTACGAATAGGCTACTTCAAATTAACGGCAGGTTGAACGTAGCTTTGTTGTGCTAGCGAGTAGGGAGGTGGAACCAAATCCGTGGGTACGATTGGCATGGTTTTTGCTTGAGTGTGGTCTGCGTGGATCGCTGTCGTCGTCATCTGTTGATCAGAGCCAATGGGCATTTGGGTCATAATATACGTCACTACGGCAGCATGTTTAGGCAATTTGCCGAGGTTGACACTGGTCGACATCGACTGACCCAAATTGACCACCACCATAACGATGTAGCATGTAGCGTGAAGTAGAACAAACAGTTGATCGGCATCAAGATGGTAGCTCGAAAAGACCCACGCCGGATGTACTAAATATTTACAGTGTTTACAAAAAAATGCGCTCATTGCCACGGCAAGAATTAGGCCCAGAACGCTGAGCACTAATGATGTAATCAGCACGCCACGACGAACCCTTGGTCCTTGTGGAGGCGGTATGACGCGTCCCGCGAGAATACCACTTATACCGGTGCCAAGGAAGTAGCTACCAGCCCAAAATCCTGAGCCGAATGCTGTACTGGGACGCCTGACAGTTGTATGATCCACGTGAAGAAACCATGTGAAGCCTGAAAAGTCAAGGAAAGAATACAATCCTTAACAACAACATAGATCACTTCCTCAACCTCAACATCCTCAACTCTGATGACTTCCACAGTATTCTCACAATATAACAAACGAAAGACGAAAGGGTCTGTGCAGCGGAGAGAAAGCGTGAAGAGTAAACAACCATAGTTATCAAAAATCAGATTATTTACTTGTGGCTTCTAATATAACAAGCAATATCCCAAATGACATTTGCAGAGCTCCAAAGGTCACCACTGCTAGACGATTGTGGAGCTGCCCAGTTGTAACCGCCAGTGGTTGTAAAGTGACGACCGACATGTCAAAATGCCAAAAGATTCTTCTTCTCCAAATACATGGACAATCAAAAAGATTTCCCTTTGCAACTTTCACATTTTGAAGATAAATAAAAAAAACACTTAAGCAATGAAAGCGGGGTCCGGTATTATGCTTTGCAGACTTTATTTATGACTCGTTTATTTTTGAATGTTTTCATGTATACCGATTAAAAAACAAACACAACACTGCGGCTAATATTGTTGACAGCTCTGGGCCATTTCGAAAATGGATAATACCCATTTGTTATTAGGCAAAACTGCCGCAACACTAATCAGTGATCACGCAGGATTTTGAATGATAAGTTTATGATCTTTAATGTTTACTGCAATCACTGAAGGGTTTTGACGGTAACAATTGAGCATTTGGTTTGTCGTTTGCTTCTTTAGTACAAAGAGTACGAAGTCCTTCGCATTATTATGGCTGCGCATTGTGTCTTACATTATACGAGTCACGCACGGTACCGGAAACTGAATCGCATCCCCGTTTTTGAAAATTTGGACAGCAGTTGTGCAACCAACACCGAATCCACCGATAAATATAAAAAAGTCCCTAGCCGCTGCGAGTTCAAGAGTTCTTAAAGTTGATCTAAACGGCTACACGATTGTGCACTGGAGCAATTTCCTGCGTACCGATAAATATTAATCCAATGATGATGAGTTGATGACTAACGTGTTCGTTTTCGGATAAAGAAGTCAAAATCTCGTGCACGATTAGGGGACAGTTTTTACATTGAAGACACCCATTTTAACTTGCAGAATTTCGTAACAAAGCTTTAAAACTCGCTTACAATACTTGCCAGTGAACCTCTTCTCTCCTTCGCATTACTACTTACCGTTGGAATTACTACTAAAAATTCTATGCTCTACAACTTTGGAATTATTATGAAAATTATTGATAAAAACATAATCATTGAACAATACATTTACGTGAATTATGTTGGCTTTAGAATAGACTATAGATATAAACATGGGGATACTGAGAGTAAATACTAGCCATGTAATATGTAGTATGCAAATACTACCGTTGCATTGCAATCACAACGAAAACACAACAGCAAAATTACAACAAAAACACTTCAGATAAGCCGTCGGTGTCCGGTAAGGTGCCCATAACGCAAAGCGCGTTTCCTCTTTGAATCTGTATGGACAGTCGCTGTCGGAAAAACTCTTTGGAACGTGGTTGGCCGGTAGCCTGAGCGATCCCACGCCCTACACGGTCCACTAGGCTTTTCGCGCCTTCACCCTGTGGGCCGAACGCAGCAGCAGCAAAGTTGTATCGCGGAGATAGCCAAGCGTGCTTGAGTCGCTTAGCGTTCTCGGCAATTTCGGCAGCGGCTCCAGCTGTAACCGCGGTGCGGTCGATGTATGTTGCGGCTAACGTGTCTACGCATGTTGGCTTTTGCATTAGTGTGCGAATACGAGTATAAAGGGTGCTGATGTGAACGCGCACAATAGTACTTACAAGAAACAGCTTCGGCTTTGCCTCCGTGTTTCTTGTGATCCACGGCCGGTTTGAATGGAGAATTCGTTAAGTTCATTAAATGTATCAACAGCCTTAGCAGTTATTGTACAGCGTCTTGAGGAAAGACTAGAATCTAGATTCGATTGTTGATGGGTCTCACCAAAAAATTATAAGTTTAACCACGCATAGACTGGACTGTGATAGAAGCTCGGTCACTCTTGCACCTAAAGATTCTTCATTGGAAAGGGGTGATAGTTCGGTAACTCACTCGTTTGGTGATTTTTCGGGTAGGTTCGGTCACTAACTCGTCCAGTGATTCTCGCAATGGTGGTAGCTCGGTCACTAACTCATCTCTCACTGGGCAGTGATAGTAGTTTGGTCGCTCACTCGTTTAGAAATTTTTCTTACTGGTCGGTGGTGGTAACTCAGCCATTCACTCATCCAGAGATCTTGCTCCCTGGGCAATGATGGAAGTTCGGTCACAAACCTGGCTTCCGTTTTTTCTAACTGGACAGGGGTGGTAATTCCGTCACTCACGCGTTTGGTGTAAATTTGCGCTGTTGATTAACAGAGACATAATTCGAGTTCAGCTTGTTTAGAACGCTTTAAGAAATTCGAAAACTTTTTCTTTTTTTGCATATTTAGTTCCGAATAGAAGTTAAACATTATGGGGAACTAGTGAGTAGCCACATATTAGTAAATGCAGCTGTAGTGAATGTTTGAATCTAGCAATATCAAACTACCCGATAAACTTCCAGCACTTGTAAGTACGATGAGAACCTTTAAATAGCGTACAAAAGTGCCGACAACCAAAGCCGGAAGGCTAAATTCTTAATAATTATGCGCTTGATGCCGCACGAAAATAAGTACAACTTATCTATTTTTCGGTTTAATTAGTGTAATATGTCAATTTATGTTTTGTAATGTATCCAGGCATATTGTTTTGAAGTCCCAAGGTCACCTCGAAAGTGGATTGGATCGTGTGCGGCGTCGTGCCGACACGATTCTGGTCGAACGAATTTAAAAACGAAAATCATGTGAGCCAGTTGTGGACCGAGGTCGATCTACTGGCGTGGTCAGTTTTTAAAAAAAATGGTTTTGATTATTGAGATCGGAAAACTATATGGGGCGCCGCGCGTAGTATAGATCTTGTACTTAATAAAATACATCAGGAGAAAAAAGCGAAAAATCTTAACCAAGCAGTAAAAGCGGGGCTCCAGTATTGTGCTTAACAGACTTTATTTATGGCCCGTTTATAAAAAAACGGCCGACAGTATAAAAAACCTGTGCAACAACAGGTCGTAAAACTAATACTGTGTGTTACACGATTATTCGAAGCAAATGGAGCTTACAAATACATGTAGTGGTTCGTGTATCCGCGCCTGTACTAAATCGGTGTATCACATCGGGATGAACCCGGTATATATAGATTAGGTTATGGATTCCCGTGGCAAATGATGGATCACATCACTTAAAGATTGTTACGCTTACATGAGCGCGCCCCGGCCGGCGTGGTTATGTGCGTGCTTGCCTGCTTCATCATCTTGACACGGGCAGCCGGCGGGGACCGGCGTTTATCCGATTCCCAAGCGGGCAAAAAAACAAGAAATTATTGATCGGTGAACAATCAAAGAAAATTTCTATACGCACACTAACCCAACACACAGAGCCAATGCTGTAATCGAGGATTATCGACTTAACCGGAAGCTAGCAGGCTCGTATACGTATCAGGGCCGGTGATCCACGCTTCTTGCCACTTATATACATACGCTTATGCAGATTGCACACGTGTGCAGGGTACTTAAGAATACCATCTGGAACCATAATGTGGTAGTGCAGCACATTTAAATCTGTTGTAACAACATTCGCTGATTTCGCCATGGGAGAGGTCGGAAATCCCTATTACCGCTCCATACCGTGTTTTAGCTATATTTCCATAGCGGAAGTCGTCGGTGGCGTGGTGGGATTCATCCGCTCAATAACGGTTCTCATCGGTAAGGCACACCAGGGGGTTCATCGGCCCTTTTCTCTGTTGTTTTTGTACAATTGAGAAGACCTAAGTGGTGTTACTGTTTTTAAATTGTTATCGTATACAATAATGCGTACCGATCTTCCGTCTTACGCATATACGTCTTGAGCGTCCAGGCAAACAATGGATCTAGAGAAAAGCAAAGCCTCTAATAAAAAATTAGCGCCTAGCAAAAAATTCTGATATTTGGTTACGCAACCATGTCCGGGATTCTCGGGCATGTACTTTTTTCCTTTTGCTGTGCATTATTCGAGGTTATAGTGTACAAAGTATCTATATCAAACTATTAATTTATTTGATTGGTATTGCAGGTTGCGATAATCGTATTTACAAACGCATATAAAATTTGCAGTAAAATTCTAACTTGCGCGTAAAAACTAATGCTGCTACTAAATTAAAAAAATATTTTGGCATTTTTAATATTATGGCACTGCATAACGTATCCTACCCAGCAGACAGTTTACAGTACGAGTACAGTATATTTGCAGTACAGATATTATACTCTGATGGAACCTGGATTGCACTATGTAAATAGCTGGCGGCGCCTGTTTGCACGCTAGACTACCGATTGCATAATACCAGAAAACGATCTCATATCAAATACAACGTTATATTTTTCATGCAATAGATATTTATGTACAATCCTTTGCAGGTGATCCGGGAAGTCATTCCTACGGCATAATTATTCTCATCATTGTGGATATCCTCCTTCTGGCCACCGGCGCTTTTGGTGTGTTCACGGTGCGGCAAGTCCGTCGCGGTGGCCTCGTTAAACGGCCCTTCACCGTCCTTACCATCCTCAACATCATCCTCTGTATACTCTTCACCCTCCTTCTAATCCTGTCCGTCTGCGCCGCTACGTTGTTAGCCGTGGACACCCGGCGCACGTATCTCTCCTATCCTTGGTACGTAACACCCGAAGAACGCCAATTCACGACCGAAACCGTGAATATGCCGGTTACATCATCAACGACATTGCGACGAGTGGAGTGGCTGGATGCCGTCACCCCGACCACGCCCATGTCGGCGACGGAGCCCTCGGGTGCGGGATACACGCACGTGATCCTCACTCTGCCGTCCCTGGTGTACCGCGGCCGGCCCACCGGAAGTCTGGCCGGTGTCATACCGGTGCTGTTGATCCACTTTCTCTATGTGATTCTCACGGCGTTCGGGGCCAGGATATGCAAGAAAAATACAGCGTCACCTAGTAGTCGACGATTATCGGAAGTGTAGAGAAACTGAGAAGTGTAGAATGTTGTTTAGTCTGCATGACATTTCACGATAATGTCCCGTGCGCAGTACCGATGTTTTTTCATGTGCCATATGGCTTGTACAGTTTAAATTGCAGTGCTACATAAATAAATACTATATAATGTACCGCATAAGTAACTTTACCCTTTGTAAATGCAGTACTGTGTGGAATGACTATAGATATAAATATGACGGGAGTGCTTAATTATCAGGGGAGAACCGTTACAAAATATATCCCTGCCGCAGATGCAAAAGACCTACGCAATAGGTACTTGTACTTCAATAATTATAGTACATTGAAATTTATTACGGGTATATTAGCACATAAATTTGATGGATACAAGGTCACCTGTGTCGTTGCCCCCGACGCGTTTGCTGTTATTTAATAAAACATACCAACTGTTTAAACTGAAACCACAGCCCAACGGTTGTTACTCTGTTGATCCGAAAGAGCATGTTAAGCTTCCGCTATAATAAACTCAGCATGTACAGACTCTAGGATTTCTACAAAATGTAATGGAAACGAATATATAATATTTGTGTACATTAATGTCGTATAGGTTCGCAGTGACTCGTATGTATTGGAAAAGCTGATCCGGGCGAACTATTACAAATATATATAATACCTTTTATATTATTATACATACTGTAGTTTAGAAGTGATTGCACTGGTTGCAATCCCTATGGATAGTCACAGATGATTAAAATACTGCAGGGTTCAAGCCGTAAAGCAATTTGCAAAAATATACAGCATCGATACGAAAGACAACACAAGAGTAACGCTAGCTGCGAAAACAACGAAAGCACATGAGGCGATTTACATAAGCAGCCTTCTGTGTGCGGGACTACGGATGGGTCAACGACGCCAGTCGCACATCTTCCTCTCTCCAGAACCTTGCGCTCTTCTCAAACGGCACCGCCCCGGGTACCGGCTTCTCTCCCAGCGAGGTCACCGTCACCAGCGCCGGATAGGAAAAGGACACCGGCAACCCGCCTATATGCGACAAAACCGGATACGATACCGATGCCGGCAACCCCGCAGCCTTCGCCGGCGGATGTTCCGAGGATAGATACACGGTGACCCTGTCGGATGTGGCCTTCAACCGGCAGAAGTTCAGTAGACTGGCGATAATCTGCCCAATGTTGAAAATAGAGATGAGGACGTACAGCGCAAAATGAGCGATCATCAGATTGACCCCGATGCGCTCGTACTGCGCATACCGGCCCAGACCGGTCAGCTTGAGGATAAAAGCCACGCCGGTGATGATGGTCAGGGCCATGGAGGCGATGACGGCGATGGCGCTGGTGGTGACCATGATGCCCAGGTGGCAGCGGTGCTCACGGAAGGAGTTGCGGCACGTGCTGCGCCGGCTAGAGATGATGCCGAAGAGGCCGCTCAGGGTGAAAAAGGCGCCGGCCCAGAATCCCGACCCGATGATGCTGTACAGCATGGCATGATGCAGGGGCGTCATCGAGAACGCTGCAACAAGTAGCAAAAATTGGAACATAATTAGAATTTTATGAGAACAAAATTGTTACCAAATGCTGTAAAGCTATCCGTGTATCCGGGCGTGCACAAACATGTTGTCACCAACAGCTTTCTATGCATAAAACTAAACTCTGTACTCCAAATTACTAATATCTATACTTCTATAACGCTCGATAACAATTACTCGTACTACCTTTGAGCAAGAGTTTTGCAATTTGCACTTGTTTTTTAAGAGGACGACAATTTTGAATAAACCTGGCAGAACAAGTCAGCAAAAGGTCATGCGAAGCAAAAGTGTTGCGCATTTGTACTTCAGCGTTTTCGTTAAGCTTTGTTTTTGTCCTAGGTGATTCGTACATATTCTGGGTAAAGATTCAATGTGACACCTTTAAGAAAAAGAGTTTTCCCACCAAGAAAATATATACAGCCCGAATATATATGCCGAAATTGAGAAATTATTTTACAGCTGAATGTTATCTTGATCAGTTATAGTTAAGTGATACATGAAAACTAAAGTGACGAAGTGAACGAATTTCATGACATCAACGTCATTGCTGTATTAGGATTAAGGTTTTTACGTAGGTATCTATCTGTAATAACCGTAATTCTGTGCCTTGAACACTGTCTTCCAAGGTTATAATATTTATGACTGTCTTTTTTATCACAAGTACATGCTGCAGTAGGTACAAGTGAGAACTCCTTTTTCGCTTTGTTATACCGTACGCTGTATTCATTCCCTGGATTTTCCTCCGGCTATTACTTGACTTGGGTTGCAACTTGGAAATATATTAATAAAATACAATTATAACGTACATAGTGTACAAGTATACTCTGACAGCGTTAATCGGTTTATACAATGATACAAGAAAAACAGAACAGAAAAGACCACTTCTATACGTAATATACGTACAAATAACAGGTGTTGGCGGTGTTTTGAACCAAGTATCATATACATATGCGCATATTATCTAATACGGGCAAAAGTATTTTTTATACTTCTGATAACTTAACTATAAAATGAAAAACCTACTGATAATATCCAGCGCAATCAAACCGATTCCAAATACAAACTGAAGAATAGCAAACAGCATCAGCGCCGTACGGTTCTGCATTTGTACGTCCGGAATCTGCTGCGGCGCTCCGTTGAGATGGGATACTTTGATTTTGGTATCCATTTTCAACAAATTACCGTTATTAACCAAAATTTACGAACGCCTGTTTGCAAACAATATGCCTGCAAATAAACTGTAAAATATTAACTGAATGCAGCTTGTCCTTGAAACTTTAAAGGACATGTGAAAGAAAGTCTAACAAGATGATCAGTACTAAAAAAAGTGTTTTACTTGTACAAGCAGTAAACAAACATGCACATGAGAATGATTTGGCCAATGTAGTGTCTACATATTTCCAAACCAAAACATTGCCAGAAGCCAAAATTTGTTAACAAATTTCAAGAGAAATTTTTCACTGTGGCGGCAAATTTATCAATCGTGCACGGCAAACCTACCCGGTAATTTCTAGGAAATATACATAAATATGTCAATAATGAATTATAATCATTTTTTTACGCAGAAACCGTGGGATTTTCCGCTACTTTAGCATGACGCTTACGCTTGCATGTCATGTTTATGTGTCAAAAACTTATTTATCAAATCGTTTAGTTGTTGGAATGTATTTACCTGTGTCAAACACAAGCTAGAACGCAGTTTTGAAGTTACCAGAAGACTCTTTACTACCCTATTGATTTAAAGTACGTACGAGTATATTGCACTGGCACTGGTTATTCGGGTACGAGTATACGTAGTTGTAGAGTAGTGACGCTTCCTTTCATTTTTACTGTAGTTTTTATTACAGTAATTGTGCACATATGTACGGCATAATTAACAGTTGTGTAATTAGTAAATTATTTACATGCACGCAGTAAGATTCCGTTAACTGGTGCACAGTTTTTAATTGTGGCAAGATGTCGCTTCTTTTCATTAAGGCATCATGAATAATAATTATAGATAACTTGATAATTCGATGATTGGTTAGTGGTGCGACATTTCTAGACCACAAATAATCTGCAATTTTTGAAAATGTATTGCTAGGTTTATGGTGTATCAAAGAGCGATAGAAAGGCCATTTAACGGTCAATCTTTTATTTAACTGTTTTCCAGCACCACCCCACCCAAACAGCCCACAATCCCACTTCCGGTACTTAGTTCTGACCGGAGCCGGCAGTCCAGCAGAGTGAATCATATGATGACAAGATGCGGCAATAAACGGGACGTTAGTGGTGGGGGGAAGTTGATGTTCAATAAACATTAATAACGAGCGCTTATTTCGTGGCTGTCTAATTTGTTATGCATGACGGGACTGGAAAGCACTGCTTGCTCCCGTCTGATATATGTAACATTTATCGACTGGTTTACGGCGGCTGTGGAATAATAATAGCTGGTAATGAGTGTGGTGTGGATTTTGCTAGCTTATTTATTGCTGTTTAATATGGAAAGGGGTTAAAAATGGGAGCGCCTTTATTGGACAGCCGACAGATGTCATTGGACAGACTACGCTACCAGACGTACAATAACCTTTCAGTTTCTCGTATAATTTGCATAATTCGTACGATTTGTATAATACCAATTAATTTTGTACAGACTATGTGTCAAAAAATGTTATCCGCAAATGACCACCGTATCCATATTAAACTAGAAGAGCCGAATATAAATTAAAAATGACACGTTGCTGACCGAGATAAAAAATATTAGTAGGTAAAATGTTTTCCGTTAAATTTTGAAAGAATATTTAACTGTAAAGAAGGGAACAATTACCCGTGAAATGGCATAAGTAAAAGCAAAAAAAGAAGCAAATTTATTGGGATATCTTTAAACAAAATCACATTAAAATCTGGCTGATGATAATTTATGGTAGTCAAATTCTGCAACAGCCCTTATTCTACGTTATCCCGTTGTAAACGTTCTTTAAATTTCCAAAGACATCCAAATGCACAGGAAACAGGCACAGGCACTCTCCGTACAAAAAGCATTTGTGTAATACACTCTGCATGCATCCAAATACCCATGTAGCAGCTCAGTTAGCAATGTTATTTTAACTTTACCGAGGAGAAATAATTTACAGTAGTCAAGTGCCGAAAGATTCCTTGTTAACATGTGATTGACGACAGAATCAACCATTTGACAATTGTAATAAAAGTTCGTGGAAAACGCGATTTGACGCTTTATAGCCGTTATCACTCCAGCACATTGTGCCGGACTTTTATGACCTGCAACGAACAGTAGATTATTTTAGCTAATATTGATTTAAACAGCTTGATGTCCACAAAATGCACAAATAAAATCGATTTCAGTAATGCATCCTTTAAAGCAGTTTTGTAATACAGCAACTGTTTCGGGCCGGATACGTTAAACATCAAAATAAATGCAATTAGTTCAACAAAGTATTAATATCCATGCAAGTATTGCAAAGGCGATTACATAGAAAGCAATTTCGTAAAGTTACGTAGAAGATACACTTACAAATAGATTCACTTGGTTTATTCCAACTCCCGAAGATTTTGAAAAAGATCTATGGTTTTTAATTTTTTCAATTTTTTCATTTATATTATTAATACGCATATTAAAAATATATTGATTATATTTTTAATATAAATTGTTGCTCACTAAATGCAAAATTCGCTTTAAACGGGCCTTGTAAATTCTTGGTTTCTCTTGAAGAATATTGGCTATTTTAACATTTGAAAAGTGGTGCATTTCCGGTCGACATTCAGTCTATTATAATACAGGGTCGTCTAGCTGACCTGATAAGCGAAATTTGACCTCGGTCACATTAAGGATACCTGGCACCGGTCTTACGTGTGAAGACATTTACAAATGATTGTCAATGTTAAATAATTTCCTGATCGCTGGCGTTGCAAATCATCACTTCCGCTTTAACAGCACATCGGACAATTCATCCAGGTTAATGGGCGTACCGGTGTTATTTCCGCTATACAGTAGACGACTGCATTTGATCAGGGATAACCTTTTCAGTTTATTATCTAGCCGGTGGAACTTCGTCACCAGGATACCGGAATGCGTCACAGCTATCTCGTCAGTGCCGAATATAGCGATTTGGTTCACTTTGCGTGGACAAAAAAATGTGTCAACAACCTGCCGCTCTCCAGTTTTGTTAAATACGAGTATACGAATTTATTTTGATATTTTTTATAACTGTTTGATCATTGGCCGTTTCTTGTGGGCAGTGTTCCTTTGTTTTACGAAAACTATATTATATTAAAAAAAATTTCTTTAAGAAGCAGCAACACGAAAACAGTGTTGTAAAGAGTTTAAACAGGCTTATAATTATGTAGTATTTGCTACGTACAAAAGTATATATGCCACCGTTCACTGTAACTGCGAAAACTAAAAATTTAATACACCCAAATGGTGCGCCTTGTAATCATGGTTATTATGCAGTCGCGGCGATGCATTTGAATGATTAAATGGGGATGCGGAGGAATGCGGCTGGATACAGTTGATAAGTATGCTAATCTGGCGAGGTTTCCGGGTCAATATTCGGACAGCAGCCACTTGAGCCACGGTAGCGAGTATATTATATGTACGCTGGCGACTGAGTGGCGAGTGACCATTAGGCCGGCGGAGCATATTGCACTAGCACGGGATATGGTGAATAACGCTCCGCACTGCTCCACTTGTCCAAATATCCTTACACAACAAACATCCCACACGTATCCCGCTACTGATTACACTGCACAGTCACGTTAATCCGGAACCACTGTATAGCATTGGCAACGATACTGTACACGTCCCGGTTTTTATCACCCTTCCTGGAGCATTATATTTGCAGTATGTAGAAATATTGTAGCGTCTAAACCAAGACAAAATACTATGTCATTGTTAGTTTTGATCATTAAAAATGTTATTGTTAATCTTTAAATATTATAAATAAATACAAATGTTTGTAATATACGAACAACACAGTCTTCCTACCAACCAAGTTTTATTTTGATTTCGACGTTTGTAATGGCCAGCCGGAATTACCCTAGCTGACCCAGAAACTTCGTGGTAAGTAATATTTTTGTATTAAAGAGAAAATCGTATTAAAGAGAAAATCCAGGTATTATATAAAAAGCAGGGAAGTTCTTCGAAACGTATAAATTTATTTTTTTATACGTTTTGCATTAGCTAATACTAAAATGAGTTGATCTAGCCCCCGGATTATTTGCGCAGCAGCATACAGCATCGGTATACGCAAATATTGTACGGCACCTCGTACGCGAAGGCGTTTCCCCTGAGAGCAGCACGTCAATCTACGCCGGGACTGCTCGCTTGCGCCGTTCCCGCTCTCTCTTCCGCACCCTACTCAACATGCACCACGAGTATCATGAGAAAATGGGAAATGTCCGACAAGACGGATGACTACACGATCCCCCAGGGATGCAATTAAGCCCCGCTGGATGTGTGCACATCACGACACACCAGTGCCACTGGTGTGTATTATGCGTGGACTGTGTCTTATTGCTGTATCCAACCAAACTGGTCCACGGCAAATTAACACGTGTGTTAGCGATACATGGCTGTTGTTGCGGCGATACTAAAACGGACGCGGGACGCTATCCAGCTTCTTTTGACCTCGATTTTCTACGTTTAACCAAATTGAATACCTAATTTACAACTCATCGATCAGCTCGATTTAAGTCAAAAGGATATTAAGGATTTTGTGTGCTTTATCTAAAAATTTTGTTTTTGCATGCTAAGTTTTGCACAGTAAAAACAATTTTGCTTTGCTTACTTATATACTGTAGCAAAATGTCAGCCATTTGCATATTTGCAAAACAAATTCCATGTATTTTATAAAAACTGTGGATAAGTGTGTAAACTGTACGTACGATTATCACAGTTTTTTTCGTGATTAAAAAATAGCGGGAATGTGAATGAATGTAATGTACCTGCATTTCCACTTTGACAGCCTAAGCAAATATTTTCGTTTTTTAATAAGCAGTTGTGAAAGAAGATCACAACAAAATGTAATCAGAGAAGCCGCTGAAATCCCGCTTTTCATGCCAATTCACTGCGTTCCAAAACAGTATTTAGCTAAGCATGAGTCATAAAATAAAGCGTGGCGTTACATACAGTATGCCGGGCGTCATATGATCACCCGGGAATGACCAGCAAACACAATCCTCAAGATTTGTTCTTCCTATCGTCAATGAACATAATCTCCGGCCAAGTTGCGGCCACAACAGGACATCCGATGCGGGACCGGCTGCGCAGTTGAAGATACGCTAAAGTCTGATTGCGCGCGCAGCTTTCAAGTGCTTCTTACCCAACTAATCCAGCCAATTCCACTGCGCATCAGTACAAACACACAGGCAACAGTCGCAGTATACAGTTTCCTTAATGTTTCCTTTCCATGTTTATAATTATGTGGAAGTTTCAAAATATTCTCATTAGCCACTGCTGCATAGTGGTGCAGTTTGAACTCTAATAAGGTCAAGCGCTGTGTACGGCAGATATCGTTACTTGTCCTGATTGTGAGTGTTATCTAAATGACAGGGTATATATACTTAATTGGAACTGTATGTAAATATATGACAAACCAAATCGAAATACTGAAACGAACTAAACCAGGAAACTGCGGTTAGCATTTCTGTTTTCACAATAAAAATATACGAAGTTATGCAAATCTCCATATTCTACGAAATAATAAAAATACATGTCTGGAAATATAATACTTCCAGACATCTGGTCCACTTGAATATAATTCCACTAGAATTTTAAAATCTTTTTAAACATTGTAAAAAGCTGGAATTATCTCGTTTTTCGTACTTGCTAAAAATATCTGGAAAGCAGATTCTGATTTTAGTAAAATATTGACAGCTTTTTGTGATTTTGTATAAGAAATCAGAAACAATGTCGTGTGAATAACATGTTGTTGTTTTTACTGCAACAACATAAACAACTGGATCAAGATTGCGTGGTAAGCTATTGTAAAGGTCACCGGAACTATCCACTACAAAGCAACAGCTGAGCGTAACATACACTGTACATCACGCTACGGGATGTATACAAGACGTGCAACTAACAGCATCAGCGTACATATGCTGTACGTGGAGATAATCCAGCGCGTAATCGCATAACCGAGCCGCCTACGCAGAGGCCCGTCGTCTGTACAGTGTTAGCCGTAGATTGAGCCCAGCGGGCAAACAACGCCCAGACATCCCCAATGTTATCCAGAAATGTTTAATTACACCAAGTACGTTTTTAATAATGCCACCGTATCAGCGCCGGCTGCTCAGCGGCGGCCTTCAGGGATTTCGCGCGCGCGCCAAGATGGAAAAACATTGCATTTGAGAAAACATTCGCTGGCCCGTGCCAGTAAATTAGCGTACTGCACAACAGGAAGAACAGCACAATGGCCCAACGGAAAAATAAACACGCATGCTGTTCGGTAATTTTAGAACGTCGGGAAAAAACCATCGGCACAGCGTGCACACGATTTAGTTTTGTGACGTCATCTGCTGTTTTGTTATATCCTTGTGTTATTAAATTTTTAAGTGCGTAATTCTGCACTTTAGTTATCGAATATTTATAAAATTTAGCTAAATCTTTAGAGTATTTATTTATTGATTTATTTTGAGACGGGGAACATGCTCCACTTTTTTCAAAACTAGATCGATTGTTTTTGGCGCCGGCCATGAAAATCCTGATCCACTGTTATCAACCCTTTACAGGGATCATTAATTTTACTCCAGTTAAATATATATAGCACACATCCCACTTTTTGGGGAATACGGACTAGTCGGACTGAGCGCTAAGCCAAATTTATGTCGTTCCAGATTTGGAGACTGTCAGGAAAAATGTAATTACAAGCTGTCTTGGCAATTCACTCCGGGTTTGACGTGACTGTCATGGAGAATAAGATTCCCTGTTCTCCCGACTGTATCCGCTGATGTGTGCCTCCATAATACAACACAACGAACGGTCGGCTGTGAGAACTTAAGCTCAATTTCCATTTCCCATCCGGTCAGTCAAGCGTTGGCTAATTCCCTGTTTTAAATTCTCTCCGTCAGACTGTCATGCCAGAAACCTTCAACGGAAATGACTAATGCGGTTAGAATGAAAAAGAGCCTAATAATCATTGAAAAAATTCGCAAAACGTGATCACTTTGGTGACGTACATAATAATTGCAAACACAGAACGCATTTAGTAAATCGTGTGGTACTATGTATTATTGTTGTACTTTATCGCAGCAAAAATCAAGTATGATAACATTTAAATTGAACTTAAAAGGGTTGTGCGTAATGACCGCGTTATGTGCCATAAATTGTATTTAAAATTCGTAAGTAATTACTGAATCGGTGGTAATTTAATGGCTTTAAGCTACTGATTTGCGTCGAAAAGTTTTAAATTAATTAAAATGCTTTCCTTAACCATTACCGCTTTTTTATGCTATGTAGCGTCAAAGGTTGTGATTTTTTCCGCTCGATAATTGTTGACCGAGTGAGTATATTCTAGGGCATAAAAAGCCACGCACAGACTGTACATACACGGTATTACACATGGGAAAAAACTTGAGCAAACGCACACAGCATCGATCCCGTTTTTACACACCCACCAACACTGTGGCATGCATGTTCCACTTAGGATGGGGGGCATTTGCGTTCTATTGGATATATAGAGTAATTTCCTATCATGCAATTGTGTAACTGTGTATTATCATTGATTTTCTGTCGCATTTTTCAACAGACGATCTATGTAAACCAAATAACCCCTCGTCAAGTGTACACGCGCCGGCCGGATTCCACCCATACTACAATGTGGATATATATACGAGGATATATGGTGAGTGCCTGATAGAGAGAGAGCCAGAGAAAAAGGAAAAAACGCAGCTACAAATGCAAAGCATCATTTCCGGATCAATTTATTCCTCAGCATCCACGCGCCGAGTCAAATGTCTTATATGAAAACGGTTTATATAACCTTCAGCTGTATTATCAATCGTTGTCGAACAGTATTATATAGACACCCCATTCTCACACAAACTGAGCAAGAAAAGCATGCGCTTCTTGGAAACCATACGAATTATAGAATCATATATATAATATATAGATTCAACAATCAAGAAATGCCGGTTACCGGGCGTGATACGGAAAAAATATAACAGCGTGACCTTTCTTCTCCCGGAAGAACGAAACAGAAAAACTAGAAAAAAATAAAGATAAGCCTTTTGTGGATTTTGATTATCAGAGAACGTATTGAACCGGTTTAATGGCGCCGAACGACTTCAGCTCGGCGAAGATCTTGGCAAAATATCCCGAATCGGAGTTTAATCGCAGCATGTTGGCGCTGTGTACGTCGATCATGTGCAGGCAGCGCTTCCAGAAATCATCCTTATTCTCATCGGCATATAAGAATAATTTCACCGGATAGGAGATTTCGTGTCCCATATAGGAATAGGATAGGTATAAGGCCGTCAGCACGTGGGCCTGCAGTTGCCGGATGGATTTGGCGTGTTCCATCCTGAGATCGCGCAGGAGCAGATAGAGGAAGACAATGTTGGCCGGATTGATGAAACCAATGTCCTGCCAGCCCTGGGCGATCAGGTTACGGTCCAGACCGCGCAGCCACAACGGCGGATCCTGTGGGGAGAAGTCGCCGTTCAGGTTGCGGAAGCGACCGTGTAAGAAGATGCCGAAACAGCGCAGCAGCTCCGAGGTGGAGGCCTGCAGAACGGTGCGCTTAACAATCCGCGGGACTTCCTCTTTGACATCTGCTGTGTCGGCTTTTACATTCTCTTTGTTGTCAGATTCGCGGGTTATACGAGAAAGGTCTTCCTGTGCAATCTGAAAATGCATTACAATCACAATACTGAAAAATGAATAAGAAGATTTTCATCGGAATTGCTTGCTCATACAAAAACTGGTAAAAACCGCGATATCGTTAGCTCGAACATACAATAATTTATACATGCTGTTTACACGGTAATACAATTGTATCTACGCATTATATAGAACATTTTTCCATTTAATTTTGAATATGATTATGATTTATGCATTAAACACGCTCACGCGGCATCCGAGTTATCCGGAGAATTACCAATATAAATCGAATTTCAAGCTTGGTTACGCACTCTACCGCTGTGCATAATTCATGTGCGTGCCGCATACCTGATGTGTCCTCTCGATGACCTTTTCCGAATCAGCTCGTTTCAGTACCAGATCTTCCGGCAGAATCCGTGCCTTACTATTCCGTTTAGCACGGCTCAGCGCACCGGAACTGATGAGCTTCTTCAAGGTGTTGGTGTTCATGATGTGGAAGTGTTGCGCAATCATATTGCGAGCGGCTCCGGTGGTGTCCTGTACGGCTTTACTCGATGGCAGGCTTTGATAGGAGAATACACTGGCTACCTTGGTCGGTGCGGACAAATTACTCCCGCCAGTCGGCGTGAAAACGGATAATGTGGCACCCATCTTCTGCTGTACCATGTGTATATATACCAACGAGCGGGATGATTAATACGTCGCACAGGAATCGGCGATAAAGGTGCGATAAACACCCCTCCCCCGCGCGCGCGGTGTGTGCTAAATTAGTCCACTAAATCCGTCGCGTTGTGCCGGTTAATTCGCAACTAGCACCGTCAACGTCACGGATTGTTTATCCCGCGTTGCCGGGTTTGCCGAATACAAAAGACAAGCAACGTTGGTGTACGGTGTTGGTCTACGGGGGAAAAAGGTCCTGAATGATGTGTTTGTACAATAGCTGTGTAGAGAGCAGTCTATGGGAGGCTGCACTCCATCGGAATGAAATGGCGTGCGGGCCGGCTGTTATATATGCACATCATTCCTGGCAAGAGTGTTTTACGCAGACATGTAAAATATATGGATCCCCCAATTGCACCGGCTAGCAGAACGGCTCCAGCTGTGGGCGTTGACGTCAGCCTGTGGATATCAGGGAATGACAGGCGTTTTATTGGAAGAATATTTAATCAGCATGGGATGCAAGGATGCTGAAGTGTATATCAGTGAATATATATGCCGGCATCAGCGTACATACCAATGCCCTGTCGTGTCTATCACTCGATCGATAATGTGATGAGCTGGAACCGGCGTTTTTTAATGGTGTTCGTGTTTTTTGATCAGCGAGATTATGGGGAAAAAATGGAAGATTCTTTTCAGACTCGGGAATGATCGTTTCTGAAGGGGACATGCACTGATGGGGATTCTGGGTGACAAAGTTACGATCGGGGCATTGTGTGGGACTTTATGCTCGGCTTCCAGGGTTATCGTTTTCGTCGTGCTCTATAAATAGCTTTGACCAGCGATACTGCATGTTCGTGCAAATCGAACAGAGCAAAAAAAGCAATATAAGATACACATCAAACAATAAATTTTAAATTGATAGAACTTGTTTACGGTTTGTGTGATGTCTTTTATATATATACTACTGACTATTCATGTGCCTTACGTAATTTGAAATGCAGCGCAGTATATATTCTGCTACATTTTTAGACCGAATAAATCAGCATGTACAGATACGTGCGATGTGCGCACTCCTCTCCGCTTATTTCTTTTTAATTTTTTCCCAGGAATATTTTTATAAAGCGCCATTGTTTACGAGTTATTTCAAGATTTACCGCGCCACGCCTTGGATTCTTTTATTAGAAGGCACACCAGACTGCGCAGTACATTGCCAAGATTTAAGAGGCTCACCGGTAAATTCGTTGCCACTGTGTGTTTAATGAACCTGTCAGAACAAAAACGTGCGGCACGCTATTTTAACGTAATTGCACCTTAACCTCCACTAAAAACTGCTAAATGGTAAAGGACACGTATGTCTTATACCGCCTAAATAACCTGAAAATGTTATGTACACTTAATTTAGGGTGACCAAATTACGCCGGCACGTGTACTGTGCACCTCCCAAAAATGCATCCTGAATAGCCGGTTACAGTACGCCGCAGGAGCATTTGGAAACCTGACAAATGCTTCCTGCGCATTGAGCAGCCGAAACATTAGCAAAAGCTAAATGCGGCGCATAAGACAAAAATACAAACGCAATCAGCGTTGATAAATATTATGACCACCTGGGGTATAAATAAGTTGCGGTCCCATTTTCCGGTAGGCGATTGACGTACATGATAATGTTTCTGGGGCGGATAGAACATTAGGACAATGCATTCCGTTGGGAGCCGGCTTGTAAGACGATCCTGCTCATTTGTATCGACGCAGTGCATTGTTAGCATTTAATACTGTCTCTTATATAAACCTTATACGTAGACATGCGCGTTGTGTAACATATTCCTTTACTGGCAAATTGTTCATAAAGGTCACCCTTCTCGTGTGATTTCAATGTGGATAAACAATTTTACAGTGAAGACTACAATGACACTTTAATTCATAATCGCATAAATTTCGCCGAAATAATGATAAATTTAGCCGGTCGACAATGTCTCACGTTGATACTTAATGCATTCATTGGGCAGACAGCGCACGCTCTCATTTTTTACAACCAAATTAACAATAGGGAAAAAATTCCCCGATGACGCACAATGCTGCCCTCGCGTGATAGAATTAAAGAAGAAGAAATTTGCTATAGATAACCACATTATCTCCGGAGCGCGGAGGCCCACGCGCTCGCTGCCCCACAATTAAGCACGGGTGCCAATTGTGCCCGGCGCTTCCGGTGGGAGATGGACGTGTCCGCCTGCGCCCCGTTCCTCCCGCACCATGGATCATCGTTATCAGCCGTGTGTCATCGGCATCCATCATGCTTATCGCGGGAGAAAGCAGCTGTACAGCGTGGTCGGATGGTGTTTACGGCGCGGGAAGAAATGGCCACAGGAATATACATGTATACGTAGACGCCGGCTATTAATATCCCCTTAACGCAAGGAAACGACCAATTAATCTGACTTTTAAGCCAGATGCCGGTTTGGAATGCGCCCCAGCGTATAATGCTTTAATCTTCTTGTTATTCGCCGGGATCCTTCCGCCGTTATTGAGTGTTTAGTTGCATTCATTTAAAAAATCTTTGAAGCTTGGACAACAAAAAAATAAACCCAAAAAAGCGAAGATGCAAGGCTTGCAAATATATGTAAATGCTTATTTAAAATTAAAGGACAGTTTATTAGAAAATGCCATTTTCTTACAAAAGTGGCATTACACTTTGCCGTAAACAAGTGTAATGCACAGGCCGGCATGGTACAGCTTATTAGGACTGTATCCAAAAAGCAAAACGTTGTGAGAAAAAGCTACATTTGCGCAAATAACGTAGTAGCATACACGTATAAAATACCTATCAAAAGTTGAAAGTCTAAGTTCGTTCTGCCAACCCCTAATTATTGCATTTTACACTGCACAAGGCTCACTATCAATTACGATGCCCATGCAAAGCGCTACATTTGTTTAAACGTACTGAATAAAGTCATCACCGTTAGTTATCATTACGCTAAACACTATTTAATACACCTAAATGCAAAATTGAAAACTAAACGATATTTTATGCATGGTGGTGCACTTGAATAATTTCTGTTTGACCGCGTCAGAAGGTCGTTAGGAGCCTACTGCATTTTAATAAATGATCGAGCAACTCACAAGACAAAGCACAATCTGGAAAAGATGCCGGAAAATTGTCGTTCGTATTGCACCCTACCACAATTATCTAGGCACGAGTTTGTCAGAATTTCACGCGCTGTCGTGCAGGAATATGGACATAATTGCCTTTTACGGGAGATTATTATAGCAAATCATAACAGCACTTAATCATGCAATTCTCTTATATAAGCATCCTAAATTTTCGGGAAATGTATTTAGAAAACCCATTATTATTTTTCAAACCAACTACTGCGCGAGTACTGAATTTTGCAGGTTTATAAGAAAGCTTAAAATAATTAGGATGCGAGCTGTTTAACTATTGCATGTACGATATAAACATGTTGCTGATTGTTTATTGGTCAAAATGTAGATTACTTTTAATGTATTCCAGACTTTTAATAGATTCTATCAGATTTTTCACGCCTGATCTTCGCCGTGACAATCTGTGCCGACTTGCTGACGTCAGCTTGGCGTTATTTTATTGTCGGATGGCATAATATTGAAGCAAGAGCGACCGGAAGTCAATAAAGTAGGCGACAGCGCCTGCAGCGGGGGCACAAATGCCGGTCTTCCTTCTAAGACAGCTAGAACGCTATAGTCAATAAGACTTACTCCTGATTACACTGCTGCTATCAAAGCGCTAAGCCCTTCCACACCAACTACAACAACAACAATTTCGGTCAAATATCGATAAACTTTTTGCTTTGAACCTTTGATGAATTCAGTCTACACCGGAAAAAAAGGTCAAAGAACGCGCGCGCGCGGCACTCCATTGACAAATTAGTGGCGTCGCGGCAAAATCAACACGCGCTACTCTGTGTGTATTTAGAATTACGGGCGTTGTCTATGTAAATTCGGGAAAAAATTTAATATAAATGCAGATTTTATTTGATTTTGATTTCGGCCAATTTTTCTTATGCTTTGACGTTTGATGAATTAGTTAGAAACACACATAAATGCAATAATAAGTGGCTGATGTACCATGAGTCGACGGATTTATTTCTAACAAAAGATAAAAAAATTGTTTTGAATGTTTTCTTGATGCAAATACATGTGTATCTTTAATTTTAGCAAGCAAATCTTACAACCAGCGATACATGTATTATAATCAGTACTCTATACAGAAACAGTAATATATTCCATAGAGTCGTTTTAATTGCGCAACGCACAAGTCTCCGAACGCACAGCAAAATGCTTTCGTAAACAATATTAGCGCCAATAATTCATTCAGTGTCGCGGACATCCAATTATTGCAATACAACAAAAACACCCCCGAACGCTCTTCATCGGGAATTCGGTTTGTTTTGTATGGAAAAAGACAGTCCATTACGATGGATATAGTGGAGCAATAATCCCAGATTGCAATTTAATTTTTCCCGGTGCCTGGTAGCGCTGCTGCCGCATCAAGCCGGTTAGAGACGACGACGTCGATGTCTGGCAGAGGCACTTGTTTATCGGATTGTCCACAGATAAATATGCATATTGAGTTATCCTTGAATGAAGAGGGAGCTTAATTGCACGCACATGCCTATCCAGTTGGGGATTAAGTTGACTATCTTAAATTGTATTAAAGGTCGCGTGATTACATGCCACATCAGCATGCACATCAGCCTTAGACACTAATACTCCGTAAATGAAATGCAAATCTAATCAACTTGAACATCATCAATAGCAGCGCAATTTCCAATTGCACCATGGGGACGGTTGTCAAGAATAAAAATATTTTTACTCACTATTTACATATGCCGGCATTAATATCCTTCAGTAGATACAGATACAGTGCTGCGCTCATTGATCACAACTTCTTGCAACCAGTTTTTTCAAACACACTTTCGTATATTTTTCAAAAGCTGCAAATATTTACAGATATTTTAAAAAATCTTAAACATTTCAAAATTATTTAAAAAATGACTTTTAATTAACAGCATATAAAATTGTGGTCGTAATTCCGATTTCTGTAAAAAAAATGTTGCGGTACTAATTCAACATTAGATAAGAAGGCCAAAGAATTGCATTAATGGTTTGCGTAAGTATTTTACAAATCTGGAATCGAAGAAAAACATGTGATCCCCTAAATTCAGTGTTAAGAATTTACGAATTTCAGCTAAATCTCTGCGGGGTATGTTTTATTTTCCCCGACACAAACACCAGATGCTGCCGGTTTCCAGGTTCTTATGAATATTTCACACTCTGACCTTGACTGTGCTCCTCCATATATGCAGTGCCTAACGGGAGACTGTCTGACGTTAACTTCAAGCCAGCTAAGTCATCTGACTCTTCAATGGTGCAATTACACTGATGGATTTGAAGATGCTACTTGCTAGGGCTTAATTGCTTCCTATCACCAAACCACGGGCACATCCAACAGCCATCGATTTTATATCTCTTCTGCCAGCCCGGAAGAGCCCTATCCAAACTATAAATAACATCAAAACATACCACTTTGCATTTGCATGCAAATGCTGTATTTCGGGAAAAAACACCATCAATCTGGCATATGCTTTTGATTGAAAATTCCTCGTTTTCTGAGGAAAAGAGGAAAGACAGCATTTACAGTGGAAGTGTAATTAAGCAATAAGTAGAGTAATGGAAAAATACAATTCATTCAGTTTTCTAATTTATGACGTGCATGCGAGACGTCACTGCACTTAGACACGATTCGACCAAACGGCCAAAAGGTCAACAATATTGTATGCTGGAAAAAAATCACGATTCACCAATTTTGATTTAAGGTGCGGAGCGGACACTGCAAAAAATGCCAAGAAGAGCTCACATGTGCTTCCACATTTCGAAGGCACTTTACGGCACTTGTGGATGCCAAGCGCCCAAACGTCCCGGAAGTGTTGAAGTTGCGATTGCATAACACGTGCAGTGTAAAAGGAAGGTATTGTGGCGACAGGGTCTATTAGAAATTCAGACGCATCTACTGGAAATTAAGATGTTTCACGGGTTTTCCTACGTAAAGCATCACGCTGTGCCGGTGAAGAGTTCTCAGTAACAATGGAGATCCTGACACACCTACGCCGAAAGGTTGACCATTTGCAATACAAGCGCGTGCCTAAGCTGGCAATGTGCGGCGCTTTCACATACACACGCGTCGTGTTTCTTTCTAATTTTATTTCGATTAATTAACAGTAAAATAGAATTCTTTCATTGGTCTTTCATATCGGGTCGGTTAGTCTTAACAACAAGACATTTTCTTTCTTTCTTAGATGATATTAATACTCGCATTACGCAAACAAATACGCAAGCAAAAACCATTTTTATCGACAGAATGCTCTGTCTGCAGGTAACTACTACCATCCACATTATTATGTCTGTATGACAGCCAGACGTCTCGGACAACAGGGCGTTCATGCACAGAATAACGTTATAAGAACGTGTCTGCTTAATGTTAAACCAATTTTGTTACGTAGAAGACCGCAATTTAGTGTAGTTATTATTAATAACTTGGTATGTGATCTATGTACCACATTTAGACTTTTACCAAATATATCGACCCGCAGTCAAAATTAGTAATGTCTGCGCTTACAGGGTCATGAACCTGGATGTTATTTTATAAAACCTGAAATCAAAGTTTACACAGGCGTTTTTACGAATCCGTTATTACAAGTTTCCATAACATACAGTACAGCACGCGTCCTGGTATCCTCTAACAGCTGATGCAATTAAACAGAACGAAGTCTTTTACCGCTCAATATAAAGGCATCCGGGTTTGGGCAATTTCAGGCAAAGTGCGCGTCAAACATTCAGGTGGCGTAATCGAATATTAGTTTGAACTGTTGAATCTTCCTACCAAGGCTAGTATATAAAGCATTCTCAACACGTTCCGAAATTTTCATTGCTGCACTATCGTTAAATTAAATTTCAACTGCATCCAGATTTAGTCCTATCGTTTGTTCGTTAAAAGGTCACGTTTAAAATGGCTCAGTTTGCTTTTGCTTTGTTAGCTTCGTTCGTCGCATGCGCTATGGCTGCTCCCATGGACATGAGTGATAGTGGTAAGTCTGAAAACCTGCCTGATAGTTTGACCTTTCAGTGGTTATCGCTAGTGTATTACATCGTTGCTTGTGTCTGATATAACTTTGTACGTCTTTTTTCGTTTGTAGCCAGTCCACAAGAACGCGCTATCATCCGTCGGGTAACCGCCCAGCGTGCCATCTTCCCAGGTCTTGGCGGATTCGGTCTCGGCGGACTGGGCTTGGGCGGATTCGGTTACGGTTTGGGCGGACTGGGTTATGGCGGTCTTGGCTTTGGCGGACTTGGCTACGGTTTGGGTGGACTTGGATATGGAGGATACGGCTTCGGATACCCAGGTATAGTGCAAGCTGATTATCAGTTTGAAATGAGTGAATTTTGAATAATTTGTGATTTGGCTTTTGATTCGTGAATTTCAAGTAATTTTTTCTACGCATTCAGTTTTGTGACTGGTTAAATCTTAATTTTGTGGTGATAAAGAACGATTTTCGTTTAATGACTTTTGGAATCGTCTGACATGGATCGACTTTTGACTTATCGCGGTTCATTGTGTAGGCCTGTTCTTCGACGAAGAGCCCAGTGGCTCCAGCGATGAATCTCAGATGGACGGCGAAAACGACGAGATGATGGACGACCACATGAAGTCCTACAGCAAGGGCGACTTCAAGACTATCGTCATCCCCGGCAACATGATCCACAAGATGAAGGTGAAGCTCTACAACAAACCCGGCATGGAGTCCTCCACTGCCAACATGGCTACCTCGATCGACGCCACCAACACCGCCCCTATGACCTCCACCAGCAACATGAACCAGAAGGTCCGTATCATTCGCGTCCCCACCTCCGTATTCCGCCGTTTCGTCCACCACGCTCGCCAGTCCACCGGCCACGGCATCGACACCGACCACATGACGGAGAGCGGTATGACCGACATCGACAATGAAGTCCCCATGGAGGCCAGCATCGACGCCGACAACACCGAGCAGGAGGAAGCCACCAACGTGAAGGGGATGAAAGTGCTGCGCGTTCCGCATGAAGTCTTCACTCGTCTCCACAAGACCATCCCTAAGCGCGTCCAGACAGCCGTGACGGATCAGGATTTGGACAACATCGTTAAAGGTAAAGAGAAGTCCATGGTTCGTGTTTTGCCGGTTCCGCATAGTATTTACAAGAAACTGAAGGAGCAGTACCAGAGTGCCTATGAAAGCGCGGATGAGGGCTCATCCGATGACAGCATGTTTGGTTCGTCTGATGAAAGCGCTGATAGCTCAACTGATTCTGAATAGTGTGGTTGAGCGAATTTTCTTGTTGAGTTGATTTTCTGACGTTGTTTTCTGGTCATGATCGATACTTGCGAGTGTCTTAATTTTTGTACTGGTTGTTTTTGAGCGGCTGTGAACTGTCAATGCGTGCTAAGAACAGGAAGGTTGAATTAAAACTGAATGGAAATTGCCAGATCTTTTATTCGTTACATGTACAATTACTACAATTACGTTTGTTTCAAACAAACGTTCACTTCATTCATGTGCGAATAACCAGAATGTCTGCATTTCTCCTCGTCCCTAGTAGAAACCAAAAAACCTGTCAGACGCAGCAGATTATTGCAGCTACACAACCATTTTGCAATCTGGCAAAACCTTTAGAGACGTGAATCCACGTTGTCTCACGGCAAATTCTGGACAGTGCCGCACAATATCTGCTGTCGTTATGGAGATGTGGATTCGCGAGGGTTTACTGTTGGTCGCTATCCTGGATGCAACGTTCACCGTGTCGCCGAACCTAGGAAGCCTCTATGGTTGACAACTTTTTTGGTGGTGTTGCAATACTTACAGACAGTATCTTGGACGCTTGTGACCAATCACGCCGGCGACACACGAACCTGAAACCGTTCGCAGACGGTGAACGATACTGTTAATAGTTATGACCTTATTGTACCAGATGTACCGGTATGTATGCCAGCCAAAAACTGTAGAAAATTGTCATTCCTCAGTTGAGAGAATTCCCTCTTAAAGGCCAGCGCCATGCGACAGATTTCGGCTGCGTGCCGGTTATTCCCATTATCACTTTTCCCGCTAAAAACCTGTGGTTGTGGCAGAAAAGTACTGTAGTGGTTTTCAAGCAGCACTGGCAAATGCGCCCTCATTGGAACTTGAGCTGATGTGATATACAACATACCAAGTATTGGTCCTCTACCGTTTCCACTTTGTACACCGCAAAATTCGTCACGACCTTGTCAAATCGTGTAAAAAGAGTGTTGATGACTTCGATAATTTGGTACGGGTTATGCGTGGATACAAAGTGCAGGAATCCCCAGATGTGACTGAAGAATACGGTGGAAGCGGCAAACACATCGGGTGTGATTTTGTCTCCTGTGTACAGTTGATCCAGTATCCATCTGTAAAAGCAAACTTAGATGCACTGAAAACGAGAAATAACGGCCCTGAAAAATGATTATTTGGATGTCTTCCGTACCACAAGAAATCTAAGCTTAAGGTACGTGGTACGCGTACCATGTACCTTAAATTTCTGAAGTACGGAAATAAAGTAATTTTATCCCAGATCTTCTTGCATCTTAATGTACACGTTAAGATGCAAGCAGATTTGGGACAAGATTTAATTCCCTACGCCAGACCATCGGACCAAAATATTTCATCAACAAAGGCGGCAAAAAGCGTACGCAAACTCTCGTGAGACTACTCGTAGTCACCCGGTAAACTCGGTTTTAAATCCCTTATTGGGAAATCGGTTTTTTGTGTTACCGTACGCTCTTACTCTTATGGTTAGCAGCTATACCGACCAGTAATACCGTATGTATGTAACGTTCTTGCATAACGATTTTAAATTTTCTCCACTTATTATAATTATTTACTTTGGTAGCATTTCCAGTAATAGCCCTTCGCACACCGACTGCTCCTTGGCCAACGCCGCCGTCCTATCCTGTACTTGCTTTTCCAATTGTGCCGCATATGTTTCCATCCTCGTCAGAATATTAGCCAACAGGCCATCGCCACTGACCTTACAGATCGCTCGAAACCGCTCCCTCACTACACGTATCGTCGGACGCTGTCTAGCGTCTCTCTCCGCACAAGCCCCAATCAGCGTCTGCAGGCCAGTCCGCTGCTGCTGTGACGCGCGACTGTTCAGATCGGAGTATTTAATCATATCCTTCATAATATGCGCCAAAGCCAAGATGTCACCGCTCCCGTCCAGCCGTTCCGTGCTGTTGACGGTCAGCGTGGAGTCAGCCCAACGGTCGCTTTCGTGGAGCAGTGTACCTTGTTTGTCCACTGCAATCAGGTTGTGATAGGGACCCACTAGGTCCACAAAACCCAGCTCGGAAATCAGAAGGGTGAAGCGGATGTCGATTAGGCAGATGGCAGCCGTTAGCGACCCGTGGCGTTTTAATGGACTGCCATGGATGTACCTTATTCCCTACAATCATTATCTTTATTGCAAATTTAATGTGTTCGACCTTTAGATCTGCATTCGTGGTCAGATATATTTTCACAATGACTGTACCTCTATGAGGTCGCTAAGGAGCGAACATCTCAGATCCCAATCAGCACTGTAAGTCGAGTCTTGCAACGCTTCCGGCAAATTTCCTCTGGCGCAAAATTTTTGCAAGAAATGTACGATCCCATGCTGCATACAGACTCCAACAAAAGGCACAATATTCGGGTGCGAAACCTGCATTATCTAAAAAAAATAATTTCAAAGACCATGACTGCACCTTTACGGTACTGTAAACCTTTTGCTTACAGTATGTGCTTACTTGCAGAAGCAGCTTTCTGTCTTTCCGCTTCTCCAGTACTTTTCGACCGTGTTTCCTTATAAAGAGCTTTACGCTGACCGGGTCATCTTTGTAAATGTAATCCGGTTTATCGTAATTACGAAGGGAATAATTATTCTATAAAATAATGAACGGTCCAATCTACACCATGAACCATATACTGTAGTTCCATAAACCATAACACATACAATAAAACTGAAGTTATGTGTAAGTAAGCATGGTTGACCTTTCGGCTAGATTTGACGGAGTCACGCGAAACAGCTTTCTCATTAAGTGGCTTAAGGAATGCAGTGTCCAGCATCCAAGAATTGCTTTTCAACTGGTGTTCTCGTTCCAAGCGCCTTCGAGAAAGAAGGGTTAGGATGAATCCACAGTATTTTTTGCGCAACCGTTCAAAGCTTACTTGTAAAGATACCATAAAAGAAACCCCAGAACAGCGATAGTTCCCGTAACTGCTGGAATGGTACGAGAACTGCTATCTGAATCACCTACAAATAAAACAATATCCGGTATCTGAAACTAAATATGTAGATTATAGACAATGCAGCTTATAATTTTGATGGCGCGCCTGAGTGACAATAATTTCCCAAATAGCCACACGGTGGTTCATTCTTCGGTGGCCCGGAGCCACCAAAATCCAGTTCCCCGTTGTTTTCATTCGTCAGTGTTTTCTGATAGGGATCGTACCGAATCGCCGTCTAATAACATTGAAGAGCAATTGCACATACCGTAGTTAAATGTAAACCTTAAACGCGGTCAATGTTGTATAACAATTAACAATGTATACATTGCTATACAACGTTGACGAGTGTATGCTACGTAGCATAGTTTTTGACTGCTGTTTGAAGACATTTGTGCCGTTTTAATTTTTCTAATGCACGAAGCATATTTTGGTTCCAAATGACGTACCTCGAATTTACCGGTAGTAATATTCAGATCTTGGATGCAGTGCTGGGATTGTCGTTGACCACCTGCATCGATGAACACCTCGCCAAAACCTGCATTGGGAAATTGCCGCCCCAGCATCCGGCGCGCCACAGACGCTCCCCCGTATGCCTGCTTTCTGGTTTCATTAAATATCTCCGACAATATCTATTGCCAGTACAAACGTTTGCGCTGTGCTTTAATTAACTGCTGGCTGACTGTGTCCAGCTTACTTGCAAGTAAACATAAAACGCTTGATATGCCGCGATGTTGTAGTCGTTCGGCTGGAAATGTACAGGGCTTAAGCAACATTCAACCATAATTCTAGCACGCGACCGTGGTAATCTCCTTACATTGTCGTCTCCTGGATAAAATGAGAGGTTGTACCGATTTATGTTGACACTGGCCATGGTGTCTTGTGTCTGCATGTTTTTGGTAGAAACGGTCCTGGGGCAAGGCCGAATATGGAACAGCTGGCGAAAAGCTTGAAATGCGACCTAAAATGTTCGATTTTTCGCGGACCTTCGCAGCGCAAGAACGTGCTATGCAGAGCGATGAAATATTATCTAAACTTGCCTCGTCTTGTCCATCATGCATCTCCCATGTCAGATTTCCCGATACGTAATAGCCAGGCGCTGCGGTTGCCGTAATGTACACCTCGTAAGAAAAGAAACAACCGTATACAATTTGGCGCAGGTGCATTGGCCAGTCATACTAAGGTCACTTACGTACTCTCCGTTAGTCATGTGTAGATCATGGGCAGCAAGCTGCAAAAAAACCCAAAAAGTAAAACAGTATCAATTATGAACGGATGCCACGTCGCCTTTGAACGTACCATGAATTTGCGCACATTGGCAGGATGCATGGAGAGGACAATGACTGAAATCAGTGCAAAGCTTAAGCGCAACCATGCAAATTCATTAAGCTCGCTATTACCAGAAATCGTTGCGGTGTTATATAATGCGCAATACAATCTGCTAATATTCCCTTTAAAGCTACCATGGCACCATTTAACTAGCAAAATGCCAATGTTAGTATAAATATTGATTGTGCTTACCTCGGGTGTATGTCTTCAAGGTCAGCAGGAACGGCTTGGGGGAGAATGGTTTATCTTTATCGAGCTGTACTTCTACCGCGCCAATGCGCAGTGGTGACCGGCGCGCCTTGTTTTGCGACTGCATGACTCCGACTAATTCGTAATAACTTGGCACATTACTGGTATCGTAGATTAGTCCCACGTTGGTCCAGTTGTAGCGGTCCAGGAGCGCAAACATGGTGTCAGCTAGCACCGACACCTGGATACTGGAGAACGTGACATAACTGGGATAGGCACTGCGGTCGCGCGTTGCGGGATAGGCAAAGGCGCTAATTGAAAGAAAAGCAATCTACAGGTTTGATAAGACTATACTTACGGCATAAATAAAATTATTACGACGGTCATGCCAGACAACTTACGTAGCTCCCATGAAAACATCCCATTCTGGAAGCCAACAGTTGTTAAGTAATACAGAATATGAGCTGATAGAGTTCTCAATATGTTTTACCTCGTGCCAGCATCCCGGTAATTAGCGAATCCCCACAACCTAATCCGCAGTTGATTATTAAGAGCGCCATTGTTTTATTTAATTACACTGCATTACTAATTGCATTAAACGTTGAAATATAAAAACCGAACCGCACCGAACCATAAATTAAAAAGGTACACCGTCTAATTTCACTAAACAAGCGGGTTGGTTTATCCTCAGGTGTATAAGATATCGATAGTCTTTGTTAAAGTTCCATGAACGAGTTGTCTGCTCCAGTCTGCTCACTAGTTATTATATTAAGATATGTATCATATTTCAGAATATATACTCAAGTAGTGCTTATTGCTTTTATAGTAAATACTCGTATTTGTATTGTATATAGAGTACTAAAACGGAAAAAGGGAAACACAGCCTTCAAACAAGCAGCCGGACAGCTCGATCTCACCGGAAGTTATGAGCGCCATAAGATTTTGTTCGCTCCATTTTCGACGATAATAATAGTCCGCCAGCATATAATAATTAGCCTCGGTGTCCTTACAATCACTACTCTTTGGTATTTCCAGAACAAACTGGTTGCAAGTTAGATTAAGGTCAGGATAATCAAGATTCTTATACCAGTTGAATTCGTCAATCGCAACGGATACACCGGCCGCCGTATGACGAGCTCCTCCATTCTTTCCCAGAACGTTACCATATCCATATGAAACAAATGTTATATTTATGCAAAACACCATCGATAAACAGTTGGCAAATAAAATTAAAAGTGCGGACAAATTTGTTTTTATAATTCGGTCAGGAGGCATTTTCAGTGCGCAGATAGCGTTGTAGCAGCTAACCTGTACTAAAATCATAACATGTCTTCAATCGAGAGCGGAATCATATCGAGCAGAAGTGTTTTGATACTGCTTTGCAAGAGGAGCACATTTCGCATGCGACATTTCGAAAACGTGACAACGCTTCCGATCAAAACATGGGACGCTGAACAGATTCAAACGGGGTCGCTCGCAGACCTTTTGCCGGGCCTTTGAACACGTTAATCCCGGCATTGACAAGATCTCTGTGTCTGCCGCGGCACTTCAAATGCTTCGTTGTGTGCGTGCGAGATAAAGATACACACAAAGGTCATTTCCCGGACACAGATATTCCTATGCCGAAGAATAAAGGTGCATTTTACCATGAGCAATGTTTTCAATATCAAACAAAGAGAACATATGACACCAGAAAACATAAACAAAAAAGGATGAAACACTCTATTTGCTGACCGACACACCAACGATATAATTATTCTAGCTATGCAGATTGTTTGATTACAGTAGCTTGGTACTCGTACAGGAGATTTGACTGTATTGCTGATTTTTCTGACGTATCTGGTGAAATTCAGTTCATACAGGATATTTTGTTCCTCTTCCCATTAAAAACGGGTAATGCGCATTGCGGTTTGCCATCTGCGGTGAGGTCTAATTGCCCTTCTACCGTATTATGGGACGCTAGGGTGTGCCGTCTTAATAATATACGCCGGTTGCTTCATTCGTGGGATTCTCGGTTAATGCAGTCCGGGGCTTCCGTGAAAAGAAATGCACACTCATGTCTAATGTTCCCCTGCACGTGGATCCACAAACAGCAAAGTGAGAACACGTGATCTGGAAATAAAATGACAAAAACAGGAAGATCTTTCTACAGAAAACCAATATTGTCGCATTTTTCAGCATTCTGGGAAATGGGCGGCAACTCTTCTTAACTCAACGGCATTTTTACGTACAGTATTTCATGTAGCAACTCGTACAGCATATGAAATGCACGTTTACCATTAGCTGTGCATTAATGCTTTTACATCTACAGCGACACAATCGTGGGAACTCAAATATTATTGTTCGAAAATCGTAATTCAACACTTTTTGGTGCTTAAGTGTCTCTGAGTCTGAGGCAATTTTGAAAACATGGAATGGAAAAAGCCAAGAGTTCCAAGAAGTTCCAGTAGAGACAAATGAGCCCTCGTTGTGTGTAGAACTTAAAAATCCATATCGCCAAAATGACCTGTCAAAAAGTACGCATGTTTGCTCTAAAGGTTTATTTGCCGACAACAGAAAGTTGATAGTCAGCGGATACAATTATTGTGGTAAACACGAGCGTCATCTTTGATCCTGCAGTATCAGTGGTTTGCCGGCCGCATAAACACGATGCGTTCAAGGGAAATTTAAAACATTTTTTGCGTCTGTGACTACAAAATATGTATCGTTCATAAGTTAAATTTTGATTGGCAGCAGCACTATCTGCGGCACACCGTAGAATTTTTTATTTTTGGAAATAGAGTAAGACCAAAATGAACTGCTTGAAAGGTGCGATATGGATCTGCGTAAATAAATTTTTACTTTTCAGTAAATTAAACTGATGACAACTTTTAGCCAATTTATACGTTTTATACTTGCACACACTCCGCAAAAGAAACAGTCTTAATTGTCATAAGTCACCGGTCGAAAATCATTGTATAACATTATATTGTTGTGTAATGAATCCTTAATGCGATATACCGCACTGTAATTAAACGATGCAACGGCTGCATTTAAAACTGAATTCATTTTATCTTCCTGTATCTGTACTTCTGCTTTATGGGTCTGTTGCAGTAAACTATGCTTTTATTGTCTCCAGGAATGAGAAATTGCACCGTTTTCCCATACCGGTATCTTTTTGTCGTGTTGGCATTCTTCGGCTCATTCCATCTGTATGCTTTAAGCGTCAACCTTAGTGTCGCCATCGTGGCCATGGTCAACCACACCAGTATAGACCGAGCAGAACGCGCGAGCGCCACCCAGCATCTGAACGGAACAGTTTGTCCTGCTACTACAGAAATTCTGCGTGAGAAAACAATGGTAAGAATTGCAATTAGTCTGTTGAGCACAATCAACTCCCCACGTGTATAACGCCGACAACTGTCGCACAACGTTCGCTTTGAGTGTATGGTAAAACGGATGCCGTTCCTTTTTTGCAAGGTCAGCAACACTTTCTTTACGTCATTTTGACGTTAATTTTCGTAGGACACAAAGTTGGAAATTTCGGTGAAACATTTATTGCGCAAAATAAATATGGCAATAAGCAAACTTAGAAAACAGATACTTACACTTGCAATATATAATGCTCCCAAGGTCATGCACGGTACTTTGTAGCCGAATGGAAATTTTAACTGGGATGGCCCGGTTCAAGGAATGGTTTTGGGGTCATTCTTCTACGGATATGTGTTTACATGTTGCCTGGGAGGATGGCTAGGACATCGTTTTGGTGGAAAGTATATTTTTGGACCAAGTGTGTTGATTGGTGCCGTTTTGACGCTGTTGGCCCCCTTAGCAGCCCGAACACACTATGGAGCGCTGATCGCTACACGTGCGATTCAAGGAGTTGTCAATGTACGTACGTATGTAGCCGCTCAACAGCAAACGCATAGTGTTGTATGTACTGTTCATAATTATAGCAGCAGTACATTAACTGAACAAAGCGTTCTGGAAGAACTACACACAATACCGACTTATGTTTATGCTAGGGAGTGTGCTACCCTGCCTTACAATCTATGGCAAGCAAATGGACGCCCTCCAATGAAAGAACGAAGATTGTGGGTTTCCTTACTGCCGGACAACCTTTTGGCATGGTAAATAATTTCCGAGCCTCTCCTTGTCCATATAGTGATTAATTATTAGTTATTACGAAAATTACGAAGTTCACTGTTCATCGTATCGTCCAGACACTGCAGTTTGTGTTAACGCTAACGTATACACGCGGTACCAGGTCATAAAAATGTGAGTACGGTAGAGGTAGAATGACCAGTCCTGTAGGAATTACAATATGCATCTTCACTTTGTAGATCCGTATCCTTGCGTAAACTTCGTGATCAACTTCTCATACATTAGTAAACTACAAAGATGCTAATACCGGTAATAGGCAAATTTTTGTAAAATAAACCGATGTGCACAGCTGCAATAAATTGTTATCATTATCCTAGGTGGTGACGCTAGCCCTATCTGGATATTTAGCAAGCAACTGGGGATGGGCCAGCATATTTTATCTTTTTGGCAGTACGGGGTGCATATGGTTTGCCCTTTGGGTGCTCCTGGTCTACGAATGCCCTTCCACTCATCCACATATTTCCAAAGAGGAGCTGCAGCTGTTTCTCGACGTCACCAAGCCATCACCGGATGAAAAGAATGCAAGATTTCCGTGGCGAAAAGCACTGACGTCTCGTCCGTTCATCGCAGTGATGTTATGTCATTTTGTCTTCTCTTGGACCTTCTTTACACTGATGACCAATTTACCGACGTATCTGAACAATGTACTGCATTTTGATATGGAATCCAACGGTCTCTTATCCGCCTCGCCGTATTTATCCTCCATCGTCTTGACGCAGATCGCATCCTTTATATCAGACTGGGTGCAACAAAAAGGTTACGCATCAACGACTGTGGTGCGAAAGGTCAGCCACGTAACTGGATTAGTTATTCCATCAGTTTGTCTGGTGGGTGTGGGGTTTACCTGCAACACGTATCTCGCAATGATTTTACTCAACGTGGGAGTCGGTCTGGGCGGTGCCTCGTTCGTGGCGATTGGTGCAAACTTTATCGACCTTTCACCTCAGTATTCAGGAATTCTGAGAGGGATTTCGCAGACACCGGCGATGCTGACGGGTTTCATTACGCCTTACGTTGTGGGGGTGGTTACCGGTGGCCCAAACGGACAGATTATGGAAAATTGGCGGATAGTGTTTTATATCAGCGCCGCTATGGGAATTTTCGGAGCAATAATGTACTGCCTTTTTGGATCGGGAGAAGAGCAGAACTGGGAAGAAAAACGCCGTGCTCGCACCAGAGGACAAGAACATCGCGATGTTAACGATCGTTAATCGTCATATTAAATAACTAATTGTGCATTTTCAGTAGGAATACTGCGTGGAGGTATCAATCAAACTTTGTCTTCTGTCTTTTATTAATGCTTTTTCTGGCAAGATTGCAATCCTAACATTACATATATTTGCCGACTGCAAAGTTAAATCGAGCATGCTTATATTTCCCTAGTGGAAAATTTTATCTGCGTTTGAGCTTCCATTTTAGCGGTTTTACTCAATTCTGCGAGGACGAGTTCAGCCAGAATGTTTGCATTTCCCCTCTTCCCTGTTTGAAAAGAAAATTTATAGTTTTTTAGTAATTGCTGTTTTGCTATCACAGATCCTACAGTAAACTCATACTTTCAGCGAGGTTAGTCCGCGTTGTTTTACAACGAATTCCGGGCATTTCTGAATACTTTCTGCAGTGGAAGCCGAAAGGTGGATGCGGGAAGGTTTGCTGCTTGTCGATATTCGTGACGCAACATTAACACTGTCTCCGAATCTACAAAATATTCACGTGTTAGCTGCAGTGGAGTGTTTTAAATGCAGATTTGTCATACATACAAACAGTATCGAGGACATTTATGCCCTATCACTCCGGCGGCGCATGGACCTATAGATTTCGTTAGTCATCAGGTGACGCAAAGCATTATTAAAATTCAAAGGTCATAGTATTAATTACTCTGCGTACCGGTATGTGCGCCAGCCATGAACTGTAATAAACCGTCGCTGCGTGTCTGGGAAAACGAAATTCGGAAAGACAGTGCCATTCGGCAAATTTCCACCGCATGTTCGTACTTCCCAGTATCACTTTGTCCACTGAAAACCTGTTAAGCAAAGCCTTTCACAACAAATTTTTTCCATTAATCTCAGTCGGGCTGTAAACGGGCGTGTATACCATGTACTGGTCTTCCACGGTTTCCACTTTGTAGACATTAAAATTAGGCACAATTTTATCAAACTTTACAAATAAACTACTGATGACGCTGAAGGTTTGCAGTGGACTGTGGGTGGATACGAAATGCAGGAATCCCCATATATGACTAAAGAATATTGTGGAAGACGAAAACACCTCTGGTGTAATTTTGCTGCCTGAATATAGTTGATCCAGAATCCACCTGTAAACATATCCTACTTTATACATATCACGGAAATACCACACGCCCGGTCGGCCCATTTGAATCTAAATGCAGAGATACCGGCACAAAACATGACGGTACTGCATATATTTTTTTAGGACTATACCTGCTGTACACGAGTACATATTGTACATACATACCTGGGCAGCACTTCTAGCAGTAATTCATCGCAGATCGCTCTCTCCTTAGCCAGTGCCGCACTACGTTCCTGCACCTGCTTTTCCAGTTGCGCCGCGTATGTTTCCATCCGCGCCAAGATATTCACTAACAAGCCATCACCTTTGATTTTACAGATACGGCGGAAGCGATCTCGGATAACCTTCGTCGTTGGATGCAGTTTCGGATTTACATTACTAGAACATGACGTAACCAGTTTTTGCAGACTAGTTTGTGTCTCTGTCGGCGGAGCACTGGTGTCCGCGGCTAATAGTGTTTCCTCAATAATGCGACCCAGGCGCACAATATCGCCGCTGGCATCCATTAGGGCCCGCTCCTCACTGGCTCTCAGATTCATAGATGACACCGCCCACCGGTCACTTTCGTCCATGAGATTGCCGTGCTTGTCGATAGCGATCAGATTGTGGGCCGGTCCCACGAGATCAACGAAACCCAGTTGGGAAATGAGCAGAGTAAACCGCGTGTCAATTAAACAAACGGATGGCAAAAGTGAACCGTGGCGCTTTAGAGGACTGTCATGGATGTAGCATAGTCCCTGCAAATAAGGATGTTTAACTTTCTGCGCAATGCCGAGACATCGTACTTGGTTATAACGAGCGTGAAAAGATGTTAAAGTCTGAACATTACAAATTCTGTTCTTTAATGAATGGTTTGAGAATACGCAGTGGGGCACTTTACTTAAGTTACCTCGATAAGGTCATTGATAAGCGAACACCTTAGCTCCCAATCGGAATACTGATTCGTATCCAGCAACACATTGACAAGACTCCCTCGGGAACAGAATTTTTCCAAGAAGTATACCCGCTCATTCTGCAGGCACACCCCCAGAAAGGGCACAATGTTGGGATGCGACGCTTGCATAATCTGTTAAACCGAACGTACTGGTAATTGTCACAAACAACCGGTTATTGCGAGATTACAAACGCTTCCTACGCGTCGCATTATGCTTACTTGCATCAGTAATTTTTTGTCATTGCGCTTGTCCAACACCTTCCGACCATGCTTTCGCAGATAAATGTGCACGCCTACCGGTTCGCCTTTGTACCGATAATCTGGTTTCTCGTAATGATGATGCATCGAATTATTCAACTGTAAAAAGAAACACCCTCGCATCATCGAATCCTGCTAATCAAAACAAATACTGGAACGAAATTATCGGGTAGCGTCACCTTTTTGCTGGATTTGAAAGAGGCGGATGACACACTGACGCCGGTAGCCGGCTCGAGAAGAGTAGCGTCCAGTGACCAAATGTTACTTTTAATCTGCTGTTCGCGACTCAAACGCCTATAAACAGTGCAACGACGTCTTACAGATTTTTTAACTTTTTATAAATGAAACATACACATAAACTTGTAAAATTACTTGAAAAGAAGCCAGAAGAACACGGCCAGAACAGCCAGTGCTGCGATGACCGATGGAAGCGTTCGCGTAAGAATATTGTCGGCTGCAATTTAAATTGCCGCTTCAGTTACATTTAACGCAGAAGTACTTATAGTCTTTTAACTACAACACTCGAGCCACCTGGTTTGCATTTAGTTCCAAGATATCCACATATGGGTTCGTTTCGAGGCGGTGGCCCGCCACCAAAGTCCAGTACCATGCCGTCGTCGTTGTCCATCTTTTTCAAGTAGGGTTCATAATAAATCACTGTCTGAAAGAGTGGCTCAGCAATTTAATTGCTTACTTTGTCTTTATAATTTAGACATTAATATACTCTCATGTTTTAGCCTACGTGTATATAGTTAATATACTCTTATGTTTTAGCTATATACTCTTATGTTTTAGCCTACGTGTATATAGTTTACTTGTCGAACATTAAAAATTTCTCTCCGATCCTGTTCTTTGACAAACTTTAGATTTCTTAAGGGAAATGGCCCGGTACATGGTTCCGAATTCGTGCAAATGCACGAAAACTTTCACTTTCGCGCACTCCCAAAAGCATTTTTGTTGCGGGTTATGACATTCTGTAGCTAGACGATTTGTATACACTGACGTGAAAACCGTTTGTGCGCGCAACATCCGGTTCGGCAGTCATGGCTGTTAGCGAATTCCAAAAAAGTTTACAGGCCAAGAAGATCGTTGTTACGCCGATCCAAACTTCCCCCGAGTAAAAAAACTTGCAAAAAAATCTTAGCTAAACGTTAGTAGACGGCTAAAATTGACACGCCTCTTTTCACCTAACGGTAGTTACACGTTAAACTAACGTCTTTCCTACAAGCTGTTTTACTCGTGTCCATGATTTTTTAATTTTAAAATGAATTTTAAAATTTTTGAATTTCTTTTAAAAACTAGAAAAGATTCATTATAAGAAAAGAAAAGATTTCATTTTAAAAACTAAAAAAGATGCAAGAACAGTCAACTGGTGTAGAAACGTTCTTCGTGGTTATGTGCATTTACGTGCAAAATTTTAAGGAGATCGGTCCATAATGAGACTTCTGGTACACCTAAATGCATTCTAACAGCCATAACTTGAGAACCGGATGTTGCGCGCACAAACGGTTTTCAAGCCAGTGTATACAATCATTTGGCTACAGAATATCATAAAACAAGAGAAAAAGAGTTGGGGAGTGCGCGAAGTGATAGATTTCGTGCATGTACTCGACTTTGGTACCATGTACCGGCCACTTCCTTAGGCGGAATGTGGAAAGGTCATCTCTGTCTCCTCTACTATCTCGTTTCCACTTGTCTGATTATACTGTAGTTCAATTTTTACAGTCTGTATCTGTTATATAATAGCATAATTGACTAGCTCGCTTTTCGGCCTTCACAATTACTGTATAAGCTCGCAATGCGCCTAAATCTCCACTTTTCAATTTATTTGCACGCTGTTGTTTAACAAAGCGAAAAGGTAATTTATTCGCTACAAGAATTCATGTGATCTATCATCAACTACATACGCTATTTACGCTACTTACTCAAAGACGGTTTCAAATAAAAAATATAAATTGTTAAAAGTTTTTTCTGGGCGACAACACACTTACTTCGAAGAGTTTGCTGGTGACATTTAGATCCAAAATACAGTGGCGAGATCGGCGCTGCCCTCCGTTGTCAATATACAATGCTCCGAAACCGGTTGTATTATACCGTTTTCGCAGCATGTGATTCGCTACAGAAGCTCCACCAAATGCTTCCTTTCCACTTCCACTTTTGTAAATCTCCAACAACGTCTGGTAAAAGCGTTTTATTATTCGTTTCTTCTTAAAATTCACTTTTGGGTCATCACCGACTTACTTGCACATACACATCAAATGCCTGATATGCGGCGATATTGAAATCACTTGGCTGCAAAGCAAAGAAGCTACATAATCGAAGCACCATTAGGAATTTTCACGCATAAGAGCCATAAACCAAGTGACAGTAAATTACTTTCACCAGGGACATTTTTCTGGTCCAAATTCAAAGAATTCTCATATTTTGCAGAAATTTAGTTTATACCCATAGTATAATTAAAAACATAATTTAAGGTGCTGAGGCTCAAGGGCGTGGCCAAAAAATTAAACTGAATACCATAATACCACATACTATTGCAATGCACCAGTGCAGTACCAGTACAGGCTGCTCACGTCATATTAAACTGTTTACTATTTTTTTTCCGAAGGGTATGTATAAATGCGAATGCTTAAAAAATTAACATCATCTGCAAAGCTCAACAGGAAGTCGCCGGGCATAATAGTATCAAAAACTAAATACCGGTACGAGTGTAGTAGTATTGCAGCTGAGAGGTACGGGACGGCAAAACTTTATGTGGACCGCATTGTGTTTCTAAAATTTGTTAAATAGCAAACAAATGTTGTCTGTTATTCGCTCTAAGTACTGGTACGCGGGACAGAAATCCTGAAACAATAGGAATCAGCTGTGCATGAAAATGTGCAGTACTATTGCACCTGCAGTCGGCTTTTGTAAATTTGTTGTGATTGACAGTGCCTTATTAACCTCTGCAGATAATATTATTTTTTTACTAACCGTACAGTTAGGTAAAAGAGGAGGTTTTTCTGAATTATTATTACGTAAAGTAATGTACGAGTGCTTCACTAGTGCATTGCAATAGTACAGAGTAGTATTTAGTATTATGGTATTCACTTAAATTTTTTGGCCACGCCCTTGAGCCTCAGTACCGAAAATTATTATTTTTAATTATGTTCTGAGTATGTACTAAATTTCTGCAAAAAAATGGACTTTTTTTTATATTTGACCCGGAAAATGTGCCCTGGTCAGTTAAATGCATCAAACATAAGGGTAAGACTTCTGACGGCTGTCTTGAGAAGGTTTGAGAAGGTTGCAGTAAAGTTATATAAAAAATAATGGAATACCGATAAACCGTCATTACATACTGCACTCTGCAATTTGACTTACATTATCGTCGCCCGATCCAAAGGAGATGTTATATTTTTCAGCGTTTACTTGTTTCATGGAATTCAAAGTCATGAGATTCTGTGTCGCATTTTTTCTTGGACAGGGTTGAATGCTGAACAGGTTGCGAAGAGCTTGAAAAGCGTTCTATAAATATACAACACATACTATACATTGTATAGTTTTCCGAAATAAATCAGTGCGATATATTAACTTGTGGCACATGTCACCCCGTCAAAAGAAACAGGATTGCAAAAATCAAAACAAAAATCAACTAATTTATGACAAGTTAAACCACCTCGTCCTGGTCATCGTGCATTTCCCAGGTAAGGTTCCCACTGACCGCTGCTCCCGGTGTGGCTGTAACTGTTATAAAAGCCTAGTAACAAATTAAACATAGCTGTTATGTACTTAATTACATAGCAGCTATGTTTAATAATTGTAATTATCTCTAGGCTTATAAGCCTAGTTACAAACTTACAGTTATTAAACAAACATAGCTTGAATTTTCCGCATTGGCTGCTTACCATACGTACTGTAGATATACATCATGCATCCACGTTAAAGGTTTTTTTAATTTGTAGTGTTTCGTTAGCTTTATCCGGAACGAAGAAATCAGAAAGTGTCCTGTTAAAATAGAGACTCTAATTCAAAAGTATACTTACGTACTCGCCGGTATCCATTTGCAACTCACGAGCAGCCAGCTGAAACAGTAGCCAAAAACAGCTAAGGCAGATGTGTTTTGTATAATGTTCATATTAAAGGAATTTCAAAACATACCATGAATTTTCGCACATTCACTGGATGCATGGACAAAACAATTACTGAAATATGAAAATTAAATTGATATTATATTACCATTGGCGTGTTATTACGAACTCGAACAGTTTGCATATGCTATAGGTAAAAGTAGAGCTACGATAAGTAATTATTATTGTACTAGTATGTGTTACCGTGGTATTGATACTGTTTTATGATTCGCGGTGGTCTTTGATTCACTTGTCACATACTTCTTGCGTAGGTTTTTACGGTGAGAAGCAGAGATTTAGGCGCGAAGGCTTTATCCAAACGCACTCCATGATAACCGAATTGTACCGGTGACCCCACCATGGCCGTCTGGGTTTTCATTGTCCCAATGAGTTCATAATAGCTGGGCAACCCGCTCATATCATAAATGACGCCAGCATTGGTCCAGTTAAAGCGATCGAAAAAAGCCAGCATGGTATCGACGATCACGGAGACCTGGATGCTGGAAAACGTCACGTAACTGGGATAAGCATCCCGGTCACGTGTATCGGGGTAACTAAAAGCGCTATAACGGCAGAGAATTAGGCGCCATAAATAGGGCTTCACACGTACCATTAAACGCTGGCATAACAAATTGTAGCTTACGTGGCTGCCATGAAAACATCCCACTCTGTAAAACGCAGGCTTCCGGTTTACGTACTATGCATATAACTCTAATTGATGCTTCGATCGCTAATTATTTTATGTTTATCACATGATATTCTACAAAAGCGGGAAGAAAACCAGCCTCATTATTGCTTGGAAATGGAATCGATATCTTTGCATAACGAATGACGTTTTACCTTTAAATTTAGAGATGATCGTAGCGACAACGTAGCTAGTACTTATAACTTATTAGTACTGCGCTGAGGTTGCGAATTTCTTAAAGTAAGAAGCAATATCCTGTGGCTGTACAAACGAATCCTATGCTTTCAGTAAAATTCTTCGTTGCAGAATGATTTAGATCCGCAGATAGGCAGCTCCTTTATGAAAAATACTCGCTCGAATTTGAAAAAGTATAAGATAATAAAAATTTCTTTAATTTATTATGATAAGGCAGCATTTAGCGTATGCAACAATACAAGATTTTTTAAAATCCCTATTTGCAAATTGTAATATGCCCTTATTCGTGCTTTCAGTGAAAGCACTGTTTCACTTGTTTTGTTTAGGCAAAGATTGGTACATCTTTTGCAGTTTATTTGAAACAAGTAATATGTATGTACAAGTATTTTTGTCGTGATTACCTCCAGCCAAAGAACCAACAATTAAGGAATCCCCACATCCTGCAAAAAAATCCAAACAAAAAAATCTACCTGGGCTGCAAGACCGTGCTTAGGTACTCGTATTGGAGCAATTAGTTTAACCAGCAATTGGAGCAATTAGTTCGATCTGTAACACACGATTAAATTCCTCTTTACGAAAATCTGTAGCTCTGTACGCTTTATGGATTAAGACACAGTTCTACAACGAAGTTGAATTTGCTAAATTTAGACATATGCTAAACAAACAATTTTACCTGATGTAATCAAGGTCATTATATTGTCATCGTCCCAAGCTCTTTTGTAGTAGTAGTCTGCAACCATGTTCGCGTTGGCTTCGGCATCTTTACAGTCTGTGGCGTTTGCTATCTCCAGGATTACTTGACTGCATGTTAAATTTAAATTCTTGGACGTAGAAAATAGCCCGTTATTAAATTCACTGATGGCCACATCCAAACCAGCAGCAGTATGCCGTGTACCACTGCCTCTTCCAAAAACATTTCCGAAACCGTATGTAACGAAAGTGATATTCAAGCTGGATGCCAGGCCGGCAAACCACAGCAACCACAAACAGCAGAAAGACGTTACCGGTAGATTAGCATTTTTCACAAAAAAGAACATAATGTCATATCTTTCTTTTTTAACTATACAAAGTCGTGATGCAATGTGAGCAGTTCTTAATGCCTCTTGCTAGAAGTACAGAAGTTTTTCTAAACAACAAAATAATCTACAAGGAAAAGCTTAGAGAGGAAAGGACATGTGAAGATTTAGAAATTTGTAGAGCATGCCGTGAGAATCTGAATGTGCGTAATACGCATCCACGCACGAGACCTGAAATCCTAGAGTAGACTGATAAAGGTATCCATGCCCTAATTGACTTCCAATGGGTTGTACTAATCTGGCTACTTTCCCGGCACACCATCCTGCGGAATTCTACGATCGATCCCCAGACGACACTATATTTCGAAGCTCAGGATCGTGATTCAATATTGAAGGTAACTGTCATTATTATGAAGTTACAATAACAGTCACGCCTCAATATCGTTCTGTTTACAAAGTATAGAAACCTTCGAATTAACGGGAAAGTAATTTAATCACCTACGCGACTAAAAATACAAGTGCACTATGCATTTTTAAACGAAAGGATCGGAGAACCGAAAAATAAGAAGTACGTATAGATATATACAGATGTATCAAACAGAAAATTAATAAATATCGTTGAGCGGCTCCAGAAAAGATAGAGTTCACAGTAGTCGGATTTAGTTTTGATATACAATAAATGGCAAAAGGTCACGTGCATGCAGAATTCAGCAGAAACTCCCACTTACATGTAGTTGCAAAAATTTTAATCAACACAGTACATACCACCGATGGTGGCAATTATTACCTAATATCCAATTTTACTTGTAATACGAGTACTCGTTAAGTCATAATAGATGCACGTGTGTAAACAAAATACAGAATAATTTACAAAGCACTGCATACAGCCTAGCTATAAAAAATTATTTTGAAGAAAACATTCACAGGAAGCATGTTCAAAGATGGTTTAGAGCAGTCTTCTGGAAATGTAGTTAAATGGAAATGTACGAATACTTTTACTAATGCAAGCCTCGGTGCAATCACAATTATCGGGTGAAAAAATGTAAGGATTTATTCAACTGTCCTGCTTAAAACTGAGCATTTTATTTTTTTTCTTGATATCCGCGTAGTGGAGGTGGTCAAAATCTCCTTCGATGCTAACAATAACTCAGTCAATCAAATCCTAGAAATTCTTGTATAAAACTTCGTTACCTTGCACCATTAATAATTACAATAATTGCGACCGACCGGAGTGACTGGTATTGTATACTACTCGTACATAATATCTATATATCTATATATACAAAGTATATACGCAACAGCTCTATGAACACCGATCACGGTACGAACTCATAATCATTGTACACTATAATCACCGTATGTGCTGACAGATTCGTCAAGTGACTGACTATACACGCACGCTTGATGCATAATAATTTTTATTGTGGTAGTTTCGATTACGTTTTGCCCATAATTCATTTCCAAACCTCGAATACATAACGCAACGTAATACTGGAAACATACAGATAAAATTAGTACCTGTCCTTGTTTAAACCATACGGTAGCGAAATAAATACACAGTACTTGGGAGGTCACACGATTTAATTACCTTGTTTACCCTTCGACGACAATGTCAAATTCAATCTTAAACACAGATGATAAGCATCCATAATCCGTTGTTCTATAATGGGTCTGCACCCAGGATGATTTCCGATTACCACCGGTCGGACAATGCAACAATCCAGGTCGCATATTTCTGCACGGAACAATCTCCGATAAGCGATAAGGTATAGATATGCACAATGGGGAACGGATAAACAATCATGCGTTAATCATGAAGTATCCCCTATTCCGCTCAACACTGAGCAAGACAATAATATAAAAGGGCGAACTTGCAGTATCGTCTTTTTCAAATCGGTTCGTCCACCAGGGCAATGTCGTCCTTACGAAAATGTTTCTTATTCAAGTGCGCGATGCAGCCAAGCGATTGTTTGAACGCCATTTGTACGTACTTTCACATTTCACTACTTTACTTTTGCGATGACTGGATAATTACTCATAATCCATCGGATAACCAATTACATAATTATTCTGTTTGTTCCAGATTCCTTACTAATATTACCGTCAGCGGTACTCTCTTTGGGTTAGGTGATGCGCTACAGCAAAACATCGAAATCCATGTCCAAAAGAACAAAAAGCCGTTCGATTGGGCACGAACAGGTATGGAGTAATTACTCTTTACCAAATTTTCCGTTTCTAAATGCGTATTTACATTTTTTTTAATTTTATATTATTTAAAACGTTAAATAGTCCTCCTTGATCTTGACTGGGAATATCAATTCAATATAAATAAGGAATTTATTACTAATTTTATATTTTCCGATTGCCTAGAGTAGCTAAGCAGCTTGGAAGTAACCAAAGATACTGCCACTATTTTACTTATGTACTTACTCTTGTTTTACATGGTTGTAATTAGAGTAAACACAAGATATAAATAATTTATATGCGACGTGGTTTTTTGGCACGGGTTGTTCACTCCTTCAAATGCGTGAATTAACTAACGATGCAGTTTTTTTTCCAAAGTGTTTTCAGTTCTTCCGGTCAGTTTAGCAGACGCCCGTTTCACTACTTCGTGGTAAACGTGGCCAGTCCAGCTGAATGTCTAATACGGTGAGATCTAGTCTACTACTAGTAATTTGGTTTTATACATTGCATATTTTTATTACCTGAAATAAGAACTATACTTACTTACAGTTAACAGTAGTTTTGCAAATCGTACTAATTATAATACAGCAAATTCTTGCTGTGACCTTTCGGTAGGCTAAATATCTGCTTTACCTGTTGAGCGTGGCTTTAGTTATAGCACCGCAGCAAATGAGCCATACCTTTAGCTAAAGTGATATCATCGTATTTATTGTATTAGTGATGTTAGTGATATACGCCTGTTCAAAAAATATAGGTCTGTACTCAGTAGTAAAACTGCCGTTCCAAGATAAGGTCATATGACGTGAATGCTTAAATTAACGTTATATGCAACTGCGAATACACGGATAGTATTAAATGGGAGTAACGGAACACCGTTCCACGGAATGCCTGTTTTGTAACGCATAAAATTAACGTGATGACACAGTTTATACGTACAGCAATACTGCATTAATGATCACGAGACACTTGCTTGAGATACATTCAGTTGTTACGTATACTGTGTAAAAGTAACCACGTGCCTATGATAATTTGCTATCATCGGCTTTCTGGCCTTGAATTTCAACATGATTTGCATTCTGAACACATGATTGACTTGTTGTACAAAAAAAGGTGTAATTTATTTATTGTATCATACAGGCCGAATGGCAGCAACCGGCATGTTCGTTATGGGTCCACTATCCCACCATTGGTTCCGCTTCCTCGACCGGATGTGGCCTTTGCGCAATGGGATAACGATCGCCAAGAAAGTGGCCATGGATCAACTGGGATCCGGCCCGGCATTCCAGTTCGCCTTTTTCTGGAGTAAGTAATTTTGAACTTTGAAACAGTACATACATGTACATAGTCATACTATTTAATTTGCATCCAGTCATACATTTTCTTCTTATTCATGTAACTAAATGCCTGCACAATTTCACAGGCATGGGGACACTGGAACGAAAGAAATGGAAAGAAATCACACACGAGTTTAAGTCGAAATTCGCCTATGTCTTCGCCGCTGACTGTATGGTGTGGGTGCCCCTGCAGTCATTGAATTTCTACTTTGTCCAACCTCAACACAGGATTCTCTTCATCAGTTGTGTATTTGTGTTGTGGAACACCATTCTTTCCTACTTCAAGCACTCGGTACGTAATTAATGAAACTGCATGCGCACATATAAATATTACATTGTGGAACTGTGCAATTAATGTTCAACTCTAAAATAGGACCTCCCGGTACAAGCAGCGCGGGAAATCAAAGCAATTCAGCGGTCAGCTTCCACACACGCCTTGCCTATGCTGTAATACACCATCCAACAGAAACCGCTCGATGCTCATTTTATCCAGATTGTTGTGATTATTTGCTTAGCAGTATTACTATTACAAAATAAATGTACTTATGCTCGCATAAACGACTGGTGTTTTGCTTGCCTCTAATTACTAATATTATAATGCTTCGAGAATCGAGATGTTGTTTTTTGTCTGCCGATGCATGTCATGAATGTCACTCAATTAAGAATTCCAGACCGCAAATCTTTATAGCTGATTGTTAATATTTTGTTTTGCCGTACATCGGTCGAATTTTGTATCAACAGCATGCATGTATTGTACATAAAATTATATGGAAAATCATGTGTGATATAATTTTTGGTAAAACCTTCAATTAGCCTAATAAATTATTACAACACATAATTTTACGATATTACGAGGTATCGATAACAAAAAATTTATAATACAAGAATAACTTATAGAACACTTTATTAATAATACCAGAGCCGTTATATCTATTATCTATACTTATTTCTTTACGTCTCCCTCAAAGCGGTAACAACCACCAAGCACCAAGGATACCGGCGTTTTGGCGCGCTGAATTGCCAAAACCGCACCGCTGCATTACATCTCGTTGGTGTGGTTTAACCACAGACCATGGTTTAACTATTAATTTCAAAACTCAAGGTACACGAGTATTTGTCGCAGATTTTCTATAAAAGTGAAAGATTTGTACTGAATACACAGCTCAGCCGATTACAGAAATGGGCGGCCTAATCACGCAGAACATTTCGTCTAAGTTAGCCGAAGCTGGTGCTGTTCCCATGACCGAGGCCGCGTTCCCGCGTTGGATGTCGATGCTTTAACTGCATGTCGTATTCCGACGTCAATTTTTGCAAACGTAAATAATAATTATTTCATAATGTAATTTGCAAACGTTTTTTCCAAAATGCGAAAGTCTACTTTATATCTTTTGTTTCTCCGAAAGTACATTTCTACGAGAATTTTTTTAGTTTTGCTTCTGCGTCAAGGCTTGATCTCTAGAAGATTGTTTTTAATCTTGTTCCTGCGTCGACGATTGATCTCCAAGAGAGTATTTCTTATTTTACTTCTGCGTCGGCGTTTGATCTCTAGGAGGTTGTTTCTAATTCTGCTTCTGCGGCGACGCTTGACGTGAAAACAGAAAGCATTGAATTTACAGTTTATTTACTGCTTCATGAATTGAGGATTGCACATACTGACTCAGCAGTTTGCAGTTTGCTGCAAACCGCCTGTTTACTGTTTGCTTGTTTTCAACTACAGTTCACCAAATTCCAGTATTATCAACTTGGTGTATCACCGAGTCTTCACATTTTTCCGAATTTGAATTATTTTGATTTGAATTATTTATCTCGCTGGGGTATAACACTGTTGCTGTGAGGTCCAGAACATTTTTCCACTCTGATTCTGGAGTCCTAAATTGGTCCGTTGTTATCCGTCAACAATGGACGAAGTGGAATCTGGAGATTCGGATCCCAATGAGTTAGAGGGCGAAAACCCTGAAGAGGAAGAAGAAGATCTCGAAGAGGAACCCGAACCCGCCCCAGTGGTCGTGACACCCCCCGCCGCTAAAAAGAAAAAGAAAAAAGGGACGGGGAAGTCCAAGCGCAAGAGCAAAAAGTCCTCCGCCAAGCAGACTAAAGTGGCCAAGACCTCGCATCCTTCCAGTGCGCAGTTGGAGGGCGAAACGGACGATCTGGAGCTGTCGTACACGGACGGGGATGGCGGCGAGCGTAGTGGCAAGAAACGAGAAATCCCCAAACCAACGATGAATATCATGATGCATCATCCCTTCCCCTTTAAAAATCCGGATTATATTCTCAAGGTACTGACTGATCCTCGGAACTGATCTTGGAATTTTTTGATTTCACCAGCACAGATTATGCACACGAAAAAGATAGTCGGATGTTAATGAATGTTGGTACTGCAGGTGTACCAGTTTATTAATCTGCCAAGTAATTAATTAATAATAATAGTAGTACATAATTATGGTTGAGACTTGAGTTGATGTTGTTTTGGTTTTTGTAACAGCGCAGAGCCATCGATGAAGATAAATCTCCATATCGGCTGCTGAAGCACATTATCGCCCAGGAGAAAGCGGAATGGGGAGATGTGCCGTCGCATCCCTCCTGTAAGTTGCAAATGCATTATCGGAAGACGATCCCGTGAAGACGATGGGCGTAAGGTTTGACGAAATGGTAGTTTACCAGCAGATTACCATTAGCAAAACTAGCAGTTAAATCGTTACTTTTTTTCCTACCAGTAAGTTCGGTATAAATTCTGAGTTTTGCAGCAGGTTTAATAGATTTCGGCGCACTGGCGGCGCATTTTGCGTTTTTACCCATTGCGCGAACATCAGTAACATTAATTTTTCGATAACATGCTGTAGTTCGAAAATTTTTTTCAAGTTGGTTTATTTAAGTTGCCTAATTCTTGTTGGGCAACTTGTTGCTGTGAGGAATTCATCAGTACAATGGAAGTCAAAATTGTCTTACATTCGGTCCGGGACCGAATGACCAATAAAAATAAATGGCCAGGACCAAATGACCAACAAACAGAAAACGCGCAAGAATACGAACACTTGTTCCTGGCGCATTTCCCAACGAAAATCATCAAGCGATATCTCAAACGAAAGACAAAAAGATTTCAAGAATTTCGATACCAAACATGTCATCCTTTATGAGATCTAAGAGAAAATCGAGCCATTTTAGTTTGTCGTAGAAAAAGCACAAGATTTCTGTGTGAAAACTGAAACCAAACCGCGGATGCAAATCCTATGCTATGTCTACGAGAAACTTTAGATGCCTGGATTATCTTTTAGATCTTATAAAGAACACCTTGTTTGGTATCAAAATGCTTGAAATTTTCTCCTCATTCGTTTGAGATATTGGTCGATGGTTTTCGTTGGGAAATGCGTAAGGTGCAAGTGTAAATGTCAGCAGGCCGATGGCCAGTCAAAAATTTGGCTGTTTGAGTACAGAAAAGTGCTTGGTTGCGCGAGTTTTGTGATTACATAAGTGTAAGACAATTTTGGCGTCCATTGTAGTTGCTAGTTGTAGTCGTGTGTATTGTGTAAGGAAATTTCAAAAAGCCTATTACGGTTAATGATAATCTGTTTAGAAGATTGATTGAACCGGAAGTTGTTGCGAAAAATGTGGCTATTGGGGATGTAAATATTTTGAATTTTGGGGCATTCTTAGTAGTTTCATCGCGGTAAACAGGTAACCAATAAACCTGCTGTTTTACATACGTTGATACACAGCATAGGAATTTAAACCTGGCCGAACACAGCAGAGTTTGCCGATAGCGAGGCCGATCTTTCGTCTGTTTTGTAAACTTGGTAGTTGGTGGCGCTTAGTGTTTACACAATTGTGGTTGTTTTGTCGTAGATTGGACTATCCGAGCGCCTCCGCGGCTGAAGCCCGCGAAGCGATACTCCGACATTTCTGGTTTGGAAGTAAGTTGCGCACCCTCAGTATTGCTTGCAATTACTATTAGGAATCAATTTTGGTGGAAATTATTATCGTTTGGTAGCGTTTCGTAGCGTATGAGATTTTGACCGTGGCATTTGATTTGGTGCGTTTTTATCAGGCGAAATACATCGATCCAGAAACCAAACTACATTACGCGGACGCTGAGGAGTTTGAAGTATGCCGCTCACTGACCAGGGATCTGGTGCAGAGTTATTTACGACTACGAGGATTTGTAGACATAATCGGCTGACCGGCGAACGCCAATTGTCTACTGAATTCTGTAAACTGCCAAAATTCGTTTGTGTTTCATTTAAGAAATAAGATGCGCATCGTCCATCGATAGACTCCTGTTTGTTTGTTTTGCATTTTTGTTTTGTATCGACGCAAACCAGTTCTGTTTTCAGTGTTTTGTACAGAAATCAGTATAATTTGGGGATAAATATATTGAAGATTTGTTTTGTGCAGTAGAGTAGTTGTTAATGCTGCAAACTTACCTAATTATGATTAATATACAACTACTTACTGTAAATGCTCACTACTGACTATTCGGTGAGCGAACCATAATCTGTTGAAAAAATCAATCATCGAAATCGAGACATTCGGCAGTTTAACATGCTAATATTTGGATTTTGGGCATTACAGCTATCATTACTCGTAGCTGTTATAGTCCTGAACTGGTATCTGCCTTTCAGGAAGCCTAAAGCTGACCGGATTGGCAGCAGTTAATCGTCATGGATCTTCTGGTTCTCATTGCTAATAATTCTGGCGTCAAGTTAACATCTCGCCTTTGGCATTTGGCTGACTTTTGTTGAGTAACATTAGCCTTAAGAAAATTCCGAATGATGAATAGAAAGTTAGCACAGTGCAATGTGACAAAGAAACACATACCTACGTACATAGTTCAGTAATTTAAGAACGCATTCCTTTTCGAAAAGGTTTCGGTGGAAGCCGCAGATGATAACAGCAGTATTGCGGGTGTCGGTGATATTTATCGAACAATGCCTGAATCTGGCTTCTTAGCGTCCTTCCACCGTGCTGGCACTATCATTACACTCGCATATGGTTTCCTGATCTTTGCTTCGTATGCGTGTACTCCTGTTACTGTATTCGACAATGACGGCAACGCGTCTCATATCACTGACGTTTCCGCAGGAAATTTGACCAGCACTTCAGAAGATGCTGGTGCTATTTTAACGCTGATGACAGAAACACCCCTTATAATTATGACACCGGTCGTCTTTCGGGAAAAACAGTCTGACCACCGTGCACCTATTGTATCGCAAGCGGAGGTTCGAGTAGACGGGAAGTAAAGAATAATCCTTGTTTCAACTGGGCATCCAGATTTACTGCTAATTTGTACGTATGTGCTTGCTGGATGGTATATCGTATAGATATAGTGACATACTTTGAACTGAAATGCTGTACATTTGTGATTTGTGTAAGCGTTAGGAGCGGATTATGCGAATTTCTTTTTAAAAAACCATAATTTTCGCCATCGCTGGCAGTTCTTTCGACAACAAAACGAAATCATCGAAATATCATGATAACTTTGGTAGCTTTAATAGCTGATGACTAATGCCAGTACCTATCTTCCTCTTTTCAAACTTCAAAATGGACCAAGTACAGTTTGAACAGCGAAGCTTTTAGTAATAAATCGGAATCATAAAGCTTAATAACAACATAATAAAATTACATCACAAATTACCCATTAGACTAGTCAAGATTCGTAGGAGTTTGATATGTAGCAGTGTGATAGACTAGCAATATCTGCCACCGGGCTTGATAGCACAATACTTTTCACGCCACAATGGAACGACGCCGTCCGTCAAACAAAATAAAACCTCTTGGCAGTCATAAACATTCTGAAATGTAGGAATCCTTTCAATGGAGCAACAATATCTTTGTAAATATGAGATAAAACGACCATATAACGCCGCATGACGAACATTCACGGTTTGCTCTTCTCCCGATCCGTTCGCGCCACTTCGGCGCGCTCCTCCACATCGAAGGAGGCCACGTTGCGCATGGCTGCAATCAGCTGGATGACACTGATACCGGCTTTGACAACTGCCACCGGAGTGCACAAAATGGCTAGGGTGGTAAATAATCCCGGACCCCATCCAAAGAATATTCCCGGGCCACTGGTGAAGTGCAGCATGTACAACGCGGCGTAGAATACTTCGTTTCCAGCACACATCCAAAATAACACCGTGCGAGAGCTACAACAGGCAGACAAAACATTTAGGAGAGCCAATCGAAAGCTGTCACTTGCAAGCAAGTCTAGAAACATCACAAATGCAATCAACGATAAATACTTTTAACAATCCAAGTCTGCTTAAAAACGCCTCCTCATTAACCCATTATGTAACCGAAAATCACAAATTACACTTGATGTCCAATTTAATATCCAACTGCTTCTTTAAATCTGGAATCTACCCACCTTGTAATAAAATCTCTTTCATTTTTACGTAACTTGTACAAGCTAAAAGCAATTTACACTTGCAACTGAAAACCAATAATCCTGTAATAATGGTATGCGAGCGATATATAACAAATTTCGAAAACAATTTTAATAACACAAAATAATGATGACGATGTGCCAGAAAACGAAGAAGAGACACAAATGCTGCAAAATACGATTATTAAATCATTTATGATCGTAATTCCGTTTAATCCACGATTCCCCGCTACGTTTAACCAGCATTCAGGTTTTCAACTGCGTGCCCTTCTCCACCAATTACATGCGCCATCTATCGATTTCACATTGAAATGACAGTTTCTTAGCCCTCTGCTAAGTATTAAGTATAAACCAGTTTCCAACTCGGCTCACCTGTAATAGATCCTCAAGAGCGGGTGCGCCGCGAGATCAATAATCTTGTGCGAGACGGTCCCCTTCAGCATGGCGCTGTACATGTGGATCCAGTGACTGGTGATATCCAGCGCCACAATACTCTGGAACAGCACCATCCACTTGGGATAGAAATGGCCCAGCACCATAATCAGACAGTTGGTGGCGCAGCGATCCGTCAGCATGTCCAGGAGAGCGCCCACCCGACTGGTCTGCTTCAGGTAGCGCGCCGCGTAGCCGTCGAGAGCGTCGGCCAGGGCGCTGGCCATGTACCACCAAAAGGCCAGGTACGGACTGAAGGGCATGTAGTAGAAGCTGATGAGGGCGGCTATCACGCGGAAATACCCGATGAGATTCGGGACGAAGAGGAAGATGTCGCGCGGGGCCTCCTTGGCGCCCGGGATTAAAAAGGGATTGTGCGCGTTCCCGGGCATGTCTTTGAGATCACGGACGTAGGTCGGAGTGGCCATTATGGAAGGAGAATTAACGGATCCGGGGAATCAACGAAAAAACCTACAACAGCACAAAATCACGATCAAACTCAAGCTCGGAGAAATTATATCGCAGATATGACTTTTCTGATTCACGTGTGACCACTAACCACTGCCTAATGGCCCTAATCTCTGCAATACAGACCACGCGGATTCCTCAGATTTTCAGCTTTCTGTAGCAAATTCCTAATATTTTTCTTGTAGCATTTAAACAACAACGACAAGAGATTTTATACCAAATGCCTGATAAACACACGACCAAGCTGACGCGTCCCGGATGTTTAGCGTGGCCCATGAGCACAGAAATAATCGATTTCCCAATATGAATGAAATGGATTCATTGGACTGACGGCAACCGGAAACGGCTGCTGTGCACGCCGCACGGTGCATCCGCGCGACAATGCACCCGGCATCTCTGCAATCGTTTCGAATTTTCGATTTGGGTTTTATGATTCCTTGACCTTCTTTCAATAATATGGTACGGTAAACCGTAACACTTAACTTTTTCCAAAACAATGAATAAGTTTGTGAATAAACCATTCGGTTATGATACATCAACGTAACCCAGCAGAAGAGCCTGAAATTTCATGGACCGTTATAACTACTGTACCTTCACCAATACACAATAAGAAACGTCGAAAAAGCACTTTCTATTATCAATTATTAAAATAGATTACCCCAAATATTCCCGATAAGATACTGCTCTCTTAAAAGTTAAAATTATAATGTTTTGTTTAAATTCAGAAAAACGGTGTCCAACTGTAGATTGTAGATAGTAATGCCACTAATGCGCAATGTACAGTTACGTGCCGCAGTGCCGCAGTTAAATTACCACTTTTTATTATTTTCTAAGCGTTCCGGACGGAACAAACACAAATACAATAATACCAATCGCACCAGAGGTTCCGCTAGGAGGTCAAAAGTTGAAAAAAAATTAAAAATATACAAAATAAAAATACGATATCAGGATGCCGTATCCGGCAAAGGTCGAATAAACCAAAAAATTAATAACAGATCCAAACGCCACCCACAAAATCCCTGTATGGTTGCAAACGGCATTGAAGTGAGTAAACACTCTGAATGGTAGTAGTGACTAATTTTGAAATATTGCTCATAATACGCTGAAAAATGTCAAGCGTAAGTTGATGCATAAAAATTACACTCACAATTTTTATAATTTCCCCAACATCGGAATAGAAATAATTTATTCCAAATCGCCCATCAAATCACAGAATAAATAGAATGGTTAAAATTCCCGCAATAGTAAATAAAAAATACCATTATGTTCCTCCAAAATTCGGCATTCCAAAGAATTTTTGCGATAAAGTTGGAAAATATTTTAATCCCAAAAAACAAGGAAAAATGGATAAATTTATAAACAATAAATGCCCAAGGGGAAAAATCGCAGTAACAAAGAGGTCACATGACGGCAACAGACTGAAAAGAGATCAATATTCAATACGCCCAACCTTGCTCTAGGTCCGCCCCTTTCTGTCTACTCTCAGAAAGCGCGCGCAAATTTACCAACCCGCCGAGCATCCTGATTGGTTGAATGCTGAAGTAAAGTCGATGAACACGCTGCGAGACGGGCGTTCCCATACTGCGCCAACGTTGAAAGCGTGAACGCTGCCAGTCGGCGAAAATCTAGCACAAGCTTGGAAAATTTTTCTTCAAAGCGCGCTGCGCTGCCGCTGCTGTGTGTGTTGTAAGCTGCGGTGGAAAGCAAAATGGCTGATACGGCAGTGCATTATAGGGTGGTTATGCGCAAGCGCCTGGCAGTGGCATGACATCAAAACATGCCAAAGCAGAAATGCACTCATCACGAGGAAGTGCGCATAAGCTCAGACTGGGGCCTCCAAATAACACACACACACAGACACACGTTACAGCATTCAATGGCCTTTCCAGATAGTCGCCATGTTTTACCGTGATGACGATAATTCTTCCCATTATTTCCACAAATTCTGGATGAAATAAATCATAAAAACATAGTGAAAATATTCATTGATAAGAATATCGTGTTTCTATGCGGAAACATAGCGGAATCTGTTGGTAATTGATGGTATCCAGCGCCGACTTGGGATCTTCCATAAAATCGGGATGTTGTCCTCCGTGTTTGCCTTAATCTGATCATACGTAAGGATTTTCGCGCTTTTTTGGTAGACTACGAGATCTCCGCTGTAGAATGACGTCCTGGCTATGATTGTAGCCCTGTGTTATCCGTGTTTGATCCGTTATTGTGAGGAAACCCGGAAGACGTAGTGAATCTGGTTCGTACCAACCGTTTTGACGATTTGGGACGAATTTAGTGTATTCACCCGTCAGTTAGGTACCTGAATCTCTACGCAGAATGTGTTTTACATGTAGGCAGTACCGTAAGCGGTCCCTGCTTCACGATGAACGGCCGCAGCACCAGCGCGTCGTCCTCCAGTACTCCAGGGAATCCTCACGGGTTGGCGGTGACGACCACGGCGCTGCCGCATAACGCACTGCGTACCATGACTCCGGGTGCGGCGATTAATCATCTGCTGAGCAGCCGCAATCGGCCTCTGCAGGGCAGTGCGGGCCCCCATCTGCAGGGGCTCGCCCCTTCCACTCCCAACGGACCAGGGATGCTGATGGTGAACGGCGGGATCACCGACGGCATGGATGGCTTTCACGCCAACGGTGAGTGAAATTCCCACATCGTATTACTTCTGGCATAAGGAATAGAGTGTTTTGGGGTATCTCCAGTGTTCGAATTCGTAAACGCTAAGCTGAACGCTTGTCGTGGAGCGTATCTGCGTATACTGATATCAGTATCATTTTGTTCTTTTTTTAATTTCGAATGTCAAATTTCTCTGTCTTAAATTTGGAGTATTTTTCCAGCGATATTCTGTAGCGTTTTTGGTAAGATCTACGGGTTACTAAAGAGTTTCGAATGGTTAATTACTTACTCACTGTCAGTGTTGAATTGTTGATCGCGATCTTGTGGTGATGTGGTCCCCAGCGTTTCGTCATCCGTTTAAGCAGTCGGTAGTTTTACTCTTCCACTGGTGAGACTATGACTTGTATATCCTTTTCTCAGGTTGCTGAAGTTTTCCTATATTAATTTTAAGAGATCTTATGGTTAATTTTGTGACAGTGCTGCCTTTTTGGCTACTTTAACAGCAGCGCCGTAAAATAACAATTTACTGAAATTTAGACGATTGGCTTTAATTTTCATTTTCTCGTGTCCGTCCTGTTCATCTGGTGTAGTGAATGTATTATGTTTCGAAAGCTAGTTAGAATGATGGCTGTTTTGCAGCTGATTTTGGTTCATTTTTCCTTCTTGTAGGTCCAGGAATAAACGGCTCGGCAGGTTCGATATCCTCCGAGGACAGTTCGACCAGCAGTGCATTAGTCGCTGGCCCATCCGGTCTTTCCAACGGCAAAGGCGCCCGTAATGAGAATCTCGACGGCAGTTACCGCCGCGGCGGTATCGTCCAGCCCCCCTACCGACCCCCGCCGGGCACCCCTCTCAAGAACTCCAACCAGTTGCAGTATCTGAAGAACGTCATGATGAAAGCCCTGACCAAGCACAACATGGCCTGGCCCTTCGCCTCGCCGGTGGATGCCATCGCGCTGTGCATCCCCGACTATCATGACATCATCACGCAGCCCATGGACCTGGGCACCATCCAGAAGCGGCTGGATAACTATTGGTACCGCGATGCACAGGAGTGCATCGCCGATTTCAAGGTGATGTTCACGAACTGTTATACGTACAACCAGTCCGGTGAGGATGTGGTGAAGATGGCCAACGAGCTGGAGAAGACGTTCCTGACCAAGTTAGCCCTCATGCCCGCTGAGATGGTCGAGCTTCCCGTCAAACCGACGAAACCTGCCAAAGGCAAACGCGGTCCCGGTCGCCCGGTGGGCAGTGGACGGAAAGCAGCGGCTGTCCCGGCCGTCGGTGGTCCACCCACTCCCGTGGTGCCGCGAGCGACCCCCGCGCCGCCGCGTCCTCCTCAAGCCCACGCCGCGGCCGCTCCTGCAATAATGCCAAATAATAATATGATCCCCGTGATGCCGGTGTCTGTAGCCGGAGCCAATAGCGTCTTTGCGCTCAGCAATCAGGGCCCCTTCACCTTCCCAACCGTACCACTTCCGCAGCGTGCCACGACGGCACCCCCGCCGCCTCGGGGCCCCACTCCCCGCCCCAACCAATCTCAGCGCATGCCCACCCCGCGGGCCACCCCACCGGTACCGGTGTATACGGCGCCGGCCGCCGCACCACCACCGCCCTCGGGCCCCGGCCGGAAAAAGTCTACCACGTCGGTTGTTCCGAGAAATCCGGCGCCGGCACAGATGCGCGGCCCTCCCATGGCCATCCCGCAGGCGCCGCCGCCGGCGCACAATGTGAAAGTTACTTCCAATGCGCGCCATAACGCACCCCCGCAACCGCGGCAGTCTGCCCCGCCGCCGACTCCGACGGTGCAGAAGAATCAGCAGCAGATCGCTGTTAAGAAGATGAACCGGCAGTCGGATGCGGAGAGGAAGGAAGAAAAAATTTTTTCGGTACGATCGTAGAGATGGCAAAAAGTTTTTAGTCGATTAATTACTGGTTAGTCGTTAACGGTTAACCGTCTTCCAAACTTACAGAACGAATAGATTTAGTACCAACTACCGAGTCGAAACTTTAATAAGCCGTTTCTTCAGTATTTGGTACTTATGCTACCCCTAAATATCGTGTATTATTGAATACTGTACAGTATCAGTTAACTTGAATAAAATGTTAAGTCGCTACAACCTATTTTCCAAAAGATTTTAGTACGCAGTACGAGTAATCTACGAACGCGTCCCCCAAAACTGCAACTGCGTTAGCTAACAGTTAATCTTCGACAGCTGTAAATTAGTATTCTGGAATTACTAGTAGTTTTAACTGGAACTACGCTCATTGTCAGCTTGTGAGCCATTACTAGTAAAATTAATGGTTTTCATCTGCTGTTTTCGGCTACTGTTGAAGTGCGTTGTACGAATATCGTTTTGAATTTAATTAAGAATGAAATACGGCGACGGTTAAACGACTACACAAAACTTCCTGGTAAAGTGGATCTTTTCATTGTTCGGTCCATCGAATGTTAGGGTCGCTTTCAATTTTTTGGTGAAAAGAGTTTTAGTGACAAAACCCTTCTTGAACATTATAAACATTATAGTTTTGTAAGGTGATTTGGTGATCAGTATAGTTTTGTAAGGAGATGACTCCTTTATAACCTTTGGTAAAATATGATAGCTTTTTTTATAAACGAAGTCTTGCCTCCACTAGATCCGTGAACAAATGGATATTTGTTACGGGATACTGGATGAATTAAACCACGATCGCCATAAGAAATATGCTTGGCCATTTGCTGTTCCGGTGGATGTGAAGGCGTTGAAACTGGATGATTATTTCAAGGTTATCAAACGACCCATGGATTTGCAGACGGTGAAGGAGAAGTTTCTTAGAGGAGCATATAAAGCACCCGCGGATTTTTGCGACGACATTCGGCTGATATTTTTCAATTGTTACCGCTATAATCCGGAGGGACACGAGGTGGTGAACATGGCATGGCAGTTACAGGTATATCAGCATTATTAATTTTACCAAATTTGAAATTCCATAAATTTGTGAAACACGCACGTAGTACCTGTTGTAGAAAGTAGATAAAAGTATTCGTTTTACTTGATAATTAATGCAGTCCTTGAAATGTGTGGGTATTGTACATAGGTGATTGGAGCTGTGTTTGCACTAAAGTGCCGATTAATGAAGCTTCATACCGATACGAAACTAGTGCTTAATAAATGCTAACGACTGACATTTCCTGTTGGTTGACGTGACCATACTGCTATGTAGACGAATGGACTTCCCCAATGCAAATCGCAATAAAGTGCTTTTAGAGAATACTGACATCCAGAATGCGTAGCTGATTATTATTGCGTCCTTTGCAGGAAGTATTTGAGCTGAAATGGGGAAAAGTCCCCTTTCCTCTTCCACCGACACCGAGTATATTACGCGAACAGCAGGGCTGTTTGCTGTGGCCGCTGCATGACGCCCCTGACTCACCTAAAGCGCCCGCTTCCAAGAGTCCCACTGTCGCTGGCGGAGAGAAAAAGAAGAAATCACAACCCAAAGAGAAAGCCACAAAAATTTTGATCTCCAGTTTGTCGCAGCAACTGCTCAGTCTACAGGATACAGTCAATAAAATGCAGCCTAATACTGTTCCCCAGCCGGCACCTCCGCCGGAATCGCCACCCAAGCCAGCTTCCAAGGGCCGAAAAAGGAAATCGGATGAACCGGAAAAGCCAGCCAAGATCCCGCATATCGAGGAAAAGAAACCGGCTACACCAGGTAAATGGTTAATTTGCTGAAATTCTTCGCGTGCTCATTCTGTAAATCACTCGCTAAATAAGTAAATAATTTCCGGTGACTTTTTGTTATCGTTTATTAATTTTGATTAAGTAAATAATTGTTTGTGTCGTTGTTTACCTGATTGTTTATATCGTAGTGTCAGCGTCATCCAAGAAAAAGTCTCCGAAACGTGGCGCAGTCGAGATGGAACCGGAAGTCGTAGCGCCACCAGCTAAAAAGCCACGCAAGCCTCGTACACCGAAGCATACCATCGAGAAAATGCCTGAAGTGGCGCCGGTTGTGCCAGCTCCGGTTATCAATCCGCCAGCAGCCAAGGCTGCGAAGACGACTACATCGCCGGTTGTTTCGCCACAACGCAAGACGCCACCACAAGCACCAGCTGCCGTTCCCGCATCTCCCAAGAAAACTGGCCACCCATTGCCGAAAGTGACCAATGCCCGGGAAATGACGTTTGATGAGAAGCAGCAGTTGAGTGTGCGGATCAATTCTCTCCAGGTATGTCTAAAACATACTCTTGTGGCCATGATCTCAAAGCGCAAAATAAACTGATGTTGTTATTCGAATTCGGTAAATAATTCCTAACTAATTTTGGTTCAGAATTTTTGCTGAATATTGTGAGGAAATCAACGGTCTTTTGATAAAAAAAAAACGGCTACTTTGTCGCATTGTAGTACCCATTTTGCAGTTTACGTTTACGGAAGATTATATAATGCGTACACACTACACAGTTACCGATCATAACAATAAATACTACGCAAATTTTACAACTTGTATTACCCGCATTAACAAATTATTAAATCTGCGTACGCTCTACAGTCTACGTAACTTGGCATGTGCAGCATCATGTTTCTGCCGGTGTGATTTGCTGCTTTGAATAGTGCGGGTCACTGCGGTCATTGGGAATACGGTACGAGTACGTGGTTAGTTATGCGTAGTACGTAAAGCGTACCGTCACTTCGTGACTCATGAGTCGTGACGTTTGGTCACGTTGAAACATGCTTTTTTGTTAAGCTGGTCTGCGCTGGGTAGAGGGTACGCAGTCAGTTGCCCAGTTTGGTAGCTAAAAAACTTTCAAATAAATCCCTTACAGTTTTCAGTGCCGTTTTCTGATTTGTTTTTGCTGCACGAGTGGCAAGTGATTTTTCCCGGCTGTGGTTGTTTAGCTTAAGGCTGTGCTTCACGTTCGTAACTTCGTACTATTCAAAGGTCTACCGTTTATGTTTGTTTAAGTTAATATTAGGGGTTCGCGACCTCATACGTGTGGATAGCAACGGTGGACAGAGTCCATTGCCTGTCAGGAACCGTTTGTCCGTTATTTCAGTTAACTTGTGAAGATTTTATACTGAATACCCGATTAGTCCTTGCGTGTTAATTATCGTTGCACACTTTCATTTTGGGCAATACTGCAGGGTGAAAAATTGGAGCGCGTCGTGCAGATCATCCAGAGTCTGGAACCCCAGTACGCTGACGCTCCGGAGGAGATCGAGATTGACTTTGAGACACTGAATCCGACGACTTTATGCACGCTGGAAATGTTCGTCAATGAAGCACTGGGTCTGCCGGGACCGGCGCCGGTGGAGTTGCGCGCACAGGAGCCGCCGGTGGTGCCCGGTGCGGTCGTTCCTCAGCCGGAGCCCCCCAAACCCGAAAGTACGCGAGCCAAGAAAGCCAAATCCAACAAGTACAAGCACGACTCATCAGACAGCTCGTCCAGCGATAGCTCCACGGACTCTGAATCGGAAGGGGAGCAGACGCGAAAGCGCAGCGGCGGCGCTAAGCCACTATCGGCGACGCCGACGGTGTTGGATCAGCCAGTATTTGGAGGAGCGCCTAAGATGCCGCCAGTCTTCCCGTTGACGGGCGGATTGGGCGGCGCGGCGGAGAAGACGTTCGGGAATCTGGGGAAGAATAATTTGAAGGAGGACAGCGGGAAGATGCAGCAGCCGACGGCGGCTGCCGTGGCGGCAGTGCCGCAGCTGAAGAACGCCGAGTCGTGGTCGTCCTTTGCCAAGAATGCGCCGCAGCAGACGAACAGTACGTCAGTCTTTCAGGATAGTTTTGAGCAGTTTCGCAAGCAGGCCAAAGAGAAGGAGGATAAGCAGAAGATGCTGAAGAATCAGGAGATGGCGAAAAAGCAGCAGCGCGAGGCGGAGCATGCCAAACGGGAACGGGAGCGAGCGGGGTAAGAGGCAGTGAAGTTGGTGAAATTAATTGCCTGAACTTTTGAATAACAAAGCTTCAATTATCATTTTATTTTAAGTAGTAACTGTAATTAAGTTGCTTCTTTACGGATTATTATGCGAATGGTGCTCGGCATTTGTTCTCACTGTAACATGGAAAAATACTTATAATCGCTCAAGTATTTGTGTTTAAAAACGGTGTTACGTACCACCGCATCTTGAAATTTAACTTAGTTTTTGTTGCACATAAGTTATTACATGCTGTTGTGGTTTGTCATTGTGTTTTCGTTTTATAACGCTTTTTATCGTTTTAAACTTGCGGGATTTACATACAACACGCTCTTTTTAATGTAGACGTGAAATGGACATGGAGAAGATGCACCACGGTCATCACGGCTACCAGCCCGCCATCCAACCACACCATCAGCACCACCACCATCATCATCCCGCCCAACAACCGGCGCACCATCACCACCGCGGATCCTTCGAGGGGAACATGTTCATGAACAACCCCTCGCCGTCGGGTTTCGTGCTGTCGCAGCCGTCCCCGTCGAACAGTATGTCGCCCAGTTCGCTGAGTATGTCACCGGGCAGTGCGGCCTCCCCGCCGGAGCCCGTGGCGGATAATGCCGGCGGCGGCGCGACGATGAGTCAGCGGGAGCGCGATCGGATGCGGGAGGCGGAGCGACGGCGTCGACAGGCCATGGCCGGCCGGATTGATCTGAATCATCAACATGACATTATTGCCAGTTTCGAATCGCAGATGCAGTACTGAGCAGGCGAGTGAGCGGCGCGGATGTGAAAATGGAAGGTGTACGTCTAGTGTGTTGCGCGTTTCGTAACGTTGTATATAGTCGTCGGATTTTTTTTCTTGATTTTTTTGGAGAAATAAGTCTCGGTTTATCTCGAAGAAAATTTACCAAACAGAGAGAGGTTGGTGTGCCCGTTGGCGCGGTTGAAGCGGGGGAGGGGAAGGGGGGATTTCGTGAAAATTTTAGGGACGAGAATTTGTCTTCTGTTATTATGTGAGAATTTGCTTGGGGAAAGCGGCGCGGCGCGGTAGAATGTAATTTGTTTTTTTGGTGTCATGTTTCTGTAATTTGTCGTGATGGACGAGTTTTTGTTTCATTTTTTCCAATTTGTGTACTGCGAAAACGCTGCGCTGGGTATGATGCGATTGTGTCAGAGAAAGTTTTTTTCCTTGTCTGAAAATTAAAAGACGTTGATTATTTGTTTGGCTTTACAAAACCTGCTGCTGGTGTCTGGGTTGTTGATTGGGAATCTGGACAAACACACTACGGCATTTGCATTTTCTCCTGTCCACGACCGGATATGGATTTCTGGCTGGCGAACGGTGCGCGGAGGAAAGCGGGAGTTTTTGACATTTTTGTTGATGTATAAGGAATACGGACGCAGTCTTATTAACAGTTTTATCTACGCTGCTTGTATTTCTCTGTTTGTGAGTTGTGATAGATTTATCACGCTACTTTGGTATCCAATTCCATGTCGGTTCGGTTCTTGGTTGACTGTCTATGTAGAATACGATGGTTAATTATGCAGCTGGATCAGGATTGGTTATTTCATTAAAAAACATCTAGTTTTATTTTGGAATATCGGTAGTCATTTTCAGACTTTGTGCTTGAACGTCTGCACAGTGTACTTGAACTACTCGACTCTAGAGTCTAGATGTTCGGATAAACAACACAAAAAGGCAAACATGCTTCAGAGTTTGACATACATATATACGCTAGGCCGGCTGAAATTTAATGTTATTATTATTAATTAAAATTACTGGACTTACTAGCAAGTAAAATTCATTTGCCGCATAGAGAAAACTCTTAACTATTGCTTAAGCAATAAAGAAATTTTTTACGCAAAATACGCCAAAGCGTATTTGAGCAAAATTATATAGGACTAGCACTGATGACGTCACACAGTACTTTACAGGAGAGCGTGAAAACGGTACCGCCCGCCCACGGGGGTCGAAATCGACTTATATGCTCTATCATATGCAGAAAACATTGCTCTACAACCAGGCTTCAAAGGGGTGGCAGTTTGAGAATCGTGCGATGTGCTGTGGTTAGGTTGCGATAACGTCCCAGTATCACAATACGTAACGCAGTTACTTTTCGAACGCGTTTTTCTCGCAAAGTGTTTTTTTCGGATTTAACCATCACAACCGCTGGCTAGTGGTCATTTACCAGCCGATTTCAAAATTTTTTTTTGCTATGTGTGCAGGTCCGTAGCAACTACCATAAACAGCGTTTAACTCGTTTTTGAGAGTCTAAGTCATCAGTGCTATTCCTATAAAATTTTGCTCATTTTGTAAAGTATTTTGTAAAACGTATTTCGTAAAGCGTAAACTGTCTTTGGCTTGAGCCGTAACTACGAGTAGTTATGGCACAGCCATAGCATAACATACGGTACATATTTGTATTTTGGCGCGTACGTAATATTCGCGACAGTTGTTATGCAATTCAAGTCGCAATTCAATATTCGCGACCGCAGATTCGTAAATCAAAACAATTTTGGAATAACCAAATTTACATGTATAACAGGAGCTAATAATTACAATGATCTGCATATGCTTAGTGCTTACCGGTTAGTGATTTATCAGCCTCTTACGTTCGAATCGTTTCCATCCTATCGTAGCATTAAGCATATATTGATCAAAATTATTAGATTAACCTAAACCGTTATGACGGTTATGTGCTTGCTAGCAGAGCATTCAATTTGGATCGATATTTGTGCAATATAATTAGATTAGCCACACCTGTGGCCTGACGTGGTTAAAAACTCAAGATTTTTGCTAGCGATTTTCGCAGCCGGCCATACGATTCCTGGTAAAGCACCTGTAAATTTGTTTGTTCGGTTTAATTTTTCTGTTAAAATGAACGGGGCACGCCATGGAACCGTAAGACAATCGGGAACCGATACAGACGAGGAAATGAAATGCAGCTGATTATATTAATTACCAGTAAATATCTAAAGGTCATGGCTATAAATTGCTAGTCTAATTGTCTTCGGTCCTTATGGTGGAATACACATAGTGGAATACACACAGTATGTGTAACGTGCATAATATTTATTTAAGTGCAAGTAGCTGACATCAGATCTCACATTTGTTTCCAGTTTAACATTATTGTTCCTTCGGTTCTTGCAGGCGTCCGCCTCAGAATGAGTTTTTAGTTTACCTGTATCGATACCGGAATTGAAACTGAAGATATGAGATCGATATCATGCGGCCGGCAATCTGGACCTCCGTGCGGTGTGCATTCGCTGTGATAACATTGTCCAGTGTTAATACGAGACATATTCGTTTGATACATTTGTTGTCTCTGGATCCTTCCTTAGCCAGCGGACTGCGTTTTACTGGCAGTGCTCTTCTAACGGCTGCCGAGCGGGCCAACGAAAAATATTCAGCACAAAATATTTCGATCAGCATCCGAGCCATTCCCCAACTGCTTCCTATGACCTGTGCCGAATTGTCCGCCAACAGTGCCGATTTCTTGTCGCAGCTGTACTATCGTGAACTTTTTCACGAGACCGGCCCATCGGCCGCATGCAACGCTATTTTGTACACTTGTAAGTTGCAAGGATTGTTTTATATACTCGTACTTTTAATTACGCATTCGTACTGGGTGCGCATATTTGCTGTTTTTTGATATTTGCTTTTTCACAGCGTGTAATGGCATTGGCTCGATTGGCGGTCTCGCTCGTGGTTAGTAAAATTTCTTCTCAGGTGTAACTTTTCATTCACTACTTCCATATTGGCAATTTGAAAACTTGATGTCCCTTTACAGAGTGGAACTGGCCGGCATTTTATAAGTAAGAAGTGTAAATTGCAGTAAATGATATATACACACATAATAATGTTGGTTTTAGTTATAACTAACCTTCAGTTGGCTTTTCTCTACAAACAATCTAAATATACTGTAATGATATATGAACATCAGCAGCAGTATATTTAGCGTACAATGTTAACAAAGGGGCATTTTTGGAATTGTAGCGGGATCAGTCTGGAAGATGACGTGAACGAATTCAGTTATCCCTCTGCGATGGCCTTGGCCGGAACGTACGAAGGTGTTGCATTAGCGGTGCTGGATATCTTGCAGTACCACAACTGGTATCATGTCAGTCTCCTTATTGACCAACAATCCGGCATGTTAATCTACAAGTTCCAGACTGATGCAATTTTTAAAATCCTCAAGTCCTTGGGGAAACGACGCGGTACGCTGCAGCCGTTTGATGTTCAGATTTTGAACTTTTCCAACGACACAGCGGATTCTGTGGCTATCACGTTAAACAATGCCAAACAACGAAGTAGAGGTAAGTATGTAACACTTTGCCACTAATACTACAGTATGCCCGTATACTTTCCTGGCAGGATTTCATATACCTTCCTGGCAGGATACCTTATACCACAGTATTACCCTATACTGCAGTAGTATACCTTCTGGCAGGGTTTCATATACAGCATTAAGTTGGCAAATGTACATTGGGTTATTTTAATACAATTTTGCAGTGTTGTTACTTATGATGACAACCAAGAAAATTAGAAAAGTTCTGGTAAGTGCGACAGCGTCAGCGTACGCTCTTGAATCTTGATTATCCTTGGACAGGTGTTTAACTGTATGTTACCACAATTTAATAACTCCAAAAACATTAAATATAAATATTGATAATTATACCTGATAAATTAAACTGCGGTACAATTACTTTGAAGTGCTTATCTAAAATTATCTCTTTCTCTCTCACTGCTACTGCTTTTTTAGCAAAAACATCAAAATAGCCATTCCAGCACAGATCATACATAAGTAACAGTATTTTATTGTCCAGTTTCTATTGTGCCTTTTAAGATATATATTGCGCATCATAATTGTAAATTGTGTCACAGGAAACCGCTCAGAATTTGAGTATGGATAACGGAGAATACGTAAGTGCTTTAAAATATAGCACGGGTACTACTCACCTCGCGGTAGCATGTATGCGTTATAAACTAACGGCAAACAATTTCTTTAAAATCCGATAGATACTGTGTCTCATTAACGTACAGAAACATCTGCTTATAATATCCGCACCTGGGTCTGTTTCAGGCATTTGTTACCGTGCAAATTATTGAAACGGATGTTTACGGTCGTCGATCCGACTTCCGTGACCCTTCTGACAGCATGCTAAATATGACCCGGTCCCTGCTCTTTATCACTCTCCAACCGCCGAAACTAATTACCGACCAGCTCAACGCGCAGCTGGCATACAGAGCCATGCGGGATTTCAACACGACATATTCTGCTGAAAGCAAAGTACGCTTCGCTATCCCGTTACGGTCTCATCGAAATTAGTTTCAAATAATTAGTATGCGAGACTTTTATCTTAGCCTGCTTTTATTTAAATGTATCTGCAAGCTTGTCTGTATATTTGTACTGTATTTTATTTAGCCACTAGATTCTTTTGTGGTCCAAGTTAGTTACAATGTCGTTGAAGTGCTGATGGCGCTAATGACACTGTCCGATACCGCAAACGACACTGACGATTGCACTGGACTGCGGTTAGCCCGAACCGTTGTCAACAAAACCTTTACCACATCTATCGACAATCTGTATGTCAACGCTCAGAGAATTCACAACCTCAATGCCGATATCTATGCGTTTTCCATGGATTCGAGAAATATGCAGGTAGTCGGTTTCGTCTCATAGTCAATAATAATCTGTCGGTTAGGCAAGGGCTGCAAGTATATGATTGCAGCTGTATGCATCGTATGATTCGTCTCTTCAACAAATGACACTGTCGGCAAACTTTGCAATTTCCTGGCCTTCAGGATCCTCACCAGCTGACATACCCTGGTGCGGCTTTTCGGGACATAGCAGCAGATGCCTATATTCCAGTATGACAAATTATCCTTTCTTTATTTTAAAGCCAACTCATACCATAGGATGACATATTTTTCGCAGATTTTGGTTCCGTCAAGTTTATTGCCCCGATCATCACTTTGTCGGCCTTAATTATAGTTTTTGGACTAAGCCTGAGATATGTGAAGTAAGTTTAAATGTGAAGAATTGTAATTAAGGATCAACCAGCCTCGCATGCTCATATTTGAATCAACAATTTTGGTGACCTTCCGGTCAACAGGACCTGGCGCTTGGGAGGAGTTGATTGGAAGAATGGGCATCCCTGGTGGCTGATGGATGAAGAAGAGCTACCGGCATGGCATGAGCTGATTTCGGGCGCTGCGCGGTGGGCATCAGCTCGAAACAGCAGCTACACCGGCCGTTTCCACACACAAATCCAGAGCGCCAATGGACAAGCGGTTCAGTGGCGTGACACAGTCGTCTGGATCAGATGGGCCCGTATGGATCGCGGCATGACTGTAACACCAAAGTTCATGAAGAGCGTTTATCCTTTTCAGCTATGTGTAAGCTCTCAATGCTGTCACAATTCAAATGTAATATGTATGGTTCAAACAGCAGAAGTACATACCGTACAATTAACTTACCATGCGCGTGTTTTGACAGCAAAGTCATTCAGATTCGTAGCAGAACACCGGCAAATATTTTTGCCTGTTAGGTTGTACTCGTATTGCTTAATCACATATTATATTTGTTGCAGCATCCAAATATCTGCTCCTTAATCGGCATATGCTTTCAAGCTGGGAATATCCTTTTTGTGAGCCAGTACTGCCACCGCGGATCTTTGCAAGATATATTTGAAATCACCAGTCTCGACGTTGCCTTCAAGCTGGCACTCATCGACGACTTAATCGAAGTTTGTCCGAGTTCGGTTAATTCTCAGTTTCAAAACAAGCCTTCTTATCGCATAATCTAAGCATAAAATTACTCGTAATGCTTACGCTGAACACGTCAGGAATCTAGGTGACCTTTCCGTTTCTGCTAAGGCATGAGACACTAAAACTGTATGTAGATAACTATTGCTAAAACCGTTGATCGTACTTATACCGTTGATCGATCGTATCGAACTGTTGTGATTTATTTTAAGAGTCTTTAGTATTGTACTCATCTTGTTCGACAGCGTTGTAACACATTTGATCCATTAGTAAATCTTGTTGCAGGGATTGAATTACTTGCATGTATGTGTTGGATCACATGGACACCTGCACCCGTCCTGTTGCCTAGTGGACAGTCGACTAACGCTAAAAATTGGCAAATACGGTTTTGCCGAAATTACAGAACATCTGTGTGAATTCCAGCCTCGAGCACTGCATCAACGCATCGCCACCATCTGGGATCCCCCGGAGTACACACAGCGACGATACGGCCGACGTGGGACATATGGCAGTTTGCGTCAGGACCGCCGGTCATGTGCCGGGGATGTGTATTCCTTGGCTATGCTGATGAGCGCGCTGCTTAGCGGTTGTATTGGCACCAACGATCGTACACCGGGCGCTTTCCATAGTGATCTCGATTGCGGCATGCAGGTACAGCAGCTAATCGGCAGCTGTAGTGAAGAGTGTCCCAGTTCGCGGCCAAAAATTAAGACTGTGAAGAAAACGTTCCGCGCTATTCGCAAAGAATGTGCTTGTGGTGAAGGATCGGCTACGGAAGAAGCACTACTGAAATTAGACAAATATGCACAGCTTATGGAGGTCGCGGCCGAGGAGCGTATGAAGGAGCTCAACTCGGAGAAGGCCCGATGTGACGATATTCTTTTGCAGATGTTACCTTCGTAAGCCTGCTTAGCATTGCACGATTTACGTTCTACCCTAGTGGTTTTTAATGTAGCAGAAACTGTGAATTTATTTGCAGGTTCGTCGTGCCTAAATTAAGAAACGGTGATCTTGTGCAAGCTGAGAAATATGAAAGCGTCACCATCTGCTTTAGTCAGTTGCAAGGATTTGCCGACTGGACGGCTACTGTCTCACCGGACATTATCATGGCTGGACTTCAGCTGGTTCATGCCGTTTTCGACCATGTTGTTGTCAGATTTCGAGTCCAGAAAATCGAGACTGTGAACGACTGCAACTTGGTATGTATATAAACATTTAGTTTCTATAGAGGTAGTCGATTCGCATCGGAATATGGAAAACTAATTTAACGAACGGTCCTGTTTTTAATGCATTTATACAGTACGTGAATTTGTAATTTGACAGGTCGTTAGTGGGATTCCGGTGGACGAAGGTTTCGATCATACGGTGGAAATGTGCAAAATGGTGAAAGCACACCAGACGCAACTGGACGCTCAGGCAGGCAGCGATGTGGACCTTCGCGGGAAAGATTACCGTGGAATGCGCCCTCGTTCATCATGTTTGTTGTGGGGCATTCACTGTGGCAGCTGTGCTGCCGGGGTCATCGGCAGCAAAGTACCACGCTACTGCTTGTACGAATGCATTCACTGATTTAATTAGGAGCCAAGATCATAAATTTTATAACTAAACGGTACCGTAGCCTTACTTTGCAAAAAGTTCGTTGCGCAAAAGTTATTTCTTGGCGTCGCTTAGTGTAAATTGTACAGTGAAAACGCATTTCGACATTCTCGAGATAAATGTGGTTTGTAACAGGTTTGGAGATACAGTCAATGTTGCCTCTCGCATGATGTCGCAAGGTCAAGCGGGACGCGTGCAGGTCAGCGAGGATGTTGCACACCGCTTGCTGCCCTTTAGTGAGATCCTTTGTCAGGAACGCGGAGTTATTGCCGTCAAGGTGAGTTTGTATTGGATGTATTCCCTTGGTCCCAGTCGCGGCTGAAAAAATACAGTGGGAGAATAACTGCCGGGCCCACAAACAGTAATGTACGAGTATTCTAACTGTAGAGTAGTGTGAACTGCGTTGGCCGTTTAGTGATGTTTTGAACTGACTACATGATACAAACGATTATTAACAAAGTTGCGCATATGATTTGCAGGGAAGGGGCCTAATGCAAACATTCTGGTTAGTGATCAACAGTCAAACTGTATTATTTTAATGAGTTGTATATATTACTGCATTATTTGTTTTGTTGTACTTTGAAGTATTGATGATTTTCTTGTATTTATGTGTCGAGTAACAAAACAAAACAATGTAATATAAATTCATACAACATGGACTTGGATTTTCGTTGTACTTCTACACCACATACCGCCCATGTGCACAATTTTTAAAGATTTTTTTCCTTAAAAGGTCTAGTAGTAAAATTATATAGGCAACATCTGCAAAGTACTGTGATAAAACCTGCAAGCGTAATCGAACTCTACCTGCATTTTATCATCACACTTCAAACCATAAAAAAACCGCCAAAAGCTATATCTTCCTTTCAGTCCGAATTATAGTTAGTTCTTACAGACTGCTATTGCGCTGCATGCAAGTACTCTGTACACTGTTGGTGATGTTTAGCTTACTGACAGTTACTGCATGCATGTTGCATGTTTAAGTGGCCCGTTCTTTATATTGATATCCTTACATGGAGCCTTTTTTCCCATAATCGACTCCAAGCTTGGAAGTGTACAGAGGTTTGTGCGAACGACTGCATCTCATTAAAGGGTAACAGTTTACGGACTGGCCAGATTCCCTAGAGTAAGGCTTCTTTATCGGGAATTGTGAACGCAGTCTATGTTTTGGAAAACTGTCAGCAATTTATCCGCCATCGTCGGTCGAACAGATATTTCCGGTTTGCACTGTATTATTAGCGTTGCCGGGTAAGTTAATTGGCTTCTTGTTTTTGCTTTGGTAAAGCTGATTTGTTTCTTCAATACGCGCACTACCGATTATCTATACTTTGCAAAAGCAAAGATTCTTCAGTTGAACCAATTATTTTGATACGGCTGCAGAATCTTGCGCCGGTGTTTGCACGTACAGCCGTACGTACAATACTCGTCTGTTCCTGCATTCTGTAACTTCACAATGCAGGCATGTATAATGCATTTTCAAAAGTTTTGTTTAAAGTGACAAGACAACAGTAGTGTGTCAATATGCATGCAGTACATAAGATTATCCATTGGGATGAACCTTTTCCAGTGCAACTGCTATGATTATTTTTATTAGAACCAATTTGCGACGCCATCGGCAGGTATCGACGGAACGATTGAATTACGGGAACCTCCGGAAACTTGCTAGTCGCTGTATATGGCTAACTTCTCGGTTATTCTTTTATTTTATTAACAACCTGATAAAGGTTTGACCCCGATAAAGCATTTAATTCTGGAACAAAACATCGACGAGAAAGTAATGATTGTCTGCCGCATAATTTGTGACAGTTATCGCAGTCACGTGCATTACCGACTGTCCCCATAGAGCAAAAGTGTATTTCATATGCACGTCTCATTTCGGTTTGTGTTTAGTTACTCTAATGAGAAGTCCATGAAAGTGACACAGAAGTACGATACCATGCCCCAAGCCAATTTAAAAAAAAAATGACTAAGAAGGTAACAATTTTTGTAAAAATTCGCGCGAAGCTTAAACATCTTTGTTTATGTACGGTTCTTCTTACACGACGTGTTATGCTACTACAGGATCCGTATATTTAGTCACCTATTTAGTGCGACTCCCCTGGATAATTTTTATCTCATAATCGGTACCGATCACTGGAAAACATTATTGGACATGTATCTGGGCAATTTCAGCCAAGAAGGATTTTCGGCAAAGGTCTTATATATGCTGCTCCTAGAGCAAATGTACATACAACTTTGGAATATGGACTTTGATCGTTCCTAAAATTTGTTGTTGAGCCCTGAAATGTCTCAGTGACGGAAGCTACGAGTAATAAAATGCGTGGACAAGCGATTATAGCGGCAACACGTAATTTTTCGTCTGGAACACTTAATTACAACTATCTCAGTGTCGCTGGATATATGTATGGTTTGTTGTTTATTACAAAGTACCACGCGACAATTTCCATCAGCCTTTTAAAAAGGCTAGTAAAGATGCCTGATTGATAAGTACACAGCGGTAAAACATGTGCGAAAGTGATTCTTTGATAAGTTGATCAGGCCGTCGATAAAACTGACTCACAGACATTAATACACTTTTATTTAAGTTGTAATAAAGTAGTACTTTCGCTTTCGTTTTATTCGCCAGTTAGTCAAAAGCTCAATCGCAGTCTTTTTTAGCTATGGTTTCCCAGAACAGCAAAACTTATCCGTTCCTGTTTGTTAAGAGTAATATCGGTTAGTTTGAAATTTATAAGATTATTTCAAAGGACAATAGCAACATAAGCTGAGTGATATATGATACTACAAGTTGCTTGGTGAATGATGATTGGCTGCAGGTAAACAATGGATAACTCTTCCGTCTCTATGAATCTGACGGCGTGCGGATGGCCAATAGCCACTGTCCCCAGGCATAACCTGGACCGGCACGACATTCGTCACCTGGATCTCTATACCTATCCGCTGCTACTGCTGATTGGTACACTCGGCAACTTGCTCAATATCATCGTTCTCAAGCAAGAAAAACCATGCACATCAAAAAACGTGTACCTCGTTGCCATTGCTTTATCGGATATGCTTTTTATGTAAGTTTCACAGTGCAGTTTATAATGCTCTATACGTTACAGCATGGCGTAGTGTAATCTGTTTTTCTCACTGATTTTTTGTGCATCTTACATGTTATTACCATACGCATACGTGAAAGTATGCATATTACCATTTTCAAGGTGCATCATTAACAATTAAGTTCTTGTCATTTTCTGTGCTTGCTCTCAAAGGTGGATGGGATTTTTCGTGTACGTTTCCAATTTCGACGGGGAGGTACATGGACGGCCTAGAGATTCAGTACGAGCAATGGTCCGCCACATGGGCGGAGCCTGCCATTTCTGCCAGGAAGTGGCGACAATTTTTTCTTCCTGGTATGTTCACGGTCTGGTCTCCACTTGAACCACCCCGCTATGAAATATAAAACTGTATTGCAGAGTAATTAAATTATCGCGCTACGTATCATGTCATGCACGTAAGGACGAGTTCAATATATACTAATCAACATATGATTTTTAAGTAATTTTTCTATTACCATTAAAATTTTCTGTAATTAAATATCACGTGTTACCGTTTTTATATACAGATACCATAATGTTTTCAGGTTGATCATCGCGTTCAGTGTGGAGCGTTTTATGGCGATCCGGTGCCCCTTAAAACATTTAGTAAAGGACAACGTCCGTCAGTCATGGATCAATATCGCAGGTATTCTTCCGACCGCCATTGTCCTGGCTAGCCACCGTCTGGTCGATTATTACTGGTACCACGCGACCGCCATTACTGGCTCACCGTACAAACGACCTGATTTTTTGGATGGTTGGAATAAAGTCTACACGTGGCTAATTGTGCGTACTAATAACGAAAATAATTGCATATATCGACTACTTCTATATATCTGTATGCTCACTATAATACTGTGTTATTATTCGCTTTTTTTGTAGACCCTGATCAACGTGACGACCTTTATCATCATATTAGCTGTCAATGCAAAACTTTTGCGGGAAATTATACGAACCAGAAAATTCCAGCAGGTGGAGTTTCAGCGCTCATTGGCGTCGCATACATCATCGAACAGCAGTGACAGCACGCCCAGCAACGCACGTATCAATCCGCGAATGGAAAAGAACGCTCTGATTCTGCTAGGGGGTGTGGTGCTCATGTTCCTCATTACACAGATGCCGGTCGTTGTGCATAACATCCTGCATCTGCTGGAGAAATCCTGCATTCGCCGATATCCGGTGGAATGGCGCCGCGTGGCGGTGCCGGTCTGCAATTTTCTCCTCAATGTCAACTATTCCTGCAATTTTCTGGTTTACTGTAGTATCGACAAAAGGTTTCGGCGGAGTGTCTTTTATTTGTGTCATGCTGTCCCTCGGTTACGGTACAGTATCGCAGCGGATTCTCGACAACGGCACACAAAGAATTCGAAAAAGCCGGTACCGGTATCGCATTCACGACCGAGGAACACAGTTAATGCAGTGTTCAGTAACCTGTCTGTTGAATGATACTAATTCTTACATGTCGGCACAGTTCCTCCTTTGACCAATGTGCTATTTTCGAAATTCCTTTCTTTACGTCTGTAATATAGGTGCAAATATCTGATCTTGCAGTATATCTACGAGTATACTAATTTTCTGCTTGTCATTTCTATGCACAGTACATACATAAGCAATAGCTTTCAAGTACAGATAATGCAAACTAGTTCTCATAAGTGATCGTATACGTATACTGCATTATGTATTTGCTTCGTTATCTGTGCTTACTGATTAAGCAGTTATTTTCACTACCTTTAACATTTTCGGATGTTTGTTTGTGCTTAAAAATTATTAACAGGGATTAAAAGAATGCCAGTTGTCCAAAATATTAATGCACCTGCAACTGTTCTTCAGAATAATGCAACAAGATTGCTCTTAACATTACGACTGAAGCCTAAAACTTTTTTTGCTGTCCTAAAATTGATGAAGTGCATCTTATACGGGGTGTACTACATCTTCAGTCTTCACTAACAGAAAGACACGAACTTTCTATATTAATATAAAGGTACAATGTAGGACGAAATGGTCGCATAGCCCCATACCCAGCATTCTGTACGCATGCGGTGCAGTGCACTTGTACGAACCGGATATTTTGAACTTAGTCGTACAGTGCACTGCGCTGCATTCGTACTGAATGTGGAGATGTTGGGTATGCGACCATTTTGTCCTAAGCTGTAAGTTGGGATAATATTAATATAAAGGTAAGTTGGGTCCCATCTTTAGGTCGATCCACAGAAGTAGTCCCGAATATGTGGCTCTGTTTGAGAAATTATTTCGTATTTCTGTACTTGAATTTGGTAATAATTTAAGCATATGACGCAATCAATCTCTGCGTGGTGCTTGAATTAAATTTTCTGTTAGTGTAACATAGCTTATCTTTTCAAATTATGGGGCATGTCAAATGTTTTTCTAAACTGCGTTTGCAAACAATTATACGCACAACACATAACTTCGTAAAACAATTTGTATTATGCGCTTTCTGGCTGTCGTGGATAAAAATATGACTTTGCCTAAGCCGCCGTGAAATATTTTCCACGAGCAAAGCATAACGCGCGTATTCCTTCCTTGAAGCTACCTGTGAAGTTTACGACAGTTTTACTGCTGGGATCGGTCTCTCTCAAAAGAAAACTGCAATACCTGCTACTGTTACTGAAAGCGATCCGGATTATTCGAAGTTATTTATTAAATCGCTCAGTCGTGTGTATAATTACGTAGTTCTGTTCTTTTATGGAGCAGCATTTTAACGCACCTTGAACCTGACATTATGGTCGTAGGTTTTAAAATATCCGCAATTCCGCATATTTATGATTATAATGCATACTTAATATTTCGTTCTAAACTTGTACTACTGTGCCTTACGTACGGTTAGTGTTATTGCTCGTTATGGAATGATTTACAGCCGTGTATTGGTGTACCTTTTCAAGCCAGCCAAATTAAATTGCAGTTGTCGTACACCGCCCATAATCATACGGTTAGTCATAATGCGCACTTATTGTTATTGCCTATTAAACTTAAAAAAACCATTCCATGACAAAGACAAGCAAGTTGCGTAATAACTCATCGGCAAAAATTGTCGGTTCTCGTCGTCAACCTAGTAGAACGTTCGTATACCTGGCACGGCAAGGCAATCTGTAATTAAGTTGAACGTCCATATACACTTATATTAAGAGCATTGCACATCTTTCACTTTCTTTGCACTGAAAAAGTTACATCTGGTTTGTTGTATAATCATTTGAATATTACTCTGTTTGGAGCTGGAAAAAGTGAGCTCTCACCGATAATTTTATAATGTTAGCTTCGTTGATCTCACCGGCAAATCGTGGAGCCCTAACAATTTTACTTGCCATCGCTGATTTTTTTATATGTGGTAAGAATTTATTTAAACACGCACTTCTGTACTTTATCCCAAAGTACGAACATCTGTATTAATTCTTTCTTTTAACTTAAAAATGCACATGCCGTCTATGAAGCAAACTACAACTTACTAAATTTTCCAAAATGCAACTACGTACGACATCGTTTTATGTAGCTAACCTATAAAGCTTGCAGCTTGAGCGTTATTTTAATAAAATATTTTATACGTTGCTACCGATTTTATTTTCTATGAGCAAAACACATGGGAATTATGACAAGCTTTATTTAAATCATTGAGTTATTAAACTTGCTGCAACATAATATCTATATAACTGCAACATCTGCCTACATTATTATACGCATAAGCCGTGCCGAAGATTACTTGCAACTTGCAACCATTTTGCGCCAATTAATTATTACACCGAGATCTACATAATGCCGTAACATGTTTGCACGTAACGACGGCAAATATCAATAATTACGTAGAGCACCGGCCTCGTACAATTACTCGTACTATCTTGCCAGCAGAATAAACAATTTCTTTTCTAGGTGCTCAGTCCCAGTTTATGAATGATGGTTTCTTTGGAGCAAACCAGATGCGCAAAACATTTACCGCCAGAATCCCAATACATATGCTACCTTCTAATGACATCGTAGAATATTTCGAGTGGGGTAGGTTTGCGCACTTTTCTTATCAATTTCTCCTACTGCAATATGTAATCTACGAACAGTAAAACGCATGTTCTATCCACAATGCACAGAACTACTGAAATCACATTATTCTACCTACATTAAGAATAGTCAAAAAGTTATTAGTTATTGTCTAATCAATTGTTGATCTGCGGAAAAGGTGTCGAAGTGGGACAGCCGGTATGCCCTTTCACTGGCATGCTTGTCCGTGCTAGACGCGGGGTGGGGGTATCGCCCCATGGGATGGAGGAGAATCTGGAAGATCTCGGAAATTATCCAAGTCCCCATTGTTCCGTCGAGTGCGAATGTATGGGCAATGGAGATTATCAGTGCCGGTCGCTCTGCGCTCCACCCCCGGCAGATGCTCTTTATTGCATGCCCGTTAGTATGCCTGGAGAATGCTGCCACAGATACGTATGCGGTAAGAAAGCACGTACGTTTATAATTTGGCACTATAGTTAAACAATCGAAAATGTACAATACTTTTTCAAATTAAAAAATGTCTTGAACCGAACTCCGTTTTTTGCTGTTTCAAAAATATTTACTTAACAAAACTAGACAGAATCTGCATCTAGAATTGCTAACGCACATACAGTAACTAACGCCACGCAAATTCTACAACTTCACACAGTATCGATGCAGCTGACCATGAGCTTTAATTTTGACAATACATTATTTTTTTCATATTAAAACTGAAGAATTATGTATTACCGCAATTATGAAAGGTACGGCCGGATGTATTTAGCAATAATTGTATAATAAACTGCACTGCTGCATATTGTTATAACTGTACATCAAATCAACGATATGTCTAAATTGTCACTTCAACTTAAATATTTTCATCGTGTCATGTAATTAATCTGTTTCTGGCAGATGATGATATCGACAGTGTTTTTCCTAATATCAACGATGTTGATTTCCCCGAGCCAAAAACCACAGCCAGTTTAAACAATATCAGCACCGTATTATGTGCAATCCAGGCTCCGTGCTGCCGGATAGTGTCTGTCATTATTTCTTCCCGCGAGCCTTTATGGGAAACCGCGGCCCGAAGGGTATTTGTTTCGGCTACGACGATATCCGCTGTGCATGGCTGGACGACAACGAAGTGCCCGGCATCCGTCAGCCGCCTATTCCAAAGAAAGCCTTAAGCGCCAAACAGTCTATACAGACAATGTTTTTTCGAATTGATCCTAACGGGACAGTATTTTCTACGAAAATTCCCATTCGAAGGCGTGACCAGAGTCTGATAATAACTCCAGTGCACTAAAAATATGCTGTCAAATAATTGTCGGTATAAAAATCTCAAAAATGATTCTCATTAGCAGCATATATGATTACGATTATAATCCATAACTGTGCGAGAAGAATGTATATCGATCGCACATCTTTTGTTGTTACGTTGTTTTGTCTGTTTGTTATACGCATTAAATCACTGCCCTGATGAAATGAATGATCATGTTCCCATAAATCAGCTGTTTGCCGTCGTTAGCGTCTTGTCGCACCGGCGTGATGCAGCATCTTCGAACGTTCACCATTTTTTACATTTACAAAGACTTAGTATTCGTATGTGCTATGTACCTATGAACGGCTGATCGCGAACCGCGACAGACATGTGTTTAGCTGATTACAATAATCAAAAATGTTTCGTCGAAAGTTTGCAGTTGTCTCATGCTGTATAAATCAAGACGGCAGTTCGGTGCCACAGTTTTTTTTGTTCCTGTCAAATCTATTATACACGATTGTACCCACAGTACCGTTAATGTACTAACTTGCAATAAAAAAGTACCAAAGTAAGTATGCTAGAAGAGTACTCGGGGGAAAGAGCATGGATTTTCCCCGTCAAATAGCATCCCCCGCCCCTTTTATCCCCGTCAAATAGCATCCCCCGCCCACGCTCGTACAAATAGCCTGGACTTCCGGGCGGCAGCTCTCTCTCTCGGTGTGTGTGTGTGTGTGTGTGTGTGTGTGTGTGTGTGTGTGTGTGTGTGTGTGGGTGTGCGCATTTTCCCTGTCTGTGCTGTGTCTGTGTGTCGGACAGAGGGCAGTGGTGTGCACCTGCTTGCTATGCACCTGCTTGTTAGGCTGGCTTGCATAACATTAGTTAATGCAAGCCAGCCGTTGCAAGCGCCATTTTTCCACCGTGTGGATGCAAGTTGGTTTTTTGAATCTCCTCGATTCAAATCGCTAAAAGTAAGTATTTAATTATTAAATTTTGTATATTTGTATGATTATAGTTTATATAATATTATTCTGTTTTCAGATTCCGTGTGTATGTGTTTGGTGTCGTTTGTGGGAACGGATTGTCGTGCGTGAGCTCCGTTTGGAAAACGTATGTGCAATTTTTCTTCCATTTATTTTATACATATATAATTATAATAAAGTTAATATTTGATGTTATATGTTATAATATGATGTTATAAATGTTACAATATGATATTTTATACACTAAAATGAAAATAACACAAGATTTCTTATTTACAGTGCGTATTTGCGTTTTTGTACACAAGCATTCGCTGTGTGTCTGTGTCTGTGCGTCGTGCCTTCCGACCACGTTTCCGCCAACGGAATAATGTTAGTACCATTTAAATTTAAATACATATTATATATATTTCTACTGTTTTCTTGTCCACAACAGAAATCCTTCTTCACTTCCGTTTTTTTTGCCGTCTATATCGGAACCATTCCGGATCGCCAACGGACAGACGTTAAGGTAAAATCAATGAATTTCCTATGGTATTTTCACACGACTTTTATTTCTTAATTTTTTCGCAGAAGCATTATTTCTTTATTTATAACATTATAGGATTTTCTTGGTAAATCTTCTATTAGAATATAAAAAAAACCAGTTGCATATAACATGGATACAAATTGCAGTCGAATATTTAATTTGAATGACTGCGCCGGAAGTGTGTGCAGTTGGTGTTCTCAACTGGAAATAGAACCAGTGTTCCCGACCTCCGCATTTCAAAAAATGTTCGCTCAGGTTTCACGGAAACCGAGGAAAATAAATTTTTGAATGCAGCAGGGAAAACGAGGAAATCGGGTTTTGGTTTACCCGAATGGGGAAACCTCTGCCCGATTTTAATGTGAGGGCACGTTCACGTATCACGGTGTAGTCTAGGGGCCCCTGCGGGTCTCTCATTTCCAGGGTCATACAAGGCCTCGACTCGTTACTGTTAAAGCAACGTCTGTGGGCGGTCGCCATTGAGTTTCTATGCAAGTACAAGGGAACTCAGGGGCTCATAGGGATTTCTATCCGGCATGGCCCCAATGACGATACCAACGTCTGCGGGCGGTCGCCATTGAGTTTCTATGCAAGTGCAAGGGAACTCAGGGGCTCATAGGGATTTCTATCCGGCATGGCCCCAATGACGATACCAACGTCTGCGGGCGGTCGCCATTGAGTTTCTATGCAAGTGCAAGGGAACTCAGGGGCTCATAGGGATTTCTATCCGGCATGGCCCCCAATGACGATACCAACGTCTGTGGGCGGTCGCCATTGAGTTTCTATGCAAGTGCAAGGGAACTCAGGGGCTCATAGGGATTTCTATCCGGCATGGCCCCCAATGACAACACCAAATTCTGCTGGCCTCGAACCCGGTTCTCGACCGCGTTATGTACTGTATTTGCTCAGCGTGACATAACGGGTCGAACTGAAGTTTTTTTTGTGCCTTCTATTACAGGCATATCAACTTTTCTTTTTTTCGTTTTTAAATAGTGGGTACCGTGATGGTACGCCCAAAGCTAACTCCGGTTCGTAACCGGAGTGTGCAGGCAAATGTTTTGCTGGAGAAGAAGAAGAACATCATCATCCGAAAGTCTATGACCCCATCGTCACAAGAAAATATGAAAAATTGCCCAAAGTGTCGTCAAAAACTTGTGGATAACCATATAATTCGAAACTGCCCTGAACTCTCCAACCTGTTTGACCAGCTAGTGACAAAAAATCCAACCGAAGCTAAGTACAATGAAAACGCCCTTAACGAACTTGATTGCCCCACCACGGGATTAACTGGATGTTTGGATCAAGTTACCAGGGCTCTTGCCCGCCGTTCCGGAATAAGGTGCACCAACATGTACGATACCAAACGATACAACTCACATATCCCTGGTCGCTTGTTCGGCGACAAGTGGGATCTCGACTTTCTCGCGAGTTCACTCAAATTCCCTAGCGTTCTCAAAATGTTTGAAGCTTTAACCTTGAGAGGGAATTTCATGATTTTCATGAAATGCAGTAGCCGACAAATGCTGAAGAGAAACCTTTTTCACTCTGCAGTTATGGTTTACTCGAACACAGGTTAGTAGATTTCTTTCCGTTCTATTATCTTTTTTAAACAACGAAAAAAAAAAGAAAAAAAAAATTTGACTGTTTTAGGAACAAAAATCAACATTTCAGTTTTCGATGGTAGCGGAAGTTATGGCTCGATCTCCGAGCCAAATTGTGTGGGATTCATCAGGACAGTCCTGGAAGAATCTAAGGTGTTTCCAACTCTTCATAAATTCTTCGCGGATCAGTGGCTACCGACAATTCCGCGGAAGTTCCACAATTTTCTGCCGGATAGTGTCCAACACGAAAAGCCTGTACTTGGAAAAGCCTGTACGTACCTTTCCAGATATTTTGTTCATACCGTTATGGAAAAGGTCATGGCAGGCCATGACTTGCAAGCTTCTCTCCGCGAAGTCGGCGTCAGTGTTCAGTTGATGGGGCACCGAGTAAATTTTAGCCGTCAAGTCACATCGCAACAGATTACCGAGATCTGTAACCATATCCGAAGTGCAATAGGAGGCGACTACTTCAGAAGGGCGTATGATAAACTAAGGTTGGGAGATCGGAATCTATTTTGCTATGCTAGAAGCCATTTAGTAACATAATAAATATGGTTTACAGACCCGCAACCGTGTCCTCAGCAGCACCTAGTTGTCAGATCGTCCGCACGGAGATGAACCACGAAAACGATCCTATGAACGATGATGGATTTGAATTCCATTTATTCACAAATCCTTACTCGCCGCCTGGTCAACAGCCATCCACAACACATTCACCAACCAATCCATTCCGATGGTCGCAAGTCTACACACCACTGCCGCAATCCTCAGCAGCTACTGAGGCTAATAATCAGTCTCTTCAATCAACGTCTCAGGATGTCGATTCTAGCATGCATTGGTCGCAGGTCTTCACCCCGCCTCAATCTCCTGCCGCGGTGGCACAGTCTGGTGGTGGTGGTGGTGGTGCACAACCCGCGAATAATAATCAACTAAACGCCGATGCGGATGCAGCCATTGCAGCGAATATGGTATCGGACGAAGAACTGCTTAGTCCGGCTGTTCAAGAGCAAGCCGGAACGTTTAGCCCCCAGCCAGGACCGTCAGCGCCTCCAACCATACACGACTGGTCTGATACGTTTACGCTTAAAAAGGTGGCCCACAACCGGAACAAGAAATTCAATCACGATCAGTACTTTTACAGTCTAAAGATCAAATCGCTCCCGCAAGAGTTTGACACGGTGACGTCTTTGCAAGCGCTTCCGGAGATTTTTCAGGCCGTATGGGAGCTTTGCTCGAAAGATTTCAACCCCACTGATGCTGTCTGTGTGACGATATTTACGAAGACCATGGAAAATCCCATGCATCTCAAGATGCAATTTTTCAGTAATTTTAATCCACGTGACCTGACAGAAATGGTGATGAAGATAAACTCTGGTGGCCTTTTTTGTATCGACGACTCGTTGCGCTTGATAATTCAGCGTACCGTTATCCCTGCCGGAGGCGCTGCGAAGCGCAAGCATATCCACTCATCACACGACCGGAAAAGGTTTGCACGATCTATTGTGCAGGTGAATGTGGGAAAAAATCTTTGTTTGCCAGCTTGCCTTGTCCTCGGGCAATGTCATCACGACCCGAACAAGGATCGCGCGTACTGGCGCACTCTCACCAATAAGACCAGCTTGAAATTAGAGAAGAAAGCCTGTGAACTTGTTAATGAAGCAGGTCTGGATGTCGGGAAAAAATTCTCAATCCTGGGCATTGATAAATTCCAGAAGACGGTCTTGAAGGACTACCAGATCAAGGTAGTCGGGGCTGAGCAAGGAAATATAGTGATTGCCAAATTCCCCGAAAAGCAAGAGAAGCGCAAGGTCATTTATTTACTCTACGAAGATGGCCATTTTGATTTAATCACCACACCGTCTGGATTTCATCAGCGTGCATATTATTGTCACAGCTGCGATAAGGCCACCGACCACAAAGAAGAGCACCGCTGTCCAGGATATTGTCCAAAATGTTATCGGCCCCGAGAGCAGTGCCCGGAACCGGAGCCAAAGGATCGCGTGTTCTGTCAAAAGTGTAAGCGGGAGTTCAACAACAACGACTGCTTCGACATTCACGAAAAGCGGCGTCAGAACGGACGCACCTATTGCCAGGATTTGTTTATATGTCCGAAGTGTGGAGTTTTTGTCAGTTTCCTTACTCGTAAATTCAAAATTCATGAATGCGGTGAGATGTTTTGCCATCCATGCCAAGAGTGGGTGAAACAGGCCACCCACAAATGTTACCTGAAACCGTTGGAACCGCGCATGCACGGAGAGCAGAACCGTTTCGTTTTCTTTGATTATGAAACTTATTTGGACACGGAAGGGATACACAAGCCTTGTTATGCAGTCGCGCAATATTCTACTGGAGAAGAGTTTCGGTTTCCGCCTGATGGGGTTCCAATGGCAGGATACGACGTTCAGAAAGAATTTGGTGAATGGGTTTTTTCCGAAAAGCATCGTGGAGCCACATTAATCGCCCACAATTTCCGTGGCTACGACGGACACTTCCTGTTATCTTATCTCATTGAAAACAATCTTAAAGGAGTGGAAGTCATACGACGGGGGAGTCAGATTCTGGACCTTCGGTATCCTGCCCTAGAGATCTGCGCTCGTGACACCTTAAACTTTGTCATGACAAAACTTTCGAACTTTCCGAAAGCCGTGGGTCTAGCCGAATGCGAGCAGAAGGGGGACTTTCCCCACCGTTTTAATAAGCCGGACAATTGGGATAAAGTTCTGCCGTTTCCAGACCTTGAAGACTACATGATCGATGGTTTGAACCGCGCGGATAGACGAAAGTTTGAACAGTGGCACACCGAGGAAAAACACGCGAAAGGTTAGACTGTGAATTTTATTTTTCTAAGGTTTTGTACCGTTTTTCAATTATTTCTTCTACAGGTGTTTTTGATTTTCGTGCGGAAATGGCAGGCTATTGTTCGAAAGATGTTACAATCCTGAGGAAATGTGCTCTGCAGTTTCGAGACAACTTTATTGCCATGACGAACGTTGATCCTTATCAAAGCGTTACGATCGCTGCTGCTTGCTCAACTTATTTCAAGACTAAAATTCTTAAAAAGAAGGAAATTGCTGTCATATCCGCAAACGGATACCAGCCGAATCGTAAGACAAGTGCAGAGGCGACTCAGTGGCTTGAATGGCTACGGTTGGAACATCCGAACATTGAGCACGGACGGAACGGCAAAGAACGGAAATTTGATCGGTATTTTGTTGATGGTTTTGACCCTGATACGAATACGATTTATGAATACAACGGCTGTGTCCACCACGGACATCCTACGTGCACCAACGAAGATGACCGGACACCGTTTTCGCTCAAGAAAATGTCAGAAGTGTACGAGCAGTGGATACGTAAGAAGCTATATTTGGAAGGAATGGGGTACAATGTGGAAGAAAAGTGGTCTTGCGAATGGCTGCAGGAAAGAAAAGATCCGGACATCCAGCAGTTCCTGTTCAGTCAGAATCTGCGCGATCCTCTGCAGCCTCGTGACGCGTTTAAAGGAGGCCGCACCAACGCGTCATGCTTATTCAAAGAAATTCAAGACGATGAGCAAATTCTTCACTACGACATCGTTTCCCTGTACCCATTCATCAACAAGACAGCCGAGCATCCAATTGGACATCCAAAAATAATCGTATCCAACTTCAAACCCGTAACTGAATATTTCGGTCTTGTTAAATGCAGGGTCCTAGCACCGACCAGGATTCGATACCCCGTGTTGCCAGCAACCGTAAACAATAAGCTGATATTTACACTTTGTCGAACGTGTGCGGAAAAAGGGTTGAACGATTACTGTTCGCACTCGGATGAAGAAAGATCATTCGAAGGAGTGTTCTGTACTCCGGAATTGCACATGGCACTCAGACAGGGATATCAGGTCAAGGAAATATATGAAGTGTGGCATTGGAGTGAGACTCGGGTTGGCCTGTTCAAGGAATACGTGGATAAGTTTTACAAAGAGAAGTTGAAGCCAGCGGATTTCCTGCAGGCTGCACCACACAGCGACAGAAAGAGTTGTATGTTCAAGAAGTTGCCCTCCGCGATGGAATTCTTCTCGATATCAATCGTATTGAAGATAATCCTGCCAGGCGCGCCGTTGCTAAACTCATGTTGAACTCTTTTTGGGGAAAATTTGGTCAAAGAGATAATTTGCAACAAACCGTGTTCATCTTCTGCGTGAAAAAATACCTCGATCTGATACGATCCAAGTCCGTCGAAATCCACAATGTTCATGCCGTCACTGCTGAGTGTATGATGGTAACTTACTCTCAGAAAGATGACTATAACGAAGGTAGCAACTGTGCCAATCTCGCAATCGCAGCATTTACGACCAGTCATGCCCGCATCCAGTTGTTCAAAACCATGGCCAAACTTGGCCTCGGCTTCTATTTCGATACAGATTCGGTAATTTTTGTCCATAAAGAAGGGCGTTGGCTTCCAGATATCGGCAGCGGTCTTGGCCAATGGAGCAGTGAGTTAAAGCCAGATGAGCACATTGTCCGGTTTGTATCCTGCGGTCCGAAGGTATACAGTTACGAGACCAATACCGGCCGAATCCAGTTGAAGGTTAAGGGTATGACACAGAACGGATACACTGAAGATATCTTGAACGACGATCTTCAGCGCACCGGACAGAAGCTGGATTTCGCCAAACTAACCGAAATCCTAGAGGGCGCTACGCTACCTGTATGCATTAAAACAAAACTTAAAAACTTCTCCAGTAATTACTATCAATTTTTGCGCAGGTTGTGTACCCAGAGTACATTAAACGGAACTTTAAAGCACAAGAAATTTCCACCATTCGTCTTAAAAGCATCTACGTATGGTGTACGACAAGCGTGTGCTACTGGAGGATTTCACCACAGTACCTTTCGGTTTCAAGAACCCGGTAAGCGTGTTCAGTCACGTCTGTGCCGCTGTGTCAGATCAATAGTCAGATGTTAATGAAGAATGCGATGATACAAAACACTCAGGACGGCGTGCAGACTTTTATGCTTATATTTAGTTTTCATTTTACTACTCACAGGACCCGCAGCCACCGTAATGGACTTGTATCTGGAAGACGCAACGACCGTGTGGTACGAGATTAAACGTGACTCGTACATGGATTTCACAAGAAGACCAGTGCCGTATCATTCTGCAAGACCTTTTCGACTGAAGCTGACCAACGCTTTGTGTATACTGCCATGGAATTATCTTCGTCCGTTGTTTCGCAAATACTTCATCACATTTCTGATGGCACTATTCAGGATCTTTTGGATTCTTCAGTGTTAAAATGTAAGCCGATGGAACTTTTCTTGCATGGTGATGGGGCAAATGATAATCTTAAGATTACTTTCAAGACTGGAAAATTTTTCTGCATTTATTTTTCTCAAGCCAGGAATAAAGCTGTGTTGAAGTTTTCGCACGATAAATTCTCTACTATTTTTTCAACCCTTCGTTTGATGTTTTGATGCACTTATTTTTATAAAAAAAAGAGAAAAAAGCCCAAAAAAAATTAACAAAAGAGAAAAAAATTACAAAAAAAAAGCCTTGTTTAAAAAAAAATAAAAAATGGAAAAAAAATCAAAAAAAAAAAAAAAAGGTGTGGGGGAAAATGATAAAAAAAAAATGGGGGAAAAAAAAAGGGCAAAAAAAACCCCCCATCTGTACCTGTGTTAGGGATGCCTGTTAAGGCAATCTGACACGGCTACAGTTGAGGAATCATTGCTCGAAAATCTGTAATTTCAGTTACTGATTTACCAGTGGCAGAAGTTTACGAAGATTTACAAGTCAGACACAGTCGCAACTTACGTCAGAATTGAACGAACTAACATATTTGAAAATATATCAGGGACAGGGTGGTGTACAAAGTAAGTTTGACTCTCTCTTTTTCTTCGGATTTTTTCTGTTCAATTGCAAAAAAATGGTGGATCCTAAAGATTTGGAACCTACGTATACGCATTATCGTCGTGACTATCAGGACGAGGTAGTCCTTTCAATTCGAACATGATGGACGTGAATAAGCGCATAGAGACGTTCTTTGGCTTTTAAATCTGTTCCCTGGTCAGGATATTTACCAGATGGCTGAGGCAGGGTTCTATCACCGCGGTGCTGGTCGGTTGTATTGTTTTACTTGCGGATTGGGGTTGAAGATCTCCTACCTTTTGAGGATATCAGTGTGCATCACGCAAGATACAATTACACGTGTGAGCATCTAAATACTGTAGTTAGCAAGAAATTTATAAAGAATGTACTGGATGTGCAAGAGCAGCTAAGCGGATGGATGCTTAGTCGATGGAATCGGAGAGTTTTGAATTTCCACTGTGGTTGCGATGACTCCGAGGATCAAGTTGATGGGCCATATGCTCATTCCGATATGGAACTGGACAATCTGCCGGATGTCAGTGAAGTGAAACCCGTTGATGGTGTCGATATCTGTCCCCATATCCTTAATCATACTTTTCTTATGGGTAGAGGCGAATATGGCAGAAGTATGTTGAAAGTTATCTAGCACGGCGTTTGTGACACATATTTTACACTTGCTTTTATTTTTGTTCTTCTTGCAGTCAATAATATTTACCTTATCTTACACAATGGATTTTCCCGAACTGAAGTACCAGTTTCAGGACGGCAACGTCAAGTGCTATGAGATCACCAGCAAACCTTCATTATGGTTTGATACAATCGGTAACACTGTTATTCTTGCCCGCAGTCCCGCTTCTGACGGACTTAGTACTGCCCGGCAGAAAGGTATTATACTGGACTTACCTGCCATTAATAATCTACTCCTATTGCTAAACGAAGGCAAAATTCGATTGGGTTTGGACGCTGCGTGCATTGGACAAACCCCAAAGTACGCCCACATAAAAGATGCCAACGATACGGTTATCGATATTAAACTGGCTTACCACGCCTCCTTTGGACGTACGATCTCTATCTCGCTTGAGGGAGCCTTAATTATGCTGGGATACCGGAATTTTCGGAGCGTGTGCAAACTGCTTAGCCAACTTATTCCTAAACCGTAAATAAATTTGTTCGAACTACTTATTTCCTATTATTATTTATAAAATCATCTAAGAAAAAATGTAAAAAACCATAAAAAAAATAAAAAAAATAAAAAAAGAGGGCGTTGCCCCAAAATCTGCATTACTCTTAGCTTGTCTGCGGCCAAGCTGAAAGTATTGTGGTTTCTGGGTAGCACTCTAAATTAGGAAAGTTCCAGATTTCTTTAGAAGGCGGATCTTGACTTCTGATTGGCTTACGGTGCACGGAAATTCCTGCTTCTGCTCCGTAGCAGATATGAACGATGAAATGCATATAAAAAGGGTATGAAGGAACAGGTCTGAAATCAGTCTCACTTCATTTTCAGTTTTGCACGGTTCTTATTTCATTCTACTTGGAAAATGATTCACCATATCATAACTGTTGTTGTGTTTGACTGCAAGTTTGATCTGCAGAAAATTGCATCGTCCACTAAGTGTACATCTGTGAAGGATTTTAAGGCGCTCAATCTTACATCTTATGATGGGAGCTATTGCCAAGTTTTCAGTTCGGGCAAAGCGATCATCAATGGTGGTACTTCTGAAAAAGAAGTACGCACACTGTTGAAGCGATACCGTTTTCGCTTAACCCATCTTGGTTTTTCGGCCAAAGTTCTCAGCAAGCGCATTGCAAACATCATGGCGACGTACAACCATCAGCATCCTATTAATCTGTATAAATTTGCGAAAGCCAACAGCCTGTATTACGAGCCAGAACTGTTTGATGCGGCCAAAATGCGATACGACGATCTTGGAATCACGGTTAAAGTGTTTAGTTCGGGAAAGTGTACGATTTTAGGCGCCAAGAGTGTCAAAGCAGTAAACACTTGCATTGACCGCCTCCGATCCACTCTCCCTTCTAATCCGCCACCGTCTCCTGACTTTGATGTAAGTGCCGTGCGCAAAAAACGAAAATCTGCTACCTCGGACATTGACGAGTTTGTCAGGAACTTGAGGCGGAGCTCATGTGTGAGTCACTGGTTGGTGCCACCCCACCACTGCTACTCAAGGTACACAGACCACACCTCGCAAGCGCAAGCGGCTGCCGGAGGCAGATATGATGTGCGAGTTCAAGATTAGTACTAAATCTGTTAGTCGAAGTACGCAGACCACACCTCAGAAGCAAAATCGGACCAATCCGGTTAAGGCTGATTTGAGTCAGCCTGTTCAGGAGGAAAAGTCCAACGAGTTGGAAGAATGGCTGAATGAAATTGACAAATGTGGAGAGGAGGAGCCAGTCCTTACTTTATCACAATGCGATAAACTGGTTGCACAATGGGAAAATAATTCCATCGGAATCGACCAGCGTGACGAGTGCAAAACGGAAGAAGATGAGCCAATTTTTACGTTAACACAGTGTGAGAAACTGGTTGCGCAGTGTCCTAATAGAACTGTCGGCTTGTTTACCTTGCCCGAAGAATTGTTTTGAAAATTTCAGTTAATTTGCACGATTCTATTAAAAAAAATGAGTTTTTCCCATCGCAAACTTTGACTTTTACGACTTGACGTTTCCGTTGACTCTGCATGCATTGCTACACATTTTTCTGAGTTTTCCACATACATGTTAGGCAGTTATTTGTATTCATTGTTCTGTTAAGAAAAACTCCATATATTCGTTTCAAGAAAATGCGAAAAAAAGAGAGCTGAATTGCTCCAAATCGGTAGAAGTTTTAACTTGCCTGCGGTCAAGTTGAATCTACTGCTGTTTTGGTAATTTGCTCATTAAGCTGGTACAGGCTGCTAGGTTGCGTATATGTTGTAAACACTGTGTTACAACTTAACAAGGAATGGAGCGTGTAAATTTTGATTTTCGTTTCAAGACACCGTGTTCGGTGTACGTTTGTGGACCCACAATGTCTGGCAAATCTACTTTGATTATAAAGTTACTGAAAGAGCCGCACAAGTACTTTTATCCTTGCCCCAAGCGTATTGTATATGCATACGGCAGTTGGCAGAATTTGTTCAAAGATTTCCCATCTTCTGTTGAATTAATATCTGATTTCAATAAACTGTTTGAAGAAGGATTTTTCAACCCTGTTGTCCCAACGTTACTCATTCTTGATGATTTGATGGAAGAATTAGCAAATAATGTAAAAGCCTCAACACTGTTCACGCGAGATGTGCATCATAAAAATGTGACTGCCATTTTTATTTCACAAAACTTGTTTAAACAAGGAAAAAGCATGCGTGATATAGCAGTGAATTCTCAATATCTGATTTTGTTCAAAAGTGTGAGAGACATTCAACAAATTCGTGTCTTGAGTCGGCAACTTGGCATGAAACATTTAGAGGACGCATACAAAAAGGCCATTAAGGAGCAATACGGATATCTGATTATAAACTTGCGACCTGAGACTCCGGATAATCTACGACTCCAATCGCATATTTTTAATCACAGACGTATTTATACACCATGAATCCATCAGAAATTTTTGATATAGTTCGCGCATTGCAAACAATGTCACCCATACAACGCAGGAACTATTTTGCACGATGTACCAAGAAACAAATGAGTGCTATAGAGGAGGCATGTTTAAATTTGCTAAAAAGTTCAGCCAGTCTTAGCAAAACAGAAGTCCACCAAGCTAGAAAATATGCAGCAAGCATTAAGCGACTGGCAGACCGCGATATTCCGCGAAAACGGAAACAGAAAATTTTGCAGCAAAAAGGCGGATTTCTTGGTGCCTTACTACCAATATTAGGAACACTGTTATCTACATTCATTGCAAAATGAAGACGTATGTGCTCGTACCGGAGACAGAATATAATACGGTGATGAAGCCGTGTCCAACACCCTGGACGAAAGCGTATCAAATTCGGAGCGAGATCGAAAGACATTTGCAGCACCAAGACAACACCGAAAGAAACCCTAGTGTACAAAAGCCTCCTCAATTGGATCTCGTAGCCTCGCAACCGACACCGGTATCAATCCAAACGGAAATCCCTAGTGCACCGTTGCGGTCAACCATTACTCACGATCATGCCGCACAAGTGGATACCGTACCCATGGTTCAGTATTTTCCCGAACCTAAACCTCTAACGGTAGACACTCAAGCACAATCCGATCCAATCGAACCTACGGTTCAGTATATCGAAAAGGAAAAGCCTGTATATTATCCGGTGTCCGTGCCTCAGTATATCAATGTACCGGGAAGACCAATTGTGCGGCATGTTTATAAACCTCAGCCAAAGAATAAACGGATTTCCAAGCAGGCCCGTATTAAAAGTACATCTAGCACGATGCGGCAACCAAATCTGTCTAAAATAACTAAAGGACCAGCATTACCTGCCCTGTCTTACAACACCCTAAACCCGCAGCCTGTGTATCAAAATGTTCCAATGCCCACAGCAAGCAATCCGTACTGGGAATTACGCAGTCCTTCTCCTACGCTGGCTTTAGCTGATAACACTACTGTACCGAATGTTGAATGGCCAGAAAGTGACGATGATTTAGATTCTTTATATGCGATACCATCCGCAGCCTTAGTACAGCCTTTAACGTACGAGCAGCCGCAGCTACCTACTAGTTCAAGCCGGAAAGCTATCACATATGCGCAGCCACAATTGCCAACATCTCAGCAATTGGAAGCTTTGACCTACGAGCAGCCAAGTATTGCAGCACCTGCGGCCAGAAAAGCGCTTACTTTTCAACAGCATAGTTTGCCAGCACCGACAGTCACGCCAGCATTGACATATAGGGCACCAAACAAAACCCCCCGTTCCAGCAATTTTATACAAGCCAGAAGAAATAGTGCCGCTGCGAAGCAAGAAAGCCAGGAGTGATAACCAGCCTCCAACAAAGAAACATAAAACACAACACCAGACAGGCGGTGGTGGTTGGATATCTTTTGCATAATGGTTTCATTGGATGATTTGTATTTGGACCCCCTCTAACCCAGGTAGCTTGGGCGGAGTTCAGCGTCTGTACGCGGAAGCTAGTAAACACGGATTCACAAAAGAGCAAGTTGAACGATACTTGCAGTCAAAAGACACCTACACCGAACACCGGCCGCACCGCTCAAAATTCGAAAGAAGAAAAATCATATGTGTCGGCGTAAACGATCAACATCAAATTGACCTTGCCGATATGCAGAAGTTTTATAAGGAAAACGATGGAGTGAAGTACCTGTTAACCTGCATAGATTGTTTCTCACGATATGCATGGGCGATTCCTGTAAAATCGAAGAAACCAAAGGAGATCGTTCGAGCGTTGGAAAAATCTATGGAGATTTACGTACACCGCCGCTAAGATGTCAGAGCGATAATGGAAAAGAATTCACAGCAAAGGAAGTTAGAGATTTCTTTCGCGACTGTGGAGTTAGTTTTTTCACCACAAAGAACGACGATATAAAGTGTGCGATGGTGGAGCGCTTCAACAGAACGCTCAAGGACAGACTTTATGTCTATATGACAGAGAAGCAGACCTACCGATACCTGGATGCACTGGATAATGTAGTATCAGCATATAATAACAGCGTGCATTCGGCTATAGGTTTTGCACCAAGTGAAGTGGACGTAGAAGAAGCTCGCGTTATTCGGGGGAAAATGCTTGAGGATGATGAAAAGGATACAATGAAACCTCCTGTTTTTGCTGTTAACGACTATGTGAGACTTGCCAAAAAAAAACTTACGTTTGAGAAAGGCTATGAAACAAACTACACGGAAGAGCTATTCAAAATAGTAAAAGTTGTCAAGAAAGGAAAGCAATGGTTGTATGCAGTTGAAGATTTATCAGGTGAAGCAGTGGACGGCCTGTTCTATCGTCAAGAGTTGTCGAAATTTATTATGACTGAACGACCAGGTCATAAAATATCACGCATATTAAGGACGAGAAAGCATAAAGGAAAGGAACAATATCTCGTGAGATGGTACGGTTACGGACCAGCTTATGATTCATGGGAAAATAAGGAGAATCTAAAATGAGTTTTTACATGTCATTACCAAGTTCTGCATCCAAGACGATATTCCCGGATAATCGTCCTGGCTGCTATACGACACAACTCGTCCGTTCAATTGACTTGGACGGATCGTGGGAGGTTGGACTTTCTGAACTGATTCTCCCGCCAATGGAAATGCGTTTTCATTCAGATCTAAAGGTTGGGATAAGCAAACCATATTTGCCGACTTTTGAAGTGTGTACACTGCCAAGGAAATTATTCTATAGAGATGAATATGATTTAATCAGTAGCGTAAACGAAATGCTCACATACAATCCGCGTTTCGCTCGCAATTTGGACTTTCGCTACAGCCACCACGACTTGATTAACAGAGAGCCTAAAGACTTACCCCAAACAACGGAAGACGAAAAAAAGCAGTATGAAAAACTCCCTTTTGCAGCCATCAAAATTCAAGGAGATCACGGACAGCTTTTCGTGCGCGGTGACAGTCAAGTTATATTTGAAGGAGCGGAGTATACACGTGCCCTTGGATTACACGATAATTATCCTTATATGGGGATTGAAAAGGAACCTTTCGTGTTACGTCCACCAAAACATTGTCGCATTGTAAACATTTACTGTGATTTAGTGGAATATCAACTCGTAGGGGATGCAATGGTCCCTGTTCTGCGCACGTTGTGTACCGAAGCCAGTTCGTACGATGGTACTGTTCTGCGCTTTGAAAATCCACATTACTTGCCTGTTCAAAAACAGACATTTAGCTCAGTGGAGATTGAAGTGACTGACGACAGAGGAGAAGAAATACGATTTCATAGCGGAGTAGCAGTGATTAAGTTACATTTCAGACCAAAAAGATATTAACCATGGTACTCAAAGAGCACCATTTTAGCGAATCTCGCTACACAGATTTATTTGCCAAACAGCATGGTTTCGGTATGCCAAAATACCGAGGCGCACCAGTTTTTGGTGGCAGCTTCTGGGGGCGGGTGATAGGATTTGCTAAAGGTCTATTTAGCAAAGCTGCACCCTACATTTCGAGCCTTGTAACCAAAGCACAACCACATATGAAGACAGTTGCTTCTAAGGCAGTGGAGTCGGTCATCGATACAGCAGTAGAGAAAGTTAACAAAAAGCTAAAAGAGTCCGCCGGCGAAGAAATGGGCATTAAGGGAGGACGCAGGCGACGGAGAGTACGAAGACACAAAGCGCAGAAAACACGTCGACAAGCAAAACGCACGCCAAAACGAAAAGGAACAAGAAAACGAACCAAGCGGCAGTTAGCAATCGACGCTATCGCTAATAGATTTTGACAAAAATGGCAATGATCGAAGCAAACTCGGAGCCTTCAATGCTTCTGGAAAGCCATCTATTTTACCTACCGGCAACACTGACAGAAAGATGGAATACGAAGGACTATGACATTGGGCCAGCTCAAGCAACATTCGATTCAGCAAACGATATTGTTTTTACTATTGCTCCCTCTCTGAGTGAGTTGGTGAGCCTAGCGGATATTAGATTTAAGTGTGACTTGCACGTTACGAATAAGGATGGCGCAGATTTGAAGGACTCGGACTGTCTGGCACCAATTAACAACATTTTGCACAGCTTATTCCAATCTGTCACCGTTAGTATCGGTGGCAGGAATGTCACGGATACAAGCACGCTGTATCATTACCGTGCGTATCTAGAGTCGCTGCTCGGCTTTACGGATCAAGCTCAAAAATCGCAGTTAACTCTATCAGGATTTGCATTGGATAATAACTGGGAGAAGAAACCAGGTCATGTAACATCAGCGGATGCGGCGAAAGTGAACCGTTTCTGTAGCGATGGAGCTAACAAACGACGCGATTGGCTACAGAATATGAAACCGTTACAATTGTCAGGCAAGCTGCACTGTGATCTGTTTCAACAAGAAAAACCACTCCTGCCTGGAGTTGAGCTCACAATTAAATTGGTGAGGAACAAAAATGAAGTGGTTTTTGTTGCTGACAGTGATAGCAACGCCCCAAAAGCTGTGGCTATAAGAAATCCACGTTTGCAAGTAAGAAAATTTGAGCCATCTCCGGATTATTTTACCGCAATGAGCAAACAACTACTCAGCAACACAGTCAAATATCACATTGAGCGAGTGGTGATGCGTGAACATACACTTATTCTTGGACAGCAACAGGCTGTTTGGTCCAATATTGTAATGGGACAGTTGCCGAAAATTATGATTTTTGGCCTAGTGCCTAGTCGCTCGTTTGCCGGGGAATATGCATCATCACCATTTAATTTCACGCACTGCAATTTAACGAACATTGTTGCCGAGATTGACGGTCAGCTATTTCCCACACAAGGCTACAATTTAAACTACGAGAAAGGCAGCTCTATACAAGGCTATGAAGGCTTGCTTGATACACTTGAACGTCTTAACGAAGGAGCGGGTGAATTGCCAATAGACCGCGAACAGTACAACAAGGGGGGATTCTGCCTATACGGTTTCGATTTCACACGTGGACACACAGGACGAGGAGCAATGTCCTTATCGCGTCATGGAAATCTGAACATACATTTGAAATTTGCTAAGGGTTTGGAGGAAAATGTTGTTTGTGTTGCCATGCTAGTATTCGATAACGTTATAGAAATCAACAATAATCGTCAAGTCATTTTTGACTTTGCACCATGAACAACATACAGATCCAAGACGCGCTACAGAGAGATCCGAAAATCCGCGAGATTTTTATCGGAGTGTATTCTGCCAACAGAATCCCAGACAAGGAATTTCCCGGCGCTTACATTGTCAATACGGAGGTGGAGGGCGATCCCGGACAGCACTGGGTTGCATTCTACTGTGTCTCACCAGGCATACTTGAGGCTTTCGATTCATACGGTGAAAACCCATCCGTTTACTCGCAGCATATCAAGAACTGGATGGGAGACGACTTTATTATTTTATCTAACACGGAGCGACAAAGCGTAAACAGCACAGTATGCGGCCAATACTGTATGTTTTTTGTTACGCTACGCTGCTACGGATATACATACAAGGATGTCATGTCAGCGTTAACCAAGCATAAAGGAGTGAACGATGTGTTCGTATGCAAATTTATTAACAAGTTTTTCAGTATGCGAACACGAGTGAAAGACCGGAACTTTATAAATGGACTTCTCAAAAATTAACAGAAAGCAGGTCGCAGGTACCGTTTTCTGGGTGATTATGTTTGGCCTCCTACTCAGTTTCTATTCCCTGCAAATCTATCAATCCATCAGGGGAAACAGAAATATAACGGAAATCGATATCAAGGCATCGAAGGACGTGACAGAAGCGTTTCTAAATACTCTGAGATTAACGTCAGATGACGTCGGCGGAAACAATTCGACAAGCTACAATGGATAAAAAAGATTTCATATTCTACAGCATTGTCTCGACATTGTGCATCATTTTGTGGACGTTGGAAGTGTATGTTCAAATCAAGATGACATCACAGCTGCCTAGTGATCCGGTTATGATCCCTGAAGTCATGTTCAACAAAATTTTTCATAACGTAACTAGCCTACTGGGTGGACGACAAATATACAGAATAACCGGGTACGGACCTTTGACTGTTTAAATAAAAGGGCAGATGTTAAGCTACTCTCAATGTGCAGATCCATGAAGGTATGAGTATGTCAGAAGACAACCAGGAAATAGCAATACGTATCATTACGGTGGACATTCAGTATTAAACAAACCAGTTTTCTCCCTCTCACTAGAGCTAAGAATGTCCTCAATCAAGCCACAACCTGAAGACGCTATGTCCGTTAACACAGAGGAGAAGGACGGTGTGAAGTATTATCATTTTACCGATACTCTGTGCATGGGGTGGCGTGCGGCTAACAAGTCGTTTATGCTTGTACGGGTATGCCCTGGCGGTTTGGTAAATAATGATCCCAATGAAGGTTTTGAACAGTCTGTTGAGAGTATGGATGAGTATGATGTGCGTGTGGCTCGCAAACTTATTAGGATGGAACTCTTCGGTGAGATGCCCCAGACACTTGTCAAATCGATTAATCGTTGGCAACCTGTTGTTCGGGTAATCACTGATGCCAAGCGTAAAGATTTGTTCATCAAAGTGAATGGACGTGCGATGAATAAGCAAGCACAGATCTGTTTTATACGTCCAGCCAATGGTGGACCCGTGGAAATATCTGTATTAGAGTTCCGGATGCTTTGTGCAACTCTCATGACACTGATCGATCAGTAATGGTAAGCGGCATAGTCAGAAGTTGTACAGAAGTAACATAGCCACTCTGAACGTCAGAAGTGTAGCGGTTACACACTTGTATCGCTATCTAGGAAAAACTAAGAGTCTATAATCACATATCTCGCCTTCCTGCAGCCGCCAATATGGAGCGCCTATCTTTACCGTTGTTATGCCTTTCCCATGGCGTGCTATGGTATCACTTAACGGACAACATTCGCGTGGGTGTCAGAATACAAGATGGGCATCTTATTATCGGATCATTAGCAGCTCGTGGATCCAGTTGTAGTTTTATGCAAACCATCGGCGAGTATGATAAAGCAGTTGTTATACGGATGGCAAAGTTGTATGTGGACGGTACAATTCTTCGGATGTGGGATCGGGCTTTTACTTCACGGAAAACTCAGTGCTATCGAATCAGGACCGACACAGGGAGAACCGTTCGGATCCGTCTCAGACCACACTTATGGGACACAAACTGCTTCCGCATCACTAGTGCTGGGGCAGTGCCCTTGGATCTAACTTTTGTTCAGTTTAGTGGCCTATGTGCCAAATTAGCTGTTCTAACACTCTGAATAATTTTTTTTCCTATGAAATAAATAAAAAGCAAAAAAAGTTTCAAAATGCAAAAAAAAGAGGGCGTTGCCCCAAATTAGTGACGGTCTTAGCTTGTCAGAATAATTGACAGACAAGCTGACATCGTCACTATTTTGGGAACCTTTTTTGCATTAAGGATCGGCACTTGGATTAGAACTAGACTGAAAGTCAGCACAATTACTTATAATGGAGGCGGCTTTGGTAGAAGTTAGTTACCCCGGTTTTGAGGGGATCCGAACGTACCGGTTTGGTAATGGTAAAACAATTATTTTCTGGCACTACACAGTCGGTAAAATGGTCATTGCAAATAATATTTCGTCAGCTGACGAGCAAGGCTACACTCAGGCCAAAAAGATTGGAGTGATTCTTACCAAACGAGATCTAGAATTTTTGGAATGGTTGGTTCACATGGACCGCTATTCTCCTGATCTGGACCAAACCGAACATGTTTACAAAATAAACCAAAACCTAGAGATTATTTTGAAACCAGTGACTTCAATGTACACTCCTACTATAGAATTTAGACAATTGGATCGAGCAATTTTGTTGTCAGCATTCACCCTTATTCAAATCTTAGAAGTTGCAAGTTGAGGTATTAATGTGTTTTTGTGACGTTGTTTAATGCAGTACTTGGTTCAAGCGCTGCTGTTATTTCTTGTTACATGTTTTTAATTTTTTCTAGATGAATCCAGTGAAGAAACCGACGAAACCGACGAAGCCGACGAACGCTGTGCAGCAGCGTGTGGACGAGCTCGAGCTACAAGTAGCTCGACTGACCTCGCAAAAAAATACCCTGGAAGCGCGCTGCAGTGCATCGGAGGACAGCTACGCCTCTCTGCTCCGCAGAACCACTGCGGAGCGCGAAAGTCTCCGGGAAAAGGAAGTGGAGGAAGCCAAGCGTCTTGCCGCTGAGAAGCGTGCGGCAATCAAGGAGGTCGCCGAAGGCGCACCTACCGTGGCAGCGGCAGTGAATGCCCCGGGAGTAGCGGCTGCCGGGGTGGCGGTGGCCATGACTGCAACGTCGACTTCAACGTTGCAGCGAGCCGACCTATTCCTGACACTGGACGGTGAAGTCCAGCGTTATTCGAAGCAGTTAATTGAACTGCTGGTGCGTAAATTAAAGTGTACAAAATATATATGTATAGATACATTATATACATATATATGGCTGTATTACAGGGTAAGCAGGAGAAGTGTCGAAAGGTCATCGCGGAGCACGTGAACGCTGCCTTGGCTTTCAACCGTGGTGAAGTGCCACGGACGCTGAAGAAAGAATTCCGCTGGATTGCAGCGGAATATGTCCCCATCTATCCGGACGTTGCCAACCTGGAGCGCGACCAGAAGATCCGGGGGCTGGTTTGGGAGTTGCGTAAGAGTGTGGTGGAGGCCGGCAACAAGGATGCCCAGCGGAAGTATGCGATGCTACAGGAGGAGGAGCGCAACCTGCTGCGCGGTGTGGCCCAGACGTTCGGAGAGTGGCGTGCGAAGCGTCTGCAGCAGTTGTGTGTGCGCCGCTTCGTGGAGCGCAAGCACAACAAGCGAGCACACCCGTACCTGGCGTTCTTGCCTCCCACGGATAAATAATGTGTGCCTGTTTTTGAGCGGAGAAATGGCGGCGTCGGCGGCGGCGGCGGCGGTGGCGGCGACGCGGTGGTGGGTCATTGTCGTTTGTTTGTTACATTGTTATTTTGACTGTTGCGTTGGTATGCAGTAAGTTGTGCATGTAGTTGTTTTTGTCATTAGTGGTGTCGCGCATGTTGGTAATTGCCATTATTGTTTGTTAGTTTTTGTTAGTGGGGAAATTTGTTGTGGTGACGGTAATAATTATTGTATTAATGATAATAAATTAATGCCGCCGACTGTTGGTCTTTGTTAAACAAGAAACGGAAGTAACACGGTACAGCACACACAAACACACACACCCACACACACACACACACACACAAACACACACACACACACACACACACACACACACACCGAGAGAGAGAGAGAGAGAGAGAGAGAGAGAGCTGCCGCCCGGAAGTCCAGGCTATTTGTACGAGCGTGGGCGGGGGATGCTATTTGACGGGGATAAAAGGGGCGGGGGATGCTATTTGACGGGGAAAATCCATGCTCTTTCCCCCGAGTACTCTTCTTATGCTATAAAAATTTTTATATAAAAGCAAAGCTTTGCAATACGTACGGGGTACTTCTAGTGTAAGAAATTTTATGTAATTATCAATGTACTTAAAAAAATATTATTGTACTCGTACAGCACTTAAAAATTTATTTGTACTGCCCTTTCGATTACAAAGGTTAGGGACGAACGTCATTCACTAATCACTGTTGATAGATTTTTGTTCGATGCTCTCGGCGTAGAGTTACGTAGTATTTACAAAAATGCTTGGGTAGATTTGACAGATTGAACTGTCTACCATGGCTCTACCTTGTCCTTGTACGAGTAGTTATGCCGGTAAAAAAAACTATCAAAGAGATTTCCGGTACAAAATTAAAGTAAGTACTTATCGTTAAATAGTACGTACAGCATACAGAAAACAATGTCATTTTAATTTGTAACGGTTTGTACCCCATAATTATTATGATAAATAAATGCTCATACTTAACCAAGCGCTGCAATACGGTAAGAAGCTGTTACCACGGTAATCGTAGCGACGGAAGTCGATAAAATCCGAACTGCCCAGCTGCAAAATATACGGATGTCGATAAACGATGGTGCGATGTCAAACGCAACTTGTAACGTATTTTTCAACAAAATCCGAAAGACTTTTCGAATTTAACGACGGCAGCTCGATTTAACTACAAACGAAGCGGCCTAAACAAAGCTCTTACCCACTTACGCAAAAGCCACTCGCAAATAATTCTGTAACAGTAAGGATTCTGTAACAGTAAGGTATTTACAATTAAATCAACAATATTTTTGCAGATTACACTGTAAACTTCGCAGTGTGCCTTTGCCTTGTGAAATGTCTTAATGTCATGAGACATGTATGAATAAGCTTATTTAATTGCTCAATATGTACAAGACTTAGAAGACTTATTTATATATTACTTCTGTGAATTTTACAGCGGAAGGAGAATTTTAAGAGCAAAACTAATTACACATAATTGTGCATATCAATATAGAATGCAGAGTCCTTAACGAATGCAGTTCGGAAATTTTCAAGCAGCAAAGCGAAGCAATCTGTTTCGATCTGAACATGCTTGCAAAGTTAGAATAATATCAAGTTTTTCATGAATAAATCAGAACCATAGTGTATTGTAACTGGAAATCTGGAGTGACATCCGCCCAAAGGTCACCATGACCGCAACAATGGATACCTCCGCGGACAACGAGCCCATCAAGCTGCGCTCGCGTCTGCATGGGCACATGCTGCAATGGACACATCACTGGTCCTTCAACGGTGCGGTGATACTCACCATTGCCGTCAACGCCATCGTCCTGGCCATTGAGACGACAGACAACCTGGACAGTTGGACGCTGCTGGCCATTAAAGTGCTTAATGATATCTTTCTAGCTGTGTATACTATCGAGTTTTTTGTAAAAATTTATGTGGATCCCACGGGATACTGGAAGAACGGGTTTAATTTATTTGACTTCATTGTGCTGATTTTCACATGGGTGGACTTCGCGGTGACCGTGTCGGCGTCATCGCAAAACTCCTCGCAGTTTGGCTTCGTGAAGGTACTTAGAATTTTACGGTAAGGTCGTATAATGAGGAACACAACATTAATTTACGAAAAAGTAGTATTGCTGCCATTCCAAAACACGTAAAGAATTACTAAATATTTCTACCAAAAAATTGTTTCTCGTATTTTGCGTTCAAGAATTAGTTTTGTTGAATTAATTTGTGTACGAACATAACTACCAACCCTCGTAGTTTACATTGTGAACTTCGACTTTGAAGTATTCGTATAAAAAATTAACGAAAACCTATCAATTTTCTCCGTAAATGAAATATTCTGAATACTTTAAACATTAATTTTTTATCCAGCAAATAATCTAATAACATAGTAAGTTAACTTAGCGCATTTTTTAGTAATGTTTCAAAATGAACTTTACAAAACTTGTGCAACGTATAACTATAATTTATTAGGATAGATAATACGGTAAACCGAAATAACTGATTAAATGTTTACGCTTTTCCATACGGATGGTTTCAGATGTTTGTGATATTCTGCTCTTGTAGCAGTGAATGCATTGCGCGTTTTATATTCTGTATTTTTTCACTAAGCCAGAATCGTTGTGTTAAAGGTTACTGCGTGTACTGCGGACCATCTCCTTCATCCAGAGCCTACAGGTCATCGTCACCGCGCTGATGACCACCATCCGCGAGTACATGCTCAACCTGATGGTCGTCCTCTTCCTCATCATGTTCATCTTCGGCGTCATGGCCTTCTACCTGTACGCGCCCTATTCGGACAAATTCGCCAGTTTGGGTCAGTCCATGCTGGCGCTGGTGACCCTCGTCACCACCGACAACTGGACGGAGATCGAAGCGGACATTGACAGCCAGCCGAGCGCCCGCTGGTTCTGCGTCATCTTCACCTTCATCGGCTCATACATCTTCACCAACGTCTTCGTCTCCATCGTCATCGTCAACCTCACCGACGCCACGCAGGCCTACATCGACGCCGACCGGGCGCAGCGCAAACAGATCGTCGCCGACAAGACAATCGCCATGAATCAGAAACAGAAGGAAGAGGCCGTCAGCTTCCGGTTGTTTTTGGAGCAGGATCGGCGCGCGAAATTCGCTAACTATGAACAGCTGCTGAAATCCGTGGAGGGACTGTTGCAGCATGCGGAGAAACCGGAGGAACGGGTGTTGTGCGGGGATACCAGTCTGAATCTCCTGTTTGTCCAGCAGTTTGTCAGTGTGCTGGACCTGATCGATAATGAGACGTATATACAGCGGAATCTGTACCGGGAGATGGGGAATCTATTGGGATTAGTCGTTGAACAGAAACTGATGAATCAAACATTCACAGAACCTTCCAAAAAGGAATAAACTACCTGGATAAATTACACGACAAACTGAAATTGCACGAATAACTTGTATTTATTTTCATCTTGTACAATGAAACGAAAACAGAAAAGTAAACGGGAAATCTTAAAAGCTAGAACGTTATAAAATTACGTAACGAATGCGGGTTAAAAAAATCAAAAACTAGAATCGGGTAAAAACAATCTCACCGCGAAGAAGCCCCAAGCAGTACTCAAATGGAATGGAAAATTTCAAAACAGTACAAAGATAAAAACACGCCCTCACCATACTGTGACATTACAGTTTGGTCAAACAACCATTTCTACACAACATAAAATACCCTTCTAGCTAGACCGGAGGTCCATTCCGATCAAATTCGACAAAATATTGCGGTTGTCGTAAGTATTTCTTCAATCCCAACGGTATGGGCAGAACGACGACACCGTCACGATCCTTGATATTCTGCATAATGGTGTAGCGACACAAATGCTGCAGCGACTGCACCGTCCGACGCCGCGACAGCGGATACAGCAGCAGAATCTGAGTGGCGTCCACACCGGGCCGCGGCCGGGTCATAAACTGCATTTTCCCGGTGCGGGAATGATCCACGGCATTCTCGATGAAATCCTTGATGTTGTCGGATTTGTAGTGGTGGATTTTGCGGAACATAAAGGAACCCTTGGAGTATTCGATACGGACGTGGCCCACTTTGCCGTCGTATTTACAGGAAAGACTGAAGAGAAAATTCTCATCCGTACTATCACGCACTAGAAATGTCCCGTCCACTTCATTCTCTAGAACGGTCTCCGCGACGGCGGCATTAATGGGACCCCAGTACCATAGTGACTGCAAAAACAAAAAAAAAACCACATTAGATCGTTACAACAAATTTAAATTAAACCACCTAAACAGCAAAAAATCGTTACAACAAATTTAAATTAAACCACCTAAACAGCAAAACTGATTCCTAATTCGAATTTATTTCAAGACAGTTTTTTATTATTCTAAAAAAACTCAAGATCTAGATTATAAAACCGCAAATGTTTTGCTTTCACGTCACTACTTGTAGGATTAAAAAGATTTCTGATCGACAACGATAGTACGACTACTGCCGTAGTGCAAACTTCAAGGAACTGATAAATATCGCCACACTGGCCTTCGCGCGTTCTGTGGGCATCACATCCTGTCGTTTTACGAATTTGCTTGGTATTTCCATCGCGGAATTGACGCCTTTACACTTAACACACTGCTTGACTGGGCTCTACTCCATCGATTATGCAGAAACGCCGTAAACGACTTTGACTCACCAAAAATCTGCTAAAGAGCCTCAACGACTTCCACGAAATAGCTAACTGAGATTTTTTTTACAAAAAAGCATTTTCCAAAATCATCATCCCGTAAACTCAGAAACAACATCAAATAAAACTGAAATAATAAACGAAAATTCAGAAAATCAATGAAAATAATAAAAATCACAATTACGACCGGGCTCAGCACCTACCTCTTGTGCGAGACGAATGCTGCGGGCAGCATTCAATTTCTGCAGGTGCTCCGCAATTTCCGGAACCAAGTTCTCGTCGGGAATTACTGATGGCAGATACGCATCGGCGATATCGTTATTATGCTGCCCGATACCTGAAAAAAATTTCCTCATGTAAATTTCCTCATCAAAGATAGAAGGTAAACTTTTGAACAAATAAACAACTTCGGTGATTATTTCAAATATCAATATTCAATTTGCATTAATCATGCAGTAATTTGATATATTATGAATTTAATCAGCAGGGTATTCATAATATTACCAGTAAAACAGCGGAACTTTGAATAGAAATTTTAAAATATCAGTACATGATGCCAGTATGTAATGTAAAATCAAAAAATTAACGATGGAACGGTTGAATCGCTGTGTTATTATGTCACCTACCCACGCTCCGACCTCGAGAAAGCAGAGTGTGGCTGCCATTCATCCGTGGCTGTGCATCCACGATCTGGTTGAGACGAGGCTCAGAACTGGTCTTCCGCAGACCAAAAAATTTCCGGAGTGCTTTACGCAGAGATCGAGCAGCCATGTCTACGGAATGCTGGGCCGTGAGATTGCCTTGTTCTGCAGACAGTACGAAGAAACTCCAGGGTTTTCTGCCCAGAAGGATAAGAATAAATCAAGCCATCGCTCACGTCGATTCACGCTTTACTGGAATCTGTCAGATCGACTGGCCAAGCTGCCAGTCGATAGATCGCTGGATTCATAACAAAACTTCAAAAATAAAACGATCATCTAAAGAACAATGGAAAATGATTGTTAAAAACGGATTTAAAAAAAGCAAAGCTGGATGAAAAGAGAAAAACAAGGGAAACATGAATTTACGACAGACGAGCCCAAACAAAATCACACGCAACGCGGATTCGATCGTGAACGAATTACGAAACAAGTGAGTTAGCAAAACCTGGTGGTGGGCGTAGCGCGCGAATGTACAGACAGGGTCATTGTATGGCCTACCAGGGGCCGGAAGTAACCGTGGCCACTCTGCTGCCCGCTACGCTACATTTTTGCAGTGTGATCGTGGGAAAACCGACAAGCAGCAGTCGACGACGATTCAACAGCTGATTTGCATAGATTTTGGATTTTGAACCGAAGATTTTCCCGAAATGTTGTGGGTTTCCTCGTTTAAATAAGACTTACGGAAATTTCTTCAGTTGTATCTTCATCTCTGTGTGTATCACGCTGAACTTGAACTTGAATTTTGTTTTGGGTGACTGGAATTTTTGATTTTGGTTACTTCGAAGTTCCCGAAGAAATCTCGATCGAACGTTGTGATTTTTTTGAGTTGTTGACGTATTGTTGGCTTGAAACACGCGAATAACAGGATTGATTCTTAAATTTTGTTCTTGTGGACCGCTTGAGAAATGAGTTGGTTTCGTGGTTCAGTTTTCTCCGTGAAGGGAATGTGGCAGTTCACGAAAGGCGGATTTGAACGAGCTCGAGCAAATTTCCACGATGAAGAGATGACGGTCGCCTGCGATAACCGTGTGTTTATCATCACTGGTAAGTCACAGAGACTGAGAGAGCGTAGTGAACACTCGTACCGAAAACCGCCTGTTGCATTCCACCATTTTCCTGTTCCAGATAAAAAATGTAAGCCGTTTTCGTATTTTAGGTGCCAACAGCGGTATTGGCCGGGCTATTGCTGAAGAACTAGTGCGTCGCGGAGGGAACGTGCATATTGTGTGCAGGTAAAAAATGAACCTGCATTGAAATTTGAATTTGAAATTTGAATTTGAATTTTGAATTTTGAATTTTTTTGTTGACGTCTTACATTCCTGATGCAGTTTACAGGTTTTTTAATGACTGTAATTTCTTGCTTTTTTTATATGTTGTTTTTAACTGTAAATGAACCTATTTTTAAGTTAAATTTTGATTTTTATAATTATGATTTTGTTTAAGCTTTTTTGATTTCTGATTCAGCTTTGCCGAGTTTGTTTTTAATTTTTGTACCATGGTTTTGCCGCTTGTTTGATCTAACGACGAAGTTGGTTTGATTAGAAATTTTTGGGACTGATATCGTAAGTTTACCCTAATGTGTACGTATTGGTTGAAAATTATTTTGTGTAGAAATCCAGATAAATGTGCCGAAACTGGACGGCATCTTCGCCAGCTGAACGGATCGGCACAAGTCACCGAGCACGTGGTTAACATGAGCGAAATGTCGGCCATCCTTGAATTCACGGAGCGTTTCAAAAAAGTCATCGGCAAGCTGGATGTGTTGATTAACAATGCCGGCGTACTGTTGGACGAGCAGATTAACTCCAAGGAAAAATTCGACGTCAGTTTCGCCACCAACTCGCTCGGACCGTACGTCCTCACGCGCGAATTACTGCCACTGCTGGAGCAGAGTGCGGATGCGCGCGTCATCACCATGAGCAGCGGCGGAATGTACAATGAGAAGTTGGATTTGGAGGATATTCAGAGTATCAACAAGGGATTTAATGGAACACGAGCGTACGCGCAGGTACGGTGCATTTGCCATTTCTCTCCAATTTTTTTTCTATTTTCTGCGGTTACGTTGCAAAAGAACTCTAGTTTTTCAAAACTGATTACCTAAAGTTTAGTGGAAGATTTAATGATAATTATTATTATTATTCCACCAAGAGCAGACAACCCGCTTAGCAGGACTTCAACGTCTGGTCGCTAAAAAAAAGACTTCAACAGTGAATAACTTCAAAACAGATCTACAGTTCGGAGAGCAAATTTGAAAAAACCGATGCCATCAACACTAAGTATCTGCATGTTGACTTTCTTAATGCGCTCAAAGATGTCCTTCAGCCGCATGGCCAGCGTGCCTTCTCCGATCTTCATTTTCGCTCTTGCGGCAATTCTCGTCGGATTCCGTAGGTTGTAACGCGCTCCCATATCCGTGAAATTAATCATCTCGACCATATACGACGGTGGATGGTACGCTTCGTGGTTGTAGATCTTGTACAGCCACACCGCTTCAGACTGCTTCCAACGGTCGTACACCGGCAGGATGCGCAGTTTCTGATACAGCTCGGGTGTAACCCGCTCCTTGTAATCAGAAATCGCCCGCAGTGCTTTCCGCTGTGCCCTGTCCAGTTTGCCACGTAAAGCCGAAGATGCCGGAGACCACGTATCCGACGCGTAGTCAAGATGTGGCTGCACACAGGCATGGTAAAGGCTCCTACGCTGAGGCATGTCCAGGCCGTCTTTCGCGCGGTTTATCATTGCGATACCGTAGTTGACTTTCCGCAGTATGTGATCAAAGTGATTGCTCCACTTTAGGTTGCGATCGATGTAGACACCAAGATACTTCACGCACTTTTCTTCATCCATTTGGTGGCCATTGATCGTAAGCACTGGGGAAGTTTGGCTGTTCTTTGATTCAGTACAGATGTACATGAATTTGCACTTTTTTTCGTTGATGCAAAGAGTGTTCTGTGCAAGCCAAGCCGTTGCATTTTTGACCTGGATGGCCAATTCCGCTGCAGCTTCCACTTTCGTGCTGCCAATACCGCGCCTTGGATTCAAGAATTTTATCGTGGCTTAAAGGTTTCAACTTTCCCAAAGTATGCAGCTAAGAAAATCGTTTTGAAGCAGTTTAACTGAATATTCTCTTAGTTAAGTTATGGGTGCCTTTGATGTGTTACATTAGAGCCTTTGCCGCACTTATCTGTAATCGTTGAATTCGGTCTAGAAGTACCATGAGTAATTTGGATCTTTTCTATCCACCCGTCTTTGTCATTTTCGTCAAGTTGTAGTGACTGACTAGCAGAAGCGTTTTTGGGTGGGCGCATCAAAATAAAGATTACAGGGCACTTGTATTATTTACGGAATTTCTGCTTTAATATTTAGGTAAGTCACTGACGTTTGTTTCTTATAGCAAAAACGTCAGGAGGTCATCATGATGGAGCAGTTTGCTCTGAAGCATCCCAAAGTGCTTTTCACTTCGATGCATCCCGGCTGGGTGGATACCCCGGGAGTGGAACGTTCTCTGCCAACCTTCTATCAAATGATGAAGAACAAACTACGAAAACCGGCGGAAGGCGCCGACACCGCCATCTGGTTGTCCACCGTGCCGCGTAGCCATTCCGGAATTGTTAATGGGGGATTCTACTTTGATCGGCAGTCAGTGTCCAAACACTTGCCGTTGGCCTGGACGCACAGTGCACCGGAAGAAGATGCGCAGCTAATGACTATGCTGGCAGACTTTACCATGCAGGCGTTGCGAACAAAAGGCATTACTGAGGCCACTTAATTTGACGCTCAATTGATGCTTTGTCATAGTGATTTAGTCTGCTGATTGGTACGTTGCCTCCAGTTTTCTTGATTCCTCTACGAATTTACTTACCTGATTGCTTTTTTGCTCGCACAATTTGCGTATGAATTGACGGCTTTTTATTTCTTTTTACTTGACTAAGAATATTGACCCTGCATGTCCTGTTAGGCAGTATTTGAAAATTTATTGATTAAATAAATCTAATTTCGATTCGGGGACAATTGTGACTGCTGAAGGCTTTTTTCGACTTTTTGTTCATCGTTTATTGGAAGTCTTTGCAGGTTTTACGAACTAGGAGATCACAACACCGGCAGATGTAAATAGTTGTTTTTTTTTTCAGTTGAACCCACGCGCTGCGCTGTTCCGTTGTAGAAAGACAGTTTAAATTAAAAACTTAAATTAACAAACTGATTTACGATTGCTCAGGCATAGCCACATTCCCGCTAACAACACACTTGAGATATAACGCAGTAAATTTGGTATTATCGGGACAAGTGTATTCCTGTACACTTTTTCCCAGCATACCGTCTTGTACGCAAAGATACGAGACATTTTCTCCCGCCGTGGTCACCGGGAGATTGGGCCGGCATTTGACCGCCGTGGCGGATTTGGACGCTTTGCCGATGTAGATGGGTGATTTGGAAATAAAGGGATCTTTGGTAGCGGTCATAATTTTATCACTGATTGGGCACTCGACGATACTGATAGGATCCTGGCAGACGACGCCGGCGCCGCACCACAGATCGGAGCTCTCGTTGGCAAAGGTCATGGAGGGGAAAACGATGCAGGCGGCCTGGTCTTTGCAGGATTTCTCCGAGGAGACGCAGCGTTGGGCGGTCTTAGGCTTTGCCGGGGTGATGACGGTGGATTTATCCAAACCGGCAGCGGAAGCGGCAGCACGGGTCAGCGGGAACGGTTCACCGCAGAAGCCTTTCGGGTCGTCCTCGTCGATAGTGAACATATAAACGCCGGCTAGATAAATCGCAAACGTAGCTTATAATTTTTTGCCGTCAAACGCCTTTTTTTGAAAGAAATTGTATTTCTGTCTGCTTAATTTTATTAAATATTGCAAAATTTGTGTTAAGTAAAATTTATTTACTGTATAAACAACAAAATCTATATAAATTTGTGTACGAGGGTGTTAAAATTAGAAAGACCTTTTTATTCACTGTGGAACGTCTTACCGAGTCCGGATTTTTTAGCATAGTCGACCTTTCCCCGCACGCTGATTTCGTCCTCGTACATAATGATTTGGTCGGCGCTGTACGCATAGGGAACTTTCATGAAGGGATCGCGGACAATGGTGTAACCGCCAGCTTGCAGCCGCGAACACACTTCGGCATAATACAGGAAGCCGGGCGCTTGACTGACCGCTCCCCGGATACCGTCGCCGCTGAAATTACCTGCGTAGCCTTGATTCGGCTGGACATTGGGTGGCATCTTGTATGTACGAGCAAAGGTGGGAATGCCGAGAACGAGTTTTGCGGGAGCGATGCCGGCATCGATCCACATTTGAACACCGTTATCCTGTCAGGAAAAAATCTTGTTAAACCGGCAGGAGCGATCATTATGAAGCTTCATGCATATATGCTGTATGCAATGTATGGTATGACTTACCGCACTAGCTTTTTCTTCCTCATTGAAAAGCGGTGAGGGGTGCATGATTGTGCCTGAAAAGTAAAACGAGGTTTAATTTGATCCCATTTCAAAATAGTATTAGTACTGTGCAATAACACAAACCAAGAAGGAAAAACGTGATTACAACAAGTACTACAGTTACAATTAATTCTGTACGAAGTATATCGTTTCTTCTACCATTTTTATCAGTCTTACGACATGTAGTAAAATAAGCAGCGGTAAGCTACGTACAATATTAATGAGCGCTGTTCTGGTATTATTCGTGGCGCTACTAAACTCTCTTTCTGTCAATATGTATCGTAATGCCGTATCTTGCGCACGATTTTTGCATTATCCAACTATACGCTCTAGATCTACAGTGTCGTCATGATCATTTTTCCAGTTAATCAGTTTATGTACACGTACCGTTCCAGTATCCGGCGAGATCATAAGCTATGAGATATACGAGATCGGCGGTCCTAGAAAACGAGAAATAAAGAGATTATCATGCATCTCCAAAACTACTCGTATATTGTTTGATCCAGGATGCCACTTCTGAAAAGCCAGAATTATTTAAGAATTTAAAACTACTCGTATGCGCTAACATTTGCGTAGGTTGATAAAACACCGCTGGAACCGAATATAAGGAGTAGATAAAGTGCATGGAGATACCTAATAAACCCGTCAAGATTAATTTTATTTCCTGATTCCGTCATTGCTTACTTATCAAGCACTTCGGCGTTGTAATTGTGAAGATATCCGGGCATGGCTGCCACGGTCACGCCGATGAAAAGTTTTGCCTCACCGCTGGGTACCGCATCAAACGTGTCGCGCATTTCCTGTAAGATAAAACTGCGATTGGTGAAATTTCAAAATTTACAAGTAATTATTGTAGTGGTACATTATTTTTAACGCCTGCATATAATATCTGTAGGTTAGCATACGTGTTAGTTGTGTACACCCGGTACAATAATTTTTTGGATTTATGAAATTAAAAACTAGTTTGAATCGAGGGACTAGGTGCATTAATGCGTGTACCGTAAGCAACAAGGCAAAATTTTCATAATCTCCAGTCGCACCTCCTCTGACTTCGACACCGGGTGTCAGCCAATCTGCATCAAAGCAAATACTTGAGTATTGCACCGGAAATTTTTGGATAGCGGGTTATGTGTTCAGACAACAGTTAAAAATTGTATGAAGTTAAGTGGTATATATGTTTATGCCACTCATGTTTTTTGCAAATTAAAATCATACCAATCCAAATTCCATCTAGATCGTTGTTATGGCAGAATTCGATAACACTCTGAATAAATACCCTGCGACCTTCCGGGGATGAGAACTGAAAGACAAGAAATTTGTATACTCGCTTCTCTTCAACAACATCTGAATTGGTAACTGCACCTAAATCTATACGATATGCATAGTATCGTTGAGACGTCCGTACAATGCAAACACCGCGGTATCTACACAGCTAATTAAGCGCAACCTTTACCGGTGTTAGCGGCGTACAGACACGTGACCAAATTAGACACTTGGAAAAATTTAAGCTAAACTAATGCAGTACATGTTGTGGGAGTAATGAACTCCAACATAAAATTACCGTTGTGCTAAAAATCCATCCTCCAGAATTCCATCCACCAACCCTGGACAACAGTATCCAAGATAAATGCAAATTTTATAGGTTAATAACAGATTTATATCGTGTTCTTTGCGAAGCCCTTAGTGTGCTGGGCAAGCCAATAAAGGATCTTTTTAAGCTTTTAGGCTAAAAAGGTTTGGAGAGAGACGAGACAAGCGTGTTTGGGTGGTACACATAAAACCGCTTGATGCCGGCGCTAAGGCTACTTTGGTTCCACTTTCTAACCTAATTTTAAAGCGGGAGCCGTGAGAATTCTGAGGATCGAAATAAAAGATTAGTTTAATTTAAAATAATAATGGCTTTACAGCTTGCGTCTACGCAGGTAGTTAAGTAATTAATGGTGAACGGATGCGGATTGCAGGTGATTGACTGGTGAACAAATCTTTCGGAAATATCGATGACCGTTGATGAGACATTACCGACAGTCGTGACACATCAAAACAGATATTTCTTAATCGAACAATTAACTAATTGTATCGTTTTTCTGCTAATAAAAAGGGTCATCTTCTCTCAGTATGTTTATAAACTGCAGTCGAACGGCTTCAGTAGCCCGATGTTCTAAATAGAATGAGCAGAAATGCTGATACCACGGTGTCTGCCACTGTAACTTATCGCTACCACAGCCATCTCCCATGTTAGTCTGTGACCTTGTGATTAATGCTCTGCGCGTTTTTGCACATCGCCGCTGCTGTCAGTTAACGACGTTTTAATTGCCAAGTAAACAAAACTCTAGAAAAGTCCTGCTTGCTTACTTTAAAGAACATTAATTTTACAACTATTCTCGTATAGCGTATTATAATTTTAATGCATCGGTGCGCGCATGCTGAGTTTGTTATCCTGTACGTACCCAATAAGAGCCTTCAAGTTGGGATTTTTCTCCTTCAGTCCAGCAAATTTGGCAATATTGCCTAAAATAAAAATTAGGTCCTGTTTTCCCACATGCCGCAGATTCAATACGCCGTAGTACTCCATACCCATTCCTTCGTTCTCTTTATCATCCAGCGCCGGCTGTAGTGTAAAAATTTTGTTTTCCTGCAAAATTCAACACGATAAAGGAGCGGTACATGACATATTATAAACCTATATAGGTACAACAAAATTGCGTTTTATGGGTAACTTTTATCGTATTATCTTTCTTTCCAGTGGAAAGCTAGCCATCTTTTTGCAACATAAACTGACTGTTCGGATATGAACTGCATCACATAACGGAATGAAGAAGAGCTAGGGTTCTTACACAATTTTATGTATGCAGTATAAATAATTTATGGGTACGTACTTTTTCCAGATGCATATAGGAACCAATCATAGCAATTAAAATTAAAACCAATCACACATACTTACATAAATACTGGTGTAAGTGTAGACAATATGAGTGCAGTCATCCACGGGAATATCATTACCGGCCATCCTTCCAATTGGTCGGCGAGTAGCTGCCCAGGAACTGTAGATACAGGTCACCACATCTAAACGTTGGGATGCCGCCATCAAGCCATTTATCAAACAACAAAATATAATTCCCGCTCCCGCATAAGTTTGCATTTTCAGAGCTTGCATTGTGTAAGGCTAAATATATTTTAATATAATTATGTATTGTTATTATGCAACCGTAAAATAAAGCTTTCAGCTATGTCGCATGCATCAGCTTGGACAGTAATACTGATTTTAATAAATGCTACAACAAAAAGAACGTTTATTCTAAGTGTAGGATCTTCATCAGCGCATTGTGTATAAGTAGAAAATGATGAACGATCCGTATTTTTATACAGAATCGTAACTATCTGGTGTATCAATGTCTGATAATCATGGTCGGCGATTTTACTGCGAATTGTAGCCAACGGCATTAACCGTTACACTTAATCCGCGAATCATCAGAGAAAAATATACGTTTTAGCCTAATAATGCCTTTAATTGCCCTAATAAAATTTGTACTACGCTGATTATTGTAGAAATGATTTACGTTATGAGGCGTTGTCACCATCGTATACGAAAATGTGCACCAAAAATTCGTTAGTTTTGCAGTAAACTTTGGATTGTTGCTCCAAAATGTTATAAGTATAAAAATTTGCGTTGCAGCGGTTTTAACGAAATCAAAATATATTTACAGTAAAGTACAGTCAAAACAGTTGGAAAGCTTGATAGTTTTAGTAAAGGCAATGCTTTCAGTCGATCAAGCTTGCACGATGCAAGTTTTAATAAATCGTGACGAATTACGGTATCATAAAAAGTATTACGCCGGTGTGACACTTTTATGTTTACCGTTCTCTACGTAATATCATATAAATGGAATAAAGGAGATTGTTAGTTTTTAAACTGTTCGACCAGAATGCGCTTATAAAATGCCGAATGTACCTATTCCAGTTTTTGGTGTAATATAACAATATCTTTTCGAACACATCAGCAGAAAAAGTATTCAACGACAGATACGTACATACCTCCTGCGCCTAAAGATATATTTAAGCCTTTGGCCGGTCGTGGTGGTCGTGGCGCTTTGGTGCCTTTTAGCTTAGTTACCGGCGTTTTAGTTGGTGTTGGCACAGTGGCAACGTCTGTTACTTCGTTAGGGAGTAATTCCGTGGACACATGAGAGGATGCTGTTGTTGCAGCTGTAAGTAAGTAAAATGACAGTTTAAAGTTGCAATACAGAACCTTGAAAATCATCGCTTTTCTTGTTAGAGCAGTTGTTCGAGAAAACTAATAATACTGAGCCCGAATACTACCATCACAGATCATACGTTTTCAATTATGCTGGTAGATTTTAGCGTTTACGAACTCCAAGGTTACCATTGCTATTGTTGAGAGATATGTGTTTCGCATAATAATAGTGAAATTGCGCGGTAATTTTGCTAGGTACACGTACGAACCGAGTACTACAAATGCAAATGCACTCTAGAATTAACAGACTAGCACTGCAGACAACTTTCCAGTGCCAGTCAGTTTCATTGTTTCACTAGCCTAGCGTATATATAAAAAATGACCATACCTTTTCCGTTACCGGAAGCGGTGGAGGATTCCACAAGAAGTGGTCCACTTGTGCACGTTGTGCAAAGTAGGGTTGACTCTTCCACATCTCCACCGCTCGTGACTCCTTTCGGCGCTTCTGTGGTATCGGCTTCGTAAGTATGGGTTGGTTCTGTTGTATCAGACGGCTCGTAGTACGATGTAGTGGTCGGCAACCGAGTTGTTGTCACCTTTATAAAAATCGGAGAAGAGCATACGCATCTGCACGTTTGTAAATGTGTCAATTTTCGCATTTCCGATGCATAAAATACAGAGGAAGAATCACAAAAGCGATGGTCTCTTAAATCTAAGCGTTTTCGGCCGCACACACAATATAGTAAAATATATTGTCGAAGCCACTACTGTAAATACATAGCATGAAATTGAAATTTTGGAGCTATACACACTAAGGTTCGACTAATACACTTGCTGCAAATAATGCGGCACTTCATAAGTCGTCCGTACCGGTTCAGTTGGTGCCTTTGTGTAAACGGCCGGCTTAGGTGGAACTTTGGTGAAACCGAAAACATAAGGTGTTCTGGAATTGCGATGGGGCGGCGCAGTAACAACCTTCTTTATCTTCCACGGCTGACTTGTCCGATTGACATAGGGCAAATTAGGAAACGCCGGGTTGCCAAAATTTGGCAACTCGTAGTCTTCAGGAGCATTTTCAAACAGCTGCTCGCTGGTATCAAGATATAGCCGCGAATTGGCAAAATTTCGCAGCGCCACCCACCTATGACCGAAGGAGCAGTAACATTCAAAACATATTTAATTTTTTGTTATTCACATTATAGCAATATACTGCATTTATTATACCATTTTTTTTGTAGGTAGTAACTACTTACTTTCCAGCTTCTCTGGTGCCCGAGGATTATAGGATATTCGAAATTCTCTATGCAGTACATTTTGAATCACTTGCGCGCGTATTCGATTTAGCTAGCTGTTATGAATTTGGCTGCCGTTACACAGCATATACGTAATTAGGCTGTCTGAGAAGTCGTCGCAAGTTTTGCAGGTGTTTGTATTGCTTTGAATTAATCAATGTCGAAAATCGCGATTTCTGTTATGTTGTAACTTGTAGCAAGATGTTAATGAGTTTATTATATACTGAGTTGTCAAGACTTTAGTGATTTGTTTAGTAATTTGTTAGTAGTTTTTGAAAAGGGTGTGATAATCAGTTCAGCGCGGCGCAAGGTATTGTTCGACTGAAATTTCAGAATAGGATACCGGGAATAAATTTTTACAAAGTTGACGCTCTACTATCTACACTATCACATAATTAGCAACATTCAGCTGATATTTCGCGAAAACTCAACGTTTTTACAATTTATTGCACTGGTATATTTACCGCATTTAATCGTAAAATTAGGCAATACCGATTCTGCAGCTTATAATTACAATATGAGCTGTGTAATACGGTACTGCCATCGGCATCCCATGTATCAATTATCAGACTAATTATCTGACGTAATGCCGAAAAACGAGGAGCCTCGAAACGGTGCAACACTAAAGAGCTAATGCAAGTAGTAAATACAAATGCGAATATCACATAATAATCACGACACATATGCTGAAGCCTCGGCTCACCGTCTTGAATTTTTGAAAACTTTAAGAGATCTAACGCTTCATACCAGCAGATTTTATATATACTGACTGCAGCACAGCATCTCAGTTTGTGTTGTTGAATTGCCGCCAAACAGTTCTGTAGCAAAATACTGTCTGTCTCTCAAAACAACGAACAAGATGAAAGCTTGTTTTTTACGCATGATTTTATGTGCAGCCACACACAAAGACGCGACTAGATACGTATCACAATAATTTCGGCAGATCAATAAACTGCTTTCTAGAGCCCTGCGCGAGCGCCGAGCCTCGGCTCGGCTCGCGAGTGCTCGCCGCTCACGAGCCGAATGAGCGAACAACTGTCTGTATTGTCAGTTTTTTCACGAGCCGAGCCGAGCCGAGTTGTTGGTTATTGACCAACGAGTGAGCCGAGCGAGCGGCGCTCTGGGAGGGCGAGCGAGCTGAGCAGTACTTTTTTTACGGCCCTTGAAAAACTGCACTACTTGCAAAATCTGCCACATACTTGGTGACGCTACTAGTCACTCTGCAGCATCGGTCAATGTATACCTAACCGAAAATCGCGGCCTTGAACAATCTCTACAAAAAGTACCCATTAGTTTTGCCCCATCTCAATACGCTGTTGCTCGTTGGTCTGCACCGAGCGGGGTTTGTTTCCGTATAAATCAATAATACCCTTGCGTCTGCCAGTCAGAGTTTCGACTGTAGAGCATCTTAGTTATCGAAACCGATAAAATGGGATAAATTCAGGATCTGAAAACTGACAAAACTTGCTATGCCCACATGACAAAAATACCTGCGTTGGTAAAGACTACTTTATCTGAATGAAAATTTAAAAATTAAAAATGCAGTAATTTTTTATTAGTTTGCTTCCGAGTTAAATGAGCAGAAAAACTGATTCGGTTTACGAGCCGAGCGATCTGAGCAGTGAGACATGCCGAAACGAGCCGAGCGAGCGAGCAAACGAGCTAGCACGAGCGAGCTGAGAAAAAATTTGCGAAAGTTAAACTACCGCGAGCGAGCGTGAAGCAAGCATTTAGCGCTCGCGCAGGGCTCTACTGCTTTCGCTACTGCTCCGAATCATCCAATAAACTTTGATCAGGAAATTTACGAGCACTTGTCACTTTATAGTTAATGACGCTAGATGCGCTTAGTGCATACAAAGATACTCGTACTTAATAAAAAAAGAGCACTAAAACTCACGATCACTCTGAAGACGCTAACAGCTTTTGCGCTTAGTAATTGCGGTTTTACAGCTGCAAATGTTTCTGACTGTTAACGTGCACAGCAACTCGAAATATGTACTTAAAAAAGCTCCCTTACTTTTGGCAGTCCACGTTGTACCAGTAATCACACACCAGCGTGATCTGATTGAACACCGTCGGTGACGCACACAGAAATTTACTGGTCTTCCCATCGCGTTCACACCGGTAAAACACCTGACACTCGTAATTCTCATCCGCATAATATCCCGCTTGTTGTTCCGCCCGGCAATCATAGGTGGCGTTGTCGGGAATGGCGATCAGTTTGGGCGCATTGGCCATAGCGCCGCTTTTTAGCAGCGCCATGACCTGCGCCCCATTGGGCTGCGGTTTCAGCAAATCAAAGATGGTCTGTCCCGATGCACAGCCAGCCCATATCACTGCCGTCAACACGGTGACAATCACAGCGTTATCCATATTGTAAAATCTCGTGTGACCAAATGATATTAGTATTACATCGACCAAGCGTCTATCGGATCGATCAATGAAATTTAAAAATTACGTTGACCGTGATATATTTTTCGGTTCTTGTTTTAGCGATTACGACTGCGCTGAGCACTGGCGAACGAACCGCATTTGTGCCTGCTTAATCGGTATAGAAACTTTAGAATGTGCCACAATACCCGACCTGCACACTCAGTGTTACAGTTCGTTTTCCGTTGGTGAGAATTTTTATTTTATGTAACAATGCCCTGGTGGCTTTATAATTAGCCGCTTAAAGGCTGTATGCATAAATTTTCTACCCATTGGTTTAAAGTCGGCTGATTGTCGGCATCATTAGTTGTGGACGATTTATGATGAGTAAGAAACGTAACGGTAGCTCCATAATTTATACAATCGCGTGAATTGTAACGAGTTCAAGACCGCCATGGTTACATAATCGTTCGGATAGGTTTGGTAACCGGTTATTCAGTGTCTTTGGTATTCTGCATAATACGGAATATGCAATCGTTAATGTGTTTTGCATAGTTGATAAAACGAGCTTACAACAGAAAGTTTTTTATGCAATAAAAGGTGCGTTTTTATATCTTTTACCTAATACACCTACAGAACAGCAAAATTGAGCGCTATGGTCGATCTCACCGGCACACAGTTTGCAGCCGGCGAAATGCCTTGCAAGCGGTGCAAATGATGCCTTACTTTGTAGTTTGTACAGATTTCTTCGCGGTTGTACTCGTATAATATGTCGGGTATGATTTACAATTAGGTATGCGCATGAGGATTGAACAGTCTGTTGTTAAAGCGAGTAGTAGTGCGTATTTTCTTTTGTTAATCTGGAACAACGGGCTTTAGAAAACCACAAACGTTTGATCAGCCGTACTGTTGTCCTTAGCGCGCCACTTGACGAACCGCGAGACGACCAGAAGATCGTATATTGCACGAGTAGCAAATTTCGGCAGCAGGTGCCTGCGGTACGATTATCTGGAACTGGAATACAGTACAGTATGTGTAATAACGCGCTGTTTTTCTGCAGGCCCTTCTGTGCCGCAGTGCCGCGCCACGTAAGATTGAACATACTAAATCTTGTTACTTTACATACAGAAGATCTGTACTCTGTACATACGCGCGTGGTTCACTTTGTTACCCAAAAACAAACTTGGAAGACGGGATTATATTCGTTTCTCTTGCATGCATATGTACAGAGCACATGCACTAAAAACTGTACAGAACGTAGCTTTTTATTGCAAAAGAGTTCTTCGGTTGTAACCAAAGCAAATTAAACTGCACGACGACAATTCCAGAAACGACGGAATTCCGGCGTAGATAGATGAAAAACCAGACAGTTGAATATGCCCGAGGAATATTGTAATATGGTGCCGGCAAGACCATAACCACTGCTGTATAGCAAAGGATTAATGTACGTAAATAAAAAACGCAGACTGTTTGGCAGCCAGCACAGCATGACAATGATGACAAGGAGAAAAAATACACGAATATGCTTCCTTTCGCGATTGCGTTTCGAGTATAGAGAACTGTGAGCGCTGCGATAAAGTTTTCCATTAATTTGGACATCTACCATAGAGTTCGGATGACCTACAAATATATTATGAACAGATTACGTAACGTACGTATATACGTACATCAGCATCTTCTCCAAATGTTTTTTATATCATTATGGCTGCACGGGTGATATTTTTGGGTCCGCACGGGTGTTGGCTGCGTGCACGGAGTTTGGGAACGGGTGTTGGCTGCGGGCACGGGATTCCTACACGGGCGTTGACTGCGTGCACGGGGAATTATTTAAATTTTTAATTGAAATTTAATTGTATATTTTAGTTATAAATTTTTACATTATTAATACTTATGGAAACCTACTCACTTAACCCACAATTTCTCAACGAAAATACCTACCACAAGTACTGCAAAGTTTGCTGTACATAGCAAGTACAGAATACTATCACTACTATGTTGCGAGTTAATATCTATACTTGTTAGTGCAGTACCATGAAGTAAGTACTTGAAAGTCACCGTAAGAAGAGTCGAAGACGTAAGAATCTGTAGTGTTTTTTTCCATGAAGATTTTTGAATTAAGGTAATGCCATTCCTGAGTAAAATAGCCACGTAATTTCTGTAATGGAAATTTCTGTAGCTGCGGGCACGGGGAAATTGTAAATTTTTCAATTAAAATTTAAAAGTATGTTTTAATTATAATTTTTTTACATAATTACTACTTATGGAAACTTACTCACTTAACCCATAATTTCTCAAAGGAGATACAGTTAAGTACTCGTACCTACAGGCTAAAGCAAGTACTGAGAAATTTGCTGTACAAGTGTACATAGCAAGTACTGCGTTTATTTTTCGAGACTATGAAGAATTTATTGGTTTGCTTATCGTTCAGACGTTTGAACATCAACATTATAAAACAAAGTAAACAGCGTTAAAACCATCAGAACGCGGTACGGTTGAAGTCACAGACAGCGCATTCCACCGCTGTATTTCAATGCTAATACGCTGTAGCAGAAACTCGTAAGAGCGTCGTTCTCCCGTAGCATCCTTTAACCGCCTGCCCAATTCTCGCAAAAACTTAATACAGGAAGGGCTAGCGACGCCAAAAGTTTCAAAAGCCAATGCAACAAAATAGTACTCAGGTGCTAAATATTCATATTTCCGCCGCTTTTCGTCTTCTGCTTTTCGGGCCGCTTCTCCAGCCTTAACGCTGCTGCTAATGACGTTTGAAAATGCGACGGTATCCACACGTCACGTCCCAGGCTAGCCGTAAACCGTTCTTCCAAGGCATTTGCGACACACCGTCCGGACGGCGATCGTCTTCGTCACTTGTTCCAAGCGGCTCTAGTACAGCCGGCGTTTTAGCGGTGACCAAACTTCTCCGAATCAGTTCGTTCAGTGCGGTGTGGCGAAGAAAACGCCCAGCGCTCTTTTTGCAGGATAAGCCGTGGTGACCGTATTTTTCGAGATGGATCCATAGAGACAATGAACATACGCCGCGTCTCTCTCCGCTCTGTATGACAGGAGCAATCACTGTCATAAAACTTAGGTCGGATGCTCGGGTTATGACATGCTCCGCCCTGTTCCTCAACTGAACAATGAACTGTGTCATGATTGGTCTATTTCATAATTCATTTTTTGCGGTCGCAAAAATAGCGGCCGAGCAATAAACGTTAATAATGCACTGTAACGAAACGAATGTATGCGCACCAATCAATGTAATGCATCACAAAGTACTAGATATGACAGAAAAAATTAAAACAAAAACGATCAAAAACCACAAAACCTTCACATTCCCCATCTTCATCCTCCTCGCAGTCCTACAAACCCGAGAATATACACATTTAAAAAATCCAACAATAAGTAAAATTATCCAACAATAAGGCAAATTATTTAAATTTGATGACGAATTCTTAATACTTGATACTTACATCATACTCAGGTCGTGCATATCCGTACTTGATTGCTTTGTGAACGGCAGAGGCGTGCTTTGATTTGGAGCTCCCGTACCGGCGAGACTTTTCCATTAAAGTCTTATGTTTTACATGCATAGTAAGAAGAGACTGCACGAAAATTTCCGTAGCCGCTAGGATAAATGGCTCGATATTACATTCGCACTCCGAGTTACTACGTTTATTTCGGCAGATCGCATCAAAAACTTTTCTGGATTTTAAAACTCCCAAAAAAATCGCTACATGTCCAACGTTCGATGAGGAAAACAGGTGCTGCACTGCGCTATCGAACATGTTGCTGACATCTCGAAAATGATGGAAAATGGCTACGCTTGCCATTGTGAGATTTCCTCGTGAAGCGTTTCTGCACCACTGAGCAAACCTGCAGTAATAAAACTTTAAAATTACAAAATCAAATAAAACAAGGGTAGTATATTTAGACTATTTAAAACTGCTTCAGTTACCATGGCATGGGTTGATTGCAGTCTAAAAATACAAATTTACGGCAATCCAGACAAAGGCAACTGCCCACTTTCGGAAATGCAGACATCCGTCGGTGCAACGCATATCCAGCAACATAATAGATGACGCACCACTGGGAATAGCTGGAGTATTGATCATAGCAAATTTCATGTTCAGGTTCAGCTTCTTCTTTTTCAAGGGCTGTCGTTAGTTTGTCAATGTGAGCAGTAAAGTCGGGTCAGCACACTGTATGGCGCTGTTGCCCTAGAAAGCGCACAACACTGAAACTGCTTTCGTTCGATATTCCGTCTGATGTATGATTCCCGAATTTGGACGGTTTAATAGCTGCTGTCAGCGTGACGGTCCGGAAAGAATCACCACAATGGTCAGCGGTCAGACCACCTAAACGGCTGCCCCTGGCTTCGCGCATCCGCGAAAAACAAAACTCCACATGGTCGTTGCACAGGGCACGAGTGTTTATGTACTTCTACAAAGATTGCAGCGGTTTTTACAATAAAATCAAATTTGAAAAATTAAAAACTAATAAAGCTTTTTAAATAATTCAATTACCTGGTGATTTTGTTCAACTAAAATGCGACCCACGTCAATGGCAGTCATAATTGAAATCAAGATTCTATCAATTAGTGAGTTGCGTATACGATCCTTCTGCGGAATATTCTCTTTCCAATGAACCAGCCTCTTTATGGCGTTTTCCAAGTACTGTCAAGTCAAAATTTGTGCTTAATTCCGGTAAAAAGCTATGACATGAAAAAAGTGATTTACATCGACCCGTCCAATGGTGTTCAAGATTCTTCCGCTGTAATTGGCATTCTGCTTTCGCGGCGTTCGTTGGAATGAGACGTATTCAGGTAATCCAAAACATTGTTCCAAAACAGAACCCAGTCAATGGTAGCATCAGCACCTTTGAACTGGCGTGCCAGTTCTACGATGGTTGAATCCTTGCAATGTTTCATGGCACTAAAGATAATTTCAACTAATAACAATATATTTTATATACTGTATGTATGTACTGTGTGTGTATTTTTATACTGTATGTATATATAAGGGTAATTTTTGCCATCCACAATAAACTTTGTATATTGTATATATATACTGTACATTACGGTAGTTAATTACTTTGCCACTGTTGCACTCAACAGCTGCATTGCCGCAGAAAACTTCATTTTGGCATACGCATGCGGCTCCATATGAAGTTTAAGGGTCAGCTTGGGAGCTAATTTCTTTTCCGATTGCTGGTCATA